TCTCTGCCATGGCCCATTCAATTGGCCTCGGCCAGGAATAGATCGCGATGCGAAATTCGACCTGTTTGACCCAGTCGACTCGCTCCGGCTTCGTGGCTTTGATTCTGCGAACACGAGTCCTCGGGGCAAAACATGCAATGCTTGCCATGTACAACCCAGAGATGCCGCGTACCTGCATCCTCATCTCACGACTCCCGTGGACCAGTGTCTCACCAACGCAGGTCGACCACGCCTAGCCTCTCCATGGCATGCATGGTCAGGACAGCAGCCGGACAAGGACAAGGACCGGCCGTCACGCTCATCACCACCTGGCTAGTAGGACAGAACTGCCTCTGTTCAGCCAGGACAAACACACACTGAGCTGCATAGGTACATGTCCTTAACTAGTTACACCTCCAGGACCTGATGCAACTCGAGTCTTCTCGCGGCCCGGCTGCTAGAGTTTCAGCACCTAGGCCTAAGCACATGGCTTCACTTCACTTGGCTCACATCATCATGTCTGGTACGGACATCAAGCTGTTGATAGCGTTGACAATTTCACTGGGTTCATCACTTGGGTGTGACACGGAAGCTTTTCAGGATTTAACGTCCGTCACGGTCGACTCCTTGTGCTCACCACAGTCATCATGAGCACAGAGTCAATTCTGACGTCTTCCCCTAAGCTGTGCACCATGCACGCCACAGCACGTCCGGTGTACGATTCTCTCGAGTTTTCAGCATAACTACGGCTGCTCCTGGGGCGTCCATAGAGCTATGATATACATGTGTAGGAGCTCTAGAGCCGTGAAAGCTCCGATTCCAAGGAACAGCATCCAGATGGGGAAATCGAGGATTGAGGAGAGTCTGATGATGTGGGGGTTTCTCGGTTGGCCGCGATCCTCTAATTACGCCGTGCCGCGCTTTTCTGGCCGCCAATTGTCCGTACTTGATTCTCTTGGCCTTTCATGCCTCGCTGGAGATGGACGCACCGTTTTGGCAAGCCAATGACAACAAGATCGAGCTTTGCCCCAGTTCCGACAGCCGGTTGTCTCAAATTTGCACCTATCCAGGTGTTATGTCACTCTTAGCACAAAGCGGCTACACCGGCCATACCATACACGCATGGTGGTCTGCTCCAATGAATCTAGAATCTCGATCACGGGCAATGTGGTAAACGGGAGGGGCCTGGTCGTGATCTCCTGAAGAAACACCAGTCAACGAGGTAATAACCAATATCAAGAACCTGGGCACAAGCCAGCCCTCCACCACAACCAAGGCATGCTGTTCGAGAACATTGTGGGTCTCATCTGCAGACCCGTTGGGTTGTTACAGATTATCTTCGGACCTGCAAGGCACCCCGAGCTCTTATCGTACCAGACCGCCCAGGAGAGGAGACATACACTCACTGAGTCCATCGAAATTACCTGTACAGACGTACCTGGTAGGCAACGTTAGTCTGATCTCATGAGACGGGCCACTAATGTGCAATCACTGACCAGTAGGGCAGAACGGTACCAGTGTGGGTTGGGGCTGCCCCTGCCATAATTACGATGCACCTTCTCCACGCCCTACAAATCAAACGCAGCGAGTCGGATTGCTTTCTTTCTTGCCGGCCAGACCGTATTGGGTCTTCCATCCCGCGTCGCCGTTGGACATGTTGCAAAGTGGGTATTTATGTGCTCGGGGAATCCCTGTGGCCCATTCATTGGATTGGGACATCTTTCTCACAACCATGACCTCTCTCGCTGAAGCCCAAAGCAGACAGACCGACGACGACTTATGAAACAGTGGGCCGCATATGGCCCCTGTCTGGGGGAACGACTTCCCGTACCTGGATGTGGCACACAGAGACGAGGCAAAGTGCGAATGGACAATGCGTACCTGCGAGCCACCATCAGATCTCCCGCGCCGCATGTGGTCAAGCCACACGAGAAATGAGATCTCGCGCTCTACATACACGCACCCGACACCAAGAGGAGAAGACTGCCACCGCCTTGATTCTCGGCTGATCCTGCCAGCTCGGCCCTTGCAGGCTCTCAGCAATTATATCGCCGGCCTGCAAGCAGAATTGGCACGATGCAACTTTGCGATGCACGACACCTTGCCTGCGCCATGATAGCACTAGCCCGGCCAAGATCTCTCGGGGGATTGAGAGATTACTAGACAACCCAGTGTAGGATCAGTCTCGTCCCCTGGGCACATCTTACCCACACCAGAGAAGACTTGCCGTCTTAACTCTACAGTGACCATGCCGGAGTGACACCAAACCCCACCACAGCCTAGCCCTGCCCGTTTCTGCCCAGCAGGTCGCACACCATATCAGCCTACGGCTCCGTCGGCGCAGCTTCCCACGACCCCTACACCAGCCAACTCGACGGATGATGCCACGATGGCTGTCTCTTTTGAGCCATATACCGCTCCAGTCGGTATTGAATCCTCTGGGGTTCGCCGTGATATGATGACATACATGGTGCCACACTATTCCAGATGCCGTTCCCAGCTCACGTCCCATCCTCGGGGCCAGCCGTCAGACGTAGGCCGTGATGTGTCAGGCCTTGACATGCCCAATCTACTACTCCAAGCCGGAGGGTCGAGGGCCGGCGCAACACTGGTCTCTCGGGACTCCCAGTGAAACTCTACTGTGCCTAGAGGACACAGAGAAACTTAGAGGCGTCTGCTGCTAGCTGCAGAGTTATACCGAAGCAGATGTCAGCGAGGACAACGACACCGCGCGCGCAAAATCAGACAGGGCCTACGTGGTAGGTATTTCGCTTCCAGCTTACGGCTAGAATTGCCAGACTCGCGCGAGGGTGTAGCATTCGGAGTAGGTAGGTAGGTAGGTCGTGCCTAGACCGTTCAACTGCAAGCTTTCTCATTACCCTTGGCCCTGGACAGGGGTGCAAGATCTGCCCAGTGATCTTCCCATCATCCCCCCTGTCACCACCCTGCCCACCACCCTGCCCACCACCCTGCCAGGGTTTGGTAGGAAAGTACTTGCAACCTCGCCCGATTTCCCACTCCCCCACATATACCCTTTGCGGCAATGGCAGTCTATCTCTCACAAGCTCCGCTTATGGTCTTCGAGAAAGACAATGGTCAGAGTCTGGCAGTACCTACCCAGCCAGCGCTTCGTGCCTGGCCTGACCCCGAGCTTGCGGCAGTGGCTCACCCCTGTCGATATCGCACGGCCACCTGCGTATAGGCTTTTCTCCCACGGAGTACACCCCATACCAGAGAGGACTGACTACTCACACCTCCCTACCGTCGCAGAGAGCGACACACCCTTTGCCGAAGTGTGCCGTTTCCCATTGGCCTGTGTCTGGAGCAGTCTCGACAACGGTCATGCTTTCATCCGTGGAGTCAACACACAAAGCTAATGTAAGAAACAGCCAATGAGCAGGACCCAGATATCCCAGCCGACCTGCAATGCTGTTACCCTGTTTCTCTCCACCCTCCGAACTTCATCTTCTCTTGCACCAGCGGCAACCAGGGGATAGCCCATCGAGACTGGCGGCTGGGTGACATGGGTCGACTGAGACTTTGGCCGAAGTACCTGGTCCACCATCGGGCCTGCTCACGGCCTTGTGGTTCTATGAGACCCAGTCTCGAGCTGGTCCCAGGTCGGATGCTTGCCCCGGTCTCATTGGTTCTCCATCAGGCTTCCCTTCATCATGTTCAGGTCCAGGGCATAATGCTCTCTGCGGACACTTGCCGGGCCATAGCATTGCTGGGGGATGGTTTCTCAAATCGCTGCCCACCCATATATCTCGGCCTGGTTCGCACGTTGTATCGTCGATCTGGCGGGGGGGGGGGGGCTAGCAGGTGTCAGTGTTGGTTCTGTGACCCTCCCATGACACGGCATTAGCCATTCAGCCGAGAAGCCTATGGCCCAGGTTTCTGTCATATACCTCTCTGCCTTCTCAATTCGCACCCTACAGAAACGGTGCTTGTGGCTCAGCATTTCCCTGCTTGGAAAGTCTGATATTGCTATATGTCGCTGGATCTCACGTTGCGGCTTTTCCTCATGCGACAAGCCTTAAGGCCCTTTCCCAGAGCGGCACCTCGTCGCTATACACCATCCCAGGTCAGGTACCAGGTACGAACCGTTTCCTGTATTTGGTCCTCAGTAGGCCTATCACCTCTCTGCGATCGCCCGTGCAGGCCATGGTCTGTATTCGGATGCTAAGTCGACATTTCTCCGCTTGGATGGGCGGTACCGATCGGTATTAATTCCACCTCTGTCGTACTAAAAGGCAGGGTTCGAAGGCGGTCTTGCACCCGCTACAGCTACCCTTCACGTCTTGTACTTAATAAGGCTCCTGGGTACTGGAGAGCATCTAAGATCCATCGGCCTTACTCAAACGTCCTTCCACGCCCTGAGATCTGGACCATATAGCTGGTGTCCCCGGGGCCTGAAGCGAGCCAGACCTTGTCCTGATCAACTCGCCTCCCAGAGGGGTAGACCTTGTTAACGACACTGCTGGACACGTCGATTTTCTTTCCAGAACGACAGGGGATCAACAGTCGTCTTCGTCGTGTTCTATTCACAGCCTCCTGCTTCTTCCTGCTTCAAAGGCTGGGTACCTACAGGTCTTGGAGTGCCGTCTATCTCGAAACGTTCAACCAAGCGCGGTGATTATACGCTTCCAAGCACGTAGACGACAACTGCCAACACCAACCTGGGCGACTTCCTCATTGTTGTTCCTAGCAACTAGCATCTCCTCCTAACTCTGCGGCTGAAAAGAAGTTAAGGGACTGGTCGCGGCCAAGGTCAAAGATCTGCACTGAAACCTACGAGCCACCACGGGAGCCCCAACAAGCGCTGTCATCTTCATTGAAGAAACACTCGAAGTTCTTGAAACGCCCTTCAATGCGGTGACAGAGGTTTTCCTGAAGTCGTCAGTCCAACAGCTCTCGGAGTCGAATTTAGGGTGCCGAACCGTCGGTTCCATCTCTGAACGATACGTCGTTGCAGCTTCTTGACCACAGCCAGACGCTACTCGCTGATAACACCCTTTCCAATGCTTGTTTCCAGGCACAGCGAAAGCGAGCAGAGTCTTTGGTCCATCAACAAGTTTGAGGCCACTTACCAGCACAAGTCCACATCCAGTCCACGCATGTCGAACAGCTTTGAGACCCCGTTGTCGACACAGCCCGATTGGCATGGGCAATACTCGTTCCTCCCACCTGGAGAGAACATATTCCCCCAGTCCTACGATCATGTAACCTCGTCCGGTGACAACAATCAGGCGCAGCCGCGATCGGCGGCTGTCGATGGTGGATTGGATATCGAGGTCAAGAACGAGGGTCTCAGTCATCGGCGCAGCCTCGATCCGCTTGGACTGCGCCAGCAGAAGCCACCGACGCCGATTCAGGACCAGTCTCAGTCCCACGGCGAGGCCTTCGCTCAGAAGGCTGCCGAATCTGTCCACGAGGAGTCTCTGCTGTCTTCGGACACCCCTGGGTTGTCCCTCACCTCAAACCCACTCAGTTCCGTCTCCTCGGCGGGCCAAGGTCCAGACATGTCCTCAAATCATGGAGGTGGTGATATCCTGGGAAAGGAGGAAGACGAGGACGTGATCGATGACGAGGATATGGTCGAAGGAGAGGGCGATGTCACTGCCCAACCCCAGACTGCCGCAGAGCGCACCGCTCAGCGAAGAAAGATGAAGCGGTTCAGACTCACGCACCAACAAACCCGTTTTCTCATGAGCGAATTCGCCAAGCAACCGCATCCGGACGCGGCACATAGAGAGCGCCTGTCTCGCGAAATTCCCGGGTTGAGCCCACGGCAAGTCCAGGTCTGGTTCCAAAATCGGTAAGTCTCCCTCCCACGCTTAGGTGCGTCATGCTCAGCTTTCTAAACCTTGATGTAGCCGGGCCAAGATCAAGCGTTTGACAGCGGACGACCGGGATCGCATGATCAAAATGCGAGCTGTGCCGGACGATTTCGACAATGTGCAAGCGCTACATTCTCCGTACGGTGCCGTGCACGGACTCGGGACGCCATTGACTTCACCCATAGATTTTGGAGCTTCATCCTACACAGACCACATGATGAGACCGCTGATGGTGGATGTCAGGCGGTCCGACGGTGACGAGCATCTGTCGCCGACTGGTCTAAGTCCAGCCTTTGGGAGCATAGGATTCAATCCGTCTGCGACGATGAGCAATCCCGACATTCTTTCTCCGCTTTCCCCCACTTCCAATGATCGGTACGGATACTCGAATCACTTATCGAACCCTCTCGGAGGATCGCGAACCTCGAATCCTTTTGCTCGGCAAAATAGCCTCGATACAGGGATTTCGATGCACAATCCTCATCGTGGCCAACAGATACGCCCTTTACAGCCGCTTCAACTGAGGGAAACAATGTCCAGATCAAGATCTGACAACCTTCAGTCACCCCTGAGGTCCAGCATGTCTTGGAAGGGGGATTCTATTGACTACACTACCTACCAGGCAGGGGGTGGGAGTCCTCAGCTTGGCGGTCGGCAACACTCGCTGTATTCAGCTGAAGGTCTTGGCCATACGCCAACCAGTATTGGTGGCTACGAGTCAAGCACCTATTCTGGTGAGTTCCCAGAATTATTTTCTCAATGTTGGCTCAAAAAAAGCAAATATTGACATCATTTATGTAGGTTCGACCGTACAGTCACCCACGCATATCAACTACCCTGGCTTCCAGTCCACTGGGCTACAACAAAGCCCTCAAGGACGCTCGAGACTACGCGCCGCATCGGCCACTCTTCCTCTCGGCCTCGATATCCGAACCCAGTTTCGCTCAGTGGGGGCAGGGCACGGGATGCCATCTTCGGCTCACTCGCCTACGAGCAGGCCAACGTCAACGTCTCAGCTCGGAGTGACATCAAGCTACACGGCCAGCTTCCCGTCTGCTCCTCTGACGGCGCCGCACGATTTCTCGCTGCCCCGGACCCCGGGCTTCAGGTCTTCTGGGCAGGACTATACCATGCCCCAGATGAGCGCGCCCATCGCGCCGCCGAACGACTTCTCCCAGGCCTTCCAGGCGAGCATGTCCGGGTCCTCGAGCACCGCCAGGACGCCGATGCGCGACACGTTTGGGGGCGGCGGTAGCACCTCGTCGACCGGAGACCGCGGTGGCGACGACTTCTCCCAGGACAGCCTGGGTGCGGGCCTCAAGCGGAAGAGGAGCTTCACTCTGCCGCAGAGCGGGCTGCTGGGCGGGACCTCGGCAGGAGCAGCAGGGGCGGGATCTGCGTCTGCGTCGAACTCTGGGCCGACGTACGGCAGTGCGACGTAGGGTGCTGTTGCAAGCGCGCTTGCCTGCCTGCCTCTGCATGAGGAGTTTTTTGTCTGTGCGCCCCTTTGGGTTGCATACCGGTCTGATTCCTCGCCTAGTCCTGTTCGGACTACCACGTTACCGATTCGGGTAATCGAGCGAGGTCTTCTCCAAGGAGAAAGAAATGATGACTTGTTCTTTCCTTATGTCACTCAGTTTATCTTGTGTGTTTAGGCGACTTATACGGGCGGGTAGGGAAATGGAAATTGGTCTTTGGTTTTTTTGGCTTTTACAAGGGTGATATCTTCACTTCTCGAGTCTATGGAAATACCCAATGATGGTTGTCTTTTTTTTGTCTCTTCTTCTCCTTCTCCCATTTTTCTTTCTACCACCCCGTTGATCATCGAGGTGATCGCCAAGCCGATATATTTGTGTCCTACCATTCATCTTTACATTTGTCAACCTCGCGGCGCGCTTGTACCTTTTTCTTCTCACCCATCTTCTTCTCTTCACTTCTTGAAAAAGCTTTGGCGCTTCACCTTGATACACCGAAAACCAGAACCAGAACCCTTTTTTGTACCGAGATATATTGACTATTCAGGGTCATGAGAGACGGATATGACAGATTTACAGAACGATATATTGGGGGCGAATACACGAATCAAAACAATGAACAAACCCAGTCGCAGCCTCACAGTTCCTACTCTTATCATTTCTACCGTGGATAATATTGGGAAACGAGATGACGTCCTTTTTGGCAAGCTCACAGGCGACTTGTGTCAAGCGCTCTACTTTGATTTCTTGGGGGAGAGAGCGGAAAAGGAAGCAAGGGAACCACAAGCAACCTCGCTTGTTGATGTCGACAGAAACACCACACTCTTGGGCAGCGTCGGTGGGCCGATGCAGATGGGCAAAGCGAGGGGCCAGTAGAACGGCGAGAGGTGGATCTAGATGTACATAGGAGCGAAATTCTACGAGGCCTGTATCGGCAACGCAGGGAAGGCATGCCGAGCATGGGACTAAGCAGCATTGTCCAGTCAGTCAGTCGGCCTGCACGGGCTGCATGATCTCACAGGAAGGTCGAGCGAGCGCAGCGGGCTGGCCGAAGGCTGGGGACGATGAGTGAATCGGTCTAAACTCTATGAGCCTTCTCCCTTCCCGCGCGTGCATGCAAGTCGTTTGTCTCCTCTGCTGTGGGACCATTTCCTGCAAGTTGTACACCAGCTTGCTGCAGAGAGGCATTTTATCAATCAATCGAGACCTACGTACCGTTTGACAGCACTTGGAGACTCCGCCTCCCAGGCGATAGGAAGTCGTTTGTCTGTTCGCGCTTTCAGGACTCCGTAGACTGCCATTGTGTCATGTGGCTAGCTGTGCAAGCGGCCCGATCTGGTCATCAAGACGGTCAGTGCCCTCTGCACCAGATAACTAACAAGCAGGCCTGCATGCTTGGTCCAGTCTTAGCCCAAGGACGCAGGGGTGATGGTATGGGACTCCCGCCGACCCAGAAGCGATAAAGAATAAGCCTCAAGCTTTCATTTGCCTCCCCGATACCAGCCAAGTGGTCTGGTCAATCTCGGTCTCATTACAATGTTCTGGCAGGCTTGGGTTTCTTGGTCGTATTGTGACCGTTTTCAACGTTGTCCGTTGCGTTATGGTTGGCTGCGGCTGGCGCCGGCTTCATCTCGGTCGTGGGAGGTTTGGCCGTCGCTCAATCTCCCGACACCCAAACTTTGGGTCTTTGGCGAGCCACGACACACAAACGCCCAAAACCGCATGGGCTTCTTCGGCATCTACCAAGACCCCGTTTTTCGCTAACTGGAAGAAGAATCGGCACGAGATAATCACGTCTCGATCGAGCTTGAACTGGGAGACTCAACTCGTCGATCCACCACCACACCACACACCAGCCGTAATAAACAGGCGAGTCCGACTCCTGGCGTCTCGCTCGTCCCTTTTCTTGGTAGTCGGCTCGCCTTTGACAGGCTCTTCTACGAGTGAACCATGGTGCGCCCGGTGGACGCTTCTCGAAGCTATGTTACCCTACGTTACCCAGACCGGGAAATTCAAGCGTCGCCGGCCCGGCTCTTTCGGTTCGCTGGCCCCCCCCCTGACCATGGCGAGATGAGGAAAGGATGGGGTCGATCATCCGGGGGAAAATGCGTAGGTTAAGCAGACCGCAACCTTCTTGGCTGCTGCTGCTGAGGTAGCAAGCCGGAACGAAATACCAGGGTCCCTCCACTCCTGCTGCGTCTCTGGACACTGGGAGCGGAACTGGCCTTTGGCTGCTGTGTCGGTGACATAAAATCAACCCCGAGGGTGTTTGGTACCGTCCATCGAGAAGGATCTGCAAAGCGAAAGATGTCTTGGCGAATGCGACCCTTCGCCCTCTCTTGTCTCCATACGTACTTTCTTCCTCACCTTGACTTGCGCTGCTAGTTGCAGAGGAAGCTTTGGTGCTACTTTCTCTCGCTTGCATCTTGGGAAGGATCTGCGGAATTCAAGGCGAGTGGGGATAGGCTCAACCACCGTTCGCGATGCGAGCTTGGACGGGCCTTCTGCACACCGCTCTACGATATCTAGGCCCATGCTATCACTTTCCAGTCTTTCACGAGAGGACTGGATCACATCTGAGAATGAGAAGAACCGGCGGCTACAATTGGAAGCCGAGAGTCACGGCCAGGCAGTTGTAGCTACGTCTTCCACAGCATCATGGTTTGGAATACGGGCCAGGCCATCGCGTGCCCTTCTTGCTTCAGAGCAAGGTTGCCCACGATAGAGGAAACGCACGCTTGACAAGCTCGAGGGATGGCGACCCGCATGCTGATCACTGCTAGGCCGCTGCACGGTGCCATATCGCATGGCGGACACGCCTGGGGCCATATGCCCTCGCGGAGGAGGAGGCTGCGTGTTACGCGAGTTCCAGGAGCAAGCTGCAAGGGTTGGGCAGGTGAGAAGAGGGGTTCGATCCATCTTGTCCGCTCAAAATGTGCCGGCAGACTTTGTTGTGCTCACGTTGTGACAAGTGGCTTGTGCTTTGGTACGACTTTGCCGAAGGGGGGACAGGGGCGAGGCATGCTCTTTCTCTCCCTTCCCCCCGCGGACTGTATTTCGAATAGGCTCATGCCTTTGTAACGCGTGGAGGGAGGGAGGCCGGGTACGCAGCATGTGTGCCCCCCCAAGGCCACAGCCCCATGTCTTGCCTTGCGGAAGATCTATCTTGGGACTGAGATGACTCTGTGGAACTCAGACGTATCGCACGTCGTGGCTCGTAAGCCAGTGGCACAGCAGCTCTGTGCGATGGTTTGGGTCTGTTTCGCCGAGAGCCTGCCCATATACGACTGGCTCCTGACTGCTACCAGGTGGCGGGCTCCGTTCGCAAATGCAAGGGGCTTTGGACAAGTCTTTTTTTGATGGGCAGGGAGGTGGACGAAAGCTCGCGTCCGCGTATGATACTCTTGCCACCTTTGACACATGCGGGCACACAAATGATATGTCTGTCCCGCAACACAGGGCCTCGGACAGTACTGTCCGATAGAAACGTTTGGTATTATCGCGTCGTCTCTTCTGTGAAGATCATGATATGGTGCACGCCAGAATGACTGACTACTCTGTTCTTGACTGGTCAAGTACGCCACACGCTCGGCGAGGCCCGACTGTCGATCGAACCTGTTTACTCGTTGCCGACAAGAGAGAAACAGATTCGGAGCTTCTACAACGGGGCCCGCCTTGCCAAGCTTACACAGGACAGTTCAAAACATAGGCCCTGGTCCGGCGCCCCTGTGATGCCTAGCCATGAGGCTAAGGGGTGGCCGCATGGTATGTGAGGCTGTGAAGGAAACCGAACACCGATGAGTCGGGATGAAAAATCTTACGTCGGGTTGTTGTAACGAGTGAAGATGTACGCAGCCGGCCGAGACAACCTTTTGGTCGAGCAAAGATGCAAGAAGCCGAAGTTGGCGGACAAGTCTTGTATCTCGTGTCAACGGGTACCTAGACTCGGGAGGGGTGAGCATATCAAGAAAAGGGGGGGGGGGAAAGGAGCTTCAAGATCGCGGTAACATGTTAGGGTCTGATGATGGAGTTTGCACAGCGTTGCAGAGGTCCATGGGTTCGCGTTCCTGGCAGAGTGGCATCACTCAGCAACTCAGCAACTCAGCATAGAAGCTGGTTCCAGCCCGAGAGCTCGCTATTGGAACCACTGCCGCGCGGTTTGAATGACGAACCAGTGGCTAAAAGAGGTGCAGAAAAGGCGAGGCGGGTGCTTTGGAATACATCCTGGACGACGATAAACTGCACCCTCCGTACCCAATGAGGTAACGTACTCGTCCAGGGCATCCGAATGTCTTTGATAACATCACTGTTGGAGGTAAAAAGAGCCAGACTAGTGCTCTTCTGTCCTAAGCACGAGTAAGCTCGATTAGAGGGACGGCTTCCCGCCACTCTCATTAGAGTCAAGAAAGCAAATCACTGAATAGGAAGGGAACCAATCGCACTGCCCAAGCCACTGAGCATACAGCAAAGCCCTGACCTTACTTGGCAGATGTCCTGGCATCAAGAAGCGAGAGGAAAGCAACTACATTGGCATGCTCTGTGGCTAACCACCGCGATATCGTAACAACTGCACCACACGTGTTCAGCCTGCTGTCAGAGTCTCCTCCCATCCAGTATCTTCCTGGGACCCGGACCATCGTCAAGACAAGCAGAGCCTAGAACAACAATTTTCTCCTGACTGAAGCACGTTCTTTCAACACGGGGTTGTACATATCTGACATTGCGGACAAATCCACACGCCGCCGTGACCTTGGGCCAACTCCAGCCATTACCCGAACCCAAAAAGTGCCGAAGAACGAGATACATCCAAAACCCGGGGGCCGACAATCTACTCGTCTGCGGATTTTACCTGTTTTTTGTCGACTGTCTTGGCCTTTGCTGACAGCGAGTGCAGCAGATTGAGAGAAACCGGGCTCTGTGCACACATTTTGCCTAAACCTACGGTGGCTGGACGGAGTTGCGCGATGTCTTTCCTCGAGACCCCTGCTCAAGCTCAATCTATCTCAGCCCGGATTTCTCAAAGAGCCGTGTATCCAGGACTGGAAGTCACCAGCCGGGGAATTCCCCAATCGTCTTGACCCGTGGAGCTTTTGGCACACGCTCCAACCGTACTAACTGTGGCCCGGCAGCGCTACACCACGATCACTTACAAGTCAAAGTAGTAAGTCCGGATCTTTGCTTCCTACAGATGAGAAATCTTCCTTGTCGATGTTCGTAGCACAATGAATACGTATTATGTGTTGGGGAATCGGGGCTAGTTTGCTCTCCCAGCGGTATGATATCTCTGTCAGCCAGGAGCAAGGAATCCATGACCAGACGTCTTGCTCGTTGACTCGGTCATGACGCAAAACAATTCACCTAAATGTCTGATATGTACTAGTACATCGAGTGGGTAGAGGGGTGTGTTCCTCCCTAGTTGGGTTGAACATCTCGCCTCCAGTCACCAGCCAGGATGGTCAACGCCGACATACATGCACTCACATTCGTCCGTCCACCGGGTCTCACCTACATGATTGTACAGAAAGTCTTGAGTGACCCACGAGCCCGCGCGGGAGTAAATGAAGTCCCCCTAATGTAAGCACCCTGGCTGATGCAGCAGCGAGCTTTGCCAGCCAAGTGACAGGGCATGAGAGTTCTCGACACCCACGGCTGCTTGGCTGGAACTCACCATGTCACCGAGACTCCCAAGGAAGGCCTACTGCCAACAGACGTAGATCCAATACCCCTCTTTCTCTATCCTATTGTGACTTGATGCTATGTATTCATTCGTATTGCATTCTAAAATCGCAAGCTTAGGAAAGGATCGTGTTGTTCTGAAGTGCATTCGCTCCTCATCAAGGGTATCGACGCCCATATGGAACTCGAGCTTCTTCACATCGGAGCAGTGTCAACCATTCACCGCTTCCCGTGAAGTGGTATGCTGGCATACCAAGGATTGTGTCCCAAATACCTCATATCCCTGCCCGGACGGCAGGCTGGACGGCTGACCACCTCAGCGGTGCTTTACTGACTGCCGAGTCTGCCTGCTTATTATTTCATATACAGACCGTTGATAGATGCAGATGGCTGGCATATGCACGACGCATGCTCTACGCGACCCGCCTACAACTTTGGAGCATGGCGAGGTTGGAGGGGGATCTCTTTGATCCGCGAGCACCGACGCCGGCAACGTATCAGCCGGGCCTGCCTGACACCGCTCGTGTTTAGACTTCTTTAAGTTCAAGAGGAGGAGAAGGAGGAGGAGGAATCTATCCACTACTGCGTGCAGGTGGAGGAGGGTTGGGACCGAAATGCCGACCAGCCTGCCGCTGGCAAGGTCAAACAAGTTCTCCCCGCCCAGAGCCCAGCCCAAGCCAGGGGTCGCGGGCGTTGGTCCGGAGGAGGGCAGAGCTTGCGAAGACCGGCCCAACAAACTTCGCTCCTACATCTAACAACAGGATAGGGGAAAGGGGGGAGTGGGAATCCCCCCCAAGGCAGACCGTAGAGTCAACTTGTATTTCGGGGACTCGCCAACATCATGGCCGACGAGCCAACAGATAATGCCAGATATTGACTTGTTAACCTCGCCCATATTGACATATTTTCGTGGTGATGACATGTTTCATATCATGTTAATCAAGCGATATTGTCTGGGCACGGTGATTAATACATGTCTCGCAAGATTGAGTTGTATGGATAAACGAGTTGAAACCCGCCGTGTTGGGGACTCGCTGGACTCGCTGTTGAAGGAGGAAAAACCAGGAAGGACTGGGAACTACTAGTCAAGATAAAAGTAAAGAAGAAAGAACCTGTCCTAATCATTCTCTGGTCTTCTAGTCTCTTTTTCTATTGTAGTTGATGATGACCTGGACCGCAAAGTGGCTGCCTCATGGTGCCGTTGTGACTGGCGATGCCTTCGCAAAATAGCCCTTTTTGGCTCTCTCTCGCGTCCATGAGAGCCCGCGGGGGGCTGTCCCCCTCCGTTGTCGTCTAGCCGTGCTCTACCAAGAGAAAAAGCAAGTCCCTCTCCAAATAACAGTCTGACATCCGTCACGCAGGCCCTTCAGATCTCCCTTACGGTCTCGACGGCTGACCCCGTCTATTGACGCCCATCCTCTGCATCTCGATCGCGACGCCCTCGGCCCTCGCGTCCCGCCCAGCAGCGCTGGCCCTCCTCCTCGTTGTCGTGCCCGAACCCCCGGATGCGCCAGGCGGTGACGAAAGCATGTTCCTGTTCTCGCCCAGCTCCGCCAACTCCTCCTCGCTGCGCCTCCCGCTGCCCTCCACCCGTTCTCCTCCTCCGAGCGCCATCTCGCTCGCCGACGCCGTCGTCTCGCCGCTCCTGAACAGACCTCCTCCGCGCGGCCCACTACGGTCAGACTTGCCGTCGCTGCCGTCGTTCTCGCCGCCGGACCCTCCCACGCCCTCGTCGGCGTCGAGCACGCCGCCGCCGCCAAACGCACCGCCCACGCTCTCCATGGTAAACGGGCTCGCCGTCGGCGCGTCGAGCAGCGCCAGCTCGCGGGCGCCGAACCAGCGGGGCAGCAGCACGGCGCGCACGGGGATGAGCGCGAGGATGAAGACGGGGAACCCGACGGCGGCGACGGTCTGCGTGATGGCAAAGGTGGCGCCGAAGGCGACGAGCTCGACGGCGACAAAGGCCCAGAGGGCGCCGCGGCGGGGCAGGCGGCGCAGCGGGTGCGAGGCCGGGGTCAGGGGCGCGTCGCGGGCGAGGAAGAGCAGCTTGGCCGTGATGCCGTTGGCCTCGAGGGCCTGGACGCCCATGACGAAGAAGAGGCCCGCCAGGACGCCCTGGGGTATGAGGTGCAGGACGTGCAGGAGGGGCCCCGTCATGGTGCCGAGGGTCAGGAGGCCCTGGGCGAGGTTGGAGACGCGCTGCTCGACGACGTGGGTGGCCTTGGGCCGGAAGTGGCCCTTGTTCTCGCCGCCTTCGTCCTCGTCCTGGACCATGCGCGTCACGCAGAGCGACTCGGTGTGGAAGGGCGCTTGGGGGATGAGGCCGTTGGGGAAGGGGAGGCCGAGGATGCCGCCGACGCCCGTGGTGAGGCCCAGGAGGAAGAGATCCCAGTGGAAGCCGGCTGGCTTCTTGAGGGGAAACTCGGTGCCCTGGGCGATGAGGGATGAGACTGTCGGCTGGGGTCAGTGATGATCGGACGGAGCATGCAATAAGGGAAAGCACTCACCATTGTGATCGAAGTAGAAGAGAATGGTAAGTAGGATCGCGAAAGGGATGGCCAGAAAGACATCGCCAACTCCGATGTTCCAAAAGTCGACAAGCCAGCCGCGGTCCACGGTCGGAAAGAAGGCCTTGGAAGTCGGCAGCACCTCCAGCTGCACGTTCTTCATCCGTCCAATGTGGACGAAGCCGGTGAAGAAAATGAGTGTCAGGGGAGTACCGTAGTCTTTGAGGAAGACTCGGATGGGGTGTTTGAAGAGGCTACTGCTGCCAAGCTCACCGCAGACATACGCCACCATGAAGACCATGATGGCAATGAAGATGGAGAGATAGAACGGCTCCTCAGAGCCGAGGCGCTCGAGCACCTGGATTCCCTTCTGGAGATAGATGAAGGCGACGTAGAAGCCAAAGATGTCGCATGGGAACCGGGTGACATATCGCAGCCAGTTACAAGAGTTGGTAACGGCCAGGATCCAGTGGAAGACAAGCGACCAAAGACCGATCCAACACATGAATGCAAGATAGTTGACGCCTGTCGGTTGCATAATGTCGTAGACGGTGCTAGTAACAAGTGTTATCAGCATACGCACCCGTATCCTGTGCTGTGCTAAGGGATGCACATACTAGTTAAAGACAGTGATGGGTCCCGTCACGCCCACGATGACCAGAGGTTGACAGGCGAAGAAGGCAAAGACGACGGCGCCGAGGACGGAGGATAGTAGCACCTCATTCACGCCGTAATTTTCGTGCGTCTTGGTGAACATATCAAGCGAGAATGCCAGGGCTGGGAGGATGCTGTGCCAGTGTCAGTCAGACTGTCTCTATGCTGGCTGACATGGGGTTGGTCTCACTTTGCAAAATACATGTAGATAGTCGCCGGTACGACTCGGTAGTCCCATGCATCTGTCCAATCGCTCCAGTAGTAAGGAGTTCTCCGACGGAGATCGTTAATCATGCCGCGAAAGAATCGGATCTTCCACCAACTCGCCGACTGGGCCCGCTGTGAGGAACCCCCTGCCAGGCGGTCTCGGAGGCTGCCGGCCTCATTGCGAAGGGAGGCAGACCAGCTTCTGAAGTTGAGCCCGGAGCCTCGTTCGGGCCCGGTTCTGTGGCCGCCATGAGCTCCGGGCAGAGAAAGGCTCTCTCCGGCCGACGAGGCTGTGGGGCCGGTCATGATACGGTCTGGGGTAAAACGTGGATGATGAGAGGGGCCGAGTTTGGGTCTGGAAGAGCCTCGCGGGGTTTTGACTCGGACGCAAGGCGAGATTAGAGGTTTGAGGATGCGTGTGAGAAACGCAGCATGTTCTCGATGTTGTCAACGAGATCAATTGGCACGGATGGCCGTTCTGTCGAGCGTGATGAAAACGTTGAGAGGAGAAGAGACTGAACAGAGATACTGACGCAGTGGCGGGCGCCGTTGACTACCTGCAAAAAGGATAGCGCCACTTGCCTCCCGCACCGCGCCAGTTGAGGGCGTCATTTTGCCAAACGGGCCACGGCTTTGACGTAAGCCTGGGTCGAAGGACCACTTTTCTCTATGTTCATCGAGAGCGGTTTGCACAATTCTAGGCATGGAGTATGTGAGGAAGTGGAGAAACTGACTTTGGTGGATCCACAAAGGTCAGAGAGGTTTTTGGCCCTTGCACTTTCGGGCGTGATACCAGCCCAATCCGGCTTCAATCCGTCGCCGCAGTCGGGGCGAGCCCGGAGCCCGTCACTGCAGATGCATGCATAACCGCAGGTTCTATGGCGATCGCAGGGAGATACCCGACAAAGCACCCTTCATGCTTGATGGGTGCATCCTGTTTCGAAAGAGGCTCTATGCTGAGTTGGGCATTTCATGGGAAGAACCGGGTGTTTATTGTCTCCTTCTAGGGGTCAAGTTCAAATCCAAAACGCCGTTCACATGGCGGTCCCGATGGACGCCATCTATCTTCAGTTTTCTTGTCCATGGAATAGATCAACCCTACCAGCACCAGGGTGCAGCCAGCTAGGTATATATCACTCTAGTAGTCATAGAAGCCCTTGCCGCTCTTCTTGCCCAGCCAGCCAGCGTCCACCATCTTCTGCAGCAGGACACTGGGTCTGTACTTGGAGTCACCCGTCTCCGTGTGCAGCACTTTCATGATAGCCAGACACGTGTCAAGACCGATAAAGTCGGCCAGCTGCAGAGGGCCCATGGGGACGTTGGTGCCGTTCTTCATGATGGCATCGATCGAGTCCCTGTCGCCCACGTTGGTCTCGAGGCAGATGATGGCCTCGTTGATGTAGGGCATCAGGATGCGGTTGGCCAGGAAACCAGGCGAGTCGGCAGAGACGGAGGTGATCTTGCCCATGGCCTTGCAGAAGGCGACGGCAGTCTCGAGGGTCTCGGCGCTGGTCTGGAGGCCGCTGATGATCTCGACGCCCTTCTGCACCGGCACGGGGTTCATAAAGTGCGTGGAGACGACGCGCGAGCTGGCCTGGGTGTCCGTGGGGTCCTTGGTCGTCGAGGCAGCTATCCGCGTGATGGAGATGGACGACGTGTTGGTCGCCAGGATGGCGTGCTTGGGGCAGATCTGGGCGAGCTTGCTAAACAGCTCAAACTTCAGGTCGGGGATCTCGGGGACGGCCTCAATGACAAAGTCAACGTTTGACAAGTCGTCCAACGAAGTAGTAGGGGTGAGGAGAGACCGGGCTTTGTCGGCCTGCTCCTGAGTGATGCGGGACTTGGATACATCCTTGGCCAGCAGTTTCTCTGTTTCTCCAAGTTAGAGCATGTCTCCCTGATCCTGATCCAGGCAATCTTGCGCCACCTACCTGCAAAAGCGACCCCCTTGTCCAAAGACTTTTGGAAAGTGTCGACCAGAGTCACCGGGACCTGCGCCTTCTGCGCTGCTACGAGAGCAATACCGAGACCCTATTGTAGTTGCTGCTGTAAGCAATAGAAACACACGGCTTTCACATGCGAAGGCGCATCAGTGCTACTCACCATCTGCCCCGCGCCGATGACACCCAGGCGCTTGACCTGGGCAGCATTGTGTGCTGGAGAGGTGCTAAAACACCTCAATTGGGCTGGGAGCCGTACGGCCTGTCGTGATGCCATGAATGCTGCCATGTTGGTTGTGCGGATGAGGGAAGAAAGATGGAGGGATGAAGACGGGAGCTGTGTATCACAAGTTGATGAGACAGTTGCTGGTAAGCCGAACGGCTAACCTCGGCGTTTTGACGGTTTAACGAGCTTAACTCTCCGCAATCACTATCGATTGGGGTAGATACCGAGGCGTGTACAACCTGTGGAGGCCCACCTTTAGGTACTTAGGTACCCTACAGACTAGGTACAGTGAGCGCCGTGTTAGTGGGTCTGGGTTGCTAAATTGAAGTACACGCGCTACCACAGGCCGCTAACGCGTCCCGACGCGTCTCTCAACTATGGATGTGCTCGCTTCCACTTACTGGTGCCACTATGCGCATGTCAACATCGTCAAAAACTTTGCGACTGTAAGGCGACTTCAAACCACCTCAATCGGCTTCTAGAGGACGTGTTGCTACCCGTCCGTCGCTCACGATGGAGCTGAACGACGTTGCCAACGACACTGTCCATCCCGAAGTTCGGGCTCACATCAACAGCTTGGTGTCTGCTGTACGTTGCTCGATCCTCCCGACAGCCCTCATTGTTCTCTATGGGCGATCGCACATGCTAACATTCTCCACCTGCTACAGCTCGGCGGCAACAGTGCAGACGACGATGGACAGTACAAGCTGGGAGACGACGCCCTGGAAGTCCTGCGTGACATAAAGAAATGGATCCGATTCTACGACGAGAAGACCAACCGTATGGATGTTGCCCGGTGTCTAGCGGAAGCCAACCTCATCGGCGGCGATCTGCTTCAGATCATCGCGCTCTGGCCCGAGAATGCTACCGAAAACAGGCTCAAGGCGAGGCTGGCCTTGGCCTGCTACGAGATTATGGCTCCCCTGACCTGGCCCATCGAGAAAGACCCGGAGAAGATGACTATCAACCACCACAGACACCTACCGGTTCTCCAGCTCGCGCAGCTGGGCTACAAACGAGACATCATCAACTATGACGGGGCGCAGATCTTGCACACCGCCGTCCGGGTCGCTCTACCGTCCATGGCCATGCCGATCGGCGACCGGAGTGCGAGAGACCAGGGCATCATCCGCCTCGTGCTGTTCTTTCTCAGGAACATGGCGATGGTCGCGCCACCCCCCGGAGTCAAGTACGACGGCGACGAGTCCCAGATATCGCGCTCCGCCACGATAGATGCCTTCTCTTACCAAGACATCCTCCTGACGCTGTTGACCATCGCATCCAACATGGGCGACGACTTCCGGTCCGAGGATGTAATCGTCATGGAGATCATCTTCCATCTCGTCAAGCGAGTCGAGGTCGACAAAATGTTTCTCAACGAGCAACAACTCAACAAAGCGAAGGCACACGAGCTGACCGCGGTCATGAATAAGGAAGCCGCCATGCTTCGGGCCTATAATCGCAAGGCGCCGACCCGACACAATCGATTCGGTACCATGGTCTGGGTGAAGAGAGATGACGGCAAGATGAAGTCGCTGTCTGGGCAAGACGCGCTTGCTGACGCTGCCTCTCGCGAATTGAAAATGGATAACTCCAAAACCTTCCGACCGCCGCGCAGGGCCAGGAGGGACGATATGGAGCCCAAGGACCTGGGCCCGCCAGTCTCTCTGAACCCGAGAGCGAACGACCAACTTCGTGGGTTCGTCGAAGAGTTCCTCGACTCTGGCTTCAACCCGCTCTTCCAGCAGGTGCGCAAGTCTCTCGACCGGGAAGCACCACACGTGCTCCACTACCACAGAGCACAGTTCTTCTACCTCGTAGCATGGTTCTTGGAGGCGGAGCGAGCTCGGAGGAAGAGCAAGAAGGGCTCAAACCCTTCCAAGCAGGACGATGTTAATAGCTTCAACCTTGTTGCAGGTGTCCTCAACCAAGAGATGTTTATCAGCTTGAACCGAGCCATTGACCGGTCTTACAACGAGAAGGACTGGCAGGAGCTGACAACGGTCATGCGCTGCTTTACCCAGATTCTCCTGACCGTGCAAGAGATGTCGGAATCGAGCAACGAAGACGACCAGGACATTGCCGAGAATATTCTCAACCGACTGTTCTACGAGGAGTCGACGCATGATGCTGTGGCCAACATTGTGAGGACATACAAAGACCAGGGGTTTGAGTATCTCGACGCGTGCACCGAGCTCACCCACACATATCTCCGCATCCTCGAGGCCTACTCTAAACAGAATGCCGACCTCCAGGTCCGTACGAGGCGGCGAACACGGAAGAAGAAGAAGGCTGCCAAGGCCGCCGCCGGCGAGAAAGAGGAAGGCGACCAAGAGGATGCAGACGATGACTCTGCCAATGACGAGGCAGACGCACAGCGCACAACGAGCGAGCGCAAATTCGATTTCAAGCGGTTTGCCAACCGCTTCGTACCGCAGGGCGTGGTAGACACCTTTGTTAAGTTCACTAGGTTCTACAAGGACCTCAACGACTCGCAGCTGAAGAGAGCACACCGGTATTTCTACCGGGTAGCCTTCAAGCAAGACATGAGCGTCATGCTCTTCAGGGTAGACATCATCCACCTCCTATACAACATGATCAAGGGGCCGGAGCCTCTTGACAAAAGCTCTGGTGTGTACAAGGACTGGGAGGAGTTGGTGAAGCAGATCATCAGGAAGTGCGTGCGAAAGATCGAGGAGCGGCCGGCCCTGATTATCGAGCTGCTCTTCTCCAAGATCAACAGCACTGCCCATTATCTGGAATATGGCTTCGAGAAGCAGACCATCAAAACCAACCCAAAGCCCGGAGCGGAGCTCGTATTTCGGCATATCCTGGAGAGAGATCGACAGATTGCGGTGGCTGTTGGTGTGTTGCTTGACAAGGGCCAGAATGATCACATAGACTGGGTCAAGGAGCAGCTCGCTGCAGCCGAGAGTGAACGGCGCGGATTTGAGGAGCGCGAGAAGGAGCGCGAGAATGCATTGCCCTCGGTGGAGGGAAGCGAGGCGCCGGCAGAGGGAGACGTATCGGCCCCCCCACAGGTCAAGGAGGTGCCCGTAATAAGTAAGTCGATGGTTCTTGCCCTGCCCCTGCCCCGTCAACTTTTTGCTAACCATTCTCAGCTATTCGTTCCGGCGAAACCGCTGACGACGCTCGCCGTACTGCGATCTTCAAGAACTCGCATCTGCGTCTGCTCATGAAGCTCGTAGGCTTTGAGCGGTTCTCCACTGTCGTGGACGAGGACCCCTATGACCTCTGGTGTGTCCCCGGCAGTGTCACCGCCGACGAACTCAAGGAGTCCCTCGATCTCATCAACAAGGCCGAGTTCGACCCCCCGACCTTTGACAACGACGAGTCGGCCGAGGATCAGCTGCGCCGCAAGTCCGCCGTCCGCAAGAAGGCCGCCTTTGACGACGACAACGACGGCGAGGAACTCGATGACGACGACGACCTGCACTTCCCCGTCGGGCCGGCCATGAGCAAGGTCGCCGACGGCTTCATCGACGACGGCGGCAAGCCCGCCAAGAAGCGCAGGCGCAGGAGGAAGGGCAGCGAGGACGGCGCGGAGGAGGAGCTGACGGAGGAGCAGCTCGACGAGCGGGCGCGCCGGCGCCGGGACAAGGAGCGCGAGAAGGCGCTCAAGATCAAGAGCCAGGTCTACGTCAACCCGAGCGACGACGAGACGGACGACGAGCGCGACCGCGAGTTCTTCCGGCGCGAGGAGGCCCTGCGGCGCAAGAACGTCAAGACGATCCTGGGCGAGCTCGACGACGCGGAGCTCAACTCGCAGCCGTCGCTGTTGCTGTCGCAGCAGCAGCAGCCGAAGAAGAAGAGGAAGTCTACCGTGCTTCTGGACGATAGCGATGACGAAGAAGAAGACGTGGAGAATGCCTCGGATGGCGCCGGTAGCGACTCTTCCCGGGCGAGGAGGAAGAAGCGCAAGTCGAGAGCTGCTGCTGCTGCGTCTGCCGCCGACAGCAGTGACGAAGAAGGGGGCGCGGATGCCCTGTCCAGTTCTGCCAGGCCGGCGGCAAGGAGACTGCAGCAGAAGCAGCGGGGTCCCTTTGTTGACAGCAGCGATGAAGGAGACGAGGACGACGACGACGTGGCTGCTGTCTCGAGCCAGCTCAGTGCCGCGAAGCGTCGGACCGGTGGTGGTGGTGCTTCGGACGATGGCGGGGATGCCGAGGACACGCCCATGTCGTCGAGCCCGCATGATGATAGCAGAGGCGCCCCCAGCAAGACCGCCGATACCTCCTCCCTTTCAAAGGGCGCTGGGGCTGCCGCCGACGTCGACGTTGACATGGATGACGATGAGGACGATGTGATTGCCACGGCGCCCGCGAGGAGACGGGTGAAGAGCGGTTTTGTGCTTGACAGCAGCGACGAAGAGTAGCTCTAGGTTGGGATAAAAGGTACCTCAGTTGTGCAAAGCATGGCCCGGCGTTTTGGTTTTTGTAGTAAGGATTCCGTGGCACATAGTCTTTGGGCGACACACAACAGGATGGGAAATGATAATGAATGTACAGACATAGTATAAAAAGGCCCGAACGAGGCGGCAGAGATACGAGACCCAATGTGCTAGGTTTTCCTCTCGCAAATGTCTGATTTCGTGTTTCACGGTAGCTTTGAGCCGTGGACAGTTGTGGTATCAAGCAGAAACACCCTTTAACGCCGTCTATATGTATACCCATCTTTTTGAATGCCTTGCAACGTCGTGAAAAATCCCAGTCGAAGCTCGTCTCACAGATCATCACCGTCGTCCGCATCGGGCCCGACAACGGTCCCATTCCTGACACCCTCGGCGGCCTTGCCATCCTCCTCCGCGACCTCATCCATCTCCTCGTCCGTGTCGGCATAGAACCGGTCCACGGCCTCCTGCTCCGCGTCCCTCGCCCTCTGCACCCTCTGCGCGCCGGCGTCCCGCCGCTTAGCCCTGCTCGCCGACTCGACCGCCTCGGCCGCCGCGGCCGCGGCGTCGACCTCCCCGTTGATCTCGTCCCACCCCCGGGAGCGGCTCTGTATCGCGCGGCTGGCGGCCTTGCTGCGCTGCACCTTCGCCTGCGTGCGGTCCATGATCTGCTCCGCGCGGTCGGCGCCCCTGTCGGCGCGCCGGCGGGCGCGGGCCGAGGGCGCGGCCTTGCGCCCTTGCTTGCGCGTCTTCTTGGTCACGCCCGCGGCCTGGTGGAGGCCCAGGATGGAGGGGCGGTGGTCGGTCGAGGGGGCCGGCGCCTGCACGTTCTTGAGGGACTTGTCCGTGTTGATGGAGGGGGAGGTGGCGCGGCGGGCGGCGCGGGAGTGCTTGGAGGGCGCTGTGTGTGCGGTCAGTCTCTCGCGTGAACATTGCTGTGGCATTACATGTGCCTGCAGTATTGTATACTGCTTGAGAGACTTACGTTTCTTGGCCATTTTCGTAAAATACCCTTCTTGTGTATGTTATTGAGGCTTGGTTTTTCTAAAGATAGGTATAGGTAGTTCCTGACCGCATATTTCTATAGTTTCTATGGCGGGGAGATTGATTCTGCCAGATTTCACCGCTAAAATTTTCCATTATCGATAGCGGCCGCCAAGCAAGCAGGTGCGGTGAGCCCTGTTGTTGATGATGACAAAACGTTTGCAGAATATGGGTGCTTCGATTGAGAGAACTAGAGGTGAAAGGAACTTTTGAAATATTCCATGCAGAGGGAAATGAATCGATTATCATTGATCTGATAGATCTGATGATGTCAACACTCCGGCTCGCTCCCGTATTTTCGGCGCCGTTGCGGCCCCACATCGGCCGTTCCTTCCGTATCAAGTCTCCAGGCCATTTTTCACAAGGACTGGTGAATTTCTTTTTATCGAGATTTTATGATCGAGTTTGTTAGACATCTGACTATGTACTTTTGCATATATCGTAACACGTAATTCGTGGCCCCTTCGTGGTGCCGACACCTTGCCGAGGTACCGTCAAGCGACACTCAGGGACACTGGCAGACCCTGTCTAAGACATTAGACCTTCGCAAAGAAGGTTTTCCGTTTATTTAATAGCTCCTTCTCCTCTATCCTCTTGATTGCATTCATCTCCTCTCAGCACACCTGTGAGTTGTAATTCTTGTCATAGGCAATCAGGACTCCAGTGAGATGAACGGCCATGGCAAAAACAACCAGTATGTGAAATAGCTGGTGTGAAGAGCCGTAAATGTCAAACATCCCGGGCTTGATGCACTCAGGGAACCTCGTCTGGGCCCGGGCATTAGCACGTATGCAACTACGGCAAAAGCTTCGGTACCGGATACTTACCGAGTATATGATGACGCCAAGCAGAAACAGACCACCCTCTCCAAAGTAGTAGGGCAAGCCGGACATCTGGATCATCCTGTTGATCCCATATGCTTTGATGCCATGGATGATTGGGACCAAGCCAGAGAAGCCGGTACCAACAAAACAGCAGAGCCGGAACGTGCGCCACTCCAGACCCTGAAACTTGGGCAAGACCAGAACTATAATGGATAGCGCGCCTAATGCAGCTATCTGTTCGGGTCACAACAGTCAGGCATGCATTTAACTGTCATTCGGAGGCTGCAGGGACTTACCATGCCCCAGTAGGCTGCACGCAGGGTCATATCACACCAAAATACAACGTAGATGCCCGAAAAGAAGTGGCCGAGGATGAGCACGATGATGCCAACAAAGTCAAGGCGCAGCCACAGCTCCGAGACATGTTGCGAGTGGTTCATGAGGGTGTGATAGCTCGTGGACAAGCCCAGGCATATGGCTGCGGTGAGGAGGAAGCACGCAAGAACCAAGTAGTCCCCGACAGAGGCTTGCGGGTATTTCAGACGGAGGTATGCGCAGATGTAGAACTCGCCCAAGAGAAAGATGATGGCGGGGATGCCGTGGCTGTAGATGTTGATGGTCTCGTTGTGCATGTAGAACCAGCTGGCGAAGCAGCTCTTGGTCGAGTCCGATACCGACCGATAGCCGTGCCGGAGGAACTTGTTATCCTGGTACCAGGCTGGGAGATCCTCGTACGAGATGAGCCGAAGCCTGAGCTTCTCTAGGCTCCCGGTCCTGGTCCGCGACGGCTCCGAAGGCTCAAACCCGGAGTCGATTCGCGGGCACAACCCCGGCACAACAGCCATTTTGGAGGAGAAATGAAGAGAAAGGAAGACATTGCGCTACGAACTGGCAGCGAGAGAGAAAGGCTCCCAAACTGCGCAATTTAAACTGAACAACTCAAAGAACGGAGGTGGGACGGCCCCATCTTTCTTAGCCGAAGGTGGGAAGAAAGTGTCAACCGGTTAGGCACGCGAGCCAGCCGCCGAGCGGCAGCGAAAAATTGGGGGGGAGCCGATAGAAAACTGGGACACCTGCATGAGGGCATTCCCAGCCAGGCGGGGGATCGCACCAGTCAACGTGAAGGGCGATGGTGGGTAATGGTAGGTCTGCGGGCAAGTATCCCAACATTTAGAACGAGAACGATCGATTGAACAGGAATAGAAAGGTTTGTGGCTTCGGAGGGGCGACTCCCCCCGTGTCGCATTCACATGTTGTGAAGGTGGTCTGCATCGAGCCGTGTATCCGATGCTCCACAGCCAGCGAGAGGACGGCAAGAAGGCCAGCAGCATCTCTGAATTAACTCTTTGACGTACGTCCTGTATGCATGCCATGACGGGCATCGCCCAGCGACGCCCAGCAAGTGTGGAGAGCCAGAGCAAGAGAGCATGTGGAGAAAAGACGCAGGATGAGGGGTTGTGTGGGAACGATGGGATGCTTCAGTCAATGATGTGCGTCTAGCAAGGGCTTCCCCAACCAAGATCTTCGATCAAGTTGGAAAAGAGTTGCAAGTCCTGGGTCCGTCCTCTGGATGGCTAGATCAGGCCCTGGCTCAGGGCTCGGCAATTGACAAATCGCTGGGAGGCTTGTGTCTAAGTAAGTGAAAGCTGCACCCAAGCAAACGGCATGCATAACGAGGAGCCTGCCAAGTGATAAAAGACAAGGAAGGCACTTTCAAGGCCTGTAAAGACAAGCTGTCTTTTGGTAGCAAAAGTAAAGAGGAAGGTCTGCAGACTGTTCATATGCTGAGCTTGATGGCCGCGAGCAGATGAGTAGAGGCAACAACCTAAAGTACGGAGTAAGGACGGAGTAGGTACCTTGCATTACCTACTTGTATGTACTCCGTAAGTGCACGAGGATGAACACAACCTGGTGATTGATAATAATAAGCCATTTGGAAGGAAGGGCAGCCCGCGCATGGGAGAGCCCCGCCCATCTTCCCTGCCTACGGAGTACAATACAAGTACTGTAATTTACACGCCATCTACCGTACAGAGACTGGCAGTGACAGGTGGTCTGGGCACAGCCTCCACTACAACTACAAGACGGACAGAACAAAACAGACCAACGACGATGGATGCTTGTTTGCGCTTAGCAACCAGACCCGTTCTTCACATGCACCAAAACATTCCAGCAATCCTCGACGCCGAACTCCACTGTCCCATCTCTCGAGTCGCTCTGCAACGCAAGGAAAACAATTGAGCGCTGTCTCTGCCATAAAGGCCAACGCTGGATATGGCTCGCATGTTCAAGGTGGCCTTTGTGAGATCGATCCCGTCCTAGTATCGCCAGTCTCTTCGCCTTGCTTCTGCGATCTTGACCTTGCGCACACGGCGCTACGAATCGTCATCCATGATGAACGCTCCCGAGTCGAGATACCCAGCTTACTACAACCCCAACATCTACCAGCATCCTACCTATCTTGGCAGCCTTCCCGACAGACTGCGCGAGCCCAGCATAGCCGTCCCCGTCATCCTCCTCCTTCTTAGCATCGTCTATAGCTCCTCCTGGGGTCGCGCACCAGAGTCCACGCCCATCCGACAGCGCCTCTGGGACACCACCGTTTCTGTGCTTCCGGCGAAGCTGCTATATGTGGTCGACGACTGGATGAATCCCTTTCCTCGCTCCATGCTGGTCCCGCGGCTCTCTAGCCATCAAGCCAAAAGCGAGGCTCTAGCAAGGATACTGGGAAGGGACAGGCATGGCGGCATTGTCGCATCGGTGTCGCACGCCGGCAAGACGGGCCTCTCCAAGCTCATGACCAAGGGGAGACCGGATGCGCCTGCCGGCCTGGGCAATAGCAGCAACTCCTGTTACCAGAACAGCATTCTACAAGGGCTGACGGCACTCAAGCCCGTCCGAGAGTATCTCGCCAGGATCGCCTCTGACGAGGAAGGGACGCTCCCGAGAATCTACGTCACCAGAGCTCTCGGCATCTTGATACAAGACTTGTACAGCCCATCAAAGAATGGACAGACACTCTGGGCACCGCCGATGCTGAAGAATATGAGCACGTTCCAACAGCAGGATGCTCAGGAGTACTTCTCGAAGCTGCTCAACGAAATGCAAGAAGAAATCGAGAAAGACTTGAAAGCAAACCGCAAGAAGCCTGGGTACGGCTTGGAATCCAGCAATGATGGAACGAGTGGTAGTCAACACAGCGACGACAGTGGCTACCAAACAAGCTCGGCCATCTCAAAGGCAGTTTCCGAACTCAATGATTACAGGTTTCCTCTAGAGGGTTTGACGGCCCAGCGTGTCGCCTGCTTGACCTGCGGTTACTCATCTGGACTGTCGATGAGCCAGTTTCAGTGTGTCACGCTCGGCCTCGAGAGAAATCGCCAAGAATATACCCTCGAGAACATGTTGGACGACTTCACGGAGATCGAGGCGATCGAGGGTGTGCAGTGCGCAAATTGTACGCTGCTCAAATTCCGCGATCGCATCCGGATTCTTCTGGACAGGCTTCGAGAGAGCTCAGGCAAGAACGATGAAGACCTCAGGGCGCAGCATCCCCAGCCCTTTGAACGGTTGGAGACCATCGAGACGGCGCTTGAGGAGGACGACTTTGAAGAAAAGACCATGGTGGACAAGTGCAAAATTCCCAAGGATCAGCGGATAGAATCGACAAAGTCGAAACAGATGGCCATAGCTCGAGCGCCGCCGAGCATCGCCTTCTACATTAACCGCTCCAAGTTCGACGAGTATAGCGGACACTTCTACAAGAACCCAGCTGCTGTCCGTTTTCCCAAGCTGCTAGATCTTGGGCCTTGGTGTTTGGGTAGTGCCCAGTCCATGCTAGCTACTGGAGTCTCCGAGAAGGAGAAGAACGATGCGAGCGCGAGCAAAGAGCAATGGCAACTACCGCCTAGCCTGTCAATTGTTGCAGGCTCCATGAGGAGAACTCACATCACCGGACCTTTCTACGAGCTGCGAGCCGTGTTAACTCACTATGGCCGCCATGAGAACGGACATTACATATGCTACCGCAAGCATCCGGTCAATATACCAGATGTCGACCATACTCTGAACGAAAAGCACAAAGATGAGCCAGCAAATCTAGCTTCAGAGGCTTCCGGTGATGATGTGGAAGATACTCCAATCGCGGACGAGGACGCAAAAGAGTCTGATGACACCCTCATTGGCGAGACGCAATCCCATTGGTGGCGCATCAGCGATCAGGACGTCACCAAGGTGGAGGAAGCGACAGTCATGGCTCAAGGAGGCGTTTTCATGCTCTTCTACGATCGCATCGACCCGAACTCGGTGCTTGTTGCAGACGAGGAGTCTCGTGTAGATGACAAGACTGATGATGACGAGACACTTGTGGGCGTTGAGGAGGTGTCGGGGGTCATGACGCCAACGGATGACGGGCCTTTGATCAAGGACGAGATTGTGGTTGGTAACGGCGGGCTCAAGGCTGCGGTTAGGAGCGTGATCCAGCCCGGGGTAACAACAATCGAGGTCGCGCCGAGCGAGATCAGAGCGGCATCGAGGAAGGGGCTCGAGACGTCGATAGACGTTGCGCAAGGCGATGTCAAGGCAGCCGAGAGGGATCCACTACCTTCATCGATCCAGGTTGCATCTGGTGAGGTCAAAGCGGCATCGAGAGATCCTCTCGCATCGTCTATTGAGGTTGCATCGGCTCAGGTCAAGGCTGCTTCGCGAGAGGAACTGCCAACGTCTATTGAGGTGGCGCCAGGCGATGTCAAAGCTGCATCCAGGGCTCCGCTCTCTGCGCAACATTCCGCCTCTATCGAAGTCGCTCCAAGCGACATCAAAGCCGCTTCGCGACAGCCTCTCGACTCCTCTATTGAAGTTGCGCCGGGCGATGTCAAACCCGCCTCGAGGAGCGCCATCGCTCCACCGCATCTGCCCTCTATCGAAGTGGCATCTGGCGAGACCAAAGCTGCGGCCCGAAGCGATATAGCAGCGTTGGATTCTTCCATCTCTGTAGCATCCAGCGAGACCAAGGCGGCGGTCAGAAGTTCCCTTGAGCCGGTCAAGTCGTCTCAGGCTGAACCCACTATTCTAGAAGAGCCTGCGGAGGCTCAAGAGCGCGGTTGAATATCTTATGAGTACCCCGGCTTTGATCATCAGGCTAGGATTCTAGGGAGGTACAAAACTCTATTTGCATCAGCAAGGCGTTAAGCATGGACAGCCCTGGTATATATGGACTTTGAGGAGGGAAAGAGGCTTTGAGTTTCTGAGCCCCTGCTCTGGTGTTTCTTGGTTTCGAATTGGACATGCACAACGCACACACAATATCACAAATAGACAGGTCTGGAGAGTTTTCACAAGCAAGGATATTCCATGAGGCATAGTTGCTTCAAGAATTTGGTTCCTGGTGGTTCTCTGACTCCTTGACACAATGCAACACCCACACACATACACACATTCGTGAATCTCTCGACAACCCCCTTCTCCGCAACTCCATAGGTCCCGGCTTGAGATTCGGAGATCTCACATGTTCTTTCTCATGTCCTCCTCGCCCGCCGCAATTCTAAACGCTCCTCATCATGGTCTTTGATCTTCTGGATTTTCCCCTTTGAAACACAAACTCCTGTCAATGTGTCGATGCTGATTAAAGATTCCTCCCTCATCCCTGGTTTCAACTCAAAACGCCATGCTGACCGCCGCACATAGAAGTGCGCACAAGAAAAGGAGACCTCCCCCCCTTCAAAAGGTCCCGCGGACAGAAAACAGAAGTCTACACAAACGCGGTATGGTGATACAGAAGGGAAGTTTTTGTCGAAGAGAATTTGGGGGGGGTAGTCGTGAAACATCGACGGGCGACGCTTTGAAACAACAAAAGGAACCCTTGGTGCGCACGAAAATGGTGCAATGGGGGGAGAAAGACGTGAAAAGGGCACACCAAGGTTGGGACCGGACTCGGGACAAGTGATGTGCTCGGAAGGAAATCGACGGGGGAGCGCTTCGCTTGTACAGCCCGGGGGACTCGCTTGTGGCTCCCTTGGTTTACGCGGTCTTTGCCTCGGTGGAGTGGTCGTCCTTGGCGGGGATGACCGACTGGGTGACGGGGTCCCAGTCCTTGAAGCCGGCGTCGTCGCCGTCGCGGTTCAGCATGTAGCCATACTGTTTGGGGTTGGCCTTGAGGTAGTCCGGGACGTCAAAGTTGCGGTCGATGCGGGTGGCGTTGCTGCGGTCGAACCTATCATACACAAAGCATGGTCAGTGAAACGATTCTCCTTCTTTCTTTCTTGCCTGTTTTTTTGGTGCATGTGGTTGTTGGCCCTTTTTTTTTCCTTGGCAAATCTGTCCCCCCTATTTCCCCCCTGGTCTTTTTCCCCTTTTGTACAACTTGATCTTGCATCTCACGGGACTGCCGTACGCCGAGCCCCCCCGCATGGCATGGCGTGAGGGAGGACAAGATCGCACACAAGGGACCAACGAGAATTCAGATGGGAAAAGGAGATGTGTGTGTGTGTGTGACAAGAAAACTTACATGTCGATGCCGTGGCTCACGCGGTGCAGGATCTTGAGCGGGTCCTTGAACTGGGGCTGGTCCATCTCGGTGTGGGAGAAGCTGGTGATCTTCTTGATCATCTCGGCGAGGGAGCTGAAGCAGTAGCTGCAGTGCCAGCCGGCCTCGACAAAGATCTTGTGCTCGTTGCTGTGCTCGCGCAGGGCGTTGGGCCGGACGGTGTCGTTGAGCTGGTAGGTCGTGGCCTGCGGGTGCATCCAGGTCGAGTCGACGAGCCACTGGTACGAGTAGTAGAAGGCGCGCGAGCTGAAGGTCATCTTGCTCGGCAGGGCGCAGTTGCGCAGCACCTTGAGGGCCTCGGGCTTGAAGAGCTCGTCGACGTCGGCGACGAGCAGCACGTCGCCGACGCGCGCCTCCTCCTCGCCCGACAGGTAGGGGATGACCTGGGTGTACATGGCGTCGCGCGAGGCGCCCTCGCGGGCCCAGCTGTTGGCGAAGTCGCCCGTCGTCAGGTCCATGGTGCGGCGGATCATCTTGGCGTGGTGCTGCGCGAAGCGGCCCCAGTTCTCCTGCACGTGCAGCGGCTTGGGCTTGTCGGTGAAGGTCTTGTCCGACTCGAGGATGACAAAGTAGTCGACGGCGGGCGCCATCTGGCCCATGCGCAGCTCGAGCAGCTCGAGCTCGGTGTTGACGAGCAGCAGGTCGTAGATCTTGCGGCTCGAGGCCTCGGGGCGGGCCAGGGCGTCGAGCCGGAAGAAGGAGCAGAACTGCGCGGCGGCCCGCTCGCCCAGCACGTCCGGGTGCACGCCGGGCGCCAGCTTGGCGGCCGTGGGCTTGTCGTCCGCGGAGGAGACGGACGTGCTCGGCGTGTAGTGCGCCGGCTCGTAGTTGGCCGCCGCCGCCGCCTTGTGCCCGCCGCCCTTGACGATCTCGTCTATCCGGTCCTGGACGTCGTGGTGCAGGCCGAGGCGGTAGACGAACCAGAAGAAGACGACAAAGGTGGCCAGGGCCAGGAACTTGATGTGGTGATTTGAGGATCCCATCTTGGAGGCGGCAAACATATTATTATTTCTCTTCTGAGAGTGAGGCGAGGATGACCAGAAGAGAAGGGGCCGTGGTATTCGATATTGAGAATGGGGGAGAACACAAAAAAAAAGAAAGTTGGACCCCGGCAGGCAAATTCGTGATGATTATTACTTTTGGGATATGAATTACGGGCGAGACGATGCCGCTGAAGGAAGTACCAGGCAAAGAATGTAAGAGCGAACGGTTTTTCTTTCGAGACAGACGGGACTGTTACTCGTGAAGCTTGGGAGGGAGAGGCCCGGTTGGAATGAATGTGTGTGAATCGACCAAAAGGATGAAGAAGGCAAAACAGCCAGCAGGAGACAAGCAGAGCAGAAAGAAGAGGGCAGACCAGGTGGGCGAGCGAGTCAACGCCGAGGAGGAGGAGGAGGGCGTGAGAGTGGTATAATTAAGCGCGGACGCTCGCTCTCGTGGCGTGGGGCGCGGAGTGGCTGTGGATGCCAGTCTGCCGTGTGGGAGGAGAGTTTTTGGGGGTGTGGGAATGCCACCAGGAAGGGTAGATCGCGTTATTAGGGTGAATCAAGCATATCAGGGGAATGGCCAGGCCTTGTCACAAAGGGGTGGAGAGGGAGGATGGGAGGATGGGAGGATTGGAGAGCAGGGAAGGGGGCCGAGGGAGGTCGGCTACAACATGCAGCTTTCTACGGCGTACGGAGGAACTACCTACTAGGTAGACAGAGAGGGAGGAGGTTTGAGGCGACGATAGGGCTGTCCGCTAGTCAAGGTGGGTGAGCCTGGTCCCTTTCGCCCTCGTGGAGACGAAGGATGACGGGAGGTTGAGAGTGAGCAGCGGGCCCGGTCAGAGTGCGAGATGACAAGGGGTTGAGGCGGGAGACCCGAGCATGATCATGTCTCTCTACGGAGTACTCTATTTTTTATTTTTTTTTTGCCTCGAGGGTAATCATCTAAGTACCCATGAGCCCATCGAGACCCAGGGGTACCTATTGGGTGATGTGCAACATGCACCAGGGTCTGAGGGCTTCCACGATGGGATATCTAGACCAAATTGGTATTCCAGCCCGCCATCGTCGCCCAATAAGCACGGCATTCGTCAGCCACTCTGCACGGATAGCGCCATCTGGCATGAATATTCGTATCCAGACCGCAAACTACTGTGCTTTGGACCATCCAACCCTCGCAGCAGACAAATTTTTTCTCTTTTCCGCCTTTCCCCTAAAGGAGCCGGGCCCAGACGCTAGAGACAACCTTGGGAGAGATAAGACAGAAGCAGGCAAGGCACGAGAGCCAAGACCTGGTACCTAAGCCCAGGGATGGATGGCAGCACTCCCCCAGTCCCGGTTATTTAGGTACATTGCACTGGACTGACAGCAGAGAAGGGCTGATAGCTCTGTCTCGTTGAGGCAAGAATCCGTGTCAATCTTGGAGTTGTACCCGTCTGACGTTGCACGACCAGCCGACTGTCTTGTCTTGGGGGGTTTCGGTTGAGAATGCCTATCAATTCCAACAGACTCTTGTTTTTCTCTTCTCCCCTATATGAAAAAAAAAGGGGCTCCTCTCGTCCAGGTTTGCTCTACGGAGTGCATTTGACTATACTTAACTAGAGGCAATGCCAACCATCATCACTTTGATTGGGATTGGCTTCGAGATAGAGCTAGACGGGCATTTAATAAACATCCACAAGACTATTGCCTGCCGACCGAGATCTGGAGGCTGCACTAGACCAAGCCACAGAGACGCCAGCATTCGTGGCAATTTCGGAGGGGCTGAGAGGCCGGGAGAGAGAAGAGAGAGAAAAAAATTGAAGCATTTCGAAACAAAGTGTCCGGTGGAATTTGCGGTGATACAAAAAAGCAGGCGGGCGGATCTAGCGGGAAGTGCGATCATCATTTGCGGTCTTAGTGCTCCCAGGCTTTGCGGCTAGTGTTTCTAGTCTTGCCCCTCGTCTGCGCGGCGCGTTCTTTTAGCGTGTACAGGTCGCATTCGGCGCGTCGCCGGGAACCTTAATTCTATTCATGGGGGGCCATAAGTACGTAGGTACAAATCCGAACAATCTAACTAGCCGGGCGTGGTAGGCTAATGGGGATTACTTGTACCTACATCTACTTGTAGTTAGTTGCAGCAAGTACCTTGGGTCTCCCCGTCGCCCCCCCCATCCTATTTGGGACACCCTCTTTTTTCTCCCTTCCCTCCTTTTTTTTTTTTACAGCAGAGGAGGGAACAGGAGTGCGGTCGACAGGGTTGACAGTTGCGAACCACCGCTCACTGTCCCTTGCACTCGCCAATCTTGTCTTTCATCGGCCTTGGTGGTTGCATGCAGATGTCATACCGCTGCCAGCCAGTCTGACGGCTCAGATTAGATCGTGGATGGGCAGGCGATGAGATGAGATGAGATGGGAGATGAGACGAGCACCACAATTGGCAACGGGGGGTGGCAGAGGTTGTTGATGGAATACCTACCCAGGGTTCTCGTTCTCCCAAGAAGAGAAGAGAAGAGACGCTAGAACCCGACGCGGAGGGTTGGCAGATCCGTCTTCCTGGTCGGTGTGTACCTCTTGCAATAGGGTCTGCAGGGGGTGTCCAAGTCAGCACGATGGGGATTGTCCCAGGGACCCCCCCCCCCCCCCTCTTATCAACGAGCTGGTCTGTCGGCCGCCCATTGGCTCGCTCTCTGCTCGCTCTTCTGGACCCTACAGGGTAGAGGGTACGTAAGTCTGGCATGGGGGCAGCGTGGCTGATGCATCATGTTGTCAAAGCTTACAACATACCTACACGGTTCCAATCTTGAACTTCGTATCTGACCGACCCCGAGGACGGACAACACCTTGGCAAACATGCCATCCCAGGCAGCACCTGCATCTGTGCAACCATGAGGAGGATGAGGGGACCTTGCGCGGGGGGAACTTACGTAGGTAGATAGGTATGTACTGCCCCTCACTCAGCCATCCGCGTTTCCCACGTCTTCAGTCGTCATCGCCATCGCCATCGCCATCGTCGGGTAGTACGGGTAGCCTTGCGATCCATTCTCCACCAAAAGTCCACCACCTCGTGTCCTGTTGTGCAAATTTCATATCTTACGCTGGCTGCTGCTAGCCGCCGATCGGGAGGAGCCTGCAAAGGGTGTAATGGGCTGGCTGCTAGCTGATTGAGGATCAGCCACAACCCTCCTAGACAAATCCTGCAGCTCCTCATTACTCGGTAGTGTGTCAAGTTGGGTATGTACCTGGGTAGTTGGTTCGTGCATTTCGATTCTTTCCGCGGCCGCTGCCCTGACCGCACACACCCATGCATGCAAACACGAGAAAGCAATCAGAACTACTTGTAAATATCGCACAGGCCACCGCCCCTTTGGGACAGAAGTCTGGATGTGACACTAAGGGACCTCGAGGACAGGGCTTTCTTTTTTAGCTTGGCCATTTCCGTGCGTCTGTGCATGCAAACCATTGGCGTGCCGGCCTAAAACGGCGAATCCCATCTCCCATGGCACCATGCCAGTTGATGCCAAACCCGTCCTCTTTTGTACAAGTAACTCACTCGATACCCTGTCTTTCGGGGTCGCTTTATTAGCACTTACTCCCACATCCACACCCCCCACTCATCTCATGGCTCCTTGCTCAGAAGGGAGACCTTGAAAATGGAAAGCTTGACTCTCAGCTTTTGCAAGGCCAAGCAAGATGCTGTGCAGATGGAGGGAGATCTAGGGCCTCGAAGGAGAACAGATCTGAGAAGCATACATAGGTAGTTCGTTGCAGCTGTAGGCAAGGGCTGTGCTACTATGTGATGTCGGGCGTGTTGTGTGCCTCTTCTCGCATGCGCACCCTCGTCAAGGTCTGCTCCCCAGTGCCAGCAAATCGCCGTCCGTCCTGTTGTCCGTTTGCCGCTAGGTCAGCCAGCCTCACTCGGCTACTGATCGTCTTGATTCAAAGCTACCTATACCTCACAGGTAGTAAGGTACCTACCTACACTTCCAGACCTAAGAATCTACAAGTAGCCAGACGGACACCCCTGGGTCCCTCTCGTTCCCGTCTGGCCTGGTCTGCGCATGCCAAGTCTCGTGTCGGCCGCCTTCCTAGCTTCACTCCCTTCCCAGAGTAAGGTAAGGTAGGTAGGTAGAACATACTCCGTACATGGTTTTGCTCTCACTTCTCCTCTCCCTCCTTTGCCTTCCTTTTCACCACACCAAAATTATCCTGCCGGGGCCATTCATTCCTGGTTAGACAGGTCCGGTCACCAACCAGTTGTTCTTTCTGTAGGTTTTCCTCGCGCGGCGACACCCTCCGATATCCCACAACATCACATCACCATCACGCTCTTTGGCTTTTACTTCCCCGTTCCATTTTATCATGCACCGTCCATAGGTCTTCTCAGCCACAATCACACACCATTAGGTGGTGTCTCGTACTGCTGCTCTTTCGTTCGTTTGGTAACCCACCAGCTCCTGTGCAGTTTCGGTACTCACTGCGGGACACTCTGTCCGGCCACATCTTCATCGTCACTCTTTTGTCACAATCTCTTCCCCAGTCAGCCATGTCTTCCTCGTCTTCCTCCGCTCCGGTGATCCCCATCACCGAGAAACCAGCCCCGCGGCTTGGCCCTGCTCTGCATCCCGCCTTCTACATTGCGTGAGTGACGCTGCTGCTGACCCTATCACATCTGTGGCGTGGTGTCTAATCATGGAGCAAACAGGAGCTGGATCTTCTTCTCAAATCTGACCATCTTGTTCAACAAGTGGCTGTTGGATACGGCAGGGTTTAGTGAGTATTTTTTTACAACTAACAGTGTCGAAACACCTACTGACATTGCCTTCTATAGAGTACCGTACGCGACTTTCCCCTCGGCTCCTGGTGGTAGAGAACACCTTCAACTAACATTTGTTGTGGCCTTCTAGCCGTCATTCTAACATGCTGGCATCTCGTCTTTGCGACCCTGGCCACGCAGGTGCTGGCTAAGACGACTCACCTGCTCGACTCGAGGAAAAACGTGCGCATGACGGGCCGCATCTACCTGCGCGCCGTCGTCCCCATCGGCGTCCTCTACTCGGGCTCCCTCGTCTGCTCCAACCTCGTCTACCTCTACCTCTCGGTCGCCTTCATCCAGATGCTCAAGGCCGCCGCCCCCGTCGCCGTCCTCTTCGCCTCGTGGGTCTGGCGCGTCAAGGAGCCCTCGTGGCGCTCCTTCTGGAACATCCTCATCATCGTCTCGGGGGTCATCCTCGCCAGCCTCGGCGAGATCGACTTCAACTGGCTCGGCTTCGTCTTCCAGCTCGGCGGCATCGTCTTCGAGGCCATGCGCGTCGTCATGATCGAGGTCCTGCTCCGCGGCGAGGGAGACCTGCAGAAGATGGACCCCCTCGTCAGCCTCTACTACTACGCGCCCGTCTGCGCCGTCATGAACTTCTTTGTCGCCGCCGCGACCGAGTTCAGCACCTTCAAGTCGGAGGACATGTGGAACACGGGGCTGGGCATGCTGCTGCTCAATGCGGGCGTTGCCTTTATGCTGAACGTGTCCAGCGTCTTCCTGGTAAGCTTTTCTCTCTCACACACACATACCCAGCCAGGCAACCCGATCAGATCATCACACAAGATTGGCAGCATTGGTCCTGGGAAGAAGCAAAGAAATTCAATGCACTAACTTTGTCTTTGTGTGCTTCAGATCGGCAAGACCTCGGGCCTCGTCCTGACCCTGACCGGCATCCTCAAGAACGTCCTCCTCATCTTCGTCTCGGTCCTCATCTGGCACACGCACATCACCGCCCTGCAGTTCCTCGGCTATGCCGTCGCCCTCGGCGGCCTCCTGTTCTACTCGGACAGCCTGAAGTGGGAGCACGTCCAGGGCGCGTCGACCTGGGCCCGCGGCGTCATGGACTCGCCGCGCCTGGACGAGACCCGCCTGTCGCCCCTCGTGCGCAAGACGCTCATCGCCGCGATGGCCCTGCTCATCGTGGGCATGCTCGTCGTGGGCATCACGTTCGACGACACGATGGCCAAGGTGGCTGGCAGGAGCCCGTGATTGCGCACACACACACCCTCTTTCTGCCCGCACCCATGGAGGTGTTTATCACACACTGTGACACACGTTACAAAGGCTGGATTGGTTGGGCGTTTGTATAGAGAGATTTTCTGCTTGCATAGCTTTAAGGAGAAGGGACATTTTCACGGCGTTCATAATGGAGCGAAAGGGGGGGGAGGGGTTGGATTGTGATACACCTTGGGTGTGTTGACGAGAGACTTGTGGCATGGCGAATTGCATTATCACCGGGGGAAGTCCCCAGGAGAAGAAAACATTCAAGTGTCCGGGGCAGGATGCTTCGATGAAAGAAGCCATTCACGAGATTTTTTTGATTTTTTTTTTGTTTCAATACTTGGAGTTGAGAGCGAGTTCCATAGACAGACTCTGTGACAACCAGAATCTATATCCATAGATCCAGTTGCACGGCGCCCAGCGAGGCATAACGAATTCCAGACTCAAGCATTTGCAAAATGCAATCCTCCCTCCGGGCCTTAACGAGAGATGACCGCGTCGGAAAGGGCTGCTCTGAGGACAAAATACGTGAGGTACCCATCCCTTGAGAGATACTTGACGGTACCTGCCTTGCCTCTGGAGATGTCTCGATCTCGCGAATGTGGCGCTCTTGGCATGAACCACCCAGAGACAAAATAGGGCGCCTTTCTCCTGGCTGGCCGAGTCAGGCTGTCTCACTTCCCCGGCCAGGCCAAGGAACTGGGCCAGGCGTGTGAGGTGTGCTGGACAGAGGGGAAAAGCAAAAGTTGCATCTTGTTCAGCTAATCTATCCCACACCACACACGCTTCAGACTACCTAAGGTAGGTAATAAGCGCTTTTGATGAAAGTGGCATGCCCAAACGTCGAATTGTCTCCAAAGAATGTCGAGAGACGTGTTCACCGCCGCTTGTCTGTCCTTTGCCCTTGTGTGTGGCGTCTCGATGGAAGGGGGGAAGTTTTGCTCCGGACTCACCCCTCCCCCTCCCCTTCCCCCCGGCAGATGAACTGCCCTGAGACAGACCGCATTCCAGCTCCAGATGATTGGTTTGAGACATGGTGTATGGACCGGTGAAGATGGCAAAATGTGGCGGCATTCCCCTTGCCTTGAGGGCTAGCCAGCCAAGCCAGCCAGCCCGGAAGCCACACGAGGATTACTGAACGATGCGTTCTTTCGCTTGCTTGTGCGTGAAGATCTTGAAATTTCCCTCGCAGCCATACTCGGTAGGAGGATGTTCCACGGAAACCCTGCAGACTAGGTAGGGACCAGAACCTCGCTATTCCAGGGGTTGCAGGATATCAGGTCCTTTCAGCTGGAAGCTAGTCAAGCCCCCAGTTCGACTAGGAGGGCTGCAACTGGAACAAGCATGGTTGGGTGGATGGATGATGGGGAGCTGAAGCCAACACCTCTTTTTCTTCGAGGTGAGATCTGACAACATGGCTGTTATTAGTGGCTTCTAGTCATCGAGAAATGCTTACCCCTTTTCCAATATCACTTGCCGTACGAAAGGCTGCAGGGTGCAGAGCCAATCCGATGACAGACATATGAAAGTCAATGACGGATGTGTATATTTTTGGCACATCACATATACCCAGGTTCTTTGAATTTATCTGTAAGTTTATTTTATGTTCTCACTTCTAAGAGCAAGCTCCTTCGGCTTGTGATTCATTCTCTATGAAGAATGGTTGTGCTTGAACAACTTTCACTCACCATGACCTGTCTTCTTATACCAAAGAAGCATGCCTCAAACTACTTGAAAGCTCTTCATGCGGTCCACAGAAAAATATAACTATCATGGCCATGCAGTTCCTTTTGCGAACGGAGAGCAGAAGCCTTCAATGTTTGTGTGCATCTTGAGTGCCTTGTTTGGCACATGAGGGACAGAAAAGAGAACTGTCAGAAACCCCACTATTGGCGACTTCCCAAAGCTCTGCAAGCTCTTTGCGATTACCCCAAACTTCTGGAGCTTTGGTTTCCACTTCCGCGCTGTAATAGGAAGGACCCTGGAATATCAGTGGAAAAAAAAAAAATATTTATCCCACCAGATCGAGCTCACGTCGCATTGAAGAATCTTGCAAGGAACAACCTCACCTCACTTTTCTTCACTGGCAAATCACAGACGACAAATCAACATGACTGCCATCCCGGAAGAGCTCCAGGTCACCTACGAGCAGCTGGCCGACCTCGAGAAGGACTTTGAGGATGTCGAGACCGAGATCAGTGAGTCCTGCTCTCTCTCTCGCGCGCGCGCCCGCCGTTTCGCATCTACCGGCTGTGGCGCCGCGATGTGCCAAACGGCGTCGCAAGATGAAACCGCCTACTGACAAGAAACCACCTCCCCTGGCAGTCCGCCAGCAGGTCCAGATGACCCGCGACCTGTACGCGAAGCGCGAGAAGCTCATCGCCCAGATCCCCGTCTTCTGGTCCCTCGTCTTCGAGCAGGCGCCGCCCGACATCGACGAGTTCATCCAGCCCACCGACTCCAACGTGCTGCTCACCTCGCTCAAGTCGCTGTCGGTCTCGCGCTTCGAGATCGAGGGCGAGGGCGAGGGCGAGGGCGGCAGCAAGGGCGGCGACCCGCGCAGCGTCGCCATCCGGTTCGAGTTCGAGGACAACGACTACTTTGAAGACAAGGTGCTCGAGAAGAAGTTCTGGTACCGCCGCGACGAGGACGGCTGGGCGGGCCTCGTCAGCGAGCCCGTCGAGATCAAGTGGTGCCAGGGCAAGGACCTGACCGAGGGCCTGCTGGGCATGGCCAAGAAGGTCTGGGACCAGCAGCAGGCCGCCGCCGCCAAGAACGGCGCCGCTTCTGGCGCCGACAAGGACAAGAAGAAGAAGCCCCGGACGGAGAAGGACTTCACGCCCGAGGAGAAGGCGCTCAAGGAGAAGCTCGACGGCACCGGCATCGGCGGCATGAGCTTCTTTGCCTGGTTCGGCTACTGCGGGCCCAGGATCACGGCCGAGGAGAGCAGGATCGCGACCGAGAAGGAGCGCGAGAACCGCCGCCTGCGGGCCGAGGGCAAGAAGGTCGAGCCCAAGGACGAGGACGAAGAAGAAGAGGAGGACGAGGACGAGGATGACGACGAGGTCACCGAGGAAGAGCTCGAGATCTTCCCCGAGGGCGACTCCCTCGCCATCGCCATCTCGGAGGACCTGTGGCCTAGTGCGCTCAAGTACTTTAGTAAGTTTACCCAATGTCGGGGATGTTTTTCTCCCTCTGAGCCGATGCCAGGTTCTCGTTTGGCTAATGACCTGCAACTCTACAGCTCAAGCTCAGGAGGATGATATGATGAGCGATGTCGACTTTGAGTCGGACGAGGAGGGCATGGACATCGCGAGCAATGACGCGAGCGAGAACGAGGAGGGTGACGAGGATGCGCCGGCGCCTAAGAAGCGCAAGGCGTGAGGAATTGATGGGATTTCTTTGGCGTGTTGTAGATAAAAGAGATTGTGTGTATACAATTCCCGGCTGAGATACCTTTACCATAGACTTGATTTGAAGATTGCTCGAGCAGTTGGACTCGATCGCGGCCGGTTCCAAAGTGAAAGAAGCATGTGAGCAAGCATCCTTGGAGAGTTGCTGCCTTTGGGCACTGGCTTACACACAAGACAAGACAGGACAGGACAAGACGGGGACAAGATGAGTCCAGATCAGAGGGAAATTGGGGGATCGGCTTAGATCAGATCTTATGCAATGCGCTGGCACACTTTGTTTTGCAGGCACATCAAAGGATCAAAAAGGCCCTTGGTGGCGATGCGAACCAGATCTCGGAAAGGCTTGGCCGGCCTCGCACAGACCGGTACAATTGCCAGGATCAGTCGGTCACTAACTACCTTACGGTGTACAAGGGACTGATCTCGACATCAGGGTTGATGAGGTGACTGTCCAGGTTGCCCATCCCGCCCCCCACCCCCCCCCCCCCCCTCTCTCTCTCTTCCTTACTTGCGGGACATGAGACTGCCACATGGGACAGGCGAGACAGGGGTGATGACCCAACTAACTAGGTCTTGTACAAAGTCTGCGATGTTACCGAGAACGCGAATTGTGGGTTGCATCGTGGTCCCCAACATGTCTTGTGAGATGATGCCCTCACTGCCTGTCTTGTTGCTGATACACCAGACAGAACAGACTCCGGTCCGAAGCAGTAAAAGTGGCCTCTTTCGTCTTAAAAGGATCGACAAACACCCTCCCATTTTGCAGCTTGTTATTTTTGTTGTTTCTGAACGGACGGGGCAATCCGGTCTGAGGGGGGGCGAGGCCCGGACCAGGGTCGCCTCCGCACTCTTGAGACGATGGCGCCCACCACGTCCAACTCGAAGCGTTTCAGCTTTGGACTTCCCGCAGGGCACAGCCTCGCCACAGATCTGGAGTTTTACCCGCCCAAGGGTCCAGCGACGCATCAAGAAATGATGCAACGAGAATTGCCATTGCCCCCCCCCTCTCTCTGGTGGTCAGGACGAGACTTTGCTGTTGTATGTGGCCCTCCCCTCTTTGAGTGCCGGGCGGGCAATAGTGACAAGTAGTTACGTGTACGCGGGGCCGGGGATCCATCATTCGCAGGGGCATGTTGGACATTGGATCTTGGTGTTTGCTGGGCACTGGGCAGAGTCTCCAAACCTCTTGGCTGAGAGATGCCTCCAACCACACATTGCATACTCTTGTTGTCTCTCCTTCTTTCGTTTCCTTTCTCTCTCTTCTGTAGGGTATCCGTAATTTGGAGCTTTCCAAACATCATCGAAATTCCATTTCGATTCTTCATTCCTTTCTTCTCCTCGCGCTGGTCGAGATCATTGCCCTGGGCGGCATTTTTATTACCTTTCATTCGATCTCTTCGCAATTGTGTCTTTTTTTTTTTTTTTTTTTTTTCGAACCGCTGCACTCCAGGTCGAGTCAAACGCCTTTCTTTTTCAAAACGATCTGTTTCTTTCGACAGTCCCGGCGACACTTTACAGTATTTGACGGATTCCCCCCCCATCTGGCACGATTTATAGCACTGGTTCGAGCGTCTGAAGTTAATTCCAGACACCGGCTACTGTGACAACTGCAAAGGCCTGCGTTCCTTTGCCGGCGTTGGCAGCGACCCGACTTACACGAGATGAGGTCGACTGAGTAACTTGAGCAACCTCGCATCCAGACGCACTAGACGTCCCCTCGCCGATCTCTCTCGAGCCGACCGTCTTGGTTCTTTTCTTCTTTACTTGTTTCTTTCTCGGGGGGTGGTATCATGAGGGGATTCCTCCGAACTGCTGGCACTCTTTGCCTGTTCTCACAAGCAGCCAGCGCAGTGCAATTATCAATAGACAGCACAGGTACGGATCGGCTCCTGCCACGTGGGAAATTCCAAAGACGTTGTCCGGATGTTCTAATGTTCAAGTTTTGCGTGTCACAGACTCGATCAAGAATGCCGCCGCAACGGTAGCCTTTGGGCTGCTCAAGTTTTATACGGGCAACAACACCGGCGATGTACCGGGAAACCTACCGGATCCGTACTTTTGTAAGTTGCTCCCCCAGCAGCCACACACACACACACACACACACACACACACACACATGCCATTTTGATATTAGGGGCGCGGACTAACCTCCCCGGTGGAACACTGCAGGGTGGGAGGCAGGAGCCATGTTCGGCACCATGATCGACTACCAGTTCCTGACGGGGGACACGTCGTACAGCGACACCATCATGCAGGCGCTGCAGCACCAGGTCGGCGACAGCAACGACTTCATGCCGGGCAACCAGACGCGGACGGAGGGCAACGACGACCAGGGGTTCTGGGCCATGGCCGCCATGAGCGCCGCCGAGAACAAGTTCCCGGACCCGCCGGCGGACAAGCCGCAGTGGCTGGCGCTGGCCCAGGCCGTCGTGCACGAGTACATGATCCGGTGGGACACGGAGAAGTGCAACGGGGGGCTCCGGTGGCAGATCTTCCCCTTCAACCAGGGGTTCAACTACAAGAACTCGATCAGCAACGGGTGCTTCTTCAACCTGGCGGCGCGGCTGGCGCGCTTCACGGGCAACCAGACGTACGCCGAGTGGGCCGAGAAGGTGTGGGACTGGGAGGCGAGCGTCGGGCTCATCGACGGCGAGTTCCGCGTCTTTGACGGCGCCGGCGTGGACAACGACCTCAACTGCACCAAGCACGACACGATACAGTGGAGCTACAACGCGGGCATCTTCCTGCACGGCGCGGCCGTCATGTACAACCTGACGGGCGGGGACCCCCGGTGGAGGGCCCGCGTCGACGGCGTGTGGAACGAGACCCGGTCCGTCTTCTTCACGGGCGGCGCCGACAAGACGATCCTGGTCGAGCGCGCGTGCGAGGCCGCCAACCTGTGCAACGTCGACCAGCAGAGCTTCAAGGGCTACCTGACGCGCTGGATGGCGGGCACGACGCAGATGGCGCCCTACACCTTCGACCAGATGATGCCGCTGATCCGGCGCAACGCCGTGGCCGCCGCGGCCGCCTGCACGGGGTCGACCGCGGCGGGCGGGTTCAAGGGCGCCCCCGGCACGGCCTGCGGCTTCAAGTGGACGCCCGAGGCCGGCGGGTTCGACGGGCTCGTCGGCGTGGGCGCGCAGATGAACGCGCTCGACGCCATCATGTACTCGCTCGTCAGCAAGCAGTCGGCCGCGCCCGTGACGTCGACGACGGGCGGCACCTCCAAGGGCGACGAGAACGCCGGGCAGAAGATCGCGGCGCCGATGGAGGAGCTGGCGCCCATCACGACGGGCGACAAGGTCGCCGCCGCGTTTGCGACGACGGCCATTGTCTTTAGCGTCATCGGCGGCAGCGTCTTTGTCATGTTGTGATTTTTTTTTTTTTTTTTTTTTTTTTGGTGTTTTCGTACACCTCTTTTCTGGGGTCGTCAGGAGGGAGGGGGAGGCAGACAGGCGCTTGTGTGTGTTGTCTCTTTTTATTCTTTGCATATGTGTGTGTGAGTGTGTGTGTTTTTGGAAAGGGGGTGTCTCTACTCCCCACCAGGAGGGAGGTCAGGACACCTTGGATATTCCCCGCATACCGGCGTTTTTCTTCTTTTTCTTTCTTGGATTGTTCTCCCTCTGGAAAGCAGGGTTTCCGCGGGAAGAGCGAGGGTCTCTATGAGCTTTGGGGGGAAAGCCTAGGGTTCTCGATTGCCTCGAGAGCGCTTTGGAGGTTTTGCAAAGAGGGACTCGAGTGTAATTTTTGGCCAAGATTGCTACCACTACGTACCAGCTTTCTCTCCAAGCAAAGGCCAATCATTTCCCCCAACAAGACGGCTTTCTACTCTGTAGTGCTGCGACTGCCGGAAGGAGAAATGCTAAGCGCCACTCTCTGCCGTGAAAATGGCGGCCGCACTAATTATCCCGGGTCTCGTGGCAGCGAAGGGCATGCCTCGGTGGTGGGAAAATCCTCCACGGGTCAATTCAGTAGTTCGGTGTCCCCCCCCCCCCCCGGCTTGCGGAGGCATGATCCGTTTTGGTGCAGGCAGGCAGGTTCTCGACCCTCGCAGGACCGCCGCCCCAGTCCAACAGCGTTGGATCCGATGGAGGGGGTCCGCCCGACCCCAATCACCAAATAAAGTAGACGACCCAGCAGTAGCAGGATCATCCATTGCCGTGCATGCGCGTGTGGGAGAGTGCCAGACCAAGGAGCGAAGCTGCATCTCCACTGCCCCGCACTCTTTCTTGGCCGGGCGTGGACTGAGGGCAGGCGAGCGAGCAGAGCTGTCTGTACCCCGCCGAGCTTCGCCCGCGAGTGAGTGTGCGCGGAGAGAGAGAGAGGTGTGACCACGCCTCCGGGCCTGGCTGCTGCTCGCTTCTCTCGTTGATTTAAATTACACAAGAACCCTCCACCCAGGCCCCAGACCGCTGGACGGTCTTATTCCATAGTTGCCGGTGCCTTGCGACCCGGAAAGTTGACAGTCCTTCTTCTCCGCGTCTCCGGAACCTTGCTGTGAAAACCCGCGGCCGTGAGATTGTGACCTGAGCGAGCCTCTTGACTGACTGAGCGAGATTCGACCACGCTGCACTGAGGAGACAGGAAGGAAGAACCCTCCGTTGAAATCCACCAGCAGCAGCGAGTGAGACAATTCCATATCCCAAACACCCAATTCTTTGAATAGATACCCCGGAGACCAGGGCAAAAAACAAAGAACCACCATGGCCTCCTCAGCAAAGCACTTCATCAACGACCCGACCCACCTGGTCAACTCGGCCCTCCGCGCCGCGACCCTGACCAACCCGGCCCTCGCCCTCGACGCCGACAACAAGGTCGTCTACCGCCGGCCCCACGCCGCCCACGACGCCGGCAAGAAGGTCTCGATTCTCTCCGGCGGCGGCTCCGGCCACGAGCCCTCCTTCGCCGCCATGGTCGGGCGCGGCATGCTCGACGCAGCCGTCGCGGGCACCATCTTCGCCAGCCCCTCGGCCGAGCAGGTCCGCGTCGCCATCCAGGCGCGCGTCGACCACCACCACCACCACGGCGGCGGCGGCGGCGGCGGAGGCGTGCTCGTCACCGTCATGAACTACACGGGCGACGTCCTCAACTTCGGCATGGCCGTCGAGAAGGCCCGCGCCGCCGGCGTCCCCGTCGAGATGGTCGTCGTCGGCGACGACGTCGGCGTCGGCCGGGAGAAGGCCGGCAAGGTCGGCCGCCGGGGCATCGCGGGCACCGTCCTCGTGCACAAGATCGCCGGCGCTCTGGCCGCGCGGGGCCGGTCTCTGGACGAGGTCGCGCGCGTCGCGCGCCTCGCGGCGCAGAACCTCGTCAGCGTCGGCGCCAGCCTCGAGCGCGTCCACGTGCCCGGCCGGGCCGTCGCCCCCACCGAGGACGCCCTCGCGCCGGGCGAGGTCGAGATCGGCATGGGCATCCACAACGAGTCCGGGTCCGGCCGGGAAAAGGTCGAGCTGCCCGCCCTCGTCGGCCGCATGCTGGCGCAGATGCTCGACCAGGGCGACGCGGACCGCGCCTTCCTGAACGTCAACTCCAACGAGGTCGTGCTGCTGGTCAACAACCTCGGCGGCGTGAGCGTGCTCGAGCTCGGCGGCATCACGGCCGAGGTCGTGGACCAGCTCGCGCGGGACTGGAGGATCGAGCCCGTGCGCGTCCTTAGCGGGACCTACATGACGAGCCTCAACGGCCTCGGCTTCAGCATCACCCTGCTCAACGTCGTCAACACGGACATCGGCGGGCCGAGCATGGTCGAGCTGCTCGACGACCCGGCCGAGGCGACGGGCTGGTCGGCGCCCGTCGCCAAGCAGACCTGGGAGGAGAAGAACGCGGCCACGAGGGAGGCCAAGGCCGGCGGCGAGGAGCAGGCCAAGCCCAGCGGGCTCAAGACGGACCCGGACGAGTTCAGGTCGAAGCTCGAGGCCGGGCTCAAGAGCGTCATCTCGGTCGAGCCCGAGGTCACGCGATACGACACCATTGTCGGCGACGGCGACTGCGGTATCGGCCTCAAGAGAGGCGCCGAGGGTACGTTCGTAGCGTGACAGTCACTGCCATTTGAAAAAGAGACAAGAAAAGCGCGCTGACATTGTTTTGTCTCAAACATAGCCATCCTCAAGCACCTCTCCCAGACCAAGCTGACGGGCGACGTCGTCGTCGACGTGGCCGGCCTCGTGCCCGTCATCGAGAACACCATGGACGGCACCTCGGGCGCCCTGTACGCCATCTTCATGAACTCGCTCGTCCACGCCCTGCGGACGCAGGGCAGCGGCGACGCCTCTCCCAAGACCTGGGCCGCCGCGCTGCGGCAGAGCTGCGACGCCCTGTCGCGCTACACGCCCGCCCGCCCCGGCGACCGCACCCTCGTCGACGCGCTGTACCCCTTCGTCGAGACCCTGGCCGCGTCGGGCGACGTGCGCGGCGCGGCCGAGGCGGCCAAGAGGGGCGCCGACGGCACCAAGGGCATGCACGCCAGCCTGGGCCGCGCCGTCTACGTCGGCGGCTCCGGCTTCGAGAAGGTGCCCGACCCGGGGGCGTACGGCCTGGCGAGCTTCTTCCTGGGCCTGACCGGGCTGAAGCCGGTCGAGGACGGGTGGGAGACTGTCTGAGCAGTCAGCAATTTCTGCGGAGGGGTTGACCTATGTGATTGTAATGAGTAATACTTGTCGTGCAGAAGTAAAAGGTTGAAAAACGAGCGGGATAGTCATCGAATCAGCGCTGATTTGTCAATGAATAATTTCACCAAAAAAGGGGGGCAGATAATTGCCAATAATGCTGAGAAGAGGAGGTATGCTCTTCTCGTGAGATTGGTGGATTATGCCGTGATGATGACCAGTGAATACACAACTCTCGAAGTTTTATAACGCCATAGTCCTGATGATGAACGAACCATACCCCCTGATATAACCACGTCTAGAGCATAACTATGGTCGTAGCCCAGAAAACCCGCAGAGAAAAACAAAGCACAGTAGATTCTTTCGCTCAGCTCAGCAGCACCAGGATGACCGAGTCTCCTCTCAGGAACCTGTATAGCCCACCGTCAGTAAACTTGCCCATCGTGGAGTAGAAACGCCAAAAAAAACCGGTTTCATTCGGCAGGAACACATACATCTTGCTGATAAACCTGTCCTTGTTGATCGGCCGGCCCTTCTTCCCACCAGCCAGCTTGGGCGTTTCTGTCCACATCTCCTTCACGTTCTCGAGGACCATGTTGAAGTGACGATCGAAGGCCTTTACCCGGGCGAGAAGCTTGCGGTTGTTCCGGCAAGAGATCAGGACCTGGTTGTGGGTGCGCACGGCGGTCTGAAGGATAGATACTACACGTTGCGATGCGGTCAGTCAACGGTTGTGGCGCGCGCAGCGGGGCGGCAAGCTTGGTGGACTGTGGAAACGTACGAGGTCCTGCACTGAACTCATGCTCCTCTAGTTGCGAAATCTCGTACTCCCTAAATGGTGTCGGTCAGCATTGCGTATCGTCGCGGCTGTATCCCGTGCGGGCCGGGGGGGAGGGAAGCTTCGTACGTGAGCTCATTGCGAGGCTTGGTGAGGAGTTCCCTGAAGACGCCAGTCAGTCTCGATACATATATTTGCTATACACGCGTAATAGACTCACTGGATCTTTGCGTCCGCCATGGTGGGTGTGATGTGGTCGCGGTCGCGGGTCTGTGTGGTGTCGAGCAAGGCTGGAAGTTTTCGAGATGGCTCCCAAGGCGATGGATTGATTGGGATTTGGTGTTTGGCGGTCGTGGAGGTACGTACCTCGTGCGATGTAGTGTGATTGGACGGTGCTTATTCAAAGGTGGAGTCGCTATGGCGGAGCGGCATTATTCTACTCCGGCCAAAAATACTTCCAGCAGCGCACACAGCACTCACAGTGCACTTGATGTGACCACTAACTACAGCAAGGCGACAGTGACCAAGAGCACGCTAAAGTACCGAGAGCGACGCCCCGTCAGGAGCCGTCTTAGGCCGCCCAATTTGACCAGGGGTCCCGAGGAAAGAAAATCGAAACCTCGGGTTTGGAGCTAAAGCTGTACGAATGCACCCAGGTGGAGGAAAGTGGAAAACCATTGCCGACCTCACAGCTGTCTGTCGACGGATGCCCTTTCGAGATACGAGAAACGCCTTTGGAGCTGCCGCACCCAACCTCTCCCGAGCCTTTTGGATGCGCGACTCCAATTGACCACAGTTCTCACGGCGGCCCCCCGACGATATAGATGTTCTGCAAGGCGCTCCTCAGTCGCGCCGGCCCAGCAGCCATCGCGGCATCACGCGGCTGCACGGCCCGTCTTGGAGGCTCTCCCTTTGCCATGCCTCTCCGCGCAAAGATCCTCTCGCAGCAAGGTGCTGCGGGCGCTCAGGTACGGAAGAGATGAGAACAGCTCTGGGCTCGTGACCCGCACATCTAGATTTTGCTAACTCGAGCCCATTGTCAACCCCGTCAGATGTCTACCAAAGCGGCCATGGAGCTCTTCAAGGAGCTGCCCGGCGACGAACCCGAGGACGTCCTCTTCAACAGCCTGTACGGCCTGCGGACGATCGAGCTCAACCGGCCCAAGAAGCTCAACTCGCTGGACGGGTCCATGATCCGCAAGATCGCGCCGCGCCTGCTCGAGTGGGAGAAGTCGGACATGGCCAACGTCATCGTGATGAAGGGCGCGGGCGACAAGGCCTTCTGCGCCGGCGGCGACGTGACCGCCCTGGCGCAGTCCAACAAGCAAGGGCCCGAGGGCCAGCAGGCGTCGGCCGACTACTTTGCGCTGGAGTACAAGCTCGACCACCTGATCGCGACGTACCAGAAGCCGTACATCTCCTTCATGGACGGCATCACGATGGGCGGCGGCGTCGGCCTCAGCATCCACGCCCCCTTCCGCATCGCGACCGAGCGGACCGTGTTTGCCATGCCCGAGACGACCATCGGCTTCTTCCCCGACGTCGGCGCGTCCTTCTTCCTGCCCAGGATGTCGGGCGCCGTGGGGACCTACCTCGCCCTGACCAGCGAGAGGCTCAAGGGCGCCAACGTCTTCTACTCGGGTGTCGCCACCCACTACCTCCATTCCTCCAGCCTGCCCGCCCTCGAGTCCCGGCTGGCGGAGCTCCGCTTCAAGGACTTTGACAGCCTGCAGAAGAGGCTGGCCGTCATCGGCAGCACCATCGAGGAGTACTGCACGGGGCTGCCGCACGACCAGCCCATCCTGCTGGGCGGCGAGCTGCGCAAGGCGATCGACAGGTGCTTCAGCAAGGACAGCGTGGCCGACATCATCGCGGCGCTCAAGGCCGAGGAGGGCGCCACCAAGCAGTGGGCCGAGAAGACGCTGCAGACGCTGCACCAGCGGTCGCCCACGGCGGTGCACGTGAGCCTGCGGCAGATGCGCATCGGCGGCAAGTGGACCATCGCCGAGACGTTCAGGCGCGAGCACCAGATCGCCTCCAAGTTCATGCAGCACCCGGACTTTACCGAGGGCGTCTCGGCGCTGCTGATCAACAAGCCGTCGACCAAGCCCGAGTGGAAGCCGCAGACGCTCGAGGACATCGGGCCCGACGACAAGGTGACGGAGCCCTTCTTCGCCAAGCCCAAGGACGACGACGGGGGCGCGATCGAGCTGCTCAACGACCGCGACTACGCCGAGTACCCCTTCAGGGAGTTCGGCCTGCCCACGGAGCGCGAGGTGGAGGAGCTGGTGGTGGAGGGCACCAAGTCGCAGCGCGAGGTGGTCAACCAGCTGGTGGGCAAGACGCGGGGCAAGCAGGGCGTCAAGGAGGTGGTGGAGGAGATTGTGGCGAGGAAGACGACCAAGAACGAGCAAGGCAAGGCTGTCTGGATTCGCGAGGATTAAAATGCAATCGCTTTGTCAGAGAGGGATACTGTCAATAGACTTTATTGTATTATATCGTCATATATTTTTCTTATCACGCAAGGAAAAGATACTTCTACTTGTATTGTGCTGTCGTTCTGGTTGTGTTTGGGCCCCGAGACATTTTGGGAACCGAAAATCATGCGTGCACGAAATGTGCTATCGCGGGGTCATTTTGGGCAAGGTAAAAGTCAGTTCGGAATAGCGTCATGAGCATTGTTCACATTCGACTGGTTTGGGACGGGGATGGGAGAAATGGTGTTATGTGATTGGCGGGGAGGCTCTCTGGTGGACCAAATACGGGATGGCGTACGGTGTGTTGTGAGCGAGATCTGAAAAGGGCTTAGAAGGGAAATGGAATGCTTCAATTTTATGTGTGGTGGGCAGTCATTTTTGCCGGGCTTACTAGCGGGCGTAGATGCCTGGTTGAGTCATGGAGATAGTTGGGAGATGGGATGGGATGGGATGGGATGGATTCGGAGCAAGAAGAGGGGCAATAAGCACGACAAGCAGGGCATGGATCTTGGGTGGCCGGGAGATGGGAGATGATGGAACGATGGAACGATGGATGGATAGGTAGAAGTAGGTAGATGGGTGTGTGGGTGGGGGAACAGAGTGGGAAGAGAGAGACTCTGGAGAGAGAGAGAGACGGCGAGGATCGAGGCATCATCTCTCGGACAACATATAAAAGGGGGCAGGCCCCATCTCCTCTCCCGGGCAAAGGTCGACTGGAAACCTTTCCCAGGATCTCTCAGCAATTCTGTCGAGTCGAAACCAGGAGCAGTTGCTGCCTCGAGAGCTTCCCGCGGCGGGCTCCGGAGTTGTCCAAACGTCCAAACGCTAAAGCCGGATCGGTGTGTGGGAAAAGCGGCGGAGAAGGAGAAGAAGAACCAACAAGAGCAAAGAAGGCGCACGGCATTCTGGTGGGCAGCGTGCAGTCATTGTGGTGGTCTGGAGGGTGAGGCCTCGATGTGGTTGGTTGGGTGGGGAGCTTCTCTTTTTTTGCTGTTGCAGAGAGCTGACTGAGAAGCTCGAGCCCAGCCAGTAACAGCCGAGCTACCCACTAGCCCTCAGTACTTGTACTCGAGGTCGGCTTCAGGCCAGGAGTGTTTGGCCCTGGCCCGTGCACGTGTCGTTCTAGGCGCGTCAGGTGCCCTGGATGCCTGTACCCGCCCGCTGTTGCAACGCCAAAACGCCAGCTAACGATCCCGTCCGGGCCCCCTCGAGCCTGAACTGACGTCGTCGTGCCGGCCCTTTTTCTGCACGCGTTCCCGCCCGCGACGCAGATACCGAGACACACACACACACACACACCACAGACGGAACCATAAGTCTTCAACAACAGAGAAGGCCATTTGCACTCCATATTGTACCTTTATCATATCGTTTTTTTTTCCCTTCCTCTTTTCTAGCGGCTCATTTCTCGACTTTGCCTTGAATCAATTGGGCAAACCGGGCCCGGTTTTTCTTAAAGTGTCTGCAGAGAAAAGAAGCGGAACCGGCTGTTGAGGTCGACGGTCGAGGCGCCGCCCGTTTCTCGCATCGTCGGGAGCTCCACCGACGCGACCAAAACGCGCTGTATCACACACACGAGCCAGCCCACCAGCCTCTCTAATTGACTGCCGCCGCCAAAACACTGGCAAGGTTCAATTGTGGCCCGGGACTACCTTGATCTCCAATTCCTTGCTTGTACTTGCCTGATGTCTTCTCCCCTCTAACAATTATTATTTCGGCCCTTGATCACCGCTTTCTCTTTTTCTCTTCCTCCTCATCTCCCGCCGAGACGACAGCTCACGCCGTGCGACACGCTCTCCGATCCCCCCGAGTGCGCCATGGCTTCGCCTCTCACGATGGGTTCCCACAACCAGCAATGGGCAGGCGGCCATTCGCACTCGGCACCGCCTGCCAACGACTCGGACGAGTATGGGCTCCAGGTCAGGCCCATGGGACGTGAGTACCGCCTGGCCCACCTCGATCACCTTGCCCTCGATCTTGGCTGTTTGCTGACCTAGGACATGTTTCTCTCTCCTTCGCAGTCAAGGTTCACTATACCTTCGACAGAGACAGCCAGGTGAACTGCCTGGCTCGTTGGCCACAAATATTACAGATCCAAGCCATTCCTCTCGACGAGAGGAATTGGATCGGCGTCGTCGACCTCAAGTTGTGCCTCCAGGCCCTCGCCCAATGCAGCCCTGAGATTGTCGGCCAGCCCGACACCGACTACACCGTCTATGCCTACGACTACTCGGAGCCCGACATGCCGCTGGTCGGACAGGGCATGCTGTCATGGGCCTTGGAGATGGCGGGTGCGGCGGACGAGCCGAAATGGGTCACGGGTCGCGTCACCAAGAATCTGCTGGCCATCTTCGGGAACGGCATCAGGGAGACGCTAGAGGTGAAGCTCAAGCTTACCGCCGTGCCGAGGGTAATGCAACGCGCCGAGCCTCAAAACAACAGCATGAGCGACATGCAACAGGCACCCATGAAAAATGCACCGACGCCGACCGACACCACCGAGTGGAACTCATTCATCCAGTCGAACCCGGCTCTTGGCCGCTCCGCCAACGTCGCTTCGGTACCTTCTCCCAATCTGGGTCCGTACCGAGCCGAGATGCCTACGAACATGAACATGAACATGTCCATGGACTCCAGGCCTATGTCCAGGCCCATGTCCAGGCCTTCGTCTGCAGCCCCGGCACCACCCCAGCGGCCACCCACGGCTCCTGCGCCTATGCAAATGGGCCCCAGTGAGGAGCCTGCCTCGGCGCCAACGTCAACACCAGTCGAGATGCACAAGGAACCCGCTAAAGCGTCGCGGCCATCATCAAGAGCATCTAGATCAAAAGCTCCCACCGGACGACCTAGGGGCCGGCCACGCAAGAAGCCGCTTGGCGATGGAAACACTTCAGCTGCGGAGGAGCAACCGACCGATGCCGACGAAGGGCCCAAGAAGAAGCGGGCCAAGACCACCAAGGCAGACTATCCGGTGAGGAACCCGCTGGACTCGGTCCCCGACTCCCTCAGGGTCGCTGCTAGTATTTCGGGGTCTCTACGCACGATGCGGCCGGTCGCGGCTGGAGGCGAAGGACCTGGCGCCAGCCACCTGCAAGAAGCACCCCGGGTACCAACTCCCGTCCCGCAGGGTCATCCTTTTGGTCAGCAGCGGAAGCGACCTATCCCTCAGGGATCAAGACAGGGGTCGGTGGCTAGCTTTGATGGCCAGCTAATGTACGCGAATACGTATTCCGATATGCATATGCACGGCCACGATGCCCGTTCCCCAACCGAGTCATTCGGAAACTCTCCAGGTATCTACACGCCAGAGGACAGTCCTGCCGATCTCGGATCATCACCGCCTGTTCCCCGGACGACGCCATACCTGCGGTCCAGCCCGCCGCCCTCGAGTCCGATCCTGCCGCCCATGCCCAGACACCAGCCTGACTCTGGCTTCATGAGCGGGGGCATTGACGATGTAATGTTCGATGATGAGGACCTCCCGCAAACACTACCTCAACAACCCGTCCAGGACGAGGCCCCGGCTCAGCCCCGTCGTGCGACCAAGGGCGGCCGGAAGAAGAACAACGCGCCGCAAAGCGACAGCTTCAACTTTCAGATGGAGAATCCAGGCCCGCCGGAACTTCTCCCTGCTACGAGCATCTATAACCCCCCAAACCAAAAGAGTCTGAACGCCAGGTCCACTAAAGTTGGCCAGCCTCCGCCTGCACCGCCCCAACTTCAACGCTCTCAGACCGAGCCCACCCCGAGACCTGAAAGCAACGAGATGCATTCAGCACCCGCGCCAACTATGGCACCCCAAGGGGCGCCTCAAATGCCAACCCAACAACAAACTCAAGAAGACCCTACACAGGCAGATGTCGAGAACCTGAGGCTATTGGCCATGGCCCAGGAGTCTCGAGAAATGCCAACCCGTAGGGAGTCCCAGACCCCACAGGTTGTGGACCAGCCTCCCGTTAAGATCGAGGATGCCCCAGCAGACATTGAGGAAGTCGAACAACTCCCTGCCCCTCAACCAGAACCTCAACTACAGCCGCTACCACGCCAGCTTGCTAGAGCAGCGTCAACGAGCGCCGTGCCAGCCAGCGATCCCCCGGTCGTCCACGCGCTGACACTGCCGCCTCCCCCGCTGCCCACGTCCTTTTCCGAAGCTCCGTGCCCGCCCAGCGACATCGACCAGCCCACTGCGCGGATGAACAAGAACCTCGTGAAGAAGAACACGATCAAGGAGCGTCTGGAGAAGGCCATAGAGAGCGGCGAGATGCCTCCATACTGTATGAACTGCGGCGCGATCGAGACCCCGACATGGCGCAAGATGTGGACTCAGGATCACGAGGGAGTGCCCGGTTACTACGAGTACTCTGAAAAACCTGGTTTTGTGACGGCTATCGATATCCTGGACCGGGATGCGGATGGCAGGCCCCAGCGGTACCGGCTAGTCAAGAAGACCCTTGGCCCCATGGAGGACAAGAGCAAGTGGACTGAAATGCTCCTGTGCAATCGTGAGTTTGAATCAATGTCCATCCCCTAGCCATCATTCTGACCCCCCTTCTAGCCTGTGGTATCTGGCTGGGGAAGTTCAAGAGCCATCGTCCCAAGGACCGATGGGAAAAGGATTCATCGAGGCTCAACCAGCCGCGACGAAAGCGCGAGCCCAAGAGCGGCGCTGGCAACTCACGGTCCAAGAAGTCGCGCACCAAGAGCGACCCGCAGCTGCAGTTGACGTCTGAGGCTTATTTCACCACGGACCCAATCGGGCCGGCCGACGCGGTGCCTTCGCCTTTCGACCTTGAAGCTGCTGCCGGCAACGGCATGGCGGGAGGTGATTCCGGCAACAGCAACAACGACTCAGCCAGCCAGTCTTTTCCATCAGGGTCTAACCAGGCACCTGAACCCCGGGGATCCCCGAACCGGAACGGGCCGGGATCTACCCACTCAAGGGGGAGCGGCACCGCCGACAGCCCGATCGCCATAGAGGACGATCTCGGCGGCACGCGGAGGCTGCTCTTCCCCTCCCCGAGAAAAGACGGCGAGCCAAAAGTTCTGAGCGATGTTTCGGTCAACACGGCCAAGAACTCCCCTACCAACAGAGCCGCCAAGCAGCAGCAGCCTGTGGGCAAGGAGAACGTGGGAGAGGAGCTCCCACCGGTGCCCGTCACGCCCGGCATGCGAGTTGTTAACGACGACATGGCCGATCTGTTTGGGACACCGCCCACTGCCCGCCCCTCCACGCCGCCACCCAAGTCGGGAAGCTCGAACCCCAACGCGTTCAAGACGCCGACGCGGGCCACGCCCTCGCACCGCCCGATCACGCGTAGCATCTCCAAGTCGATCCGGTCCGTCCGCTCCATCCCCAAGTCGCCGAGCCAGGCCCTGCTCCAGCTGCAGAGGACGCCGTCCAAGACGCCGCGGTCTGGTACCTCGGGCTCTGGCGGCGGCGGCATGATGATGGGGGCAGGCAGCGCGTCGTCCAAGAGCCGCCGGACCCCGGGCCGCCACCAGCACCTGCAGGGCCTGCACGCCCACTTCGCGCCCAGCTGCCTCGACTCGCCCTTCACGGCGACCATCGACCTGCTCGTCTCCGAGGCCAACGACTTCACCGAGGGCTCCTCGGCGCACGGCCTCATCGACTTTGACCTCGCGAGCCTGCCGAACCTGGACAGCGACGCCGCCGCCGCGATGGGCGGCGCCGGCGTGGCGGCGATGGACTTTGGGCAGTACCTGAGCACCGACATGGTCATGCCGAGCTCGTCGCCCGGCGGCGGCAGCGGCGGTGGCCGTCTGCACCACCACCACCACCACCAGCACGTGTCGTTTAGTGCGGACGGCCTGGGCGATGACGGTTCGCATCTGTGGGCGCATATCGATCTGCAGACGGATGTGGGGGCGATCCATGGGCAGATGTAGAATGGAGAGAGGGATGTTCCTGCTGTTGTTGCTGCTGTTGTTGTTGTTGTTTGGTTTTATGTCCTCGAATGCATTTTCACTGTGAGCGAAAGCGTCGGTCCCGGGGTGGATTGTTTGCTGCTTTTGTTTGAGCGAGGAGAGGGAAAAGAGCGTGCATTATGGCGTTGTTTTGAGATTTGGAAGAGCAAAGAAGTAAGAGCCTGTGCAGAAGAGGCTATTTGTCTCGGATTATGATGGTACATGTTTGGTCATGATCATGGTGGTTTTGTTTGCGACTGAGTGTGTGCATAGATACCATTGGAGTGTGTTGATTCCTGCATTACACACACTCCGAGGAGGTCATTGGGGAACATATGACAGGCCGGGCCATGAAGGGATTTCTGCGTTGTTCGCACTTACAGTTAGCTTAGATACCTGTCTATTCTGTGCAGGTTGTTTGGTGCAAAAAAAAAAAAAGCCCAGACAACTCAATAGACATGAGAATATTATTCGTCGCTGTAATACGAAGAGATTCGCCTGGCCCGGCGGTTGAACCAGACCCAGACTTTCGGAGGAGTGTGACGCAGATGCTGATTTGTGATTTGTGGGAGGACAGCCGTCCTTTCCACACAGTTGACAACCCTGGTAAGCTGTCTGAGGAACATGTCCAGAGCAGGAAAATGCTTCATTACATGGTTATGTTATTGGATTGGCTCTTGGAATTGAACACTACCTGGGCTACCCTAGGTACCCTGGATAGATAGCTTCGGGTTGATAGGTCTCTTGCCCACAATGGCTACTACCAAATTACAGCCTTTCCCTTGCCGATCCGTCCGTAGCCAGCCTGACATTTCATCATCCGGACGCCAAACGCCGTCCCTGTTCCCTCTATCGGCCACGGTCGGCCCCGGTGTCTAGCAGGCCACAAGCAGAACATCCACGACAACGTGCCCGGCCCAGATGCTCAGACGGGCAAATGTCCCTTGAGACTTTCTCCACCGCGCTTCTCGATACAGTAGTGAAATGGCGATAACGTGCCCCCTTTTTGTTGTTGTTTAAACAAGGCGGCGTTTTTGATAAGCGACTTTTTAAGCTGGCTTCGATCGGGATACGTATGTACGTATGTATGTATGGATGTGGTCTGGTCTAGAAGTGGATCTCCCTCACGCGGTGCGAAGCCTCCACGAGGGCCTGGTAGACGCCCATATCTGCGCCCGCCGCCGATCGAAATCGAAAAGGTCAGTTCTCCAAAACTCTTTGTCGCCATTCTGCGCAGCAGGCTACACACTACACTACCCGACAAGGTGGGGGGGGGGGGGGCTGTGTGTGTGAAGACAAGGGGGCATATATAATATTTCAAACTTACCGACGGCGGCTCCGGACCCGAGGTCGAGCGAGTCCATCACCTTGACCGAGAGGTCCGGGTTGACCTTGCCGATGAGCTGCACGGCGTTGCCGGTGGTGAGGTGGGATTCCTGGGAGCAAGGACGTCAGTCAAATACTAGGTAAGCAAGGTGTGTCTTGTCTTTGTCTTTGTCTTGTTTCTGCAAAGGAGTAAAAGAGAGCGGGGAGAGAGAGAGAGAGAGAGGTGAAACGAGGAAACCGCCGTCCGAAACATACCCGGTTGAGCTGGGCCGTGATGTTGCCGTCCGAGTCGACGACGGCCGTGTCGCCGCGCAGCTGCGCGACCTTGCCGACGATCATGACGACCTGGCCCACGAAGGAGTCGAGGTAGCGGCTGGTGATCCGCGGGGTGACCTGGTCCATGATGGTGGAGAGTGTGTTTTGTTTACTTGTGGTGGGAAATACTTCTTCGAGGCGAGCGGATCGAACAAGGCAATGGCGATTCGGTGACGAGGACGACGATGATGATGTGACTTGATGGGCTTGGAAGTGAGGGAGACGCGATTCGGAGCGTATCAGCGCGTCGCGGGGCTTTAATTGGTTTCGCGATAAGGATTCTTTTAATGTGGGGATGGGTCAGCATGGGGTTCAAAGACGCCAACATCGGGGTGTAAGTGAGTGCGCCTGCCGGCTTTCGCTATAGAATTGCTCAACAGCAAGTGCTGGATACAAGTTATACATGGCTGTGTATATTCGGGCAAAAGCTGCCGCCGTGTGCTTTCAAAGTTGTTACGGATAGTCTATTGAAACCAGTAATTCCCCAGGACAGTCCGAAAGCTACCCAGCTCGGAACAGGCTGTCACGGTGGAACTGCACAGGGGAACGATGTTGAACCCAGATATAAAGGCGTGAGAGTCCTCGCAGAGTTTTGTGTTATCAGGCAAGATCCTCAACTCCGATTTCAAAGCTTGAAGGATTAGTCAATATATAAAGCGGCATTGGATGAACTTGGCGGCGTCTATGCAGCGCATTCGAGGTTCGGAGGTCAGGTTGATAATACGGAGCTACCTTAGGCAAGCATCTCTAGTTCAGCAAGTAAATAGGGCATCAAGAGCATGTTTGAAGGTACTCCCAGCCTGGGCTAATCACAATACCTCGTGCTTGCCACCGATACAGCCATGTGATTTCGGCATGGTTGCGCCCCTCCATACTCAGACAATTCAGGAGGCTTTCCGCCCATGGTGCGGATGAGGGAGGATTACGTTCTTCAGTGTAAGCGCGGGGGCTGGCCTAGAACAACAGAGGCAAGGCACATGCTTTTGGAGCGTGAAGTCAAATAGAAGAGCTGGCAAGGGTTGAACAACGCAGCTTCGGGGAGGCGGTGCACTAATCAACGGCTAGTAACGGGCAAGCAGTGCGGGCCTCGCGCCGGTAAGCCTGTCGAGGTTGAGCGACTGTACTGATGGCCATTCGATAGTCAAGCTCAGGACGGGAATAATCGCATTGCCGGACTCGAATTGTACTTGTAGACCCTTTTCTTGATGCGGGCCTCGGAGAGGGCATGTCGTAATGCCACTGTGGTCCGGCCAATGAGGAAGAACGGTAACTATGCCGACGAGAAGGCCAGGCGCAACGGGGTATTTTCACTTCAATTGGATGGTCTTAGCAGATAGGGATAGGAAGTAGACAGGCAAAGTCTCAGATCTACTTGAATCCGTCCGTCATTGCCGGGCATGTATCGGACAACAGCCAGCTCAAGCGTTATGACGACATTGACGAGTCCAGTCATCAAAGATAGGTTTTTCTCGGATGTCTCATCCTGTCGTGGAGATTGGCTGCCGCACTGCGAAGAGCAAGAACAGGGAGATGCTTGTCGCCGATCACTGTTGTTTCGCGGGTGCAGGATGGCAATGGATGCAACTCTTTTGCCAGTCTCCAGTGAGACGCGACGGGCACAACGCCGGGGTATGGTGTGTGGTGAGTGGCCCCGGGACCTTGGATAGTCTGATAGTGAAGGTCCACGGGTGCCTCTTTGCCCCTTGTACCTCAGCCAAAAGTGGGGGTTTTAGCGTGTCCGGCAGGTAAGGCGCTAAGAGCTTACTGGCCTGGCTGGTGCCTCAGTCAGTTCGTGGCTCAGGCTGGAGCAAAAGCTCCGCCTCGACCTCGCGGAGCTGCTTCTTCGCTGCTGTTTTGATTGTTGTTTTGGATGGTTTCTGATCGCATCGACAAACAGATTTGACCGTTCCCTCCGACATTGTCGAACAGAACGGCCTGGCATCTAACTGTTCTATGGGTGGCAAGGGTGGCTGGCTGGCTATGGACTGACAGTTTAGAAAGTTCTATCTATCTGTCTTTCTTTCTCACTCTATCTCTCCCAAGCTTCAAGCTCAGCTGATATCTCTCGCGAGCCTGTCTCGCAGCTCGCAAGCTTGGACCAGACTGACCGAGATGGTGGCCAAATAGCGTTTCTGTCCAAGGCATGCCTTGCCCGGCAGGGCCTAGTCCCCACTGCAAGTGCACGCCCCACTGGGGGCTGGGTGCCAATCACAGCTGGGAGGGAACACCCTCCGCCTGCCGAGTGGCCCTCATTCCCCGCTAAAATAACAAACTTCCAAGTGTTCCCTCCCGTACATTTGGGCAACCTGGGAACTTTGTCGACAACTGAAAGGCACGGCCAGCTCTGGGAAAGCCAATTTGCGGCCATCGAGATTGGCTTACCCATCCTCTCTGCTCAATCAACGCAAAAGAGTCCCGTGATTGAGTGAGTTCGGCTAGTGGCTCCTCTTAGCATAGCAGAATGCATCCTTGGCCCATCCATTCCCTTCTCTCGCGGAGCACCTAACCTTGGGAAAACAACAACAGCACAGTTCCGTCCAGCCACTAGAGGTAGGTACCCGACATTTATCGCCTCCCCATTACGCACGCCCGCCCTCCTTTGTGAGGACGAATGCAGGCAGCCAGAATGGATCTAGAGGCGGATCGGATGCTGGTAGGCGACGTGGTCAGTAGGACAATAGGAATGTATCTACCGGCTGTTGTGTCGCACCCTACGAGCCTACTTACTAGGTACTACAAGTAGTACATAGTAAGGTACCTGTAGGTGGAGAGCAGAGAGTCGTTCGGCAAGCAACGGTGGTCAGCCCTGCACATCAAATAACGTCCAGGCCTGGAACCTCGCGGGCGCGGCGCTCCTCGCTCTGCTGTTGGCTCAATCGTCTTTTCGCCTCTTGGATCGCCCAGCAGCCCGCCCAGCAAGAGTCGTGCGTCGTTGGGAATTCCCCTGGCAATCGCTTGGACTTCTAACGTCACAAGCCCATCATGACCCAGAGGGCCCACCTGCATTGGCTCCGCATGTTTGGCAACTCACCTACAGTACAAGTAGATAGAATTTCAAGTTTGACTGTCGCGTTCGGAGATGCCTCGCAGGATAGCTACTTGTACATTGTCTATGTCTAACTACTACTGTGCTTGGTTGCTGAAGGTACTGACATGCGCCGTGCCTGTTTAGGCCATCCCCATCTCCCTTGCGCCACCAGCCGCGCGAGGAGGGGATACTTCGGGGTTCCTTCCCAGACATTTCAAAGTAAAGCACGGAGTAAGGTACAAAGTAATGCTGCCATCATATTTACTTGGACCTTGCTTACCTGCCAGGTAATGTGGTAATCCAGTCGGCCATGTCCAAAATATGGGGAGGAATCTTTCCGTGGAAGTACCTACCTCACCTGCGACCCATCTTCAAGTGACCTCCACCCAGCATCAAACCCACCTTCACCTGCCAGCAGTCTGTCCAAGGTCGTCGAAACACACGACTTGACATAAAAGTCATCCAAGTGCGTTCCATTACTCCGTGGTCCTTTGACACAGATCCCGCACCATCTGCTGCTGTCTTTTCTGCGCCGCCGGCCCAAAAAGCCTTCTCGATTCATACAACAAGCAACCCTACCATTAATTGTCTTCTTCCCCAGACAGACCGCAGAAGCAAAACTCACTGGCTTCAATCCTGACAGCCACGCGTTTTCCGTCGCCGCGCAAGAGACAACACCCACCCCCAAGATACAGACAAGACTCCTCTGCCTGCCGTCTTGGAATTCTTTCCCATCGTTCGGCGCACACCCTCGTCGACGCGCCCTCCAGCTGCGCACCTCGCACGCCCCACTTCCCTTTGAGCTGCTCTGATAGAAGCTCCCTCCTCCCTCCCTAGCTCAACCTTGTCTTGAGCTCCCCTCTTCTGAAGCTCCCAATAGCTCGAGCTTTCCCCGCCCTGTACGAGCAAACATACCACCTCTTGGTGGATTGCGCCCGGCATCCTTCTTGGCCAAGCCTGATCCATTCGCCACTTCCTTTGATTCGAAGCATTGTCTGTCGGTCGGCTGGCCATCACTCGAGCATCTCGGAAGCTCATCCATCGACTTTCCTTCTCGGATCTCCTTGGCTCTCCTCCGTATTATCTACACCAGACCGCAACCGCCTGGCAGAGCATAACCATCAACAGTCCGGCCGAGCCGAGCCGAGCTCTGAGTTTACATTCGCCACCCTTTGGATCCGGCTGCCGGTTTATGTCGTGAAGTATCTACGAAGCAGTGTCAGTACCGGAGCACCTGTTCGCACGCTTTCAAGAGGCTGTCGTCCACGAACACGCCCCTTCCCACCTTGCAGATCCCTGGAGCCATCGCCCATCTCTCGACCCCCTGGAAGCATATGCCAGGGAGCTTCTCACCCGCATCAGCCCTGCTGGCCAATTGAAACCGTCCCGCCTCGACAAGGCCTTGTAGTTCCTCTTCCCGGCATTGCTCGAGGACCTTGCCGGCCCTTGAAAGATCCCACCATTCATGTCTGCGACCGTTTGCTACAAGACCACACTGGCCCCTGGCGGCCTTTTTCAAGAAGATCGCGCCATGGACACCCCTCACTTTTTCAGCGACGCGGTCGCTGATATGGACGGAGATGGTTCGTACCCGGATATCTTCAGCCATCAGCAGCTTGACCTGTCGTCGTATACCAACAGCCCCAAGTTAGCTGTGGACCCGATGCTGCTCGCTCCATCTCTGCCAGCTCAACCATCAAACCTTGCCGACACCATCGTCATACCCGCTGGCCAAGATTCGGCAGACAACGTGCAGACCGCTGCGGCGTCGGTATCAACGCGCCGGAGCGATCGAATCGCCCCAGCAACCAAAGTCGTCCCGCCCAAGCTGGTCCAGAACTCGTCAAACGATTCGACGACAACGCAGGAGAGCCGGCCGATGACGATCAGTGATGCTTCCTCTAGGAAGTCCAAATCCACCAGTGCTGCTTCCACGCCTCCACCAGAAGCGCCAGCGCCTAGAAAACGGAAATCCAGGAAAGTGGAAACCAGTGCCAAGACCGCAGAGAAGAAGGACGGCAAGAAGGACAAGCTGCTCGAGAGGAACAGGATCGCCGCCAGCAAGTGTCGGCAGAGGAAAAAGGAATATGTCTCCGACCTTGAGGAGACCAAGACCCGCTTGGAGACACAGCACTCTCAGCTGCAGCTCGAGTACCATACTCTCTTGGACGAGGTGACGCGGATGAAGACTGATGTCATGGCCCACGCGGCCTGCAACGACCCCAACATTGACAGGTGGATTGGCACAGAAGCCAGGAGGTTCGTCCAGCGGGTGAACCAGAACTGCATGGCGCAGCAGAACATGGCCTTCAACGAACCACCAGAGGTCAAACGCCCCAGCACGGCTCCGTCACCGTATACCTCTCGTCGAGATTCGATCTCGCAGGAGAATCCTGCTACACGGCGTGGCAGCATGGCGTTCTCTCACGTCGGCGAAGGTGATGCTTTCTGGGAGGACGATCTATCAGACTTGCCGTTCCTGGCCTCCTCGGTAGAGATGTCGCCGGTCGACGCCAAGTTCCCCATGCCCTCGTCTCCACAGATCAAAGAGGAGCACGCGATGAACTACGATCACATGCCGGACAGCATGTTCAGCTCGCCCAGAGAGAGCGGAACTACCGCCTAACGGGTCGAGTTTGTGAACTGCTGTCGCTGGAGCCAATCTTTTCACCGGTGGGGGTGGGCGATTGTTGCCATGATAGTATGGGATTTTCCAAGGAGTTTAGGAATGCGCAAGCTCGGGGGCTAATATTAAAGGTCCTTTTGGGGGGAACTTTGACGAGTGGTACGATTTGATACCCAGGTTGGGTGTTTAATGACAAGAGGCAGTCCTGTGGCGAAAGGAGCACTGGCTTCTTCCTGGTAGGCTTGAAAGCCTCGATCTTTGCCGGGACGGTCTATTCGACCAGCCCCAAGGTCCTTGACAGGTAGACAAAAAGGGAGAGGTTATCGTCATTCGTTTACCGATGGGAACAATGGGACGTGTAGATTAACGCAGAACTTTGTGGGCTCGGGATCGTCGGTGGCCGGAGTTTCTAGGGAATGTTTGTTCTACTGGAGTTGGGAAAATAAAAACAAAACCAGAAATAAACTGGCCGAGTTCCTTTTTATGTTTGGCTCAAGTAGCACGGGATCTTTTAGTTTTTGGGGCTTGTGGTTGTAAGAGTCAGGTTGACGTAAGGGGTGATGTCAGAGAGACGGGGCTTGATGATTGCGGTGACAGCCTCAAAACGCCTCGAAGAAAGAAAGGGCAGAACACTGCGGGCGGACTTTTTGACAGCGCGATGCCCATGGGCTCTGGGATGTGATATAGACATACAATGTTGTCTTGTGATTACGGCTCGCAAAGCTTTGTTATGTTGAAGAGAAGAAACTCGGAAGGGGATTAATTATGCGCAAGGAGTTGCAAGTCTCTCTCAAAAGCTGGACAGCGGTTTTGTGTATATAAGTGAGAGAGCCGACAAAAAAGGGAGAATGCAAGGTCCGCTCGTAATGGGTCCGCGCAAAAAGTAGTTAGTTGAAGAAATGATTGATATCTACCTCCTCGGCCAGCGAGCCCTTTTGACAGTACTTCTTCGTTCGGTTTGGGCGCTTCTGATATTTTGCTCACTGAATTGTAAATGAAAGATTGTTGGAGGCCAAGACAAAGCTCTTGGACGTTGTTGGCGCGTTTCACGGCTCTTGACTCCTGAAATGCGGTTGACAGCCAAGGAAGGTTTGGTGTTTTTTTTTTTTTTTAACGTTTTCTCGAGGAAAGACAAAAAAAAACAAGTGCCAGCATTTGAAAAAGACAATAAACCTATTGTTCATGATGTTTCCGTGGCGCCCTGAACTTGGGGGGGGGATTGCACTCTCGAGTCCCCAACCCGAACGACATCATCAGGCCCGGCGCGGCGGCGGCGGCGGCGTGGCTTTCCGGATTAGCTCGCAAAACGCCAGGGCACAAACGAACGACAAGGGGTCGTTGTGGATCAACGAAGGGGGGGGGATTGACAACAATTGAAGGCTTGCGGCTCCAAGGTGTTATTAGACTTATGTACAATGTTTCTTTCCATTTATGAATTTCGTTGATCATGCTATTGGCCAAGTTTCTGCGGCAAGAGAGCGGTAACATCTTCAAACAAAGGTGACATTGAGCGTCTATCAACACCTTCAAATCTCAATCAGTGTTCCAAAACATGTAATCGTCAAAACCAATTTTATGAGTATTTCTTCTAGCATAGCCCCCAGTTCAGAGCCATATGTATTTATACATGCACGTACAGATAGTGTACAATAGGGTTACTTCCGCCCCCCCCCCCCTTTGTCACGCGTCCGTCCCCCTTTCGCCTCTTGCCTCCCGGTTCCCCCTCTCACTTTCACTCAACGACAACCCGCCCGACGTCCGGGCCCCTCTGGCGCTCGCCGCTGACAAAGATCCGGCTGACGAGGTCGCTCTGGTGCCGCTCGACCATCTCCCGCAGCGCGCCGCGCTCGACGACCAGCCGGCCCGTCTCGAGCAGGTCCTTGACGTCGACGTCGCCGACCTCGAGCGCCCTCCCCTCCTCGCCCGCGACCTCGAGGCTCGTAAACAGGTTCGGCCGCCGGTCGGCCGTGACAAACGTCGTCCGGCCCGCGCCGCGGCCCCACTCGAGCCCGCCGAGCAGCGACCGCACGTACCGCCGCACGAACCCGTCCTCGAGCTCGCGGCCGAGCCGGCCCGCGCCCGCCAGCGCCAGGAAGTCCTCGGGCAGGGGCAGCTCGAGCCCGTCCTCGCAGACGACGAGCTCGCCGCGGCGGTAGCGGTAGCTCAGCGCCGTGCGCCAGGCGAGGTCGTACACTTTCCGGTTGAGCCCCGTCGAGAAGTCGCGCGGGTGCGGGCCGAAGGTCTTGCCGCCGCCGCGGCGCAGGGGGCTCTGCTTGTTGCCCACGCGGGCGTGGCCCGTGCCCTTTTGCCGGTAGAGCTTGCGGTGGGAGCCGTGGACCTCGTACCGCGTCTTGGAGGAGGCGGTGCCCTGGCGGGTCGCGTCGCCCTCGAAGACGACGGCCAGGTGCAGGATGTCGCGGCGCAGGGGCAGGTGCAGGTGCTTGCTCGACCAGTGCTCCAGCCGGCGGGGCTCGAGGGTCGGGAAGTTGTAGATGGTCAGGGGGACGGTGCTCGGCGGCGTCCAGAGGTTCGTGGACGAGGGTGAGGTAGAGGAGGAGGTCGCCGCGGGATCGGTAGGGAGAGGCGCCTCGGTGGCCATGTTGCGGACTTGGCAAACGGGTCGGATGCGGTTCTGGAATACGCACAAGTCAGTATGCAGGTTTTCAATGGAGCAGAAAATGATTCGTCGAGCGCATACCGGAAGGGTCTGCCTCGTCGTAGAGGCCGAGGATATGCTCAGGGCCTTGATGGCCTCTGCGAGACCCCGGGAACCCTTTGCGGCGGCCATGGCTCAGCAATTGACCGCTCAAGTCGGCAGGGCCGGTCCGATTTGCTTCCAGCCGGTACTATCCTCCGCACAGGTCAGAAGAAAAAGGCACAATTCGGGCTGCGTGTGCGGCGTTTTGCTGTGGTCGAACCGGACGGTGCTGCTCTTTCTGTCCAGTCGTGAGCTGATGTTTTGCAAAATTGCTACGGGGAGGACTAGAAGAAGTCCATCTCCAGAATTTCCCGGGGTGCACGGACCCCCAAACGGCACTAGCGCTAGCAAAAAACGGAGGCCATCGCGTGCCGAAAGGGTAAGGGGGAAAAAAGTAGCTAAGCTAGCAACGTCGAATGCCAGTGGTCCCAAAATTTCGAATTGGCCTGTTCTCAGACGACTTTGGAACCTCTCCCCATCGTCACCACCATACAACAGCCGGGCACTCCAACTACAGCACCCAGCCATGTCGCGGTGCCCGCAGGTAGGAAGGCCAATCGCCCTCGTGCGATGCCTCCGCCACCAGCAACAGCAGCACCGCCATCTCGCTGGCCCGGCCTCCTCGATAGCCGCAAGGCGGTACCTCTCCGGCACGCCTAACCGGCAGCAGGACGATGGCGAGAAGCAGCAGCAGCAGCAGCAGCAGCAGCAGGCCAATGCTCCGGCAGCCGCCGACAAGAACAAGGGACCGCAGAGCAAGAAGCCCCAGGACACCGACTTCAAGCGCCGCAAGCTCGACCCCAACGTGACGACCCTGCCCTGGGCCGAGAAGGAGCTGCTGCGGCGAGGCACCCCCCCCGTCGGCTCCCGCCGCCGCCGCGCCGCCGTGCGCACCTCGCAGAACATCCCCTTCGAGCAGATGCCCTACCAGTGCTTCCAGGAGGCCCGCAAGCTGCTGCGCGAGGACCGCGACGCCAAGGTCCGCCAGATCGTCGCCGAGACGGACAGGATCCGCAAGCTCGAGGCCGCCGACCCGGCCCAGTTCCGCGGCGGCGAGGCCTACCGGCAGAAGCGGCTGGCCAGCCTGCGCAGATACGTCGACCAGCTCAAGATCCTGGCCGACATCAACGACCCCCTCGTCAAGCGGAGGTTCGAGGACGGCATGGGTATGTCAATGCCTGCCGCGCACAACACCAACACCCTCCATGCACGTAAAAACACGTTTGTACTAATATGTGGGCAAATGTATAGGCGACATGAACAAGCCCATCTACCGGTACCTCGCCGAGAAGCGCTGGCAGGGCTACCCGCGCCGCCTGATCCAGCAGCGCATCGCGCAGTTCCACATCGTGCCCGACCTGCTCCCCAAGTTCGAGCCGACCATGGACGTCCAGCTCTTCTTCCGCCGCTTCAAGGTCGGCCCCGGCGAGCTCGTCGACTCGGCCGTCTCCGAGGCCATCCCGCGCCTGCGCGTCCAGACCTTCCGCCCCGGCGAGCGCCTCGTCTCGGTCGTCGTCGTCGACTCGGACGTGCCCCGCCCCGAGACCGACGACTTCGGCCGCCGCTGCCACTACCTCGCCGCCAACGTGCCCCTCTCGCCCGCCGTCACCTCCCTGCCCCTCGCCAAGGCCGACCCGGCCGCCCAGCTCGCCGTCCCCTGGCTGCCCGCCTTCTCGCAAAAGGGCGCCCCCTACCACCGCCTCTCCGTCTTCGTCCTGGAGCAGCCCGCCGGCTCCCCCCCAATCGACGTCGGCAAGCTCCGCGAGCTCTACGCCGGCCGCGACGGCTTCAGCCTCAAGAGCTTCCGCGACAAGTTCGGCCTCGACCCCGTCGGCTTCAGCATGTTCCGCACCGTCTGGGACAAGGGCACCGCCGGCGTCATGGAGCGCGCCGGCATCCCCGGCGCCGACGTCGAGTTCAAGCGCCAAAAGGTCGAGCCCCTGCGCGAGCCCAAGAAGCAGCGCGGCTGGGAGGCCAAGAGGCAGGGCCCCAAGTACAAGCACCTGTGGAAGTACACCAAGCGCATCGCCTCGCCTTCGGGCAAGTATGTGCGGTAAAGGACCCGCCGGGATGGTGGACTGCTGGCTGCGATTGCGTGAGGGAGGCATTGGTCGCCATGGCAATGGCGAGTGGTGTGTGGAAAGCAAGCGACAAGAATCACCCGTGTACTATTCTACTGTATAAGTAATGAATCATTGGTGATAGACTCTGTAACACTATAGCACTCAAAAATCAAGATATCTTTTTGTGTCTTTTGTTTGGAAAGACTTTCGGTCCTGAATCTTCTGCTTGAAATGCTCTGCTTGCTCTATTGATCTCCGTGGCGAGGCACAGCGACTGCTGCACTCTTAATATCTATCATACAGTCTACAGGGAAGACAATATTCTCCATTCCAAAAACCTCCTGTCGTCCGCTCAACACCACCCTTTGGTGCGGGGATTCAGCCTCATGTCTAAAGATTCCTTGCGTAATCCAGGGCCTCAAATCCGAAGCACCGTCCCGTTGCTGCTTGCCGGACTTCCCATCATCACAGGGCTATGACCAACCGCAACTGCACCGCTCTGCAAGACGGCGGCCAACTTCACCGCCGCCAGCCCTCTCGGTGATTCAACCGTGCCCATGTCGACAGTCCGACTGGGCAATTGCTGTTCTCCAAGCAAAGCCAACCGCAGCTCGGCAGCTTCGGCCCGCTCCCGCCACACCTTGCACTCCTGCTGGACCTGCTGCTGCTGCTGCTCATTCAAGGGGTGAGAATGCTCCAGAGCAAGCAGGCGTCGCTGCAGCCAACTACACTCATCCGCCTTCTCGGCGAGTTTAGACTGAAGCCTCCGGACGCGAGCTTCGACCCGGAAGCCGCCGGGGTCAGTCATCACGCCCTCCGACCCGTCGGCGGGCTCAACGCACGATGACCAGGGTCCCCGCCCCGACAACAGAGGCCTCTGGGTCCTCTGTGGTGTGTGAAACACTGGGACAACAGTGGAGGAAGCTTGTTTTGCGCATGTCGCTCTCGGCCCAAACTTCGTTTCCGGGGCTGGCTCATGGTGTGTTGTGCCATTTATGGGCATTGGAGGCCAACCAGCCTCGACCCGAGGGCCTTCGTGTGCGCAGCCGGGGTTGGCATGATCCAACTCTTCTCGAAGAATCCTAGGAGATGCTGCTCCATCCACCGTGTCATAATTGCCCAGGTTCCGCCTTGCTCGCCAAGTCTCCGAGGGGGTTGTCCCCACGACCGCCTGTGGCGACATTGATGGCCGCGGAGCTTTGAGCAGAGACGAAGGCGACAGTTGCGGGACCGGTGCACCTACTGTCAGAGTTGCTCCCGCATGGCCATCCAGGTTCCCTTCTGACCTGGTAGAGTGTATCGACCTCGGCGTTGGAGGATTCACAGTATACCGGGAAAGCACACTAGTCGATCTGGTCAACCCTCGTCCTCTTCTCAACTGACTTGGTGATGCAGCCGGATCCGACTCCTGAGCAGCATGATCAAATTTGGCCACCAGTGCTTTGACAGTTCCCGGACCCGCAGAACCCCGGTCATGAATGCGCGTACGAGGCACCGGCGTGGCGTAGTCATTCATTTGGGATGAGACGTTCGGAAGAATGCGCTGGCCCGGAAAGTCGGCGTGATCTGGGCCTGGAAACAGAGGAAATCGGCGAGGGCCTCCAGGTTCCAAGGCGCCACCTGGTCTGTTGAAGGAAGATGGAATATCTTCCGACGTCAAAACTGACTCTCCATGAAGTATGCTAGGGATACGATGCTGGCTCTCACTGGCCTCCAGCGCATCATTGTCCCACGCGTTTCCATTCAATCTCGCGAGGCTATCCGACTCGACTTGAACTCCTCGATCGCCAGGCGAATGCTGTCGAGATAATGCCGACCAAGACGGTGCACTCTGTTGATGTGGCAGTGTATCTCCTCGTCTGCGTGCCAACTTTGTACATGGAGTTGAGCTGTCAAATAACACTGCATCGTCAAGAGAATCTTCATGGAACGGGAAAGAGTTTGTAGAGCGGAGACCTGACGACACCGGATACCCGATGAAAGGAGGCGTGTCGGGTGAAGGCCTCGACTGCCTTGCTTGACAGTGATTGTCGTCTTTTATCAAGCTTGCTTCGAAATATGGTTCTTCTGTGGACTTCAAAGACGAGCCCTCTGGAACTGCCGCACGCTCAAAATCGAAGCTCTGATTATGCATAGCAGAGAGCTGATGTAAACTCCCGTCGTCTGGCGCCTGTTTTGGTGTCTTCTCGACTTCATTTGGCCTTTGCCTTCTTGGACTGAGACCCGAGTGGTTGATGTCCCCCGAACGATTTGTCCCTAGGTTGCTGGTGAGCAACGAGCACGGCGGTTGTGATAATCCAACTTACTGAAGTCTACCCTTGGTCCACAGGATGATGGCGGTGAAGAATTATCCTCGAATTGCTGGCCTCTTGGAGCATTTTGAATAGCCGACCTGGATTGAGTCGGGTGAGGAAAGATCGCGGACTCCGATGACGGCAAAGCACCAGGAGAGAGAGGAGGGTCCTCAGAGGAGACACTGCTTCTCAGGGCGCCAAGAGTCTTCATGTTTCTCACCACATCCCTCCAATGTGTGATCAGCATCTCGGCGATATCGTTGGCGACATGTATTTTGTCGACCGTCAAAGATGTCGATCGAATGTCTGATTCAGTCCCCCTCCGACTATATGATACTCTTGACGTAGGGGGTGTCGAGGGCATCAGTACTAGGCCCATGCTCGGGTCGGCCAGCTTGACCGTGTAGGTGTCTAGTAGATCTCCGACCAAGAGGGGTCCAAAAATAATTCCCAGTGCATTAAAGCCCATGAGGTCCTGGGCAGGCACAGTATCTTCAAGACCGTCCTCCCTAAGACAGGCAGACTCAGCCTCCCGGCCGATCAAGCATAGGAGACCGAACACAGAACAGATCAGCTCCCTCCGATACCGTGATTGGACTGTCCCAATGGCAAGCGCAATGAAACGGCCTCGCAACTTGCTGCGTTTTATTTTGTTGAAGCTGGCGTCGCCATGTAGTTGGCTGTGAATGGCGACAAGTGCATCAAATAGAGGCAGAGACCCGAGTATTCCGCCTGGCAGGCCGGCAAGGAACCTCTTGAACGCTGACGCCACATCGTGGACCCTAGCATTGATATGAGTGGGAAGATTTGGAGATCGAACTGTGCCGTTGACGTCGTCGTCTCCTGATCCCGTGCTGTAATGATCGTAGAGAGAGTTGACAACTCGAACTGAACCAGGTATACGGAAGACGCCTCGAGTAGACGGAGCTACTATTGTCAGCTGCAGAAGGCTCTATAGGCGGGGATTTGACAAACCATGTTGTACCAGATACTGAGCCGTAGCCCGGATGCAAGTCGGCAGCATGAGCGACCCAGTGGCATATTCAGGGGGCAGATACAAAACACTTTTGCCGCATGTGCGGACAAGAGTCTGTAGGCTCTCGCCCTTGAAACTGTCTCTCTTGGTTTGTACCTGAGCCTGGGTAGCTAGATCACTCACGCTTTGCTTGCGACGGATGCTGCGTTCTGATTTGGAGCTGACAGATCGGCTCGATGAAGGTGGTCGACAAAAGGTTCGAGAGAACCAGCTCTTCTTGGGCACCAACACCTGCTCACCGGGCTGCTTATTTTTCAGCATCGGCGCAAGCAGTACGGACACAAGCTTTAACTCACAGGTACTGGCTGGCACCCTTCAGGTAAAAGTTGACGAACTCCGTACTGCGTGGGAGGATCTCATCAGTGATTATACTCAACAACTCGGTGTACTGATATCGCTTCACGCACTTGGGCTGCCAGGCGATTGTACGCATGAACAAACACGGCTCGATCATCTATCCGATCCGACTTAGGGAATTCGCAACTAGAAGCGGTCCACGTCGTGGCGCTGGACCAGCCATTCCGACCGTGTGTTGCCGACACAGGCAGTCCCATCAGTGTCTTATACGGGGGTAGCTGGCTTCTGGGCGAAGACAGAGGTCTTGCATGGGGCCTCGTACGGTCTCCGGAGTGATGCGCCTGATACACCGAAATGTTGGGCGTAGTGGGCGGAGATGTCATCGCGGTGCTGCTATACGATGAAGACGATGCTCCCTTAACATGATTGTACGACGGATGCATTGGTGGGTGCAGGCGAGATGGTTCTATGGCGGAAGAGGCTGGGAAGAAAGCGGATACTCTAAGATTGAATGGATCGATGCCTCTATTTGAGAACAACTAGCTGATCAAGAAGAATGCCTGTGGTCTTGAAGCAAAGAATAGCGATGAGTAAGGGGTGTGTGTGTGTGTGTGTGTGTTTGTGTGTGAGAGCGGGAGCAGCAGCTTAGGCAAAAAGGCGTTGTTGCACGTTTCCTTCATGCTTGACACTCGACACAGGCGCACCTGCACCTCGACGACACACAGAGCCACGACAGAAGGACGCAGCCACCAGAAGCGCAGCTTCCTCGCTTCTACGCCCCCTTCGCAGCTGCTAATTATGGGCGCAAAAGAAGCACGAGCTCCGGTGTCCCTCGAGGAAAAAGATGTCGCGACCCCGACGGCGGTAAACATGCCTGCACAGGCCCCGTAATGCACTGATCCGCGTTGCAAACACAGAACGGATCTCATGTCTATTCAAAGACATGGCGCCGCAATGCTGTGTCATAGCAATATCACGTTTCACTGATGCGATGCTTTCGCCACGCCACGCCACGCATTGCCAACTCCAACATGCTTGTTGGCACGCCGGGCCTCAACGCGAAGGCTTGGACGCATGTTACCTTGCTGCGCCGGACCCTGATCCACCAGCCACGCCAAACACCCGGTCCAGTTCCTCCCCTGGATCCGGCGCAGCCATCTCGCTCGGCCCAGGGTGGTCAGCGGGGCCGGGCCCGACTTCTGCGATGCTCATGCTGGCCAGTCCATCCGCCGCGGCGCCAACGCCGCCACCGCCCTCGCGCTCGGGCTGCAGGAGCCGCGCATCGCTGTCGAGCCACCCCGGCGCAACGCGGCGCTTCTCGGCCAGCTCTCTCTCGCGGATGCGCGCCTCCAGGGCCTCGAGCTCGGTGCGCGCATCGGTCTGGAGGCGGGATATGTGCGCTTGGAGGGCGCGGCACGAGGCGATGATGTCGTCCGGGTGCGCGGCGTGCCCGGATGCCGACACGACGTACTTGGGCTTGGCTGTTGCTGGGTCGTGCTCGTCCGACGGCGCTGCGGAGGCTTGCATGCCGGTGGCCGAGGGCGGGAGCGTCGAGGGCATGGGTTTGTACGTATATGGCAATGTGGTGGCAGATGGAAGATTGACGAAGGGCGAGACGGTGAGCGGCACCTGCTCCAGGAGCGGGTGCGATCCTTTACAGATCATGTCAATGAACTGGCCTTTGATGCAGAGTGTTGGGACCATGGCGGTGGTGATACTTACGATTGTCGTGCATTGTTCTTGATACCGCGCAAGAAGGCAAATATTGAGCAGTGCGTACGAGTTTGTCTCTCAGTCCCTTCAAGGAAGAATAAGGAAAGGAAGAAACATTGAGTAGAAAAGGACCGTTTCGGCTTACCGTTTGAGTTGTTTGCCTGTTGGGTCGCCAGAATGACGACTGCGCCATGTACCGTGTGCACTAATAAATGACCTACCCCAGTCCAAACCTTTATCCGATAAGGCAGCAGATTCCAATGTCGGTGCTATCAATCACTGCCTGATACCCCGCCAAAATTTCGAGCTTCATGCCTACTGACATAGCTTCGCGACTCGAAAACCTCCATCTTGCGCATCTCTCGTCCTCAATTCATCCGCTCAGCGCCCACAATCCCTCGACCGCAGGACGAAAAGATGGAAGCCCGAGCCATAACCACGACCATCCGGTCGTGTCCGGCCGCCAGCGACTACGTCCCGCTCGCCGAGCACCAGTCGCAAACCCCAGAGACCTTCTTCGGCGGCAAGCCTGTGCTGCACTACCACGCCGCCGGCGCAAAGGCCTTCGTCCCCAAGTCGCAAATCAGCCGGCTGCCGTTCATGCCGGCGGCTGTTGCGCCCGCCGATGCGAATGCGGCTTCGGAGGAGATCGAGGGCTCAGAGGAGGAGGAGCTGGTAGATCAAGAGGTTGACATCTTTGTTGGATCAGAGTACGTCTGGCCCCTTGCCGCTGTGCGCATCGCCAAAAAGACCCAGGACTGACCGTGAGCAAAGTACATTCACCGTATTCAACCGAGCCTCTTCGACAGGCCTTTCTATACCGTATCCTCTCATCGCAATCCACGCTATCAAGTCCCTCAGCGACTCTGCCACGAGCAAGGTCCAGTCTGTGTACATGCAGCTCGACCTCGCTGATGGCGGCGCCACCGACGACGACTTCGACACCGTCGAGCTCACTATTGTCCCCCCCTCTACTTCTTCTTCCTCCTCCACCACATCAGACGCCCCTCCCACAAACGGCGAGGCGCCGCCCCCGGCGAGCTCCGAAACCGCCAAGCTCTTCGAGGCAGTATCCGCCTGCGCCGACCTGCACCCGGACCCGCCGCAGGACGGCGGCGAAGACGAGGACGACGACATGGACCGCATCGTCTTCGAGAGCAGTGTCGACGACGCCGAGGCCATCGATGGACTGCCCGGCGTCTTCAGGTCTGCCGGCGGCGGCGGTGATGATGGTTTGCCGCCGCCCTTCCCTGGGAGTGGAGGCTGGATCACGGCCGAGAACATGCATGAGTATTTCGACGAGGAGGGCAACTGGATCGGGGACGAGGGAGTCAGCGGAGAGCTTGGCGAAGGCGCGGGGAGGGTTCGGGGCCGGGACGAGGCCGAGGGTGAGAATGGTCAAGGAGGCGCCACGAATGGCCACGGGACTGGCGATGATTCAGAGAGTAAAAGACCGAGGACTGAGTGAAATGGACGAGTATCTTGGGGGAAGAAAATAAAATTACGAGCTATCCAAAAGGTCTTTGGTTGTCCAGGCCAGAGAGGCAACTTGTGTATTAGTATCTCCAATAAACGAGGTACAGAAGAGCAGTCCCGGAACCAACGCCCCTTTATTTCTGTTTATGTCGCAATTTCTCCTCAGGTCTAGCGTTGCCGCCTTTTTTGTTCTTAAGGCACAGTGGGCACATGGGCTTTCACAATACGCCAACGACCGACTGGCAGACTTGTCCGAAGTCCAAGCATGCAGCGGATGCTTGGATCAACGCAGACGTTGCAGAAACATTCTGGCATGTACCTTCCAAACGGGGCTCGTTCATTGCTTTTCAGTCTGCTATGCATACATAGAAGACTTCCCTATTTCCGAGCCTTTGTTCTTGTATCCGCCAGCCATCATCAGAATAGCACCGAGACGCCATGCAAATGCCCAACCCATCTCATTTTTATGTTTTGCACATATTTTTACAAGCCCGGGCGTAGTACTTCGAGATCAGTCATCTCATCACTGTTCGATCCCATCTTCTTCATCGATAAGCCTGCCCAGGATCAGGCTCTGGATGACCAGCTCATCGCTCAAGGTCTTGATCCTCTTGGGAGGGGTGCTGGCTCCGCTCGTGGTCGTGCTGGATCTCTTCCGCTTCTTGCCATTAGTTGCGCCTGTGGTAAACAAGGACTCGCTCTGTCCTGATTTCCCGTCGACATATACCCAGTCGTATGGGCGATCAACAGCCTCCATGGCTTTGAGCTGGACTCGAGCGTCTTTCAAGTTGTACACGCGAGACAGCGAGGCCCCTAGCACCCAGGCAAGAAAGACATAAACCATCTTCTTGCTTTCATCTGTCTTCTTCATCACGAGAAGAATGCGGTTGCCAGCCAGGAACCTAGGCCGGTGTTCCAAGACATCCGACAACTTAGCGCTTGAAGCATCGTACGGTACAATGTTCCTAGAGCGGATAGCATCGCCGAGGAACGATGACTGCCCTGCACAAAGAAGATACGGCGTCCAGTCAACCACTCTCTTCTTCTCCAAGCATGTAGAGATCCAGCGTGAGGCAATACAAGGCAGTCCCAATGCGAGAGCCTGCATGTATTTCACTTTCCTGGAATGCCCGTCGGCTATCAGCGCGGTGAACCCGATAGAGCTTGCCGCGGAACGCAGAGGGATATCGACATCGTCTGGTGGGGTGGAAGCAGGACTCGTCGATGTGCTTCGGATTGGAGGATGATCAAATAGCTCATCAAAGCCGCTCGAAAGCACGGTGCCGCCTTCTTGTATGATTTGATGTTCTAATTCTTTCGCGGTTGCCATACGATCATGGTACTGCTCTGCATTCTCACCTGGCTTCTCTGACTGGAAAGAGATGGCAAATGCCATGCCAAGGAAGAGCTGTTGGGCACCTAGGCTTCGATCTCGAGAAGTGGACTGGGCGCGTGATGGTGCGCGTCCTGGCCTCGCAATCCCAGCAAGGGGTGCATTCACGCTACGATCAAACGTTGGCGTGGAAGACGGGGAACGACCCAGCTCATCAGTGGAGGGCGGTTCCGTATACACTGGCGGCTTTCTGGATCTCGTGGCCACCCTGGTCCGTCCGCCGTAAGTAATCGTTTTTGGCGCTGCTTTTGTTGCCTTGCGTCGGAGATCTCTGGAAACCGCGGGAGAGGAATGATCGCCGCTCACAAGATGGGCTGCTTCTCCGCAATCATCCGTTGCAGGTGTAGTCTTCTCCGATAGCGTAGGCGTTACAGACAGCGTGCTCAAGCTCGACGTCGAACCTTGCATAGCTGAGCTTGAAGGGGCCCCAGGCTCTGTTTGCCCGCTGGATATGACTCGTGCACGCTTCCTCGCTCGGGTACTCAAGGCAGGCGGAGAAGAAGGCACTGACGATGGCACAGCAGGAAGCCCATCTGCTTTGGGTTCTGGAAGAGCTAGGGAGGAGACTGCAGTGTTTTCGTAGCTCGGGTGTAGATCGGTCTGTATGTCAGTTGATGTATCATGATGCGAGCCGCGAGTCTTTGAATCCACCGACGCTTGAATTGCAGCATTATCCTCCTTGGACGATGGCACGCCTTGCCGAGATGCTTGAGGTTGTCCGTCGCTCTGGAGCGTTGGATAAGAAAAGCCGACCAGAGACTCGGATGTTGAAGATTGGTTTTGGAAGGTGCTGAAGGGCCGAGGCTGCTGCGGCGCGGGACTGGTCTCAGGAATGGCCTCTCCTTGATCCAAGGGATTGCTCCAAGTTGCCGGAAACGCGGAGCCATCTCTGTCTAATGCAGCTACAGCGGAACCTGGAGATCGTGTCAAAACCTCGCCACGAGTATGCCCCCCATCTCCGACAGACTTGGCTGTTGGCAGATCATCCCCCGAAGCAGTCTCAGCTGCTTCCAGGGACTGAGCAACTACCAGATCTTTCTGGGAGTCCGCCACGGTGTCTTGGCCCTCGGGGGTGCTGGTCCCTTCACCTTTCGAAGTAGCATGATCCCCAGGGAGCGAGGCTGGAGACTGTTTTCCCTTCTTGTTGGTGGACGGCACCTCGACTTCATCAGACTCTGAGGAACCCTTGAAACTGATCGAGGAGAGTTTTCGCTTAGCGGCAGACTTTTTTTCCTCCGCTCTTCGCCGACGCCTGAAGTCATCATCGTCGCTTGTCTCTCCATCAGAGCTCAGGTTAGAGTACTCGTTGGATGTCTCTCTCCTGAGCTGTGATAGCTTCATTGGCTCATATTGTTCCATGGGTCCAGAGGTCAAATGCTTCTTTGAGGCAATGTACTGGAGCGGATTTTGAACAACCGGACCCTTGGGGGTCGGCTCTTCGAAACGTAACTCATCTGCTCCTGGAGGTTCTGACAGGATTCCAGCTTCACGCTCAGGGCTTGAAGTTGGCTGCAACATAGGCGAAGATGGCAAGCCACGAGCCTTTAGCGGTGATGAGATGACTGGATTTGGGGATATTGAATTGGGCTGGAAATCGTTTGGCGACGGTCTTGACGATGTTGGGCTGATCCCACCCCGCACGGCAGACGAGAACTGCGTCTGTCTGAATAGCTGCGAACCGCCGAGCAACTGTGCTCGGTCGTGAGCGGCGAACGGGTTCTTGGGTTGGGCTGGTGTTTCCGGAAATTGGAACGAGCCATGGTTCGGTGCATGTTGCTGAGACTCGGCATCGCCTTGAAGCACCAAGCCGAAGTCCACAAGACCTGAGTCATCGGGGACGGTAGATTGAGTGGCGTGCGCTGCTATATGGCTTGTCCCGAAAATGACAGCGCCAGTGTCTTCCTCATTCAGAGTCTTTTGCTCCTGCGAACTTGGGAAGTGGTCGTCGAGTCCAAGGGCTGTAGAGGGCAGTTCATCCTGCAGCCTTGGGGAGCTCCTGTAATATTGCTCATAGCTGCGCCCATCATTTGACTGGGTCGGAGACTGAGAAGGATCCATATTGACGGCCTTCTCGGGTATTTGTGAGTGCGCTGAGGCTATATCCTGAGGTTGACCATCTTTACAAAACACCTCCGAGCATGGCTCGTTGCTAGCCTCGGAGAGAACCGAGGGCGCCGGGTTGAGTTGGGCCGAAAAGACAGGATCGGCCACGGGAGATGCAACCTCTGTTACGGCGTTTGTCCTGGGCGTGATATCTGCCAGAGACCGATCACCGTGATCCCGCTTTCGATAGTGTTTCTCTGTGGATGACGCACTTCGCGACGCGCGATGTAGCTGCAATGTCGCGTGGTCCCGTGTCTAGAAAGTGAGGAAATGGGTCAGTGCCAACCATGTGTATCGGACCTCCACTAGCGGGGAGTGTGGCCATTTTAGAGCGGAGTGATCGGGAACGACATTGGACGTACCTTATGTGGACCGGACTCGGACTCGAGAAGACGGCTTCCCACATATGCCTGGTGAACTGTTCAAGACAAAACACTAAGTAAATGCTCGAATGGACTTGTAATGCAGGAAAAGAAAGAAAAAAGGGAAAGACAAAAAAAAAGAAAAAAAGATAGAGCGATTCAAGCTCACCTTTTGTCACGTTTCCGGGTGTTGCCTGTGTGGGTAGACAAGGTGGAGGAGCGACAAGATCCGATTCTTGCGTTTCTCCCGGAGCTGGGGAACTGCTCAGCTAGACGAATAAAACGTTAGCCGGCCGGTATTAGACCAAAATGCAGGGGCTGCCTCAGCGTACTGTCCCGACACCGTACCAGTCCATGTACACATCCAGAATATTGATGCTCTCCTGGGACTCCTCGTTATGCTCTTTGGGTGTCATCATGGCTGCTGGGAGGACTGAAGACATCGAGGTTATTCGGATGAGAACTCGGTTGGACCATTGAAATCACCAAGGCAGGCGAGAGATTGGACGTCGTACTGCCTTGATTGGTGTCATGCTGGTCAAGTGAATGTGAATAGACCTTTGTGGTCAAGCAATTCACCAGCACGACTTTTGCAAATTTGGGACGACATTCACTCGGTTGGTCTCAGAGGCACCTTCCTTCTTTCACAGCTAGTACCTTCCAACTCTCTGTATTGACTACTAGGTATAACCAGAGAAGTGACTTTAGAGGAAGGCACGCATCTTCTTTACAGTGCATTGTGTTACAGCTTTGAAAGCCTGCGACTTCACTTTAGGAACGACAGATCGGGGGCTGTCCAAGATTCTTTTCCTTTATGAGTTCCTCCCATTGATTTCCCTACTGCCCGAGTCCTCTCTAGAACACAGTCGTGATGATATTGGCACAAGAATGCTCACTAATGATTGGCTCTCGGGACATGAATCCTCGGCACGAATCCTGAAACGGATGCAAGAAAGATCTTGTTCCTTTCCTCGGTCTTCTAGAACATGAAGAGAAGATGGAAATATACTCCGTACACTCGCCTGCATCATTACCAGGGAAAGCATGGGTTGGGGGTTGCGTGCCTGGTGTACACGGTCTACAGGTTCTGATTGGCTGCATCGAGGTGTAATGTTTTGATGGCATTAAGGTACGGAGTAGGCCGCGTTCGGCATTCCCACACCTCTCTCTGGTGATCAGCCCCTAATAATAACAACGATCCCCTGTCGGAGCTCAACAAACCCCTGCTCTTTTTAATCTTCATCTGCATGGTCATCCGGTGTTGTATCCAGGCACTCTTTTCCCTGCGCTTCTTTTCCCTTTCTGCTGGGTCATGTCACACACTCTCCGGCCCCTTCCGCTGGCATTTGTTTCTTGAATTGCCGTCCTTTTCTGCTACCCTCTTCTTGCTATCTGTGTGTATGACATATCTGAGACCTGCTCACTCACACGTCACCACTGTGTCCAAATCGCCGACCACAGCAGAGGTACGAGATCCCCTGCCTGCTCCTTCATCTGCACAGCTTCTGGGCGTCGCGTTCGCCCCCCCTACTAAACCCACCGGCCCTGCTGTTTTGTGGACCCCTATTTACTTTTTGGCAGCGATTCACATGGCCATGACCCCAGACGGTCTATGCGTGTTTCCCTAGCACTCACAGCCAGGCCCGCGGATGCAAGGATGACCGGGGAAACAGAACAATAATATTGGGAGCGAAATGACCGTCATCACACCATACTTAAACCGACCTTGACTATCCTTCAAGACCCTGCTTCCCACGCCTCGTCCTCCAAGTCGATTTTGATTCCTCTGCCTCTTTTCACAGACAGAGCCATCATTGTCGTACTCGAGCGCCGGGCCTGGTTTCAACTGCCCTGTCCTCCGCTCCATAAACTCCCCATAGCATCATATCAACTTCTCCATCGAACTGGTCCGCTTACCGCACCGTTCTTGTCCCTCGTTACCCGCATCAGCGCGGCCCACTGCCCGGCCATCTCCAGGCGGCCTGTACTCCGTACCCTCCTTGGTGAGCAGCTTCGGCAACCGTTGCCCCCCTCATCTCGCCCTATCAACAACCAAGCAACACCCCTGTCCTACGGTTAGCTACCCTAGCTCGAGCTCGCCAATTCGAATTGCCTGCCTGCCAATAATAGGGACGACGGAGATGGTTGTAACCACACGTCCCCTATCGCTTCTTTCTTCATGACAGTTCTTCTATTCCAGATTTGTTTACTATCGGCCTGCTCCAACACTCTTTTCAATGCGAAGCGCCTAAACCGCATTACCAAGGCTCACGTCGTCGCCAGAAGAACGACCGCTCCTTTGCGATCCCGCCAGAGGCGCACCCACGGTGCTCCAGCTGCCGCTCCTTACCGCAAGCGACGCCGTGCGTCTGCATTCGCTCGACGGGCAGAGCTTTTCCAGCAAACCTCGCAGAATCACACTCCGGCAGCGCCAACATCTGACGAGAGTCCTTGTTTTAATTCTTTAGATCGAGCCGCCGTAGAGCACCTCTTCACGTTGTACCAAGGCAAGATGGAAGGTGACGGCTCCAAACCCGACCCGGCGCCTAGGCCGAGCTCCGACAAGCTCTCCAAGGAGGCCGGCGCATCAGAGATTGCCAGGTCAGAAGCAATGCCTCCTCCGCCCTTGCCCACGGGCGGGGGGCTGGATGAGCACGCGTCTGAAACCCGGTCCGCCAGGTCTGAGTCTACTGCGTCTCGAAATACCAACCGCCTCTCACTCACTCTCCCCATCGCGCCGCCAACAGCTTGCCCGAGCCGCCCTCCCCCAAGCTCGTCGACGGCTGTGTCGTCGTATCCGCCTACACCAATTGACACATCCGCAGTCACGTCGCCGACTGACACAAACAATTTCATCACGGCCATTGCTACCCAGGAGAGACGTGTGCTCGAGCTCCGCGAAGAGCTCGACGGGGCGGAACGTGAATTATCCCGCCTCAAGAAGCAGTGGGCACATCACGAGGCGTTCAAGAAGAGGTCCGAGATTCGCAGAAAGGAGCCACTGAGACCGCTATCCCTCCAAATCCAGACGAGCACGCCTCCTAACCCAGAGGAAGACCCGCTCACGAGGCGAAGTGTTGAAATGGACAGGCGCAAGGCACTTCTCCTGGGGCAGCAGAGTGCACAGAGCACGCCGACTCAGTCAAGACGACGTGTTTTTCGCGGTGCTCATACGAGAACGCTCTCACTCTTGTCTCCGACCAAGACCACGGACGACTTCTCGGTTCACGAGGACGATGTCGGTCTGGTCAAATCACCCTCCCAGGAACTGGAGGCTGTCTTCCAGAGCATTCACCGCCGGAGCCCTATCACACCAGCACAGCTGTCGAAGCGGGCATCGTGGGCCCCGCGCTCGACCCAGCAAGTTGGTGGTCTGAAGCAGGTTGCCGATGACTTTAAAGCCGGACTCTGGACTTTTGTTGAGGATCTGCGACAAGCCACGGTGGGTGACGAGCCCATCACGGGCACCGGCGCGCCTTCAAGGGGTGCTGCTGGAAACCCTCGGGCAGGACATTCCCTGTCTGGTGAAAACCAAGATACTATCAAGGCCTCCGGACCTACCACCCGACCACACGTGAGCAGGGCCTTTGAACACACGCCAACACCGCCGGCCCGGTATACAGACAATCCGGAAAGGGCAACACAAAACACTGCCCCCGCGGCCGAGCACCAGCGAAAGGTGTCCAAGGCCGAGGGGAAGGCGGCGAAGCGTTTCTCGTGGACGCCTCTGACGGTCGATTCATTTGATGATAACGATTGGACAAACTGGGATAGTCCACCTGTCAAGTCGCCGCGATGGAGCGGCACCACGGTCAATGGCGACCTCATTGACGCAATTCCGGAGAAGAATGACGAGAACGAGACACCATCGTAAGAGCATCTCCCTCGCTATCAGCCCTTGGTTAGGAGCTTTGCTGATTGATGTGTAATCGCAGGGCAACTCAGCGGACTGGAGCGCAGTCGTCGACACCGTCAGACTCTCCCAGCAAGCTTGATGACATGTCCTGGGCTGTCCTGAACCGGCTGACTCCCGGCAACATCAAGCGTACCGCCTCTGACTTCATGAAAGAGTGGGAGAAGAGCTTGTCGCCGACCAGGGATGGTCTCACTGTTCCCGAGGAGAACAGAGACCAGCAGGTCAGAACCGTTGACCTATTGTAGATATTGCCTTTGAGGGGGGAATTTCGCCAGCGACACGGTGGAGTTGTCGGGCACTCCGTCTCTTGCATATAGAGTTCCCAGAGGGAGCGGCTACATTTCTTGCATATACATTCGGCGAAAGCATGAGGACACGGTTCTCACGACAAACGACCAGATGACAGAACGCAGCGCTATTTGAAGATTTTACCTGTTTGGTCATGGAAACGAGATTTAGCTTTGGATTTGTACCTGAACGATGGATCTCGTTGGTTGACGATGCTGAGTTTGGATTCGGATTTGGACTTGGTCTTGTTGTGTTTTATGGCGTCGAGTAATGTATAGCAGGGTGCACCTGTAGAATAATGATATAATGATCTATTGAACGTCAATGGGTGGAGCTGTGCGTTGCGCAACATGAACCATCGCCTATATCGAGTGACCAGTTTGGACGGCTCATGACGATACCTCGAAGCTCTAACGGTGTCAATGGAGCTGTTATGCGCACTGTTACGCACTGTGGGATCCAGGCTGCAGCTTGAGAGGGATTTTGATAGCGAAGCAACACCACCCACCACCCACTGGAGCACATGAGCTCGACTGGTGTGGTTTTTCCCCACCAACCCAAACACCCGCCTGTCGCTGCTGCTGACCCGGACCCATTACGTCGCAATACAGAGCACAACCAGTCAGTACCTTAGTCGGCCAGCAGCGGGTCACAGCTATCCCAGACCTTGAAGCCGCATCTGCAACCACTTACCGTATCTACCTCATCCATCCATCCCATCATCGCAACTCCAAGACGAGTAGCTTCCCCCCGCGGATCGTCACCTCCCGCTTCCCAATTGTTCTCTGCGCTCTGCTGCTCATCTATTCTCCTCTACACCTTTTCCATCGACCTACGACCGCGCAGATACGTTCAAGATGGACCACGTAGGCAAGATCTACTCCATCTCCGGCCCTGTCGTGATTGCCGAGGAGATGGAGGGTGTTGCCATGTACGAGCTCGTCAGGGTCGGTCACGATAACCTGGTCGGAGAGGTCATCAGGATCAGTGCAGACAGAGCATCGATCCAGGTCTACGAGGAGACTGGTGCGTTGGCAATCTCATAGCCTTCCCCCCTCCCCCCCATCTAGAAGTTCGGCTTTGCAGATCAGAAATACCTCGACCTGCATACATCAACCTAGCTCCCAGTCTGAGGATGAATACTAACAGTTTGTGCAATGGGCAACAGCGGGTGTGCAAGTCGGCGATCCCGTACGACGGACCGGCAAGCCCCTCTCCGTCGAGCTCGGCCCTGGCCTCCTCAACAACATCTACGATGGTATCCAGCGACCACTCGAGAAGATTTCCGAGATATCCAAGAGCATCTATATCCCCCGCGGTATCTCCGTACCCGCCCTCGACCGGACAAAGAAGTGGGAGTTCACTCCCACCATGAAGGTCGGCGACCACATCACGGGAGGCGACGTCTGGGGTACCGTCTTTGAGAACTCCTTCATCAAGGTCCACAGGATCCTCTTCCCGCCCCGCGCCCGGGGTACCATCACCAAGATTGCCGACAAGGGCGAGTACACAGTCGACGAGAAGATCCTCGAGGTCGAGTTCGACGGCAAGAAGACCCAGTACGGCATGATGCAGACCTGGCCCGTCCGTGTGCCCAGGCCAACCACGGAGAAGCACTCGGCCAACAGCCCGTTCCTCGTCGGCCAGCGTGTGCTCGACGCCCTCTTCCCCAGTGTCCTGGGTGGTACCGTCGCCATCCCAGGTGCTTTCGGCTGCGGCAAGACTGTCATCAGTCAGTCAGTGTCCAAGTTCTCCAACAGTGATATCATCGTCTACGTTGGATGTAAGTCGCCTGCTACAGCACTACCTCAAATTACCTCGCATATGAGTTATATACTAACTTTTTTTCTTTTCATAGGCGGTGAGCGCGGTAACGAGATGGCTGAAGTCTTGAAGGATTTCCCCGAGCTGTCTATCGAGGTCGAGGGTCGCAAGGAGCCCATCATGAAGCGCACGACGCTCATCGCCAACACCTCCAACATGCCCGTCGCCGCCCGTGAGGCCTCTATCTACACTGGAATTACGGTGGCAGAATATTTCCGTGATCAGGGTCTCGACGTCGCCATGATGGCCGACTCGTCTTCCCGTTGGGCCGAGGCCCTGCGTGAGCTTTCGGGTCGTCTTGGAGAGATGCCTGCGGACCAGGGTTTCCCGGCCTATCTGAGTACCAAGCTGGCCAGCTTCTACGAGCGTGCCGGCAAGGTTCAAGCCCTCGGCTCACCGGAGCGAGACGGCAGTGTCAGCATCGTCGGAGCCGTCAGCCCCCCCGGTGGTGATTTCTCCGACCCGGTCACGACGTCCACCCTGGGTATCGTGCAGGTCTTCTGGGGTCTGGACAAGAAGCTCGCCCAGCGCAAGCATTTCCCGTCCATCAACACGTCCGTGTCGTACTCCAAGTACACCATGGTGCTGGACAAGTGGTACGAGAAGGAGTACCCCGAGTTCCCGCGGCTGCGCAACAGCATCAAGCAGCTGCTGTCCAACTCGGAGGAGCTCGACCAGGTCGTGCAGCTGGTGGGCAAGGCGGCGCTGTCGGACCCGGACAAGATCACGCTCGACATGGCCACGCTGATCAAGGAGGACTTTTTGCAGCAGAACGGCTACAGCGACTACGACCAGTTCTGCCCCATCTGGAAGACGGAGTGGATGATGCGCCTCATGATGGGCTTCCACGACGAGGCGCAGAAGGCCATCTCGCAGGGCCAGTCGTGGGCCAAGGTCCGCGAGGCGACGCAGGAGCTGCAGGGCCAGCTGCGGAGCCTCAAGTTTGAGGTGCCGACCGAGGGCCAGGAGAAGATTTGCAAGAAGGTACGTTGCCATGACATACATTGACGCCCCAACCCCGAGCTTTTTACAGGTTGCTGACTCTGTCGTCCGTCATTTTAGTACGAGGCCATACAGCAGGCCATGCTGGACAAGTTTGCATCAGTTATGGACGAGTAAGGGCGCAGCTTTGTCATTCATAGGACGAGAGTAAGGGTGGGGGGGTGCGATCTGGAGAGGAGGAGTGAGTAGAGAGCAGACAGAGGAGAGTTTCGTCCTTTTTTTTTCTTCTGGTAAATCATCATGCTATAGAACATGTCACTGTCGGTTATTGATTTGGGCTTTTTTGTTTCTCACATGAAAGTTCTTGTATGTACGAACGAACCCCCGGTGCATAGACCCGGAAGGGAAGCTCAGACGGGTCCAGAATTCACACGCAAAGTTCACGAAGACGTACAGTTTTTTCTTGTCGCTTATGATAAAAGAGCTACACCATGACACATATGATTTAACTGGTGATAAATGGTTTGATGATGGTCTTCTTATACCAGGTCAAGTTCACACTATTTTCGCCAAAAAGGCACACTCGAATGTAGAGGGCTTTTTTTTAGTAATTTTTTTGGTTGAATTGAAGAATTTCTAAATAACAAAATCGGCTCCTCTTCCCTGATCTCTCTGCTGGAGATGCCCAAGGGCAAGAGTGCCTTTTCTCTCATTTCTTTTCGGCCGTCTCCATTGTCCCCATTCTCCTTGCGCCGAAGGAGAGAAGAAAACAGGGTAGTAGCACCGATAGATGGATGGTATAGAATGAAGCAATATATAAAAAAAAGGATGATGAAAAAAACAAGGGAAGTAAAAAAAGCTCCTCAATGCCCTGGGATGCATTTATAGGTATAAGGGTATATACAGGCTATGTCTATCAAGCCCGAGAGAAGTGAAGAGAGAAAAAAAAAGGAGGGGATTTTTTGTCTTAAGATCGGGCTCCGTGGTATCAAACATCGCTTTGTGTTTCGTCACGGAGTAGGAGCTCCTTCCCAGGTTTTTGTCTGTGTATGTGTCAACCACCACCGTCTTCCCCCCCCTCCGCCCTGCCGCCATTACACGTTTCTTGTTCCCCAGTGGTGAACTCTTCTTGGACTCGCACCATTTTTTTTTTACGAGATCTGCATGACCATAGGGCCGGCCATGATGATCTCGTCGGTGATCTTGCCGGTGAGGGGCGCCTGGGTGACGAGGTTGACGTAGACGACGCCGGCGAGGCCCTGGGGCACGGTGCAGCCGGTGCCCTGGGTGAAGGGCGAGAAGGCGGTGCCGCCGACGATGTTGCCGTTGGTGAAGGAGCAGAACTGGGCGCCGGCGGCGGCCTGGGACTCGACGTTGATGGTGGAGCCGATGGCGGCGGCGGCGGGCGCGCCGGCGGCCATGGTCAGGGTCGGGAAGGCGGTGAGGATGAGGTTGGAGCCCTCGGGGCAGGACTGGATGAAGGGCGCGGCGAGAGAGAAGACCTGCTTGGGGGACAGCGAGGTGTCGAAGGCGCCCGGGGCGGCGGCGACCTGCGAGGCGACGCGGATGAAGGTCTGGTGGCGGGCCTCCTGGGTCAGGATGGAGCCGGCGGTGCCGAGGATGGAGCCGTCGGCGATGAGGGGCGCGCCGCCGAGGTAGGCCGACACGCCGACGTTCTCGAGCACGGCGGCCGTGGCGACCATGCCCTTTGCGTCGGTGAAGCCAAAGTTGTAGGTGCAGGGCTGGACGGGCTTGACGCCCGCCTGCGCGATGGCGCCCTGCAGGAGCCCGACGTGGGCCTGCTCGCTGGCGCCGATGCTGATGAGGTCGTTGACCTGCGCCTGGGTCAGGCCGAGGGCCAGGAAGTCCGAGGCCGGGAACTTGGCGAAGCCCTGCTGGTAGAAGGCCGTCTCGAGCCACTCGAGCGTCAGGGCGCTGGTAGGTTGTGCATGTTAGTCCCCATGTGAATCTGTGCTACGGCTGTGTGTGTGTGTGAAGAACAAGACCACGTACAATTGCAGGATGTCAATATCCGTCAGGCCGAGGGCAGCAGCGGCGGCGTTCTGTCGCTTCGAGTACTCGTAGAACTTCATCTGGCCCCGGGTGAGCCTCGGGTGTGCTGGCAAGGCAGTGGCGGCGGCAGCAAAGGCCAGGACGGCGGCCGCGGTCTTCATGAAGGAAGGCATCTCGACTGATTATCTGCGTTGTGCGTGTGTGTGTGTGTGTGACCTTGTCTGGTTCCCCTGGATCCAAGATGGCAAAAAGAATGTGGCGATGTTGTAGAATGATAGCAAGACCAGCCTGGCTGTTCTAAACAACAACAAGAGTCCCTCCTGGGTTGTTGAAGAAATTAAAGCGTATTAAATCGAAAATGATAGTAGTGAACGATAGAGACTGACGAGCAACAAAACGTTGATCCCAGGAAAGCAGACCAGCGCTTTTGGTTCAAAAGGGTTTGCAGAAAGGAACGGAGGGTTGGATGGGATGGGGGTGAAAAGAAGGGCAGGAGGAGAACAAGAGGACGGAAGATGCAGCTCTTGGTGGGAAGCAGGGCCGAGTTAAGAGAAAGGGCATGCCAAGAGATCATCGCGATTTGATTGAGATGGGATGGAGAGCGGCTACAGCTCGTTCCGTGCCCGGCTTCAGCAGTCCTGCGACGGCAACTCCATCACGTCCCGCAATGCGACAGGGCAGCCATCCAGAAAGCTCGAGCTCCTCTCTCTCTCTCTCGCTCGCTCGGAGCGCCTTACCCTTGAAGAGCCGGCCTGCCCTGGACAGGATGGGAGGGCAGCGTGGGCAGGGGAGGGAGGGAAGGGGAGGGGACCCGCCCAAGAGGGTTGACGGTTGACAGGAGAATGATAAGGATTGTTTCGTTTCCTCTGTGGCGCTCAGGGAGAAGACTGAACCGGAGCATCGTGAGAAGTGGCCTGCGGCCCAATCAGGCGTCGTCGTGCTCCCGGGAAAGTGAGTGTATCTGGGCAAGGAGCTCGACCCCCCAGATCCGGACCCGCATAGCTTAAACCCCAAGCAGGGCCTTGACAGGGGCAAGCGGAGCAGAAGTAGAGCCTCCAAGGGCCCCCAAGGAACCCCTAGCGCCGTCGTTTGCGAACCGAGTACAGCGCCTTAGTCCCGGGTAGGCTAAGTGCTGTGGCGCGCTAGATTGACAGACAGGGGCTGCCACGGGGCCCGGCCGGGGTTCTGCGACCTCGTCCTGTCTCAGGCTCGTTTCGGTCGGCGGACCGTGGGCGACCCGAAGCCTGCTTGGCCTGCTCCCGACATCAAATTCGCTTTCCCTGACGTGCGTGCGCATGGCGTCAAGCATTCGAGTGGGAGCCCGCGCTTTGGGCTTTGGGCCATGGCGATGGGCGTCAACTGAACTACCTAGTGGCTTGGGACTACCTACCCTAACCCTGCCAAGCTTGAAGCCAGACATGGTCTTCACGGTTGTACGGAACATCGCGACACTTTCATTCCCCGCCCCGGCAGGACATCTACGGAGTGCTACACTGCTACCTAGCTGAATAGGACTGTAGCCGGGAGCAACATCTGGCTTGTCATCGTGCTTGTTTCTGTTCGTGCCAAGTAGAGCTCGTCATGTACCCATGCCATGCCGAGCAGTTCCAACAGGCGCCTGCCAAGGTCTTCAATCTTGCCCTCGTGGCTGGCTAGCAAACCCATGTTAGAACACGCTAGATGGACTTGCAAAATTGAAGGATCAATCTTGGCATGGTTTACAAACACCGTGCCTCCGGTAATCTGGACCAGCGAAGCTTGGCTCGCCGGTCGTTGTTCACCACAGGGCCCAGATGCTCGACCATACGCCTCACGAGAGCCCATGACCATGCAGTCAATCCCATCTCGGGACGCCGATCACCTCTGTCTACTCCGTATAAGAGTACTTTGGAACAGAATAGTAAGCAGAGCCACTTCTACTTGCGAGGCCTCTTCGCCTCCCGCCGGATGCCTCCGAGACCGAGCCTGTGGTATCCACGGACCATTCGTGAACCGAAGAGTTCCCCCACGAGGCATCACTGCAAGGACTCAAATCTGAGGCTTCCTAGTCGCGATTGGTCGATCGAGATAGATAGATAGATATCCGAGGAGGCTGAAAACCGGACCCTCGTGCAAGGCTACTCGTTGGGTAGCATTGAGTCTCTTCTTCCAAGCTGGCCCTTCATGGTATCTCTGTTGATCTGCAGAGGAACCTCCGCCGACTATTCCCTGCCCTGGGTCATGATACATCGGGACTTTGACTGCCGTGAATGTCCTCACGAGGACGAGGCAAGGCCTCGCTATCGCAACCTTCTATTCCAGAAGTGCGCACACATTAACCATTAGTGAACGTGCCCGCAATGGCAATGGGTCATGCATTGAGCCGTTCTCCCCCCGTCCCAGATCGACTGCTGGCTTTATCGGAGGCCAAACATGATCGACCCCCCTAGGCATAACTAACGTCCGGGACAGAGAACATGGGGATTGCGCAAGCCAGCAGAGTAGACAAGGCGAAACATGTCAGATGCACACACACACACACACACAACCCTCCCGCTCCCGAGACCCGACAGGCAGGCACACATGCTCTCTCTTTCTCTCTCTCTCACTCCCTCTCCCTCCTCACAGTACCCGAGTAGCCCTATGAAAAACAAGACTCCCCCCCCCCCTCTTGATCTGCATTCCACATCCGCACATCCCGAACACGACCTGCCTCGTCCACGCTGGATGTGCCGTCGATCGCCCGGCTCGCAGTCCAGCCCTCCCGCATGCCAGCAGCCATGGCATGCTGAAACCATCTCTTCGACAGCGCCACTACCGCAGAGCCACACGCCGCGTGGGCTCTTGCTCCAGACGGCCGGGACGATGGCGGATCTTTGGGAGAAAAGGGCATACCGCCCAATCAGGCCGCTTCGGAGAACAAATAGCCTGTTCCGGCACGTCGATCAACCCCCCAGGTCTCTCCGGATAGATGAATTCAGCTTGTTGCTCACATGATTGAGTGGCTCACGTCAATAAAACTATGCAGACCAAAACAAAGTAAAAGTCAAGTAGCAGTGTGGTACGAATATCGCGGGACTCTCAATTGCTCTTGGTTATAACTAATTGCTCTGGACGGCGCTCCCTCGTCGTTCTCAGATGAGGTCAATCGACCATCGACAAAGATATACCCGAAGCTACGGTTTTGTGGGCTGCATGCTGACAATCTGCCATGGATTTTACTCATATACTCAAGCTTCTTCTCCTTCAATTACTTCCTCTTTTCTCGTATCAATGATAAGAATATCATGCGCTCCTCGCGCGGTCTCTCGAGGGACGCCACGCTCGCAATTCGGCACACTCGTGGTTCTAGAGCGCATACGGGTTGAGGGACCGGATGGTCAAGCACCTAGTAAATTGTTAGAATGCGCAGCTTCACAAAAGGGGGGTGCTGCCCAGGAGTCAAGCGACTTACGGTGGGCTCTTGGTGAGATCCGTCTTTAGAATGACCGGCACTCTTGCCATCTCCGTCACGTCCTGAATGTACTCGCCTCCCTCCTCCCTCAGCTTGAAGAGCTTCAGGTACTTCTCCTTGTTGGAGAGCAGCGTCTCGGGAGCCTCCGCCATGGGGACCTTGGAGTCGGACCTCGTGCGCTGAAGGAGACCTGGAGCATTCGAGTTGGATCGAGCAGGAGAGCCGGGCACGCTCTGTGTAGGTCGCTCGGCCAACGAGGCACCGGCCATGGCCTCAGTGATGTCCGACGCGTTGTCGTCATCGTCATCGAACAATGCGTCGACGTCATCAGTCGAGATGGTGCCAGTCTCGGTCTGCTTGCGTGTTGCCTCCTCGCGTTCCTTCTTGGCCCGTTCGGCCTCCTCGGCCTGGCGGGCTGCTGCCCGGGCGTTCGACATCCTCTGCGATGCAGCGGCCTTCGGGCGCTCGTCCTCGGGCACGTACGCGGAGCTGGGAACACCCTTCTCCCAGTACAGCTCCAAAATTCGCTTCTCCTTGCGGAACTCGGCCTTCTTGAGCGGCAGCTGGTCACAATGGACACGCTTCTCAAAGCCCCACTCCGGAATGAGAACATCAAAGGCCGACTCGTAAACACAAATGACAATGCCCTCACTGATCAGATCTCCGTTGGTCTCCTGCTTCTTCTTGTCCATATCACGGCAAGACTCGATATGAACGCTCTGTTCCTGGGCGTTCTGTGCCGAGTCTTTCTTCGTGTTGCAAGACTCGACCGTCTTGACGAGGTTCTCAAGGTCCTCGGTGTATTCAATCTTGCCCTCGGAAAGGGCCGCCTCCAGCTGACGGTGAACAATGATATCGGCGTAGCGACGTGTTGGGCTAGTGAAGTGGGTGTAGAGCGGTAGGTTCAGAGCGAAGTGCGGCCAGAGGTGCTTTGCGGTCTTGCCGGCAATGTAATACTTGGCACGCTGCATCGTCTTCAGGAGGAGCGTTTCCATGCCCTTCCTGATATCCACATCGTCGACCTTGAAGAGGCTGTTCTGTAGAGCACCGCTGCTGGACGAGTCCATCTCGTAGCCTAGCGCAGTCATGCGCTCGACAAATGTCTGGAGGCGGCGGGGGTTGGGTGCCGTCTGCCGGCGCAGCAGAGCCTTCTCTGGGAGGGCTTGCGAGAGGCGTTGGGCAACATAGGCGTTGGCCTTGTGCATCAACTCCTCCACAAGCTCTACAGCCGTGGTGGAGTCAAATATGTTGTGCTCAATTGGAATGTTCTCGTCATCCAGCTGCTGGAGCAGGCGTAGCGGCGCAATGGGCTCGCCTCCAGCGCCCAGACGAGCTTCGCGGAACTTCTGTGACACGGCCTGCGAAAGTCAGCGTTGAGGAAAACAGATGGTGTGGATCGGCGTCACGTACATTGAGAATTTGAATATCTTTGAGAGCTGCAGCTTCGTGCTTGAAATTGCCCTCGCCAGACAGAGCAGAGTTGATCTCCTTCAGCGATAGCTTGCCGTTGCTCTTAATGACGGTCTTGCCAACCCAGGTGTCGCCTTCAGCAACCGCGCCGTTATGAGGGTTGACTTGGAACACCACACTGACGGTGAGACGCTCCTGTCCAGGCGTCAGGGAGCAGACCTCGGTGGCCAGCTTCGGGGGCAGGAGTGCGCAGGTGCGGTTGACGAGGTGCACAGCAGTACCACGCTTCTTCGCTTCGCGATCGACCAGGGAGTTTGGCTTGACGAAGTGAGTGACGTCAGCAACGTGAACACCGATCTCGATCTTGCCATCCGGTCGGGTCTTGACATGAACGGCATTGCCCAGGTCGGCAGAGCCATCCAGATCCAGAGTGAAGGTCTTCTCATCACGGAAGTCACGACGAGCAGTGATCGCGGTCTCGTCCTCCTTAGCGAGTGACCAGTCCTGAAGGCCAACGCTTCTCAGGACAGCATCGGAAAACTCGTCCGATGAGAAGTTGTTATCACGAAGGAGTGCATCAGTCTCAACCTTCAGGTCGCCCATTCTTCCAAGCTGCTCAACGAGTGTGCCGAAAGGATGGAGCGAGGTGATCGGCCAACGCTTGATGCATGCAACAAAGATGCGATCGGCGTAGTCCTGGTGTTTCTCTACAAAGTCTCGGGGTGCTTGTTCGGTTGGGATAGCAATGAGAGGCACTCGCTTGTCCGTTGGCTTGAACCAGACGATCTTGGGCTTCTCCTGTTGGCGGCTATCCTGATGACGAGAGCCGCCATCCCGAGCAGCTCGCTCGGCCTCCTGCTTCTCCTTGGTAGCCTGGCTGCTGGGGCGCAGCAGACCAAGAGTACCAGAGAACATCTGACCAGCAACACGCTCGATGACAGCCACGATGTGGCCAGCATAGAGAGGCTTCTGCTCATCATTGATCTCCTCTTCTTCAACAAGCAGAAGGCTCTGACCTTCCACTTCAACGTCATCATTCTTTTTCTGAGTTGGTCGCTGTCTCAGACTGCCGCGACGACGAATGCCTCCCTCAGCGGTGCTGTTCTCGTCGCCGTTGTTGTTCTGGCCGTTGGTAGAGCCAGAACGGGTATCAGTAATATCCTTCCGTTTCTTCTTCTCTTCCTTCTCTCGCTTCTGGGACCACACCTCGTCAACATCGAGCAGCTCGACGGCAACCAGGTCTCCTTCCAGAGCACGGTTGCGATCTTTGCTACCGCAGATAAAGATGTCGGCATCAAGAAGACCATCCTGAGTCGAGACATAAGCATCGCTACGGTTCTTCTTGTTGACACGGAGGATGCCCGAGACAAGTTGCCCGTCACCAAGGAGAGCGGGGAGGGTTGCCTGGGGCAGGTAAGGAGTGAAAAGCGTCTTGCGCTGTTGCTGCTGAGGCTGCTGGGCAGAGAGCTGTGGTGCGTGCTGGCTGCCGCCAAGACCAACAAAGTTCTGGCCGTTCATCTGGGCAGCCTGAAGCGCCTGCAACTGGTTAAGCTGCATAGGGTTAAGTTGTTGGCCGGGAAACATTCCGGGAATCATCATCTGGCCTGGAAGTTGCACGAGCTGGGGCTGACCTGGATACTGGAACGCTCCAATGTTCGAGAACGACTGGTTGCTCATGGATTGACGGGAGCGATGACCGGGTTGGAAGTTTTGCTGCTGTCCAGCATTCTGGTCTTGACCCTGGTTTTGGGTCCTCCAGTTTCCATCAAAGTTACGGGAGCCGGTACGTGCATGCCCGGTCGAGCCGCCACGACGCTGGAGATCACCAGAGTGGCCACCTGCGTCGCCGGCGCGCGGGGCGGCGCCACCGCGACCAACAGCCATACTCTGGCTTCTACCATGTGCTCCGCCGCGGCCTCGAGAGGGGCCTGACCCCTGGGACGGCTGACTGTCAGGGACGGCGAGCGAAGAAGAGGCTCTACCTTCGTCCTCAGGCTTATCGGAGGCACCAGTGGCACCGGGACCGGGGAACTGGAAGCCAGAGGTGGTACGCTTTTGCTGCGCAATCTCAGCAGCCTTCTTGGCATCGGCCAGAGCCAACGAGTGCCTTCGTTGATGACCGCCACCTGAACCGCCGCCGCGTCCGCCCCTGGTGCTACTGTTCTCGCGGTTGTGGCCGGAAGCATTGTCCACATTACCGAAGGCAGATCCAGAGGCTCCAGAAGAAGGGGCGGGGGGAGGGCCCATTCCCATGTTCGGGAGTGCCGACTGATTACGGCGATGTGACATTGGCTGGGTCGGAGGTGCCATGTTAACATTTTGCTGCGGTAGCTGATTCGGGAATTGGAAACCGGCCTGAGGTGACATGTTGGTCATGTTAGGCTGGAGGTGGTTGAACGCTCCGCCCGGGGGTAGCATCCCCATGTTGACATACTGCTGCTGAGTCGCCTGGATCTGTTGCTGTTGCTGCTGTAGGAGTTCGATCTGTTGCTGGATGGCAAGCTGCTCCACTAGAAGAGGAAAAGGTTAGTATCAACGGTTGCCAAGGCCGAGACGACGGCGAGCTCTGTGAAGGATGGAAAATCACACGGTGACGAGCCAGCAGGGGGTAGAAGCAGAGAAAAACTATCAACAAGAAGCTTACTGTTGGGGTTGGCAAACATGCTCATCAAGGGAGTGAGCTCTGAAGGACTGCGACGATGGGCGATGTGAAGCCGTCGGCCAGCAGGACCGGGGACGCCCCCCGTAGGAGGAGGCTGCTGTTGTTGCTGCTCCATGACAAGCTAGCAAAAACTGCCTGACAATGGGGAGACAAGCTTGGTGTGTGTGTGATGGGGTTTCTTTCGTGGGTCGGAGAGCTTGAATCGCTGTTGGATGATGCGGTATCACGAACCAGGCGACGATGACGACGTCCAAAGTGATGTCAAGGAGGGTACGAAAGGAGAGAGCGTTGGAAAAGGGTGATGATGATCTGGACGCTTTGCTTTGATCGGAAAGGGAACGTGCAAGTACTGAAGACGAGCTGGAATAGCAGAGACGGTGGTGATTTGGAGATTGGAAAGATGGTAGGCAGGACAGCAGACGAAAGGAGAGGAGAGAGTTGTGGGTTGTGTGTGTGAAGAGGAGGAGAAGGGTAAGGGCGAATACGATTGATGATGATGGAAGACGAGAGACAAGAAAGAAGGTGGTGCTGCTCTCCAAGTGCTTCGGTGCTGGTGCTTCGGTGCTCTGGTGCTGCTCCAGCACTGCTCTTGGTTCCAGTGTGTTGCCCCAGCTCGCCAAGCGGCCAAAGTACCTGCCTACCAAACCTGGGTAGCTCTGTAGCATGCATGACCACCAGCTCCAGGCCACATTACAGTTGCGTGTGTACTTCCAAGGTGCCCACAGGTGGTTGGCTGAGTCCAAACTGGGAGCACTAGACAGGGTACCATGGTGGGGGGCCCAGGTACCTTTGGGGGACCAAGCGAGCCCAATGCGACCGGGATTGGCGACGGTTGAGGCCTGGTGTTAGGGGGAGGCGAGGAGACTCTGAGGCAGCGGTAGGTCCCAAGTACCTTTCGTCCTCTGCCTTCAATTCCCACTTTTACACGTTTTGGGGAGAAGAAGAGGGGGAATCTCTTGACAATAGAAACGTGAGCCATGCCGTTTTCTGCCCAGCTGAGCTTCACACCCCTACAGAACGCACGGCGTATGTTTCCAGTTCCCTTACCTACCCTGCAGCTTCAACTCCATCTGTTTGCAGCGGGCTTCAAAAGGCCTGGAAACTCCACTGGAGGACTGACCCGTGATGGACTAGGTAGTGACGGCGGCAGCGGGCGGGCTACTTTTAGAGGTAAAGGGAAGCTCCACTCAACGAGGAATACGGGCTTTCGTCGACGCTTATTAGGTACGCCTTAGAGGACTTGGACAATACCTGTATTCACCTGCACTACCCAGCCCCGACTTGTTCGTTTTGTACCGAGTATCGCCCCAGTGTCGCGTTTTACCGCCCGGCAGTATTGACGTCGCTTCACCACCTAAACAGTCCTGTAGTTACACGGCTATTTTTTTTACAAGCAGTCGCTGAACTCGGTACTTGATTGTCACACGTGGGAGCCGCAATTTCCATGTACACACCACAACATACTGAAGACTGTCTAACATCCACCTCCTTCCGGTCTTCATTCAACACGCAAAGATCGCTGATTCCAGACACATCTGGATCACATCACAGACTCCTCCCTCTGGCTGCAAGCATGCATTTGTGATTAGCCCATATCTCACACCACAGATGGCGAGCTCGTCACCTCCAGCCCGAGACTCTCGAGCCCTTCGCAGCTCACGGAGCTCAAGGCAGAGCCTCAATCTGCCCATACGAGCGCAACTGTCCGATTTTCTCCTCGATACTCGGAACTCGGAAGAGGCGCATCGGAGAGGGTTCGAAGAAGCAGAGCGCGAGCATGAGCGGATCCGGCGGACGGCGATCGACGCCCTCAACGCGCACGAGCGCGAGCTCGAGCTCAAGAGGATAGAAGAAGAACAAGCCAGGGAACGCCAGCGTTTGGCTAAGGAAGCCGAAATCGCGCGCAAAGAGGCGGAACTGCAGGCATTGAAGGCGAAGCAGGTTCCGAAACCAGCGCCGCCGCCACCATCTCCGAAAGCACCGGCAGCTCAAGCGACAGCTTCCAAGGACCAACAAGCCGCCGCCCTTGCAATCACTGCGCCAGCGAGTCAAACCTCGCAACCCGAGACGGCAAAATCAAATTCATTGAATGGCCTCGCAGCGCAGAAACCAGCTCCAGCCACATCTGCAACGCAGGGCGCAAAGACGTCTCTGTTCGGGCCAACACCCGCTGCCTCGTCTCCGTTCGGCGCACCCACTCCCTCGAGCAACCAGGCCTCTTCCCAGGTGCAGAAAGCCTCACCATTCGCAGCCCCACAACCAAAGCCCAGTATATCTGCGGTCGCTCAGTCAGCTGCCGCGACGGGTTCGCCTTTCTCCCAGGCCAATGGTGTTCCAACCCCTACCCAGGCCCCAGGTCCAAGGCAGCCTGCCTCAGATCGCCACATTGAAGTACACAAGAATCTCAAAGAACTCCGCAAATCCATGACGGAGCAAGCAAAGACGAATCCCCATCTAAAGAAGCGGATGGGCGACATGCGCCGTGAAATTAGGAAATCAACTGGCCAATTCGTTGCGGGCGGTGCCAGGGCCAACGAAACACCGGTATGTGATCTCGACCACTCCCCAGCATGTCGAAACCATTAGCTAATGAACGTTATAGATTGCCAAGATCGTAGAACTACTGCGAGAAGCACTCAGGAACCAGGTCCAAAGTCAGCTCATCGACCCAGGCATGTTCGTGCTAGAGTCCAGGGCTCCGGTCCCCGGGGAGACAAACGAACCACAGCGCTCGTCGCTTTTCCTTTACCTCATGAACATCTTTTGCAAAGCTGTCATATCTCAATTCATCAACGAGGCCAGCGCCAACCCCAAACAGGCCGATGCCATTGGCATGGTAGCTGCCAAGATCTTCTCCGATGTGGAGTTTCTCTGGCGAGGCAAGTCATTGATTGACATGCTGATCGCCAAATACCGTGTCGTCTGCCCGGTTCTCTTTGGATTCAGGGGCAACGACAAGATGGAGCAGGCCAGGCTGCGAGTCGGTTGGAGGAAGGAAGGCGGACAATGGATTCCCGAGCAGGTCCACGGCGATCGCATGACGGGCCTCGGCGCGGGCTTCGCGGCGCTGACCCTCCGCGATTTCTCCAAGGCAAAAGCCAAGAAGAACCCATGGCCGCCATCAGTCTACTGGACGGCAATGGCTAGGATCATCAACACGCCCACGGAGGAGATCTCCAAGACACAGTGCTACGTCCTGAAGGCGATGATCGCCAATTACGAACAGAAATTCATGCTCTGCTACGGCACCGCCGCCGTCGCGGCCTTACGCTGCGCCCTTATCGACTTCCCGGCCAGGATACCAGAAAAGAGCTCGGCTCGCGATGCCCTACCTGTGGTCGCGACCAGCTTACGGATGGAAACAGGCTTACGACTGGATCAGATTTGATCGCCCTGGGAGCAATGCTTGGTGGTGGCACGCAGTAGGTAGACCTGCAATCATGGAAACAAGCATAGATCGGGCGTTCAGGCGCACAATTTACGGACATGAACTTATAGACAAGCTCACGACGGGCTTAACGCACTAGGCCAGAGGATCGGTTTGCGACGTCAAAACAAGCCGGGTTGGTACAACACCATGCGTTCCAACTTCCTCGATTTCTAGAAAGGGGGAATGTACTATTATATATCTGGCTCAAAGCCCAGAACAATCTACAATATCTTGAGAAGCACGTCGCGTCTACCAAGCCCTAATCGAGTGCTCCACTGACCAATGTGAACTCCGCGCGATGCAAGGAAAGGTTGCCATCGCCAAATGAATGCCATGCCCCTTGGCTATAAGATCAGAAGCAAGACGAGCAAGATAATTAGAACCATGATCAGAACGCCGATGCAACAACTGCTCCACCTGTCCTCGTTCTTCCGAATGACATACTGCAGCTTCTGCATGCCCGTCTGCAACCTGCCGCCGACCCTGTCGGCCAGGTTGTCCGTCACCTCGAGCATCTCGCGCTGCTCCTCCAGCTCGCGGCCCATGTCGTCCGCCTGCCTGCGCAGGTTGCCCACCGTCTGGAACACGCCGTCGAGGTGCTGGTCCTGCTCGCGCATCATCTGCACCTGCTGCTGCTGCTCGAACGCGGCGTAGTCGTCATCATCGCCCTCGCCCTCACCGTCGGCGATGGCAAAGGCGTTGGGGTCAGGCAGGTCCGAAGTCCCGCCGGCGCCGGAGGACGAGCCTTTGCCCTTGCCGGCGCCGGCGGCGGAGCTATCGATCCTCTTGGCCAGCTCGTCGCGCATGTCCTCGATCTCGCCGCCGACCTCCTGCACGAGGCGCTTGCGGCGCGCCACCTCGCCGGCATCGAGCCCAAATTGCGACGGGTCCGACTCGACGGCTCTCACGGATTCGACGAGGTCGGCTAGGTCCTCCCCCAGCGATGAGAGTGCCGACTCGAGGTCTGACCGGGCCGAGGCCAGTTCTGGCGACGTCGCTGTGTTCGTCAGGGAGCGGATGCGGAGGTACGAGGAGAAAAGAGGCCGTGTGGATGATAATTGCGCGAGGACATCTCTGAGAGGATGACGTTTAGCAAGCCGCAGAATTCTTGATGGGGAGGTCTGCACCTACTGTTGTACTTGGAGGAACGGGTCCTCCTCAGTGTTGGAGGACATCATCCTCGAAGTAGCTGGGTTCCAAGCTCATGTATATCGTGATGTATATCGGCCCATCGCAGGCACTGGAGAGGTGGCGGTCAAAGTTGAGTTGTTGCTTTGTGTCTTATGTCGTAGCCTAGCACATGGATGTAGCTGCATCGAGAGCTGGATGCTGTATCTGATTGTAGGTACGTACGTGGATAGCTGATCACAGGGTGTGGTTTGCCCGGATTTGGGGGTGAAACTAGCCGCAGCAGACTCCACTGATGAGTCTTGAGGCTGCGCGGATTCGACGTGGCCAGATGAGGGCGGGATCCAATTGGTTGGCTCAAGTGCTGCCCCTGGTCCTCCCGCGGCGCCTCTGATCCGCACTCCAGACAGGGCTCAATGAATTGAGGTTGGCACGGTTGGCTCACGTTGCTGGGGCTCGCAGGTGGCGGCGGGGCATTCGCCAGCGTCCCTGCGACGGCAGGTGGTCGTTGTGAAACGTAGCTTCAACCGGGAGCTGCACCATATCTGGACCACTTCAATCCTCCCTTCTCTCTTCCTCTCTTGACCATTGATTCTCGTTAAAACCCGAGGATCGATTCATCGAGGAGTCCTCAATTCCCTTTTCGTTCAAAAAGTATCCATCGACTGGATACATTTTCCATTCACAATGCTCAACTTTCGGAGGCTCTTCGTCTCCGCCGCCCTCTTGCTCGGGCTGAGCTTGGTGCTCTTCTCCCGCCACGCTGAGGCTGCCAAGGGCCCCAAGATCACACACAAGGTCTACTTCGACATTGAGCATGGTGACGAGAGCATGGGCCGTGTCGTCATCGGTCTGTACGGCAAGACCGTCCCCAAGACCGTCGAGAACTTCCGTGCCCTTGCTACAGGCGAGAAGGGCTTCGGCTACGAGGGCTCTACCTTCCACCGTGTCATCAAGGACTTCATGATCCAGGGCGGTGATTTCACCAAGGGCGATGGTACTGGTGGCAAGTCCAGTAAGTGATGATTTGTGCTAATGATGGTAACCGACTGCCGGAGACCATGACTAACCCGCGCGCACCTGCAGTCTACGGCGACCGCTTCGAGGACGAGAACTTCAAGCTCAAGCACTCCAAGAAGGGTCTCCTGTCCATGGCCAACGCTGGAAAGGACACCAACGGCTCGCAGTTCTTCATCACCACTGTTATTACCTCGTAAGTCTACTGATTACCTTGCATATGGTGCCCTGAGTACTGATATCTTCGTCTTCCTATAGATGGCTGGATGGCCGCCACGTCGTCTTCGGCGAGGTCCTCGAGGGATACGACATTGTTGACAAGATCCAAAACGTCGACAAGTCCTCCGGCGATCGCCCGACAAAGCCCGTGAAGATTGTCAAGAGCGGCGAGCTGGAGGTCCCCCCAGAAGGTATCCATGTGGAACTCTAGAAGTAGTCACCCACTACCTCAAACACAATCTACCTCTACACCTCTTTATCGCCCGCTCGCCTTGCTATTTACCACTAGGTTGCTGATTTGTGGTGCGCCTCTCAGCTGAACACGGCTCTTCGGACTGGAGCGCGGGGTATAACAGCGAGAAAAACCCCTTTTCCAAAGCTGTTCACTCTGCAGAGTGGTCTGTCTTCCAAAAGGCATTCCTCTTTGGTATTATCCTGGCTGTTATCGCCATTTACTTGCGGGTGTCGAGGCAGAGGGAGATGAGGGATGAGCTACTCTATGAGAAGACGTTGGCTTCCCGGGCCAATTAAAAACCTCGCGGAAATACAATTGCATTCATGCCTGAACATATACCATCTGCAAGTTTTGTAATTCTGTGAAAGCCGAGCTGGGGATGTGCGGAGAATAGTTACCTGAACAAGTCGAGCAACACCATGGTTCGCACTTACAACACACATCACGTGGAGATATTTTCAAGCTTCAAAATTTATCTGCGATAAGATATCATCACCATGCGATAACCCCGCCAGCAACCGACATTTCTGCATGCTACTGCCATTGTGGACAGTCGAAATTAATTCAACATGAAGATCCTCAGCTTGAATTTCCTTTCTTGCGCTGTCAAGGCTTGCAAAGCCTCGTCAGATTCGTTCCCTCTCCACCCCAAGGATGCTGAGCTCGCCCACGACGACGTTGAGCTCAATCCCCAGCTCCTGGTCAATGTTCTGCCGCGCATAGACTGGAAGGCGCTGCGGACAACTTCCACAGAGGTATGGGATATTTCCAGTGCTTCAACAACCCTCATGATGGATCCTCTTGCCTGGTTGAAGATTAGCTGCTTCTGTTTTGCGATCTGTCCGTGCTAACTGAGACGAACCAGCTCGGCTTCCCGGACTTGCCTGAGCAGCCACCGACTGTGGAGGAACTGGAGGCGAATGAGACGATGCTCAAAGAACTGCACAACTTGCTCATAGAGACGCAGATTATGGAGGGCAAGCTGGTGTGCGCCAACTGCGGGCACGAGTACGGCATCCGTGAGGGCATTGCCAACTTTCTCTTGCCAAGTCATCTAGTATGAGCAATGAGCATTGCGGCGCTCAGGCCACGCCGTACCGGGGGATAGTATCATTCGGCATGCCTGTCGGCTATGTTATTTGGGTTCTACGGAGTTTATACGGTTTTCATCATTCGAGGAGAAAAGAGGTTCCAAAAAGCATCTGCATCGTTGTTGTTTTTGTTGCACCGTTATACCATCTCACAGTTGGGTCTCACTCTGAAAATTTCTGAAACTGGGAGGTTGCCAGATTAAACAATTGATTGCCATTAAACAAATGCCACCGTGAACTCCTATCTAGTGAATATGTTTACAGAACCACTCCTGGTGAGTGAGCCATCGTGATAACCAGTTTGTCCTTGCAGGCTCCAGCCTCATTTACTGTTGCTTCTTCTGCGCAGCGGGTCCCATGTCCTTCTCAAAAGCCCCATACGGAATCTGAAGGCTTCCTAGTGCCGAGAGGCCGACGTACATGATGGTGAGGATGAGGAGGAAAGCCAACAGGCCCATAAAGATTCCAGGGGTGAAGAATTGGTACTTCTCAAACAGAGGCCTGGGGTCCGTCTGATTGCCCTTCTGCTGCCTGCTCTCCATAAAGGTGCCAACATTGCGCTTCAGCTCAACGCGGCGCCCATCGGCAAACTCGGCCTCATACGACTTGGCCTCATGGGGGTTGGAGAAGTAGACGACGGTGTAATCTCCGTCGGCCTGGGTAGTGTCGAAGAAGCTGGCCAACTCAAGGTCTACCGGTACGTGTTAGCCACAGACGTCCGAGGTTTGCCACACCACTGCAAATACGTCGAAAAGTACATACCGTTCTCCGCCAGCACCTCTGCCCGTCTGGGCTGCTCTGATGGCAGGGCAGGGAGCAGTCGCTCCTCGATCTTGGCCACACGTCCCTTGGACTGGCACGAATCCTTGATATGCTTGGAGAAGTCGCCAAAGGCCAGATCTCCACCTAGAATCTCCGCCACGCTGAACCGGCCCTTGACGTCCTTGCCCTCGAGCGCTCGGCAGAGGCTGGGCGACTGGCAGCCGCTAGGACCCGTCAGGTCGCTCGCATGAACGGTAGGCTGCGACACAAGCAGGTAGCGACTGGTCGGGCATGTGCTGAGGATGTCTCTCGCAGAGGCAAGTACGCGCGCAGTGCTTTGGAGTTGGACGTCATCCGGTTTCGTAAATCTATGTGGAGAGAGAAGTGGTTTAGTAGGTACATCCAGCGTGGAGGATGGGTGCAGGTTCATTTACTCAGAGGTAGAGAATAGCAAAAAGGGCGACGAGTCGGAGAATGCATTGGCAGAAGCGACGGCCAGGAGGCCAGTAGCTATTGATGCGCGCATCTTGCAAAATGTCGTGTCCGCTGTACGCTGTCTTCGGCGATGGACGATGTGAGAGGGAGCTTCTCTGTCGGGGTTGGATAAGGGACACCAAGCTTCAATGCTGGGAGCTGCCTTGATGATGATGCAGCTAGTGTAAAGGCGGCGCGCCTCACCCCAGTAAAGTTCCGTTTTCCCTTGTAACGGGACCTGTTTGGAGGGCCAACAGGCGGCGTTTTGGCCTGACCGTACTGCTAAAAATGTGGACTACCAGCACTGGCACTCACTAAACATTGATATCAGCCGCCTCTTCCGATAAGCTTCTTATCAGATAAAGGTAGCTGGAGATTTTTCGTAATGCCTTCAAATGCCCCGTCCTCAATTAGAGGTCTGGCTGTTCTCTTTACCCGATACACCCTAAGCGCCTGATCCTGTCCCGACTTTCTCCTTCACGATATCGAGATGTTCAAGCAACCGAGAGCCAAGAAGAGCCTCCTTCCTCCACCAAACAAGAAGAGGAAGGTAGCCCACAACATAGAAGAAATCTCCTTCGACCGCGATGCTCGCGCCGAGTACCTCACTGGGTTCCACAAGCGCAAGGTGCAGAGGCAAAAACATGCGCAAGAGATTGCCGCCGAGAAGGCGAGGCAGGAGAGGATAGAGATGCGGAAACAGGTATGAGGCCGTGAACGACTGTCTCTCCAGCCAAAGTTATACTGACACCAATGTTTTCAGCTCAGAGAGGAGCGGCAACAGGCTATGGAAGAGCATGTGAAGCAGGTTCAGGACTTGCTGAAGCAGGCAGAGCAGGCAGGCCAGGACGACGACGGGGACTCAGAAGATGGCACAGAGGACGAGGCATGGGACGGCTTTGAGGACAGCCCAGCGCTCGAGCCTGTTGATCAACAACAGGAATACATTGATGAAGACTTGTACACGACAGTTACTGTGGAGTCGGTCAGTGTAGATCGTGAGGGTCTACACAAACCATTGGAAGAAGCGGAAAGACGGGAAAGGGAAGCACAGAGCAAGAAAGCCATGGAGGAAGGTGACGCCGCCAACAAGGACAAAAAGGAGCGGCCAAAGAAAAAGAAAAAGAAGTTTACATACGAGACGAAATTCGAGAGACAAATAGCCGACCGCAAACAAAAGGCCAAAAAGGCAAAATACAGCAGATAGAGGACAAGCATTTGGCCGCAGGCGGTACAAATAGAGGCCGGGTCTCCCACATGGCAACAGGCAAGCGAATAGGACTTCTATTATAATTGGGAAGAGACACCTCGGATCTCACGAGTAAAAGATCACAAGCCTTCTTCGACTATTTGACATCAAATCATGACTTTGTTCATGGGGCATCGAGCTAGCGGTTGTTTGCCGTAACTCAAGAATGCAGAGAATGTGCACAAGGAACTGGCTCCTCCACTCGACATCGTAGAACCTGTCAGCACCGCACCAGGAGAGACTCGAAGCCGCGTGGCCCGTTCAGATGTTGCCGATCTCGAGTTGTAGTGCATCGAGCTCGCCCTGGAGCTGGCTGTGCTTCTTGGCCATCTCCTCGTACTTTGACTCCCACTGGTCGCGTTCGGCCTCGAGGGCTTGCACTTTACGCTCGAAATGGCCGGCCTTGACGTCAGTCTGTCGGAGCCTGTGGATAGGGGGCTTGGAGTTAGCGAGCATTCACCTTTGGTAGAGATGGGAAACTTGGCAATGTGCTGGGCGAAAGCAGGTGGTTTGCGTGGATGAGTGACGTACTTCTCGTTGGCCTCACGAAGGGTCTTGTCGGCCTCCTCGGCCTCCTCCTCGAGCAGCTGCAGCCTCCGGGAGAGGGTCTCGTTCTGGGTGCCGTGCTGCTGGCCCTCATCGGCGGCCTTCTTGAAGTCCTTGATGGCAGTCTCAAGCTTCTCAACCTCGGTCTCGAGGAGGTTGTTCTTGTGCTGCAACGAGGTGATCTCCTGCTCCTTGGAAAGGTTCTCCTGCTCCAGCACCTTGACCTTGCTCTGGAGCTCTTCGACCTTGCCCGTGGCCTCATCAGCCTCCAGGCGGAGCTGGTTCATTTTCTGTAATCCAGCACATCGTGATCAGCATATAGTCCGCCTTTGAACGACGAGAAGGCATCGAATGATGGGTTGGCCGGAAGTTGTTGACGGAGGAAGTGGGGTATCAACTTCAAAGGTGTCGTGCAATTGCTGCCTTGCTCACCTCCTTAATGCGGTCCATCTTGGGTAGATATGGTGACTAGTGAGGTACGGTATTCGGAGGCGTCAAAGGTCAGAGGTTTTAGGTCGATGGTAGAGAGGGATTTGGATTCCTCTTGTCCAGGTGGAATGCGACAGAGAAAGTGGTCTTCTTGGGGAAAGGGCTCGGAGAAGAAGGGGGAGGGTGTGCGTGAGTGGGTGTTGAGGACGTGTGCAATGCAAAATGCCCCTCGCAAGGACCGATTCGCTGGAAAGGGAGGGAGGGCCAAGTTGAGGGACTTGCGGCGGGGACGCTGTGTGATCAGCACGCCTGCAAGGATGGGCGCTCTTCCCCAAAAGAGGCGGTGGTGGGGTGTTGCTACAGCACAAACGCAGCCTATTTGGGTCAGGTTTCAGAAGCTACACCCCGTTGCCCCGCCAACTTCATTCCCGAGCTCTCCCATAGGTAGGAGGCCTGGTCAATAGACTTCTGCCTCCAGATAGCTGCGCTGACGAACCCCCTGCCAGCAACCACCCCATGTCGTGTTAATTAAGAACGCGAAAGAACCTAGCTCAACAAAAGAAGATCGCCAATCAACACGAGAAAACCGGCGTACCTGCCAACGTCGACCCTCCTATCCAACTTCTCTGAATACCCTGGCCGCAGTCAATCGATGTCGTGAATCAACAATCTTACAGCATCAGTACCTACGCAACAATGCTCGCGGCACACGATCAAGAAAATCGGGTGTTTGCCCATCACGCTGCGGCCAACAATAAGCAACAGCAATTACAGCCCAAAACACCTGGAGCTCGATTTCCCAAGACTCCGTTAAAGGTGCCCCTGAATGATGAGAATGCAACTCGGGGGCTTGGAGGGAAGAGCGTGTTGACTGCGAAGGGTGGCAACGAAAATGTCAGGACGATTGGCAAGGGGAAAGGCCTGGACAAGTCTAATCTTTTGACTCCGATGGGTAAGAAGTCCTGGATGAGTCGACCGAGTCTTATATGTGTCGAGGACAACTCAGCTGACCCTTTACCCGTAGAACCTCGAACAGCACGCGCACCTCTCGGAAACAGAACGACCAATGCCAAAACTGGGACGGTTCAGGCTGGAGGCGTGAAAGGCTTGGTTCGTGAATTTGAGAAGACGCAGGAGCCAAGGAGCACTGCTCGCCGGCCGCGTATCAAGTCACCCCAAACCGAATCATTCAGACTGGAGGTGCACAATGACAAGAATGGCCCTCTGGGGGATGAGGAAGACATTGAATACACGCCGCCCCGGCCAAGAGAGGCACCATATCAGTCTGACGTCTTCCCTGATGGAGTATTGACATTCGATGGACTGAAGCCCGAGAACAGGCTCAAGGGGTACTACCAATACTACTACAACCCCATTGGGGAGGACGGCATGTCCCTCAAAGAGCGGCAATTCATCGAGCAGCAACAACGAGCTTTCAAGAACCTAGACGATCAGATCCAGAAGGACATGGATGAGTTTGACTGGACCATTGGCGATATACCCGGCAGCAAGGATTTCCTGAAGAAGAAGCAGAGTACTACCGGGGCGGCAGCAGGAAGCAAGGTAGTGCATCAGACCGCGACGAAGCCTCCTGGGACCATCGCCGCCAGAAAAGCGGCGTCCGCTCTATCAATGGCTTCGAAGCCCACCACTGCCCTTCAGCCCAAGCCAGTGAAGCCTGTCAATACGAGGCCTCTATCCTTCCTGCAAAACAGCAGGAAGCCGGTTGCTCGACCTACTATTCCCAAGCCATCCGTGTCAGATGCGACCACAGGTGCAGCAGCGTCGAGAACTACCCTCGGATACAACAAGGGCCGAACGACGTCGTCTATGCTGCACGGGCGTAGGGAAGCGCCGAACCCTACACGTACCTTCGCAAGAAGCTCCAGCACCGTCTCTTCCGGATCTGACTCTACTATCACGCCTGCACGTTTTGCTCAGCGACAGGTGAAGGACTCGGAGCAAGACGACTTGCGCCGTCTCGAGTTTCTCTCCATCTTTGATGTCGACGAGGACGATGACGGCAATTTGGCTGGTGAGCCTGTCAACGACGATGTTGATGATGGGTTCCAGCTCAACATCAACTTCTAAGCATCACCTCTCGATCGCGGTTCATGAAGACAGGCATATTACACTTCGGTACGCACCTGCGAAGGAGAGGGTACCAACATCGTCAATGTTTCTTCTCGAGTTGTGTTCTCATTTAAGTTTCTTTCCCGAGGACTTGGACTGTGAGGCGCTTTGAGCGGTGGTAGAAGACAGCAGTACGGATATGATTTCTTAAATGGCGTTTTGTACAATAGGCTATGATGAACTTGCAGTTATTGCAACGCTATGAATTTGATGACCCTCGATACCTTTGTACGAAGATACGCACCTGGCTTATGCGTAAGAGTTTGATTACTACGTGACAGCGTCTGTTTCCAAAAAGACGAGGCATTCCAGAGGCCTATGATAGGATGATTGGTGCGTTTGGAATGCCAATCAATATGATATGTGCACATTCCACGGATGGCTAAAGGGCTTCTCCAGATCACGTTGTAAAGCACGAGAAAAAGGGTTTCCCATCCTGTAACCGCCTGGGGAGGTTAAGAACACCTTGGGACTTTGAAAATTTGCTCCTGGGTGAATCATGTGGTTGTCGCAGGACAGGACGGAAAGCTTGACGCGGTGCGACGGATTCAGAGGTGGGAAAGGGCCAGGTCGACCGTGATAGTGTACGAAGTACTGAGAGTAAATGAATTAACTTCGAAGTATGTTGCTTGCGATGCGTGCGTTAGGCAGAGACAGTCGATTCATGTCATTTATTAGCGACCTTGGTAAGTAAACGGTTATTGACCACGATTGATTGACCTTCACTGTAGCGTGATTGCACCAGGATCTCACCCATTTCATTTGAGTCCTTCATCTCTATAGATGAGAAGACATCGGTGTAAACAAGGTAGTCCTTGAGGCTAGGAATCGCCGCATCTCAGTGAATGAAAGCCCATGGAGGGGAAGTGATGATCCGATACGTTGATGAGCTACGACCAAGGGAGGTGCTTCACCATCCGTAAAGGTCAGCAGGACTCGGTCGTGAGATAGGCCGTATCATGATGGTGTTTTTCGATACCCAGGTAGGTAGTTAAACTCCCTCCTCGACTTTACCTACCCGCGCTGGGTCTACGGAATACCTGACCTACGCGCTGAGAAGAGGTAAGAAAGGTACTTCTGCTGTCCCCGTGTTTGGCGGGTGACCCAGGGCACGTTTCTTGTACCCACATTTCATTGTTGGACACGCTAGCCGCGAGCCAGCGCCAGCCTTTCATCATCCCTGATTGCCCATCTCTAACTTTCCTTGCCCACCTGGGACCCGTCGCTCAAACCTCCCTCCTCAACCCCCCCAGAGTACTTCATTTTTTTCGCGCCAGATCTCAGCATCAGCACCACATTCACTCGCCCCCAGACGTGCGCAACCGTGTCGCCGCCATTTCACCTATCGGACGCCGGGATTTTTGGTGAATTTGCACGCCCTTCTGCCGGCTGCATCTCGATGAACGCGCGCGACACAACGTCACCGCAGTAGGACTGGGCTGGCATTGGCACCGGCTCTTTTCCACCGCCCGCTCTCTCTGTCGCGTGGACACCACCAACTTCCGCGCGTGGATTTTTCCGCACCAACCTCTCGTCGCACCCTCACAACGCCCGGCTCCCCCATCATTGCAGATGCGTGCTCCATCGTAGCCTCTCTCACGACGACGATGACGAGTCGCGGACGGGGGAGGTCGCAGTAAGATTAGCATTATCACGATGCCGCCGCCCTCTGGCGCGAGCTTCGCTCAGTTCTTTCCCGCCGCCCCTCGCGCTGCGAGGGACCGGGCCATCGAACGCGAAAGAGCTCGATCCAGGGCTGACGACTCGCCGTCTTCGCTCCCGCAAGGCGACCTCAATGGTCGCCGCACCCCCAATGGTCAGCCCGACGACGGTTCCTCATCTCGCTCCCGCCGCGACGCCTCAATATCAGACGCCCCTCACCCACCCGCTGATGACAATGAGTCCTTGACTGGAGATACACTCAACACCGTCGGCTCCGCCAGCTCTCATGCCAGCACCGCTTCCTCTGTCTTTAGCGCCGCCGCGCGACAGAACGGCATACCCCTTTCGAAGTACTCAAACAGTCATCTCACACCGCTCACCACTGCCGACTCTCCGTCGTACTCCACCTCTTCATACACCCCCAAGCCGAGCTCTCAAACACCTCGACATCCCGATGCAGACATGTCTCATCTTAACCCAACGCCGAATGGCAACGGCTGCTTGCCCGCAAGCCTGCAAGTCCAACGCCCTCCTGCGCGCGATCCAGATCGTCCGGTGAAAGGCATAAGATGCACATATGACCCTCTGGCCGACAAGACCTTGTCCAGTTCCGAGAAACGGAAGGCGAAGCCGACATATAAGGAGTTCGGAATGGTACGTAAATACGCGCAATACTCTTGTATAAGAAGGGGGAGCGTCATCTGACTATGAGTAATTGAATCATGGCTAATAAAATCGTGTATAGGAAGATGACGCTCCCCCTTCGGATCCCCGCCTCGGTAAGGGTGGGAGGTTGAACTACATCAACGTTGACTTCCATCTGCCTCGGGCTCGCCTGCGCCAGGCCCCCTACAACCTCAAGCCATATGCATATGACCCCAAAACCTCGATTGGTCCTGGTCCGCCCACGCAAATCGTAGTCACCGGGTTCAACCCTCTCCTCGCCTTCTCCAAGGTCGCTGCTGTGTTTTCGTCCTTTGGCGATGTTGCCGAGAGCAGCAACAAGATGCATCCCGAAACAGGCACCTACCTTGGCTTTGCGACATTTCGCTACAAAGATGCCAAGCCCAATAGGACACGGCCTGTGGCAATATCTGCCGTTGACGCTGCGAAGCGGGCTGTGCGGCACATGCATGGCAAACGGATCGAGACGAACCAGGTCCGCGTAGAGTTCGACCCCGAAGGCAAGAAGAGCGGTCGCATGTTGGAGGAAGCGTTGAGGCAGGAGAAGGAGAAGTCGAAGCCCGCTGCGCTCGTGTACAAGATACCCACTGCTCCGAGAGCCGGACCTGGCGTGATTCCAGGCCCGCCGCCGACTGCGCCCAAGGGTCCCGCGGCTCTTCGGCAGCCCGCTGCTCCTGCTACTCCGACGCCCACGGACCCCACGAAGTTGCCGACGATGCCCAGGATACAGAGCCTGATCGAGCAGCAGCCCATCTTGTCCCAAATCAAAAGCGAGCCGTACATCTTTGTCGCACACGAATATGTGCCTGTCATGCACCAGACGATTGCGCACATGAAGAAACGGCTCAAGACGTATTCATTTGACGACATTCGTGCGGACCGGACTGGATACTATATCATGTTTCGGGACAGTACATACGGCCGATCCGAAGCAGACCGGTGCTACAGATCAGCAAACCGCACAGCATTCTTCACCTACGAGCTGGGAATGAAACTGGCTCTGTTTGGCACCGTTGGCCATCCAGGACATGCATCAACATCTGAAGCACGGCACCGGTCCCGGTCTCCCGAAAGAAAACCCACAGCAGAAAGCCGTCAACGGAACGAGCAAGAACAAAGACGACGCGACGAGGAGGCAGACATTGATGAGGAAAAGAAACAGCGAGCCAAGAACTTTGATCCAGTGCTGGAAGCCATCGAGGTCATCCGCCGCGAGATGACCGAACACCTCATCAAGCACATCCGTACCAAGGTCGCAGCGCCTGCCCTGTTCAACTACCTCGATCCAGTCAACCACATCGCGAAGCGCAGGAAACTCAATCTCGAAGGCCCGGAAGCTTCGAGGTTTGTGTCCGTGACATTTGATGAGGGAGAAGATAAGTCACCCATCAGCACTCCCAACTCGAGGGCGGATCCCATCGAGCGCCGGACAGCTCGCCTCGATGTCACTGCCCTGCCCCGGATCCGAAAGGTCAAGAATGGCGGGTTGGCGGCCCGCAAGCAGGGTTTCGTCGACCCATTTGCTCGCAAGCGGCCTGCGGCCGTACGCAGCGCCTTCCGCTCACTTCATCACCGGCTCAACATCGATAGTGACGAGGAGTCCGAGGATGAGAACGACAACCGTTTGTCGATTGCAAGGGATACCGAGGAACCCGAATCCCGTCCTCGCAGTCGGATGAGTACTGATGACGATGCTTCGCCATGGGGTGCGGCCGAGGATGACTCAATGACGGAGGCCAGCTTCGCTGTCAATGACAGCGCAGCTTTACCTTCCAAGAAGAGGAAGCTTGACCTTCAGATTGAGACCGCTATCAAACGGCAAAAGAAGAGCGATGAAGAGCTCTTTGGCGTAACAATCGACAAGATCGAGACAGAGTTCCCTCTCAGGGACGAGACCGAGGACATTATCCTGCCCGACGCGGATGTGAAGGAAGAAACAGACAATTCCCGGATGCCTACACCTGTGCCCGGCGAAGGCCTAGAGAAGAAGAAGCCGGCAAAGAAGACCAAGAAGACGAAGAAACAGCTCTTCGAGGAACGCGAAGCACTGAAGAGGCAGCAGCAAGAGATCTATGAGCAAGAAGCTCTGGCACAGGCAAAGGCCAAGGGACGTAAGGCAAGTCCAGAACCTGCGCCAGAGCCAGAGGAGGTCAAGGAAACCAAACCCGAGGGAGATAGGGTTCTTCTGGATAAGAATCTGTATCCATCGACGCCGGTCCCTGCCCTCGTGCTGCCGAGCGATTTCCTCCTGGATGTTGAAACTTTCCAGTCCTTGCCACTAGATGACAACGACAGGCCAGACCTGCAAAGACTGAAAAAGAAATTCGTTGCGAGCGATCTCGACGACCCGGAGTACTGGCTCTGGAGGCGTAATAGAGTCAAGAGCCTGAATCTGGAGGAGCCAACTCCGGCAGCAGTCCCCACCATCGACGGCTACTATGTCGCCAACTCGACTGGCTGTGCTCGAACGGAGGGAGTGAAGAAGATCCTCAATTCCGAGAAGTCCAAATATCTGCCGCATCATCTCAAGGTCAAGAAGGCTCGGGAGGAGCGCGAGGCCAGGGCCGGGAAGACTGGCAAAGCTGTTGCGGTCGCTGCCGCCAAAGTTGCTACCGAAAACTCGGTGGCACGCGGCAGCTCTCGCGCCAACCGTGTCAACCAGCGCCGCTTCGTCGCCGACCTCAACGACCAGAAGAAGACGCTGGGCCAGGACTCGGACGTGCTGCGGTTCAACCAGCTTAAGAAACGGAAGAAGCCAGTCAAGTTTGCCCGATCTGCCATCCACAACTGGGGTCTGTACGCTATGGAGGCCATACCCAAGGACGACATGATCATCGAGTACGTGGGCGAGGAGGTGCGCCAGTCCGTCGCCAACATCCGCGAGCACAGCTACGTCAAGGCCGGCATCGGCAGCAGCTACCTCTTCCGCATCGACGAGGTCACCGTCATTGACGCGACCAAGAAGGGCGGCATCGCCCGGTTCATCAACCACAGCTGCATGCCCAACTGCACGGCCAAGATCATCAAGGTCGAAGGAAGTAAACGTATTGTCATCTATGCCCTCCGGGACATTGCTCACAGTAAGTCCGCCCTTTTTCTTTGGGCGAAGGTTTCCTGTGTGCATATCACATACTGACACGATCTCGGTGGTAGACGAGGAATTGACGTACGACTACAAATTCGAGCCTGAGGAAAATCCAGAAGACAGGGTTCCTTGTCTCTGCGGCACGACGGCGTGTAAAGGCTTCCTCAATTGAGGAGCCACGGCGACACACAAGAAAAAACTCTTCTCTGGATTGCGGTCTTTGTTTTTGTTACTTAACCCCATGAAACTTCTTCGCATGGCAAAGCATGGTACGGGGTCATTGGGGGCTGGGGCAAAGCGAAGGAGGGTGGCGGGAATCGTCGTTGGGCCTTTTCCTGTTCATTTTTTGCGTTCTCGGCCAACTTCAACATATAATTTTGCATCAACAGGAGGTTCTGTTCTCTCCGTCTCTCAACTTTGGAACGGCGCATTGGCAAAAAATTTGGACTCTACACGGTCACACGGTCATTTATGAATGTGTGTGTTTTTTTTTCCCAGGCATGTTTGGAGGGCAAAACCTACCCAGAAAAATGGAGGCCTGGCTCTGTATAATTTGTGAAAAAAAGTCCCTTTCTAATCCCCTTTACATCCATGTGTTTTTGATTCGGGGGTTTCTTGGTTTTCTTTGGTGTCTTGAGAGTGGTCCCCCCGCAACTCTAATACCAGTCGGCGTGGCGTTAACGTTTCCTTTCTGACCAGATTTCTGGTTCGTTGATTATGGTCTGTGATAGAATGGGAGTCGATGGGCGTGCGGTAGCAAAGTTTCTTTGGTTTACGCCTGGAACTACGAGTGAAGTCTCTGGGGGGGGAGGTCGGCCGCGGGTGGACTTGTACATAGCGAGGTGTCGGCACGAGGGCAGCAGTCAGAGAGTCCATTGCAGAGAGGAGCCACGAAGCCCTCGGGCGCTGTTGGTTGACAGGGCCTGTTTGTGCCTGTCCGTAGGGCGAAGAGGAATGAGATCGAGATGTTGAGAATGACCATGCAGTGCGGTCAGGTGGTATCGTTTCCTTGCGTGACTTTGATTGTGTCGTGATTGAACTTGTGCGTGTAAGATGTTGGTTGACACCCTCCTTAAGCATGATCACAAGACTGCTATTTAAGCCTACCGATGTCGTTGCATCACGAAAGCGAGCATGGGGAATTCAGTATTCGACAAAAGTGGTGCATATGTTTCTGAATTTGTTTTCCCAGTTTCAACGATCCCGTCGCCGAAGGATAGATCTAGTGAGCGGTAGAGTAGATGTATACAAAACTGTAAACGATTGCAATAGGGTATATCAAAACCGCCAACCCAATGAACCAATGTTGCCCCTTTCCCCCTTCCCAAGATCCCAAGATGATGTGATTTAGTCACTTTTCCCTGTTCAAGAAATATCAAAGCCCATTTAACTCCAAGGATGATTCCCTACCAAGGAAAGAACAACGAAAACGCCGAGTTAAGATTGAAAAAAAGCGAAACAGAACCAACATCTTTGCAAAGCAAGACTCTCCCAACAGCAAAAAGCGCCAGCAGCCCCGACAACCCCCTGAAGCAGGAAACCAGAAGCAGAGATTCACTCAACCAGAAAAGAGAAAGAAGTAGTAGATCAGTATAGCAAGTCGCCGCTCTCAATCATCTTGGTGAACTTGCAGTGCCTGGCGTCCGGCTCGCGGAACTTGTAGTTCTCGCCGCGGGCCACGCGGTCCACCTCCTCGAGCACGAACGGGTACACGTCCTTCCACGCGTTGCGGCCCATCCAGCAGTCGAGGTGGCCGTAGCCGGGCACCACGCGGCGGCGGAACTGGATGTCTCCCGCGTCGCCGGTGCTGCTCGTGCCAAACATGTCGCAGAGGATCTCGTACGTGCGCTCCGTCGACTCGGGCGCCAGGACGGCGTTGTCGCGGCCGACGAAGAGCATGAAGGGCACGCCGCGCAGCCGCTCGATGTTCTGCGGCGTGTCGAGCTGCTCGAACAGGGGCCCGTTGGCCATGACGTGGCCCTCGCCGCCCTGCTTCATGAGCAGGTGTAGCAGGCGCATGTTGACGCCGCCAAAGAAGCGGTCGATCTGGCGGTGCGTCGCCTCGTTGAGGTTGCGGTGGTTCCAGCAGCGCGCAAAGACGAGCGAGATGCGGTGGCAGGCGGCGCTGTTGCAGATCTCGCGCCGCTCGTCCGGGTAGAAGCGCAGCACCTGGTTGAGGCAGCGCTGCACGAACGAGTCGTCGGTCGACGTGCTGCAGCTGAACCAGCTGCCCGCCAGCATCTTGTACAGACGGTCGGCCGGGATGGGCCCCGCCATGACCTTGATCATGTTCATGACGTTCCAGATCGGGTTCATAAACACCTGGCTGCAGGTCACGCCCAGGATCCAGTCCGCCGGGATCGTGCCGTCGAGCAGGCCCGTGCTGAAGGCGACGGAGCCCATGCAGTGGGCAATAGTGTAGATCTTGCCGATATTATCCTTCGGGTAGAAGTTCTCCCGAATGTACTCGAGCGAGGCGCGGAGGTCAAGACGGGCGTCATAGGTGGTCCAGTTGTTTTCGGCAATAACGAGCTGGCCGATCCTATGGACCGTTATGAAGACCCGATACCCGGCGCGGCAGAAATAGTTGACGGCGTTGAAGGGGATGGTAGGGAGGGCGTAGATCTGGTGGTCGACGGACGCGCCGGGGATCATGAACAGGTTCTTGACCTCGACTGGAGCGCCGTTCTCGTCCAGAGGGCGGTACGTGGGCTCCCACATGTGCAGCCGGGTGACCACATTGTCCCTGGCGACTATATTGTAGGACTTGCTGGGAGGTGTGTTGTTGATAAAGCCATTGTATGTCTGAGACGGGTACTGCAGAGGGGTAAGAGGCGCAAGGAACAGCGACATGGACTTGCGGGTGAAGTAGGTCATGAAGTTGGCGGCACTAGCGACCTTCTTCAAAAGACCACTGCCCGTGGGAGTGAGCGTCATGATCTCGGACATGAAGTCTGTCGGAGTGATGTGCATCATTCCCTTGGCAAGCACCTTGCCGTGGCGCCAGGGCTCCTCCGCGTTCGGATTGAAGAGAGGCGTCGGCAGCTTCTCTGTGACAGTGACATAGAGGGTACTGGTCGACCGCCAGAACGCCAGAGGTGCAAGTGCGACAGACGAGTCGACCACCTTGTAACCGTGGAAATGCAGCACTCTGCCGTTGGTGCCGCGCATGTCAAAGTCGTATGTCAGATTCCTTGTGCCGGGAGCCTTGGTGTCCATGATAAAGAGCCCAAACTGGCCCCTCTGCACCATGAACGGTGAGCCCGGTATGGTAGGGCAGACAAAGGTGCCCGTCAGCAAGCCCTTGTGGTCGGGGTCATTGACAATGTGCCTGGTGTTGAAGGACTGGACGCTCAGGAAGAACCTTGCACTCTCGCAGCGGCTCTTGGCCGTCCGGTACGCAAGCTCATATGTTGCCCTGTGGTCATCTTTCATGTTGGAGTCCTTGTGGATGAAGCCAGACATGACCTCAGTGAAGCCAAAGCCACCAGCCTTGATGGCACGAGCCTTCTCCATGTCGGAGATGGTCATGTCAAGGCTGTTGAGCTCGGCGTCCAGCTGGACTTCATCGTACTCGGTCTCATCGTCGGACTTGGTGTAGTAGGGGTGGTGAGCAGGCTCGCTAAACAAATCGAGGATGCCGTTCTTCTCCTCGCTGACGTCCAGCTTCTGCTGCTTCGCGAACGCCGCCACAGAGCGCTCGGCGAGGGCGGTGATGGTCGCGAAGGGATTCGCACCCAGGGCGGCAGGGATCACTGCGCCATCGGTAACGATAAGCCCGTCGTAAACCTCTTCGTGATTACCGGTGAAGACTCGGCCGACGTGGTCCGTCACACCTGTCTTACCGGAGTTGTCTCGAGCCATGCACGCGCCACTAATTTTGTAGATTGTCAGTACGACATACGACGTCCAGGTGGTCCCCGGATCGGGAAACGTACCCAATAGGGTGTACAGTCACCTGCTGTCCCATCAGCGCGAAGAAGGGGTTGTTGACCAAGGTTCCGCCGACAGCCTCTGTGGCCTTTGCCAGGATCTCGTTCAGCTTCTTGACGTGGTCACTCCTGCCCACCCCAAGGAACTCGAGCCTGGGCTTGTCATCCTCGAGGGTCAACACTGCCTGGTTGCCTGTGAATTGGGGATTCTGAATCAGCTCTAGGTCCTTTAAAAAATAAGTACGCTCATGCAGTGGCCCACTCACTGTCGTGCGACATGATCAAGTAGACCTGTGTTCTCTCGATCGCGCCCTTCTTGAAGTAAGGCCCGAGCAATCGGCTACCCCAGCGGGCTAGGCAAGCCTGTGTCCGCTCAATGACTGTGTCATTCTTGGGTCCCTGGGCGCCAGGCATGAAGTCCAGCATTGTCTGGAGCAGCCGTGCCAGGGCCTGGGGTACGGCGCCCTCCTCAATAACATAGCCATCGAGAGGATTGGCATGGCCGCGCCTATTGTCAATGATACCTGTGATGGTGGGACCAATTGGCTTGTAGGGGTTGGGGAACGCACGGCCGATGCCGTTGACTTCCTCATCCGTGTTGTATCTGAATAACCGTTAGCGTCGATCAAGACGTACGTTTCGGATGGGACGTAGTGCAAAGGTGGTCTCTTCGGTCCACTTACCCGAAAGCTAGGATATCGCCGTTGCCGCTCATGTTCTGGCCGACCTGGTCGCTCATAGGCATGCCCATGGCCTTGCTCCTGAGCAAGATCTCTGTGCTGCCTATAGCGCCGGCACCGAGGAAGACGGCCCTCTTCGCATGCACCCAGAGGAGGTCACCGTGGAGGTTAGCCTTGAAGTGACCCCGATTCCGTCCGTGCCAAGCAAAGTAGATGTTGTAGCCGCCACGCCTGTCCTGGACCTTTTCGATATAGCGCACCTCACACTCGCAGAACATCTCAGAGCCCCAGTTCCAGGCGTCAGAGAGATACGTTACCAGGGTAGTGGTCTTGGATCCGTCGTTGACACCAGTGGCATCTTGCCCTGTGAGCGCAGAGGCCGACATCTCGACGCCGCAGCGGTTGGGGCCGTTTCTGAAGCGCGTAGTTTGCTTTACGCGGTCGAACTTGTCGGTCATGTTGAGGTACTCTGCCTGTTTCTTGAGCAGCTCCAGCTTCGGCAGCCTGGGCCAGTCCTCGGGGTACTTCTCTGGCTCAAGCACATCTTCGACCTTGTCGTACCCTATGTGGAATGTTAGCTATCGATCGCCCAAAGTCTCACGAGCAAGCCAAGCTGGTCTTACACTCGTCCAATGCACCCCTTTGCCTCAGTTCCGGGGGCCAAAACTTCATCGCCATGGTGTCTTCATCGGCCCGCAAGAATACGTTTGCGTTCATCAAGCTCGTACCGCCGAGGCCTGTGTCGCTCCATATCAGCCACTACATTCCTTATCACGACACTCGAAAGGGAGCGAACTCACCGTTGCACACAATCGCGTTCTGGCCCTTGCCAAAGATGAGATGGTACATGCCTGTGGGGTCGCCGGCGTTGACATCGATGCCGTGCAGGAACCCCGGTGCAAAATCGCCCGAGCAGTGCAGCTCGCCTGCGGACTCGCGCATGCCGGTAGGATATTCACCGGGCCAGCGTTCCTTGCCCAGCTCGAGCAGGCACACCGACTGGCCGGCGCGCGCCATGCGGGAGGCAGCAACAGCGCCGCCGTAGCCGGAGCCGATGACGACAGTATCGTAGGAGCTCCGCATCAGCTCGACGGGCTTGGACAGGCGCGGGAACTGTTTTGCTCGTGTATCATCCACATAGGACCGGATCTTGGCCCGAGCTCGTGTGTGAGGACCGCTATTCTGCTCGTGAGGGCCCTCTGTCCGGACAGGCATGGACCTGGCACGGCCCTTCTTGTCAGTGAAGAAGGAATTACGGTCCGGTTCCGGCGAGGATGTTGAAGACGGAATCGAGGATGATCTACTTCTTGGAGCAGGCCGTAGTGAGCCGTCCAAGTCTGGGGTGCGAGGAGGCTCGGCAGGCGTCGGGGGCCAGTGGACGCCGTTCATCATGCCACCGTTGCCATTCTGGTATGGAGGGGTGTGTATTTTGTTGCCATTGAGCTCTGGCGTTACGAGCTGAGGTGTGGACGCCATGGTGGCTCCGAGGAGGTTGTTCTGGTTGATAATTCAAAGAGTTACAGACCAAAGCCCGCTGATCTGTCTAGTAGTCGATGACAAGAGGGCGATACGGACTAGGCAGCTTGCTCGCGATATACAAAGGTCTTGGTCAGGGAGGTATCGGGAAAGAAATTAACGGCTCTAAGAAGCCGAGAGATCATAGAGAAGCACACAAGTCAGGTTGAAGAGAAGGGGGTATCTTGAACGGGAACAACAAGCCAGATGACAAACAACAACAACGGCTCATCACGAGGAGGAAATGAAGCAGATATAAACTCGGACAAGAGTCGAGCCTAGCTTTCTCAGAGGGACCCGTTTTTGCACCAGACTACCGACAGTACCTACATGTGTAGACCTCGTGTACCTTGCCCATTGTACGTACTAAGTACAGGGAAGGTCAAGCGGGCGTGAGACGCCTGCAGCTCGTTCGGTTCTCACGACCCATGCCAGATGCGAGCAGATACAATATGGCACCGGCGTCGTGCGTGTGGGGGCCGGCGAGCCCCATACTCCCAGAGTGGTGGAAAGAGCGAGACCAGTCAGATGGTCGGATCAAGGGACAATGGGCGGACAAGAGATGACGCCGGGTGTGCCCTGGAGCAAGGGGACTGCGGGCTCGACTCGGCTGGGAATTGCTCGTCCCCTTGAAAGCACCGTGCATGCTCAGCCATCGTCAGCCCTTCCCCCTTTCGGTGAACTGGTGGTGTGGGTAGGTGGCAGGGCTGAGAGCAATAAGTGGTCGAAGATGCTGCTTGACCTTCTTCATTGGCCGCTATACTTGCAATGGGGCGGCGGAGACAGAGGGGGTTAATGAAAATAGTAGCCCGTCCCGACATGGGCACCATTTTAGGTCGGTTTGGCTGCGGGAACTGGCTGATTGGTGCTATGGAGCAGCTGCAAGGATGTCAGAATTTGGAGTACAAGTACCTCCGGAAGTACGAAGCTGTTGCCCACAGGTACTTGTAGAGGTGATGATCAAGACAGAGTGAGAGTGGTTTCTATCATTGACCGAGCTCCTCGTGATGGCGACTGTCTATTGCTTCGTTGACCTGACATGGAGACGAGACGCTAATCCAAAGCATAACTCAAAGCCAATCTCGAGGAGAATATACGCAGGGAAGAAGCATGACACGTTCGAGCTGTGAGACAGACTTGACAAGCCACGGCAAACAGTGAAGGGCCCAGAAGCACCATACAATTTGTAAAATCTCGAGGCGGTTTGATGGTGACCCGACGCCTCCTAGTCAGGGCTCTCGCTGGGTCCGGAGAATTTGTTTATTGTGACAGAGACTCGATCAAGGGTTTGTCCAACCAAGTCTAGCGATCCGTGGGGTCCTTCGGCCCCCCCTTGCCAGTCTGTGCTGGGGAGGGGTGTGACAGCGACGCCATTAGACGACGGCGACAGCAGAACAGACTTTGCGTCTTGTCTCTGGCCCGGTCGGGGTCGACGTCGCGCTGATCGCGGTCTACCGTAAGAAACAGCAGTCCATTCGGCAAGGTTAACGTTAATTGATCCTCCCTCATCTCCAACGTCAGCTTAGCGGGAGCCGCCACACCCGTGTAGCTCGCAGGCCGTACTACTGCAATGCCGCGATTGGACACCGGCACAGCAGAGATGGGGAAAACGGCCGCGAAATGTGCCAATTGGTGATGCAAATCGACATCGAGATTGATGCTGATCTTGCAGAGCGTTGCGGTGGGCGGTGTCTCCGCAGTGCGGTGCGGTGCAGTGCAGTAGCATAGGCATGTCAGTATGTAGGTAAGAATAGCGTGCTCGTGCCACGGAAGCATGGGAAGGGAACGTGGTGCAGAATCATCCCAGCATCATCACTGAGACGGGTGCAGGGGTTTGGGGCATGCCAAAGCGGCCGAGATGGCCCCAGTTGGGATGGAACCGGGGGGTTCGAAGGTTGTGTATGCATGGCTGGCGCTGGGTTCCGTCGCCATTGGCTGACGAACGAAACATCCATATCCCCCGATGTGACAATCTTCTGCACAGACCGGGAGCTGATAGGCTACAGCATATAAGTGGCCTTTGGGGGCTGTGGACGTCCAATCACCGGGCTTGGCGGGCTGATATCCAGACCCTTTTTCTCGATGATGGGAATTCTGGAACCTCATCATAGTGGCTTGAGAGAGAAAGTTTTGTGTTTGTTCAAACTAGCTCTGGCAAGATGAGGGTGCTGTTTCACCGTCTCTGGCTGTGCCGTGCCTGTCTTCCCAAAGCGGTTGCTGTCAGAGTTCTGCGACGTCGATTGACCTTGGGCGCCAGCGAATGGCAGAGTTGAATTCGAGTCAGATCTTCAGCCGCAGCGGCAGGGGGGCTTGGTCCGAAAGGCTGCGCCGTAGTCGTGGAGTAGAGTGGTTGCAAAAAGTTGGAGAAGTGCTAGTAAGGTAGAGGTAGTTGGGTAGGTCGAGGGAGGTGAGGAGGAAAGACTTGCATGGTGGGCAGCATTCCAGGTTCCATCTCCTCCGTGTGGCAGGCAGGCGCGATGAACTGCGCCGCCCACGCCACTTGTGACAGAGGAAGTTGCGATGGGGCCGCAACAAGTCTCGAGAAAGTATCTCGAATTGCCATTGCTCTCTCCTCTATCCACCTGCCCCTCCTCTTCCGGGCTTCTTCTTATTTACTCGTGTTTCTTCTTTTTGGCATGTGAAAGGATACACAAGGGCCTTCAGATATGGACCAGCCAGAAGACGTTGGTCAACGAAGAGAGGAAAGCGCTACTGCACGGCGTAAGCCGGCGCGATGGGCCGTTGTCAGATTGTGGAATGCCGACCGCCCTCGGCGACACGTACGGACGGAGTACAGCCTGGACGATGTTTGGCTGGACCAAGCGATAAGGCTGACGGCGGCAAGAAGGGGGAGGATGCAGGTCGGGGTCGAGGTGGTGGTGGTGGTGGGGTGAAACGGGGTCGATGCAACTTGACTCGGCCTCGGTCCCCCCTCGAGGTTGCTTGCAAACTGCCTTGCTCGTCGTCTGTGATACACATACCGACGTATGTATGGACGAGGTACCGTCGATGTAGGTGACGATGTCTCCGATGGATAACTCAACAAGGGTGGTCAGACAGAAGAAAAAAACGTTCCATTCTGCAGGGGTCACCGAGTCGCCGGGAAGCCAACAGGGGGGTGAGGGTCTCAACTGCACGGCACGACAGCTTCAATGGGCAAATTGTGGCTGGTTGCAGCGAGAGATGTCATCGTCGAATCGTGGTGACCGAGACGCATTGCTTCTTCTCGTTGGCTGAGGGCACGAGGGACACGAGGGGCCTGATGTGCTGTCGATTTGATAGAACGTCATTATTGTCACCATCGTGAGGTCGACGCCAGGGCAAATGCCCACCGAGCCCCTGGCCCCCTGGTCGGGGTGCATCACATGGACCCCAAAGCCCTCGTCTACAGGACGGATGCCTAACGCAACTGTGCCTCAGGGCTGCTCGAGTCAATTGTCCATGACCAAGCCAATACAAGACGCCCAATCGAACGAGCACAAGAGCACAATGAATCAATGATGCCATCTCCGAGGAAAGCCGGACGAGGGGCAGCATGAAGGGGGGTTGCAATCTTCTTTCGGTCAAGTAAAGGAGGTAATCACCAACATAGCTGAACATCTCCTTCGGTCAAGGTCAACGAGAGGTCCGAGTCTGCCTTGTTTCGTGCAACTGGGCAGGCACACCCTCCTTCTCTCCCGTGAAGGACCTTGCAACATGTCTTTACGACTGACAAGTGGCTCGTTTTCCTCAGCCACAGGTTATTCGCTCAGTCTGCAGAGCCTTGTTGCCCGAACATGAACACTCCCCCGGTTTGGTCTCACTGAGAACATTGAAGTTGTGGCCCTCGAGCGAGGTGATGCCATCCATGAGAACTTCCATATTCCTCTCCATCACTTCACAGACAAGTTGGGCGAGATTGAGACTCGGTACGTTGATTTCATATCATTTGTGTATTTCCTTATCCTAAAAACTCCATGCCGTCGGTCTTTAAAAACAAAAGAGAAGGAAAAAGGAGCAGATCTATATGCAAAACGCAGGCTATCTTTGCAAACAGATTCATATCCCAGAAAAGAGCAATCATGTCATGCACAACGCCGATCAGGGAGAGGAACAAATTGCGTCCTTTTGCGCCAGACATCCTTCCCCGTCTTTCCTCTATGCCTCGAATTTTGCCTCGCCGGATTTGGGTATCTCTTCCACGGCCTTCCTGAGGCTTCCCCTGTCGAGTCGCCCAGTCTAGGGCGTCCTCGAAGCGAATCTTTCGGAAGAACGCAAGTGCACTGGTATCTCACACACAAGGTGGTCCAGGGGTTTCTGCGCCTCTTGTCCGCTTGCCGCACTCCAGAGAGCGGCATGTGTAACGTGCAGATGGGCACACGTCTCGCTTAGGCCTTGGTCCACCAGTCGCCCTGGTCGTGCATGGCACGGGCGACCTTGACGAAGCCGGCGATGTTGCTGCCGGCGACCAAGCTGGGGAGCTCGCCGTCGGCGCTGGTGACGTACTCCTTGGCGGTGTCGAGGCCGATCTGGAAGGCGTTCTTCATGATGGCCTTGAGCTTGTCGTCGACCTCCTCCGAGGACCAGCCGAGGCGGCGGCTGTTCTGGGCCATCTCGAGGCCGGAGACGGCGACACCACCGCAGTTGGCGGCCTTGCCGGGGGCGTACCAGATGGCGTCGCCCTTCTTCTCCTTGCGGTTGGCCTCGAAGACGTTGATGGCCTCGAGGTCGCAGCCCATGTTGGAGCCCTCGGCGATGAACTTGGCGCCGGCGGCGATCAGGGCCTCGGCCTCCTCCTTGTTGACCTCGTTCTGGGTCGCGCAGGGCAGGGCGACGTCGACCTGGCCGACGTGGACCCAGGGGCGGGCGCCGGCGATGTACTTGAAGTCGCCCTTCTTGGCGTAGTCGGTCAGGGGCCGGCGCTGCTCCTTGAGCTCCATGATGGCCTGGATGTCCTCGGGGGTGAAGGTGCGGTCGCCCTGGGCGATGAAGCTGCCCTGCGAGTCGGACAGGGACAGGACGGTGGCGCCGAGCTCGATGACCTTGAGGGCGGCGTACTGGGCGACGTTGCCCGAGCCCGAGATGGCGACGCGCTTGCCCTTCCAGTCGCCAGCACCAGCGACCTCCATCATGTGGCCGACGTAGTAGACCAGACCGTAGCCAGTGGCCTCTGTGGTAAGAAATGTGGGGTTAGCCCAATCTGGTTCAAGCGCCCATGGTGTTTTACGTTATAGTTTGCTCCCTCATCGCAGCCGGCTGAATTCCCGAAAGCAACGGGACCCAGTAGAATCGATGAGAGGCTAGGGATTTGCAATTGCAATTCGTCGTGCAAATAGAGATAGCTGGAGCTGGAGCCGAGGACGAGACTTACCAGGTCGGATCAGGGAGCCACCCCATTCGAGGCCCTTGCCCGTCAGGACACCCTCGAACTTGTTCTGCATGCGGCGGTAGGTGCCAAACATGAAGCCAATCTCGCGGCCAGAGACGCCAATGTCGCCAGCGGGGACATCAGTGTCGGCACCAATGTGCTTCTGGAGCTCGGTCATGAAGGAGACGCAGAACCGGCGGATCTCCGAGTCACTCTTGCCCTTGGGGTCGAAGTCGGATCCACCCTTGCCACCGCCCATCATCAGGCCAGTCAGGGCGTTCTTGAAGATCTGCTCGAAGCCGAGGAACTTGAGACTGTAGGGGGAGCGCGCCAAGTCAGCTACTCATCGTCTTGGCCAAATATCCTGCTTTTTGGGCTCCCATTTCGCAGCGCATCAATCTGCCCACACCCGCACCCAGAGGGGTTTTCTTTACTCGCATACTCGTACAACCCGCGCAACTCGCCACCAGTATGGCGGTACCGGTGTGGTTTGCGCGCGAATCATGTAGTAGCAAGTGCGAAGTATCCGCCACTGGCTGCAGGGAGGACAAATTGACTCGCGCGTTGAGCCGGAGGATGATGATGATCAAGAAACTTACATGGACAGGTTGACGGTAGGGTGCAACCGCAGGCCACCCTTGTAGGGACCGAGGGCAGAGTTGAACTGGACGCGGTATCCGCGGTTGACCTGGACCTTGCCGCTGTCATCCTCCCAGACGACACGGAACTGGATCACCCGCTCGGGGATGGAGACGACCTGGAGTGCGGTGCGGTACTCGGGCTTCTTCTCGAACAGGGACGAGTTCTCGAGGGTGTAGACGAGCTCTGTTCCAAGGCAGGCAACGCGTTAGACTACGTGTCTGCATAGATTGTGTATTCACGGCTTATGCTTACCGTTGTAGGCCTGCTCGAACTCAGGCTCGGTAGGATAGTTAGACATGGTGGGCGAAGGGGGATGTGGGTATCTTTGGAGTGAAGGGGATGTCTCTTGAGGATGATGATAGTTCGAGTGAGAGTGGTGAGAGTAGAGAGCAAGAGAGGAGAGGTCGTGTGCGAGGAGGGAGGGAGGACGGAGAGCAGCTTTTTATCAACGACTCGGCCCGTGGGGATGTTCAGACCAGCGCTACGGGATGGAGATGGGAGGCGATGGTGTTCCAAAGGTCCTCCGTAAACGGTGTTGTTGGTTTCCGGCTTGTCAAGCAAATTATCCATCGATTTCACACATTGGATGGGCCGCAGCCCGGAGGCTGGCTTGATGTCATGCAGGGCCTGGTGGGGGACGGCCAGAGACAGGGTCCTCCATCCGGTCCGTCTTCGCTCTCTCTCTCTCTCTCTCTATGGGATGGGAATTAGTATGTATGTACACGTCGAGTAAGCTTATCAGACAGCCCACACCCGAGGATCTCCTGCCTAGCCTCGAGTAGAGTTAGTCTGTCTCTCTGCGCCACTAACATCGGGGTGCCTTTCCCCAAGGCTAAACAGCACGCGCAAGCCGGCCATCCGTGTTAGTGAGCCCACTCGCGGCGTTACTTTTAGTCTTTCCACTGACAACACCCTTCAGCAGAGCCCAGCCCGCCTTTCTGCTATTCGCTCGTCAAGTTTCGTGGACAAACTGCGACAACGGCGTAGGCCAGTGGAGAGGGATAGTAATCTCGAGGGATCTACCTGACTTGCAAACCAGGCCATCTCTGCCAACCATCCAATCTCCCCTACGGCCGTCCAGTATGTCCGTCTGCTCGACTCGTAGGTCCCAAAAAGACATCGCTCATCGTCCGTCGTTGGGGGACCGCACACCCTCTCTCCCCGTGCAACTTACAGGCATGCGTGTGCGTATGTAGGTATGTCGTTACATTATGTATGTGCTACCCACGCTGGTCCCATGCATGAGTACTCCTTAGAAGGAGAACCAGTCTCGTTCGTCAATGGCACCGACCGACCACTCGACCGAGCCGACGGCCGGTGCTGTAGCCAAAAGCCAAGGGCAGCATTTGCATCAAATTGATCTCGCCTGGCCCTCGACGTACAATGGGACTGGTCCGGCCCCGCTGCACTAAAGTAGGAGGCCCGAGATCCATCGACCGCGTCTTCAGGTCCCTGGGTGCATGCCAGATCCCTTATCTGGGCCTGCTGATTGGCCACTGGCTTGCCATGACGTTTTGCATTGTCGCAATTCATAATTTCATGTGGTCTTCGACCTGTCAAAGGCCACACAAAGCCCTGGCTGGCCATGTGCTTTTCCCCGGCCCCCGAGAGCAGCCTCCGACCCAGACTGGGGACTTGGTTGTCAAATCCCGGTCTTCTTTTTAGCAGAACCACGCCCAGATTCTTCCTCCCCGTCCCCGTCGTAGTGCAGTCTTGAAGAATTACAGAAACATCGGGTGAACACGGAAGGAGCTCACGCGAGTTTGCGGACCACTTGCTCTCAATATCTTGGCAACCTTCATAGGTAGGCCTGTTACAGCAAAAAACACCTCGTATATGAATGCCTAGACCTTCTTGCTCTCAGTAATAAAATAGTTAGGTAGTGAGGGATGGCTCCTCCTTGCGATATCGGGAAATCCGATGAGCCCGCTCGGGTTTATCCTTCTCTCTGGCCACCAGCCAGCTTTCATGTTGGAAGAAAGTCAACCGCGACCCGATGTTCAGCCGCAGTTCAATCCTTCAACGCTTCAATTGGTTTCTTAACTTCCGGGCACACCGACCGGGGAATTGACTCCAAAACGCGCTCCAGCTTCTCTGCACACCCCCCCATGCCGGTCTCGGCGACCCTCTACAGCGCCGCTTCTGCTGCCACTTTGCTGCGAGGCTACCTGAGTGAAACCCCCATCCCTCATTTTCACATGCATGCGACACTGTTCTGCAGTTCCAATTGAACCCCACCCTACGAACCCCATGCTTGCGCCGGGGTGCGTGTGCGGCATTGCCTTCTTTTTTCGTGAGCCTTTCGATGTTTAGTGAATCGAAATTAGTCGTCAAGTCTACCGCCTGGCCAATCAACCGTGCAAAAAGAGCCTCTCGATAGTAGCAACGACGATGACAGATGCACCAACCCCAAACCCAGGTTGGGTACCGTATGTAAAGCTGTCCTCTCCGGCTCAGATTCTGATACCCACCTACTCTTGCTGCCGGATACAAGCGCGTTTCCCCGTGTTCTGCCGCGGAGCCTCCGCTCCCTCGTCCCTCGATGCTTGTTGCCATTACCGGGGACAAACCATCCTGGTTGTCTAAGTCGTGTGCCAAAGGACCTGGGGACCACATCTAAGGAGTAGCAATACACATTGAGCATTGAAGACCACATAGGAACAGGCATAATTCACACCACTCAAGTGCTGTTTCGATGTAAAAAGATGCAAAAGGAATTATCAAATCCATGAGTCAACACTTGATATATCAGGAGATATGAATGCGTGGAGAAGCAAAAAATGATTTCGTCCAGGCTCGAACTGGAGACCTTCAGTGTGTTAGACTGATGTGATAACCAACTACACCACGAAACCAAGTTGAAGTAATCAAGCTTAAAGAGTACTATGTATGACATTAGATGAGTGGAGAAATAGCAAAATTTTCACACCCGAGAAGGAGGGGATCCGCCCTGGATTAGAGCCCCCCTAAGCCTGAATAGCGAAAGTTTTGACATGAACATGGTTTCGTGGTGTAGTTGGTTATCACATCAGTCTAACACACTGAAGGTCTCCAGTTCGAGCCTGGACGAAATCAACCATTTCATTTTTGCCATTTACGCCTCTTTGTCCCTGGGTGGAAACGCGTTCTTTTTGTTGGCTGACTTCAGGATCTTGTCATGGTTGTGTTGCTCCTGAAGATCTGCTTCGCCGATGGTAAAAGTGTAGTTGACACACGCAGAGCTGTCCGAGTGGCATTGGCTCGGCTCCGAGTCGAAACACCGCCGCATTTACAAGATGCAGGTTGCCCCTACAATGGGTGCTAGCTGATCTTTTCCTTGCTGGCGACCATACTAAGATGCGAACTCTGCTTCCCTTTTTGCAAGTCGCTGCAACGAGGAGCGTCCCTTTCCGTGCTTGCACGGGAAACACCAAATCGATCCATTGCTGAGCCGCTCTCGATCTGCGCTCCCCGACCTTGGCCTCCATCATACCCGCTGTGCTGTCCAAGTTGCCAAGCCCTGATGTCGTTGTTATTGCTAAGTGTTTTTCGGGACGCATATCTTGAGCCCCCATCTCCTATTGCTCAGTTTGCTGGAAGAGGTACAAGTGGCAGGACCTATTTTCCGTGCTCTGATCGACAGGACCTTGTTGCGGCCTCGGCATGGGAGCCAGTCAACGTTACCTCTAAGATGCGGCCAACGATAGCGAGCTTTGTGATGACCACATTGAATGACCATGTCCCAAGCACAAACAGCCCCCAGCTTATTCGCCTCCAGCAGAAAGGTGTTCATCTCAAATCATCTGACTGCAGAGTTGTCATCACCACCTTTCTAATCTCATGCGAATGCCCTTCAATTCTACGACCTGGATCCTTGTGGTCTAAAAATGCCATTACTAAATCGGGGATTGGAACACCGCTCTCCGGCCTCCGTATCAGATCCCGTATCGTATATACACATCAACGCCTCTGAACGCCTCTCATTTTGCTCAAGAGGGGGGCCGACTTATAAAGTCCCCGGCCTCTTCAGTCCGAAATACAAAGCTATGTGAAATGCAACACTCAGACCATCCCTCCTCACCACAGTGCCGCCTGGTCAAAATCGAATCGCTTTAGCTCCTTGTTCGCATCCTCCAAGTCCTTTCTCGCCTTCATCCGCATGTAGAAGATGGGACAATCCTTCGCGCTGCAGATAACTTCACCGTGCATGCTGCCCTGGCACCTCTGGCATTGCGTCCACAGCCTGCCGAATCGGACTTCCAGGTCTGAAACCTTGTCCAGTGTCTTCTTGTACAGCTCGCCAACACGAGGGGCGTCGTCGGAGCACACGGCACCAGCGCTCTCCTCTTTACCTGTCAGCGGCTTCTTGCAGCCCATGCAAGTCTGTGTCTTCTTTGCAAATTTCATGAGACCGCCGACCGACGGTGCCGTAACGGAGATGGCCCGAGTGTGATCACCCGTCAGCAGGGACCTCGCCTTCGTCTCGCCCAGGATAGGCTCGAAAATACGGCCGAGCGGCTTGGCCAGCTGGTTGTCCAGGTAATACTTGGTGTCGATGGGGACGTTGTTTTCAAGTACGTAGATTGGATCTTCAGACCGCTCGAAGTTCTTGGAGCCTGTAGCACCTTTGATCATGACATAAGCCACACGGTCACCCAGACCAGGCGCTGAGCCGGCATCGCGCTTCTTCATGCGCTGAGCCAGCTCAACGTGGGCCTGCTTTGCCGCATAATCATCCTTGGTCAAGGCTTTCGTGATGACCAGTTTGGACATGTCAATCTTGTTTTGCAGGAGTTCTGCAATCGTGTCCTTGACATAGCTATTTGACTTGCGTTAGTGGTGATGAGGCTTTGGAGACATATGAAGCTCTGCACTCACTCTTGTGCTCCAGGCACATCCCGGTCGATCAAAATCATCCTCAACACCTTTTCAATGACTGTCTGGACGAGCAGGCAATTGTCACGCCGGACAGTTTCAATTCCCTTCGTGTCCATCTTGTCATACTTCTCCGGCTTGGTCCAGTAGAGACCGGCATAGCGCTTCTTGTTGATGAGTAGGTACGGGAAGTAGACTTTTTCGAATTCAAGTTTGATGGGCTTGATGAACTTGGCCGACACGTACTGGGACGCGTCTTCACCGAGTTTCATGGCTTCCGCGAGATCTTTGGTCCCGAACTTGACCATGACCGAATCTGTATCACCGTAGATGACTTGCGCATCGTGCGAGTATCCATTGGCAATGCAATAACGTGCCTCGACCTCCGACTTGGTTTTTTCAATCATCTGCCGACCGAAACTTGTTGTACTACTGGCAATCTCCAGACACGGAAGTTTGCCGTTTGTAGCGCCAGTCAAACCATAGACACTGTTGGCACTGACCTTCAAGGCCAGTTGGCGACCGTTCAAGACGGCTTTCTTGAAGGGGTCGGTCTCGATAGCCAGCTCCCGCTTCGCCTGTTTTCTCGCGGAGAGCAACTCTTCGAGAATCTGAGCCAGAAGACCCTTCCTCTGCTTAATGGTGACAAACATGTCTCCGTTGGGTGTCACAATGTAATCCTCGTCTTTCTTGAGGTTGAAGGAGTCGATTGCCTTTTTTGTGAGCAGAGTCGTGTAGCACAGATTGTGGGCTTGCATAATACTGGGGTACAGAGATGCGAAATCGAGAGTGGCGACGGGGACGTCATAGTAGCCACGGATGGGCTCGATGACTGTAGCACCTTCATATTGATCCTCGGAACTTTCTGCTCGAAGATTGGGGATGACCAATTTCTGTTCGAGGGCCTTCCGGAAAAGCTGGCTGATGAACTTGACCTGCTGGCCGCGGGACAAAAGGAAGTTGAAAGGCACGCCTGTGACTCTTGCCATCTCAGTGTAGTTCTCGAGACACGAGAGCTTGTCCATCAATCTCTGTGGAAGATACGCATCCTTGAGACAGTAGAGTGCCAAACGTCGTCTGGATTCTGGTGTACCGTTGAAGAGTTCCGTGATCATAGTGTAGTGAACATCCTCTTTCTGTTCGCCGAGGAAATTTGAACAGACGGAGTTGAGAGTGTAACTTCGGAGTTGGTGATCTCGTTGAATGAGCTGCAAGAGGTCAAGCTGAAGGCGTCCGTTGATGTTGGTCGCCTTTGTGTCTCGATTGCCCATCTGTTTGCTCGAGAAGTTGGTCTCCTTAGAGACAGACTTGATGGTCGGGATTCGGGACCAGTGTTCGAAACCGGCCACTTTGAGATGCTTTGCTCGATCCAGCAGATACGGAAAATCGAAGTTGGCAATGTTGTATCCGGTAATGATGTCCGGGTCAGACTTGATGAGAAAGTCGCGCCAGGCCATCAGCATCCGCTCCTCTCGTTCAAAGTCGAGGATCTGTGTCGCTACGATCGGGCTCGTTCGGTCTAGACAGAAGACATTCCGAACGAAGGGCTTCTTCTCTCCGTATCGGGTGACAACGTTGGCGATCTGGATGACAGGGTCGTGATTGGCTTCAGGAAAGATGCCCTTCCGCCCCGCACACTCGATATCAAAGGACAAGATCCTGAGGGGCGCCATCTTGGACCACTCTCCGACCGGTTTGTGGGCAATGAGGTCCGTGTAGCTAATCTCGGCCTCGATCTGGCAGTTTGACTGTCGCAGAGAGTCGTGGACTAGCCGATACTTGTCGGCTGGAGCTTCAACCCAGGCCATACCGGCGACATGGCAGTCAACCATGAAACGAAGGACAAACTGAATGTTGTCAAAAGTCATGATGCCTCCATCGTGTTTCCATAGTCCCTTCCAGTTCGCATTGCCGCTTTCAATTGTTGTCCGAACCTTGTTGATGAACTTTGGGTCTGTGACCGTGATCTTGAGGTATGGGTTCTGGGTGTTGTTCTGGAAACCGTATATGTTCTCGCGCATGGTCATCTGGACCGAATGGATGACAGGCTGGTGTTGCGCCACCTGGGTTTCCAGATAGGCTCGGAATGTTGGGCAGTCCTGAGGTTGGAAGGATGAGGGGGCAGCTACATATAGGTAGTGCTTGAAGTCCTTGACGTGAAGTAGGACTGAGTTGCCATGTTCCGTGACACCAAACAGCTTGACTGTTGCCTGGCCGCCATGCAGAGTTCCCTCCTCTGCCTCGATCTGCTGGAAACAGAGGCTGTCCTTCTTAGGGTGAAAGTCCTTTGGAACGGGTGGGCGATCCCATGCTTGATCCTTTTCGGTGTTGTTTTGCTTGAGATCGGAGATGTCTTGGCTGAGTTTCTCGAGCACTTCTGACTCGAATGCACTCTTAGGCTGACTGGAGCCAAACTTGGTATTTTGAGAAGCAGATACACGGCCGGCAGGGGAGGAGAATCCCTCGAGCTTGCGTTTCTTTGCAGAGGCCGGAGTGGCGGGGATGTTCCGGCGAGTGTTGGAAGCTTCGCCGAAAACACGTTTCTGGGGCAGGACGGTGGCAGCCATGGTTGAAGTCGCTTGAATCAGCACTTTTGTGAAAATGGCACACTGGTCAATGAGGGCTCGATGTCTGACACTAGAGCAGAGAAGACATGGACAAAGAGGCTAATTTTTGTGGAATAGAAGCATCACGACGCCTGCTTCGCCTGTCGGTGGGTGTAATTGTTTGAAGCAAGTGGAAGTCGAGGGTCGCTCGAGGTGCAGGGACAAATCAATTAAGCAGGACGCGCCTGTGGTTGTGCATTTGACGTGACGTGAACGCCCCACCATGAATTCTTGCAGGGGTTCACGAGTTTAATGGGCACATCTCAAAGGCGAATCCACGTGACAGGGGTGGCCGTGTTGTCGCCCAGGATACACGAATAAGCCAGGCAAAATAATGGCAACAATGGCATTCTCAAGACTCAGAAAAGTAACATATTGTACATGTTCTTTTTTTTTTTTATAATTCTCCAATGCCTTGTGAGAAGAGTTGACAGTAGCTTTTCCAGTCAACATTCGTACCTGGCTTCACACCAGGTCCCTCGCTTTCCACTTAGAACATTTTCAACAGAAGGGATAGGTAGCTGTGTAACCCCTCCATTTCCACTTGCTTAGACCACTCTTAAACGCCTACACACAGCACATCATTCAGCCTGCAGTACGACCCCATCACTTCTGGAAACATAATCAAATTGAACCCTTAAGCTGCTCACAAGCGAACTGGCTACCCTACCCCTATGAGATCTCCATGTGAGACCTAGGTAGCCATGGCAGAGAGACCGCCAGTCAGACAGCCTGTAGGCGCGGGGCCGACACGGACGCGTATGGGTGCTAACAGTGTCCGGCGCAACCTCTTTCAAAGCCAATTGACCCGGCGACCAACTTCAAATCCATCCACGTCGGCCGAGACATTGAGGCTGGATACAGACATCCAGTCCGAGTCCTCGGATATCGTTGTGCGGGACAAGAACGGCGATATCGAAATGGGAGACCCTCCCACCCCTGCCACTGATGATCCAGACGAGGTTGTGCTCGATAGCAGACAGGAGAGCGAGAGTACGTCCAACCCAGGATCAAACATTTCGATGTATTATTGTGTTTGATCTCACTAACACCAAGTTACAGAAGAGAGGCAAAGGCTTGCAGATGCGGTTAAACATCACCAGATCAACCAGAATAGTGTTCCTTCTCAGCCGGAAGGTGGGTCAAATCTAAACCAAGCAACTTTGGCATTGTGCTGACGTTCTCATAAGAACTTCTCGAGGCCGTCAGAGCAAGTCTCCGGGCCAAAGTCGCAGCGCTCGCTGAAGACAACTGGATGTATGAAGCAGAAGATATGCCCAGGCGCCTATGACTGGCCCACGAGTTTCTATCAACAGTCATAACACATTGATCTGCGTGTATAGCCATCAGTCCAAACCCTCAGCTGCGGGTGCCTCAACCCGCCTGACAGGCGGCTTTCTCGCTCCAGCGCCACCCGCTCCTCCAGCTCCTCCACCAAACAAACTGCCCATCATGTCCATCAGGGGGTTGCTCTGCCTGGGGCGTTGAATGCCAAAGTACATCTCAGCAATCATCTCCAACGGCTCGGCCCATTCTGTCTCTGCAATGTGCGACGCGTACTTGGTGTGCAGCTGCCGGAAGAGGTCAGGGCTACCTCGCTGCACAGCTAGCAGCAAGAGGCCGAGGAAGTTCAGCAGCGGCAGGCTGGGGAAGATTGGGACGTTGGCACTGCTGCTTTCCATCTCCTGCACGGCGAGGCCCTTGTTGTCCTCCTTGAGTGCGCTGGTGAAGTACTGAAAGCAGGCGTTGGCGGCCCTGACGTTTGCCACCAAGAGGTACGGCAGAACAGCTCTGCTAGCATAGAGAGGAGCAGTGTGGGCTTCGTCCTCCTTGTACCACTGGTACTCCATGCGGATGAGGACCTCGGGGGAATCCCTAGTACCTAGTAATAGATGCCGTTCCGCCTCGTATGTCTCGTGCTCTTCCGCATATAGTGAACCAGCAACGTGATGAATCTCGGGATCGCCAGCGGGATATTCGCCAAACTTCGAAGACCAACTGCGAGGCATGCATGTTAGTTGTATTGTACACTTTCCCAGACCGTGTCCCAGTGACTAGCAGAGTGGCACATACCCGATGGCTTCTCCAATGTACTTCTTCCTCGTCGGCTCCTCGCTCTGAAACAACCGCAGGCACGTCAGCAGCCGACCCCTTGACGTCGAGTCCGGCTTCAGCTCGGCCTGCTTGTACACATCGACGAGGAGGATGCATAGGTCGCCACCGCTGCCGCCCTGGCCGGCCTTGAGCAGCGCCTGTGCGACATTGTAGAGGATGTCGATGGCGGCGTCCCAGTTGGACGCTTTGGTGTAGCGGGCGGCGACGACGCGCGTCTGCTGCTGGGCCTCGTAGAACTGCCCGTCGGCAATGCGCTCGCGGAGCCGCGAGATGATCTTCTCGATCTTGTCAGCCTTGCCGCTCATCGTGACGGGATGCCGGGACGGAGGAGGGGCAGTCGAATTGCGAGAACGAGCGGGGTCGGGGGAGCCGCGAAGGAGAGCAGCTTTCGGAAAGGAGCTGAGGAGCTGAAGACAATCGTAGATGGCACCTGAAACCTCAAAATATTCAGCTGGCTGTGATAAATTGCTATCTCGAGGCTGATTATAAGGGGGGTTACAGGTGTATCAAGCACAAATGACCACATTGAATGAGGCACCGAGGGTGGGCTGGACCTAAGCTGGAGATTCTCGGCCCCCACTCCAGAAGCTACTGTGGGGACCGCTCCCTGAGCTTGCAAGAACAACATAAGGCATGGATTTTCAATTGCTTAAACACGGAGTATCTTGAGTATATAAGAATTATCGTTGAAACATTGATGATTTATTAGGATCATTTAAATCCGCTAGAATACCTGCATATCGTGGTGCCACCACGTACAAGTCGTCAAGAGCCAAGTTGTGATTAGAAGTACTTGAGTTCCCTAAACCAAAGTCCTACACCTTGACCAAAATCTACCTACCTACATGGATATTTCTACCTTAGCCAATAACTACTGCTGGTGATCAAACGAGGTCAAATATGCTGATCGGTCATCTCTTCCCCTGTTGAATGCATTGGGATTAATATAGCGAAGTGTTGAAGCACTTGCCCCTATCTTGAGAAGCAATGTGGTATTGACAATCCTTTTACCATGGCCGTTCTTGATAGCATCGCTATTTCGGGTTATTTACTAACAATAATTCAACACGGCTTCTCATTCTCACACGGGCTTTCCACATGCTTTACACTTATAGCCCTGAATTCTAGCAGAGAAATGACACTTTCCCGGCCGAATGTGTCCTGACAATGAGGCTATGGTGGACAAGTGCATATATACTTGAATAGTGGGTCATCGACCCCAAAGTCGCCGTTTGAACGTGCGAAAAATACCACTCCGGTGGTGTAGAGGGAACATACATCCTTCCCAAGGATGTGCTCCGGGTTCGATTCCCGGCCGGAGTAAATTTTTGGACTTTTCGATTTTGATTTTTTTTTTTTTTTTCAAAATTTATTTTGCCCGAAGATGGGTGAGGCTCTGTGATCTTTTTACTTGGTTTTCTTATTCTTGATTTTTACTTTTTCTTCCCCTTGCTTCCTTTACTAGGCTTACTGTACTCCTTCCCCGTAGTACCCGGGTAGCTTGCCAGCTTGCCTCCCATTATGTGGACCAAGTACCGATATAAGCTCACCTTCATACTACCATAGGACAAGACTTTGGCAATCTCATGTTTGGATATATCTAGCCACTGAACTACTGGTGAGTCCTCCTGCATTGTAATGAGAAGAAAAGACGATGCCGCTCAAATTTCCAGGTATTTGCCAACACAATCCTACGAAAATAAACCAAAAAAACGGGTATCTCGACCGTTGGCAATGGGAAACACCTTGCCCACTCCCGCTCCCGGTCCGGCTCGGCTCCCAAGCAAGCTAAACAGCTCTCTGAAATCGCTAAACTGATCAAATGCTAATCGGCAATACATTCGCGCCATCGTTTTTTCCTCGCCTCTCTTTCGTATCAAGTCCTGCCATGCCGCGCCACTAGGAGTCCTTCTTGGGATCCGGCACCGGCACCGTCCCCACGTAGATGAAGGCGTAGGGGTTGCCAAAGTCCCACCGGTACTCGTGGATCTCGCCCTTGAGCAGCCCGTAGAAGCGGCCCTCGCCGTTCATGCCGATGTAGCTAAAGGTGGCGTTGCCGGGCCCGCCCGCGAGCGAGATGGCCTCGTCCGTGTTCCACTTGTCCTTGTCCCAGCGCTGGCCCGACACCGTGCCGTTGGCGTTGCGCGTGACGACCATGACCTGCTGCCACGAGTCCCACGACGTGGCCACGTACTGGGGCGGCGGGTTCTTACTGATGGTCTTGGTGATCTGATAGCCTGTTGTTGCGGAAAAGGGGGGTGGTTGTGGTCAGTACAGGAGGCTTGTGCGAGTTGCGGTTGCAGGCAGTTTCATGGGGCTCCGTCCTTACCTGATTCCCACACCTTCTTGTTGTTCCATTTCAGCTCGTCCAGCGCGTTGCCGGAGTTGAAGTAGAGTCGCATCTCGGCCTGTCCAACAGATTATTAGTTTGTTGTCCCCTGGAGCAAGTATCAATCAGAAACAGCGAAACCACCACTGGTACGTACCGCATTGGTGCCATTGCTACCCCCATCAAAGATAAACGGGACGAGCGCCAACCCCGAGCTCGGGTCGAGGCCCTGCAGGATGGACTTGGTCGGCGTCCAGTCGGACGAGTTGAGCAGGTTGAGCACGTTCTTGTCGTCCTCGTACAGGATGTACAGCTGGTTCGAGCAGCCATAGGGGCAGCGGTGCCACAGCGCCGCGAGCTGGCTGTCCGGGGCCGCGACCTTGGGTGCCTCCTTGACGAGGGCGCCGACCCCCCACTGGCGGCCCTGCAGGTCGCCCGTGTAGATCTCGCCGACGCCGTTGCTCGGCGTCAGGTAGTAGAGGTTGAGCTGGAAGCGCCAGCCCGGGTACCCCGTCGAGGCGAGGGCCAGGGGCGTGCCCGGTTTGGCGGCGATGGGGCTCCCGGACTTGGTCAGGATGGCCGAGATGTTGACGGAGCTCCAGGTCTGGTTCTGCGTGTCCCAGAAGGAGCCGAGCAGGTTGCTGTACTTGTCCTGCGTGACGACGGCGTAGTGGACGTACTGGCCCTGGTCCGTCCAGTTGGCGGCCGCTATCCTCGAGTCGCCGAGGAGCACCGTGTTGGGCTCGGTCGTCGTCGAGTTCTGTCCGCTGCCGCCGCCCTGGCCCTTGTCCTGCTGCGCAGAGCTGTCCTTGCTATTGTTCTTGGACAGCGTCCCGCCCACGGCGCCGCCCACGATGGCCGCGACCAGCCCCAGCCCGACGAGGGCGGCGATGATCCAGAACGTCCTGGCCGCCAAGCCACATATCCTCTTTCCCTTGGGCTTCTCCAGAAGCGGCGGCGACGCCTGCCCGTAGCCTCCTTCCTGTGGGTACTGCGGTACTCCCTGGTAGTACTGAGAATTACCGCCGTGCTCCGAGTTCTGATAGTAAGAGCCTGTATTTCCCGAATAACCTGTGGTGGGGTACTGGCCCTGGGAAGCCTGATCCTCGGGCTTGTAGTATTCGTGTCCTGGGTGAGGCGTTACGACTTGGGGCAGGTCGGACTGCCCGTGGTAGACCTCCTTTTGGGACGTGTCCGCCGCTCTGTGAGCTACCTCGAGGGTGCTGTATTGCGCCTGGTCACCACTCATCTTGGAGGAACAGCAGCACCGGCAGAACAGGAGGCACTTGATATGCCTGTCAGCCGTGAGATGTAGGACCGAGGCAGAGAGTCAGCAGCGAGAACGCGCTCTTCTTTCTCTCTCTCTCTCCTCTCTCGCCTAATCGCAAGAGTTGAGTACAAAAATGGAAACACACAAGAAATTCTTTAAAATAAAAAAGGGATTCACGAAGAAGATCAACGAATTGGAGAAATGGAATCAAATGATTACCAAGGGACTAAAAGACGAATACTTCATAGTAAGACGATGGAAGGCCCCCATGTCCTTGCTGAAATTGGGCCCTCCCCGTCTCTCTCGCTCTCGCGCCCACTCTCACGCACTCTTTACCCATGCTGGCTATCCATGCTGGCCATCCATGCTGGCCATCCATGCTGCCATCACCCATCGTCTTTCCCCGGAAGGCGGCGAATGGGCAGTGCAAAAGGCCTGGATGCCGCGAATAGGGGGAGAGCTGTGTGAGTTGTGCGGGGCGCGTCTTGTGTGCTGGAAAGGCGACCCCTGCTGCCGCCAAAATCTGACGGCGAGCCCAAGTGGCCTTGGAGTGGTCTTACCCTGCGCATGGCGTAACTAATTGGGTTTAGGATCGGCCAGGCATGCGCACCCCCCCCCCGGGCTCGAACTCGACGATTGTCTGGGTGGTTGTGCGGTGTTGGAGCAGGGATTCCCGAGGCCACAAGGATTATGCTGGCAAATGCTCCGTGATTCCAATTTCCAGTAGGGCGCGCGAGTTACGGAGTACTTGTACTTGGAGACGTTACCTCTGTACAGGGCTGAAGGAAAAGCTCTGGAGTATTCTACTTGTATTACACATCATACAGGGTTTGCAGACACAGGCCGAAGCGGGCAATATTGTCATGAACCCCAAGACACACCATAAGTACTCAATGCCGAGAAGGAGGACCTGAAATAACAACCTGGAACTTACCTAACATAACCTCTTGCGAACCATCATCCAGCAAACTCGTCCCCACGGGAGCACCACCACCAGAGAGGCTGTGCTACCTACCGACTACCGCGTCAGGTAGTTATCTCATGCTGTTCTCTTCTCTCCCAGAAACAGAGAACCTCACGCAAAGCTACGGGGGCCGTTGGGTATCCGGAGGGAGCGCTTATTTAAAGCTTAGCGGCGGACGCTACTTGCCTTGTCCGTTAAATCCGCTGAATTGACCAAGCCAGGCGAGGGAAGCGAGGTGGGCTGTGCTCAAGAGTCCGACCAAAAAAGCGATGGCCGCCTGTAGCTCGTCCCAAAATAAACGCCGTCAACGCCTCCCCCCGGCTTCCGCAGGATTGGGTGTGATTCCTGTCCTTTTATGCTGCATCTGCACTAGAGTTTCACGGCCCGCGCTTGGACACCGCTTGCTTCGCAGCTGAATTAAGCGCGGTATCACGACGAAGAGAAGAAGGCGTCGTTCGAGACGAACACCTCCTTGCTTTAGCTGATACTTACTGTTCGTACGAAGGCGAGTATCTAACCATCGTCAATCTCGTCTGTTGCCCACGGCGGGCCTTTCGATCGCCTTGGTAGTGTGTTTGTTCTCTTTTTCCAAGAGAAAAGGGTTAGTGGTGTGTATGCAGACCAGACCAGGATCTGTTTCTGCATTTCTACCTTGTACGACCGCTTCAGCCCCTTGCCTGCGCTCATCCACCACTCCGGACCCTCCTCGTTATCGAATCCCCCTCCTTTGGGGGCCGAATGCCTCTCCGCCGTGATTGGAACCACAGATACCGGCCATGTGATTCCTCATTTACATTTGTACAAGCCTAGAGGTTGATGTTGACCAGATCTCGAGCCTCCAATTACCCTGCAGCAGACATAGTAGGTACCTTGGCCTTCGGGCTGAATCTCTGCTGTCCCCTTGGATGCTGAGGTAGAGTCAGACCAGCAACCCTGTACCAATTTCATGTTGCTATCCCCATTGGCTGAGCAATACCCAGATGTGGACGTGGTCGTCGTGACATTTGACCCCTGTATATACGTACATTAACAGCCATGAAAGTGATATGGCAAATGCAACTCATTCAAACTGCTTTTTATTTTGTACAATGGACACTGCTCCTGCTAAACATGAGGGGTGTCGTCAGGGATAGTCGATCCTGTCAGATACACCAGAAATGCTACAACATAACCGTGTACACACACGCTCATCCCGGGTCTGTACCCATACACGAGCCACAAGGCTGCCACCTGCTCTCTCTTTTTCTCTCACTCTCACACTCATACCACCGTCCAGCCATACCGGTGCTCGGTGGATCTATAATACAAAGCCTGCTGCGCGCCCCGCCCAGCAGACGGCTCGACTGATTCGTCCATGCGAGCGGACCACACGCGGATTATCGAAGGGTTTGAAGAAAATCATGAAAAAAGCTCTATACTCATGATGTTATGCAAAGACCCAGCCAGCCCGCCGCCGAAACACTGCCATCGAAACATAGTAAAACAAAGATAATCAGGAAGAAAGGGGAGCACCAGGGTATGCGAAGTCGTATGCTGTCTGGATATTGGTCGATAAAGAATGCCGGGTGGACACAGGACGGCGCAAGACAGGGCTTCCGAGAGGCCGCTAGCCTTGACTCATCAAGAGGATGAGGGACAGCCCTTAGAAGGGGATGTTGGGCGAGGTCGGCTGCACACCCAGTGCCTCCTGCTGCTCCTGCAATTCCTCACCGCCAGCCTCGATGGAGATGCCGAGGCCGATCTTGGCAGCTTGCTGCATAGGTTGTTAGTGCTGTCGAGGACGACGACATTGGTCGAAACGGGACTGGATCAACTTACAGTAGCGTGGTCGACATCGGCGGCAAAGGTCATGGTGACCGGGGCAGCAATGCGCTTCTCCAGCAGGACGCCAAGCTTGCCCTTGGAGTCGATCTGGGCACGGAAGGTCGACATTCGGAAGTCGTACTTGGCGCCCAGAGTGGTGATACCATCCTTCTGCAAGCCGCCGCCCATCATGGGGTTAGCACTGGGGGCGACCGAGAGGGTCATGTCGACACCGGCCTGGACCCTATCGGTCAGTCGCCTCCAGAAGGTGGCGTTGAAGGCTCCCTGGGCCTGGAGCTGGGCTGTGGCAATCCAATCCTCCGTCTTGTACCTGGCGCAGTAAGAGACGGCGGTCTCGGGGCCCTGCGAGAGACCGGCGCGCTGCCAGATTCCCTCCATACCCAAGGCGAGCTTGGGGGTGACCGACTGCATGTAACTACCTATGAAAATGCCAGTCAGGCCGGACTCGAGGAAGGAGGGCTGCAGCATCTTGAGGGAGGCGACAAAGTCCCTGCCGTTGTACTCGTGCTCGAACTGGGCCATGTCCTGGCCAGTGCCGGGAGCAATCTGGACCTGGGACTTGGTGACGAAAGAATCCGACCATCGCCAGTTGAAGCGGGCAGAGAGCTGGCCCTCGTTGTCGATGTTTCCCTGGAGGAAGACCTGTGTTTTTAAAACGGTTAGGTGCCGAAGAAGAAGACTAGGGCCAGAGCGGCACGCGATCCTGTCCAACGAACCTTGTTGGAGCCATAGAGCGTTGCGAAAGTATATGGGTTCAATCGCTCGCCAATGGCAAACTGGTGAGAGGCCTGGAAGAGGGGAGAGAAGCTGAAGATCTTGGTGAGATCGCCGCGGAGGCCAGTGAACATGTAGTTGTTGAGGAGGACATCGCGCTGGACCTCCTTGGCCAAGTTTTCGACTGAGCCCGGGTTGGACAGGCCAAGCTTGGCCCGGCGGTCTGAGAAGGACCTCAGGACATCGGAAACAGACTGTGAGAGGGGATTGTTGGAGAGGAACGCCAAAGGCGAGCTCGTGGATGATGCCATTTTGGATGTCGAGATGCGCGACCAGACGTGCCGAGGTGAAAGGGGATTGAGGAGGAAGTCAGGGACGATCGACTAGTTGGCGTGCGGGAGAGGCCGTGAGAGCAGCTCGTTCACACGAGTGAAAAGTCTGACAGAGACTTGCGAAGCCGAGTCGAGGAGTAGGATGGGGAGAGGTTGATGCGCAGCCTTGGCCTGGGGGGTGATGGCCAGAGGAAGATTGCTGCACTGGAGATGGAGTTCAAAGATGGAGCTGAGGTCCAAAAATTTCAAAAGCTCTCAAGCGAAGAGTGAGCACTGACGACAAGGGGAGGCTCGGCCAATCTTGGTTGGCCGGCTGGATTTTGGCTGGGTGCAGGGTGGTGCGTGCACCCCTCAGAGGCCAAATGACCAGTAGACAGTCCACTGATTCCCAGCACTAACATTTTTTGAGCGACCGCAGAAACGTGAGGCTTTCAGTCCAACGCCTCGGGGTTGATCTAACACCGACCTGATGTGAAGAACGAGTGCAGCCTTCACTTTTGCCTGTACTTGTTGTATCATACAGCGGGACAAGATGAAAAAGGAATGACAAAAGCAATCCTTTGAGGGCATTCATTCCCTTTAATGGATTGATGCTATATCTATTTGCCCATTTATTTCGTTGCCCCTTCTCCAGTGCAGGAAGTATGGCTTCACCTATCTGCTACCTAGCCTTTACACCATTTTGATCTACTCGCCCGCCTGGGGGTCTTTTTATCATCCAAGATATGCCCGCCGTAGGAAGGGAAATCTGAAATCTGCCCGGTCTGTGCCCCACCAAAGAATCAGCTACGAAGTGCTGGGCCAGTGGCCGTCGTGCTTCGATGAAGTCAGTGGGCTTGCGGAAACTATCGCCCGCTCGTGTGCCGACTTGTTCCACGGTACTGGCGTCAGTAGCGATAGAAGCGCAAGCAGATACCGATTGACACATACTCGTCGCGAACCAGCGTCGCTATTCTTGTACGGCCGCATTGCTCTGCTCTGTTCAAGGCCTGCATCCAAGCCTTCATCCCTGTCTCCGAGCATATTTGACGGACATTTCCTGCTAGGACTGTCCAAGCACACACTCCCGGGACCCGGAGACGGTCCAGTGGAAGAGAACCATCCATTCTGACCCGATTTAAACCGGGATTGCGGCGAGCCTTCGGGACTCCTCAGACTTCCGTCACATAAGTCGCAACTATCACTCAGGCAGGCTTCCAGAGATCTTGTGGATTGTCTCGAGGCTCTTCAACTGGGTCTAGCCGTTCTCCTCACCTATCCATCAGACTTGAACCACAAATCCAGCCAGCAGTGCTCACAAGGCTATCAAAGGCTCAAAGGGAGAAAGGTTCAGCTCAACTTCAAATGACACAATCCTGCTATTGAGGAAGCGCGCCGCCGATTCTGCGGCTATCCAACCCAGATAACTTCCAGGCGCTGTTTGAAGTACAGATTGCGATAGCGACGGGTTGGTATTTATAAGATCTCGGATATTCAGTGCAGTTGTGACTGCCTGTCATCGACATGGACACTCTCCTGTAAGTTGAACCTTCCGGGCTTTTGCCCCCCTCGTGCTTGATCAGCTTTCGCGGTTGCTTCTCAACGTCCCTTTACTTTGGCTTGAGGTCCTCTGTTATGTCTTGCAAGCCATGAGACCCAACTCTCCGCCACCTCCATCATGCCTCCTGCGACGCCATCAAGTAGCTCCGTGGGGGACAGCGATGAAGACATCCCCACCGAGTCTATGGTTTCTGCGGAAGCCGATCGCGAGGCAATCTCTGCAAAACTCTCCTCAGCCCAGCCTTTCTCTCCCACTTCCCTGAGACCCGATCTCCACCCCCGGCCTGAACTTGCTGATGCACTCGATCCCGTTGCCCAAGCTGACCAGGACAGTACGGCCGAAATCGCGGCCAACGCCCCGCGCTACCGTCGCAAAAGCTCGACGTTTATTGATGGCATCCACGATGTCACCAACGATGGCAACGCCTTGGCTCCGGCTCAGCTGTACAGCACCATGTCCGGGCGCCTCTTCCACTCGGGCCGCATAGTCATCGTCATGGTCGGCCTTCCGGCCCGCGGCAAAACCCACATCTGCGTCTCTATGGCTCGCTATCTCTCCTGGCTCGGCGTCAAGACGCGCATCTTTCACCTCGGAGACTACCGTCGAGCCACCGTGCCGGGAGGCGCCGTGCCCGACGACTATTTCTTCCCGCACGCCTCGCCATCCTCAGTCATGCTTCGCCAAAAGATCTTGAAGAAATGCCGCGAGGACATCTACGCCTGGCTGAATCACGAGAACGGCCAGGTCGCCATCTACGATGCCGTGAACCCTACGGCTAGCGGCAGACGCTCGCTGGCCAAGGAATTCTCAAAACATGACGTCCAGGTATGCCGGCACTGACTTTCGAAACAGCATATGGTCGTAGGGGCGAACAAGGCTTGCTGACACCAGCTTCTCAATAGACACTCTTCCTCGAATCCTATGTTGACGACGAGCGCATCTTGACAGAGAATGCTCGCAATGTCAAGATATCTTCTCCAGACGTATGTATTCTGTTTGCGTATGCAGGTTCCGACAAATACCGTTGTGCTCACTCTTCTCTCACAGTTCGCCGGCATGGATCCAGACGAGGCAGCACGCCTGTATCTCAAGCGGATAGGTGCCAAGATTCCCGTCTTCGAGACCATGGAGGAGAAGGAGCTCAACTACGTCAAGATGATCAACGCGGGCCAGAAGTTCTTCTACAACAATGTGTCGTTTGGCTACCTCTCGCACAGAATAGTATTCTACCTGACCAACCTGCACATCAAGTCGAGGACGACCTTCTTTGTCCGGGCCGGCACGACGACAGAGGAGGACTCGTTCAAGGCAGATGCTCCTCTTGGCGAAGAAGGCCGGGCATACGCCGCCAAGATGTCCGAGACTCTCCTTCAGCACCGTGAACAGGAGCGCCAGGCCATGCTGGGCAACAGCAAGGCCGACTTTCCACTGCGCCCGCTGACGGTCTGGACTTCGACGAGGCTGCGGACCATACAGACGGCAGACTACCTCAAGGAGAAGGGCTACAAGGTTCGGCAGAGGTCGCAGATGAGCCAGCTGAACCCAGGGGTCTGCGAGAAGATGTCGGAGAGGGCCATTCGTGCATTGTATCCCGAGGAAGTTGAGCGACACGAAGTCGACCCTTATCATCATCGTTACCCTCGAGCCGAGGTATGAAAAAAAGAAAAAGGCCCTCCCCCCTCCGTTTCCCTATTTGGAACAGAAAGGGGATGTGATGATGATCCTGCTTTACTAACGTACCCACGCGGACAGTCGTACCACGACCTAGCCGTCCGCCTAGAGCCCATCATCCTCGAGCTCGAGCGCGAGCAAAACGACCTGCTCATCATCGCCCACGAGTCGGTCCTGCGCGTCCTCTACGCCTACCTCATGCACTGCTCCACCATGGACATCCCCAAGCTCAAGTTCCCGCGCGACGAGATCATCGAGATCATCCCCGCCGCCTACCAGAACGAGGCCAAGCGCGTCCACATCCCCGGGCTCGACCCCAACCTCGTCCCCGGCAGCCCCGAGGACATCAAGATCCCCGTGCCCCAGAGCGGCGGCATCTACGCCGTGGCCGGCGGCGGCGGCGGCGGCGGCGGCAGCGGCAACATGAGCCCCATGCCGGGCCTGTCGAGCCCCGCGGAGCCGCAGACGGCCACCGGCGCGGCGACGGGCGCTCCTGCCGCCTCCGGCACGCCGGTCCCGAGCGGCACGGGCGTCGAGTCGCCGCTGCGGCCGCCGGAGAAGGTGGTCAACACGGCCGCGGACATGGTGGCGGACAAGGTGGCAGATGAGGACTGAGGTGGGAAGGATAGGTAGCGAACCGGGGCAAGGATAAGGACGAGGGCGGGCGGGGTACCTGTGGGCTGGGAGGAGGAGGAACTGCTTCTATACAATCCTGTGCTGCCACTGCCCGGATGTTCATGCATTGCGTTGACTTTGCTTTTATCAATTGCTCAGAGGCCACAAATACCAGTCAGTGTGGCAGGACCTAGTTTGCGTTCATTTGAGACAGCAGAGAGATACGAAATTCACAACTCACGAAATCAGGGCCGAGTACGATATCTCAAAGTACCAACCAGAGCTTCTCTGTTGGGAGGTCGTTTTCATTTTTTGGCTGCCTTTGCCTTCATCATCCATTATCCGAGGCTCCCACATGATCTTGCAAGAGTATCTCGGCTTCGCGCAGTGTCCCCCGTGTACTTCTCTAAGAGGAAGCAGGGACGAGAATAAAAAAAGCAAAACTTATCGCTATGCTGTACCCTGTTATCATACCCTCCTCATATCTGGGAGGATCTTTTCTCAGCGCCCGCTAAACAATGTCCCCAAATCAGTCGTGTACGCCGGCCCGGCCGGTCGGCATGATGGATGCCGTGCTCCGTCTCCCAGCCAGTAGCCGATATCCCCCAATTCTAAACCATGGTATCATCACGAGACATTACTTCTCTTGCAAAGTCATTTTTTTTCACATCCCAAGTCGCCCCCTGGAAGCCCGGGGCGTTAGTATCCTTCTCTGGCATGCTGGCACGAGAGGTCTGCCAGTCATGGCACCGCCCATCCGACGAGGATGATCGGATTCTTTGCCCTTCTACATAACCACGCACTCTCGCTCCGGCACGCCGGCCTTGTCTTTCTCCTTGGTCTTGTCCCCAGTACGGTTCTTGCCCTTACTCCGATGCGGGCGGTGGTAGTGATGATGGTGGTGCTTCTCCTCCTTCTCGTCCGCCATGGCGGACAAGAGTGGCTCAGACGCCACCGCTGTGATGGGCGCATTGGACACATCGGTCGCCGTGGTCGCGATGGTCGCGATGGTCTCCGCGCCATCTTCAGACACGCGCAGTGGATCCTTGCTTGAGCGCATAAGGCCACCAATGCGAGACATGGTCAGGCTTATGCGGCCTTCGCCGGCTTGACTGCCTGGGCGGCTCCTGTTGTTGGGCTTGGCAAACTTGGCGGCAGCTCTGGACAGCCTCTGCGCTGTGGTCTCCTCGCTGGGCGTGAGTGCCGGCGACCGTGACTCCGGAGTGACGGCAGGGCTAATACCGTACGGCTCGGAGACTGCCAGGCTGCCTCTTCTCGAGGTACCCGCTTTCAGATGCGTCGCTGCTGCGTACGGCTCCTCGTCGACGCTCAATCGAGATGGTCGCTCCAGTTCGGCCGAGAAGCGAACACTGGGTACAGTCGAGTTTGTCAGCGCTGTGTTATCGAAGTAGCCGCTAGTACGCCGAGACAGGGCTCGGGATTCCGAATCTGGTATTGGCGACTGTGCCCCATTGACATGGAGTGTCGAATCATCGTATGACGGGGGCTCGTTATCATTGTCGTCTTCGGTCGACGTCGTTGTTATGTCTACCATAGGCAAGATTTGGTAGAACAACAAGTATGGCATTTCCTCCTTCAGGGCCTGCCGGATATCATCTACGAAGGTGACTCTCTGCTCCACCATTAGATCGTCAAACTTGACCCATTGCGCATCCTCGTAATCGGGGGGCGGGTCAGCTTGATGTCTCCTATTATCCGTCAAGAGCTTCGGATTCACTCTCGCAAATGCAATGTAGTGCCCACTGTGTAGCGAATCTCCTCTATGGCATACGACAGATTGAAGGACGAGTTTGTACTCTGTGTTGAGCTCGTTTGACTCGTTGATCTTCAGGTCGTCAACCATCATGAAATGCGGGAGCCGCAAGCTGTCAGGGATATCGATGAAGGTGTTATGTCTCTTTGGCTGGCCAGACTCGGTCATCATGTATCGTTTGAGACATATACCGACCACTGGCTTTTGGTTCAGATGCCTCACAACCTCGACGTCGCTCCGGGGCTCGCTATGCGATGTAGAGTGCCACGCTGAGACGTGTTAGCCAAATCGAGATGATTGGATGAAATAGAGACGCAAAAACTTACGGATCAGCTTGAAGAACTGCCAGGCAGGTATTGTGACTGCCTTGACAACTGTGGAGCCTTGACGTTTCACTTTCTGGAGCAGAGTTGCAGGATCCTCTTCAACGTGGCCCTTTTTGCCTTCTTCATCTATAACAATCCGCTGGATAATGCTCGTGGACCGGTGTCGGTTCGCTGGTCGATGCTCCGAGGACGAGCTCTCCGATGCAGGTTCAGCCAAGGTCCAGCGTCTTCGCGGAGGTGGGGGGCCGAGATGGTCAGCAGCTTCAGGGTCTTCTGCCCTACTAACGAGATGCAGTATATTCTCGTGGTGCTCGGCAAGCGCGTCTGCAGGCTTCTCGTCGAGGCTGTCTCGTGAAACGTCGACCCTTGTATTGAAGTAGTCTTCTAGACAGTCCTCCAATTTGATTCCTTTCCCTTCAGGGTCGGGAGGGACAGCAAGGTTGAGCAGACGCTCATACACGACCTTGTGATCGTCGTCGTCGTGCTTGCCTTGATGGAACAAGTCAACCTGGAGCGTGAGAAGGGGTAGTTGCAAGGTCTCGGTGATAAAAGCGAAGGCCTCCGAGGTGTCCTGCTGTTCAAGCAGCTGGGCATCCTTCCATCCGCAGGCTGCCAAAGCATTCTGGATGCGTTCAATCTGGACGGCATCAGCTACAATGTCGCATGTGAACAGTCGCCATTCCGTGACAATACTAACCAGATCTGCATGGATCATTTTCCCGCTCCGCAACATGTTGACATACAGTCGCAACAACGCAGCCAACTGCTGTTGAGTTTGCTCTTTGGAATCGTTCTTCAGCATGCATTCGAAAGCCTCGAGCTTGGCAAACATGGCGAACAGTAACGAGTCCAAGTAACAAGTGACGTTGCACCTGTTCTCAGCGCCTACCATGGCAACATTGGGCTGGTATGGTAGGATGATGCCTGAGAAGGCCTGCTGCTGAAGCTTGAGGACCTCGACGGCCTTTGACACACTGCCCTCGGCATACTGCGAAGAGAGAGCAAACCGCACATGTTCTCTTGGGATGTGGTGCATGTTTGAGTCCTCGAGCTGGGCCAGCACATCGTCGATCTATTTGTGTTTTCTGTCAGCGTGGGATTGGCGCCTGCAGACCAACCGACCATACTAACCTTTGCGCTCTCCTTCTCCTCCTCGGACTTTGCAGCATGTTTGGAGGAATCAGGCTTGAAGAGTGATAGGAAGGCTTCGGTGGAAAGAGGGCGCACCTGCGTCGCTCGGTGTGGTCAGCGACTCATAGCCAGGGGTTCTTCTACCAGGGGCACCGCGAACGTGAAAGACTTACCCTTTGGCCAGGTTCCGAGGACTTGCTACGACGCTCGCTGCCATTCTTTTCCCGAAGGCTCTTGAATTTTCTGGGGAAGGCTGTCTTCATCTTTGGCAACTGATTCTTAAGCCCCCCGTGTTGAGGATTGAGAACAGAAAATGAGGAAGGCACGCAGAATGAGCGGTGGAACAGGACATCATACAGCCTCGGCGTGTGACATCGGTATAGGCCGCAGCGGTAGGGCTCCTTGGGACAGGAAGAGTGAGGTCGAGGGGGGGCGTTGTCGTGCAAGAGGCGCGCGCCTTGTGGTTGTAGGGGAAAGTCGCGGGAGGAGGAGTGAGAGCGAGCGAGGCACTGGCAAGAAGTGAATGTGTTTCGCGGTCGAAGCGTGCGCCTGGGTTGACAGGAAGTAGTGGAGGGGGAAGTGTTTTACGGTGGTTGTGAAGAGCGATACTGTAAAGTACGGAGAGTTGAAGTCAGTGGTGGTGGTGGTTGCCCGTGGGGTTGGGACCTGAATTCTTAACAATCGCGATAAGGAACACGAGGGGTCAAGGCCAAGAATGACAGATGGGCAGCGGGCGCTTCTCAAAGTCCGGCCACGGAGAACAGTGTAGTTGCGGATTTTCTCTCAAGAATCGACACGTCGCCCAGCCAGTTCAAACACTGGGACGGAGAGGAAAGAGGGGGAAGGGAGAGAGCAGGTAAATGACCAAGCCCGTGAGTTAAGTAAATACTAAAGTAGATAAAGTAGCCAGAAGGGAGCCAATAAGTCCAAGCAAGTAGAGCAGTCCCCTCACTTTAGGCAGTTGAATAAAAGACATCCCATCCTTGGACAGTGGCGATTGAGGCGCATCCATGTTGGCGGATTGGACAGGGCGTAACCCAGCCCGACTTTTGGCGGGTGCAGATCCATCCTTTCAATGTTTCAACGCAATGTATGTACTCTTGGACTGTACCATCTTGTCATTCTGCGGACCCCTGCTTGTAATGTAGTCTAAGTTGTACGAAAAAGGCAGAGTTTTCCCCTTCCCTTCTCCTCCGAACTTACAAGTACAGAGTTAGGTAGCTCTTGGACCCCTCATCCCAAACTAAGGATACCAGACGGGTACCTGTCTAGCTTGACACTGACACACCTCGCTGGCAGTCGGCTGGCACATCGCTCCAAGTATCTCGAGAGTGCAACAGAATGGAACCAGGCCCAGACCGCTTGCGTTAGCACCAGCATTAGCTCTACGAAAGTACAGATAGGCGCCTCCCGTACGGACAGCGATGGGCTGGACGGACTCAACGGACTCCGCCTATCCATGAAATACCCGCAGCCGTTCAGTTAGAGCTGGACACGCTAGCTTGTTTAAAATGACAGCCTGCGCCATCCAACTTGGTGGGATCGACCTCCTGGGCTGCTGATCTTGGAGCCGGCCCTCTGCCAGGTGGGAATTCGTCCCTAGCTGCATCCTGCGTGGCCCCACGAGCTGATGCATGGGCTCATCTGTTGCATCCAACAAGTTCTAGACGCACTCGTCCAGTGGCTGCTCTGCAACCTCTGGCAGATCTGTTCGATTAAATATCACCAGATCAAACAAGGGACTTTGGGTTACAGGAACAACCCCGGAGTGTTCGCGTGCCCTTAGCTGATCCCATAATGCGCCTTTTTACACAGCTGCCTGTGCAGAGAGCACACGACCCCAAGCAACGGATCGAGATGAGCGAATGGCGTGATGGTCTGCTTCAGTCGAGGCGACGACGTCGACAACGTATGCAATCAACCCGAATTCATATCTCCCATCTCTGACGTCGAGCATATTCCCTGGAATGTATGTCCACCTGCCTATAGTACAAGTAGGTAGGTCCCTTAAGGAGGGCAGGTATCATCACTATCATCATCTGCTTTGCTTGCTTCGCTCTGCGATCCTCCTGGCCAGGCTCGAGATGGAACTTGCGCAGAGCAGGCCGCCAATCTCAAGAGCGGAGAGCTTCTTGGATGAGAATGCGACTTGGCGTCTCAGGCAAATAAAGAATCGTTGATCGTGCTGGCATGAGCACGGTGATGATCATGATCTGCGTGTGCTGTGCGAGCTCCGTCCTCTCCGGGCAGCCTGAAAACAATATGAAGTACAACCCCTCCTCAGCCCTCATTGAAGGGGGAGGGCTGACGATGGGGATGACGTTGATGGTCTGCGCCCTTTATTTGGGGGTGTAGGAAAAGGTGTGCACGGACGGTGTGTTGACCTTTCCAGGGTCCAGCTCCCGTTCTTCATGATCCCAAAGGTGCTTGCTGCCCCCTCAGTGATCCGAACAAATCAAGTTAAGTGTGTTGCGGCCATGCCCAAGAGAATCCGGGGTCAGTGGCTGGGGCAACTTTGAACTCGGCCGGCACAAGTGAGCTCAAGTGCTAGACATCGAGCCGAAGCAGTTGAACCCCCGCTATTCTGGAGCTTAGCGTCCGCCGCGGACCTCGGCACCTTGTCGGAGGGTAAGGGAACCTCACTCTCTCTCGTTCGATGTCGAACGATTCCTCCTCATTGAAATCATTGTCTTCATTGTCTTCAGAGGCATAAAACTCTCGGGGTGTTCCATCTGTCGAAAGGATAAATTGAAGCATTGTCTTTCTGTAACATTTTCTCTTCACTCGCACCCAAGTCCTTTCGTACCAGGAATCTCACATCATGTCTGCAAAGATTCCCGCCATTGTAAGTATCACCCCGGCCCGAAAGCTCACAGCTATCTCGAGGACAGTCCGCTAACAGTCTCGTCAGTGTCGCGACCGGGTCAGCGACAAGGCCAAGAAGACCTTGGATCTGGTCGCCAAGTTCGCCGAGGAGGAATGCATCCCGTATGTTTGCCCATGATGATTTGGTTTCTCTTCCTGCTGCTTCCCAGAACGTCTGACCAACCATGTCAAAGTGCCGACCCCGTGTTCGAGGCCCAGGTTGGCCAAGGTGAAGCACGCTGGGACGCCCACCCTGCCATCCTAGAGGAGTTGAAGAAGAAGGCCAGGTCCCAAGGTCTTTGGAACCTCTTCTTCCCTAAGGGTCACTACAAGGAGTCGCCTGGCTTCAGCAACCTCGAGTATGGACTCATGGCGGAATGGCTTGGCAGGTCAAGGATTGCCTCCGAGGCGGTCAACTGCTCCGCCCCCGACACTGGCAACATGGAGGTGCTGGCCAGGTTCGGCAATGAGGCCCAGAAAGCCGAATGGCTGAAGCCGCTCATGGAGGGTCAGATCCGCTCCGCGTTTCTCATGACCGAGCCTCAGGTCGCTTCGTCTGACGCGAAGAACATTGAGATGAGCATCAGGCGCGAAGGCAACGAGTACGTCTTGAATGGCCAAGTAAGTTCGAGTCTCCCTGGCTGGCCTGTTCTGATCACGTTCTCGATCCTGACAATAGAATAGAAATGGTGGTCTAGCGGAGCCGGAGACAAGCGATGCAAGCTCTACATCGTTATGGGAAAGATCGAGGGCAGTGGCAACGACCCGTACAGGCAGCAGTCCGTCATTCTGGTTCCCTCCAACACCAAGGGCATCACCATCCATCGCATGTTGAGTGTCTACGGTTATGATGACGCTCCCCACGGTCACGGCCACCTCACCTTCGAGAACGTCCGTGTGCCTGCTAGCAACCTGGTCCTTGGCGAGGGCAGGGGCTTCGAGATCATCCAGGGACGCCTGGGACCTGGTCGAATTCACCACGCTATGCGTACCATTGGTGCGGTACGTTGGATTGGCTTCTGCTCCCCATGCTCCTCTCTGACCTGTGAAGGTACTAACAGTATGCAAACCTAGGCCGAGAGAGCATTGGAGTGGATGCTCATGAGGGTCAACGATAAGAGGAAAATGCCCTTCGGCAAGCTCCTCAAGGATCAAGGTGTCATTCTGGAATGGATCGCCAGGTCGCGTGTTGAAATCGATGCCGCACGCCTCGTCGTTCTCAACGCTGCCATCAAGATGGACGAGCACGGTCCCAAGGCCGCGTTGACCGAGATCGCACAGGCCAAGGTATTGGTGCCCAACATGGCCCTCACGGTCATTGACAGGGCCGTGCAGGCGTTTGGCGGCGGCGGTATCTGCCAGGACACGCCGCTTGCAAACATGTGGGCGCAGATCCGCACGCTCAAGTTTGCCGATGGCCCTGACGAGGTGCACCTGAACCAGATGGGGAGGAATGAGAACAAGAGGGGACAGGAGGTCACGGCCAAGATCCAGGCGCAGGAACAGAAGACGCTGGAGCTTCTGCGAAAGGCCAACCTGACCAAGCTCGAGCCGGGCACCACGGTCCAATCGAGGTTTGCTAAGCTCTAAGTCAAGTCAAGTGTAGCGATAGGATTAGACATCGGAAACCCAGGCTGTCTTAACTGTAGGTATCATTTTTCAGGCATTCAACAGGCTATCTCCTTTTATCGGCACAGAGCAGAGACTCTACCTGGCAGCTAAAGCATTCTAAAATGCAAAGCTTCTGCCGGGTGACGATTGTGTTGTTCCAGTGTGATTCAGATGGCTCAGTTCTGTTCAAGTCGATTCGCCACAAGGAACTGATGGGTTCCGGCCAAGAAAACAGATGACACAGGGTGAGGATCTTCTCAGTGCAGGCGAGGTGGAGTGAAAAGAGGAGCCCCCAAGCCAACATTCCTCATCGTTCGGTTTGCAAGTGTAGGGAGGTAGGATAGCAAGTCTCGCCTCATGCACCTCGGCCGAGGGACATTGGTAAAGAATGTGTGCAACTGTGTGATTGTGTGCGAGTGTGTGGGGAGGCTTTGGTGCAGCGGTGCACCTGCAGTCCCAGCCTGCCTAGCGCCTAGCGCCCAGTCAGTGCCTGGCTGGCCGTCCCGCTGGGCCCCTGCATGGAAACCACGGTTGCCCCGCCGATGCTTCCTAGTCCAGCACTCTATTTACTCAACCCTGCATTTTTCTGTCATTGAAGATCCTGGCATGCGCAAAAAGGCAGCACACATAACGTCGTCTCTCCCCACTATCTCGTTGGAGCGAGTGCCTAGGTATTTGCGATTTCAAGTCCAGTATTAATTCGAGTCATCGACCTTGGCCACTTCGACTCGACTATTTCCCCTCCTGCACCCTGCACCAAAACACAGACAATCTCATCAACTCGCGAACACTCAGAGCCAACCTGCCTCTTGCAGACGAAGATCAATTTCTACATACAGCAGTCAACCAGTCCTCGACTCCTCGCACAAGTCGCTCTTCGTCCATCATGTCTTCCACCAACGTTCTCGGCGCCAAGGACGTCAACGCTCCTATCGCCCAGCAGCCCTTGGGCGGCAAGCCCGATGTTAAGAGCATGGAGTACCATCGCCAAGTGCTGCAGTCCAAGATGGCGGAGGCCCAGTATGTTTACGGCGTGCATGCGCGACGATATAGCAGCAGGGAATACTGATGACCTTTTCGCAGGAGCAAGCAGTACATTTCGCCGTCCGACAACATCATGAGCCCCTGCACCGCCAAGCTCAACGCTTTCCGCAACAAGCAGGTTGGCAAGTACGTAACAACACAATACCGAAAACGTCTCTTGGATTCTCAAGCAAGGTTTACTGACATGCTGCTACTCCAGGGTCAAGCCCAAGTCACTGTTCGCCCAGGCCTCAGCTAAGAAACTCGAGGGTGAGGCTCTGTTCGGTGCCAAGGGCTCCGGCGCGCAGTCCTGAGAGCACACCTCGGTCTGCTTGCTTCCGGCAGCCTTGTAGCCTTTGTAGCCTTTTCTATTCTCGCCCGGCTTGAAAATTGCGGTTACGGCCATATGCCAGTCACCTAGCTCTAGGCTACTTCTTTGGGTCTTCTTCTTTTCGATTTCACCAATCCGTCTCTATCATCGCCTCGGGGTCTTCTCATTATTTAAGCAACGGCGTTCACGGTGGTTTTACGATGAAACAAATACATTACTGCGGAAAATGCAGAGGGATAGGTTCACGACATCGAAATGATACAGTTTTCTTACATATTCACCTGGTTGGCTGTAGCCAATGCAGTCTCCAAAGTATCATTGAGTGTTGCTCATTCGAATAGTGTGTTGTCACCTGGTGTATCGTGTTTCTAAGCTAAGCCTTCCATCCGCTCACAATGTAAACCACATCCTCGTCGGCTACGGGGTGGCCCAACCCTACTCTCTGCGGAATGTGCCGAGCGCTCGCTCCCCAGACGAGGGCGTACTTGAAGGTGTCCTTGAGTGTCCGGTGGATCCTGTCACAGACATCCTCAATCGTGCTGTTGCTCCTCACAATCAGCGCCTCGCTGAAGTCCGGCTCGATACCTTTCCGCTTCGTGTAGATACGAATGAGATTCAGCTCTTTCCAACAACGATCGATGACATCCTGTATGCCCAGATCCAGCTCGCAGCTCATGACCACTGTCTGCGGCTCGCGCGCTAGTTGGTCGAGAAAGTCGAGAGAGACGCTATCGATCTTGTTGTAGACGTACAGGCACTTGATGTACTTGCGGTGATCTTTCATGATCACGTCGATGAAGTCATCGACCGTCACGTTTTCGTCACGGACGAGAACCTCGCAGTTCAGAATCTTGTAGTCGCGAAGGATGTTGTAGAGCATCTTCTCATCCAGATTCTTTGGCGGGGTTTGGAAGGTGATCTTCATGCCGCCGGCCTTCTTGGGTTTGAGGTAGATGTTTCTGCCACCGTTAGTTCTCGGCTTGACTCTGATCAGCTCCTCTTGACTTACGGTGGCTCTCTGTTCAGCCGAATGCCCACTGCCTCCAACTCGGCCTCCAGCAAGGCCCTCTGCTCCGCCTTCTTGGTGGCGTCCAGCACCATCAAGATGAGATCGCTCGTCTTGGCAGCTGAGATGACCTGCCGTCCTCGCCCTTTGCCCTCGGCAGCGCCTTCGATGATTCCGGGAAGATCAAGCAGCTGGATCTCCGCTCCACCGTACTCGAGTACACCGGGAATTGCCGTCAATGTCGTGAAGGCGTACGAGGCCACCTCTGACCTCGTCTTGGTGACCTTGGACAAGAATGTCGATTTTCCTACCGAGGGAAAGCCCACGAGTGCTATTCGAGCATCACCACTCTTGCTCACGTCGAAGCCCGCACCCGGACCACCGCCTGAGCCCGGACCAGGCTCCAACAACTGAGCTCGGAGCCGCGCAAGCTTTCTAAAGAGACTGTGAGCAAGTTTTCACGGGGCCTTTCGTGAAGAGGTTTGGCTCTCTCACCCTTTCAACAGTCCCAGATGATATTCTTGAGAAAAGTCAGTAGTCTGCTAATGCCGAGCTGCTCTTTGAGCCGAGTGGCAGTCTTACCAGTGGCCTTGTTCTCTGTGAGTTCCCGTCAGTTACATTCCAGTCAAGCCGGAGCATGGCAAGAGAACTTACTCTGCGTCCTCCTCATCTCATCCTCGATCCTGTCTCGATATTAGTTTAAGAGAATCGGGAATAGGCACAAGGCAATGATACCAGCGGAAAAGCGCTTCCTAGCTTGCAACGATCCACCTGGAAATAAATATTTCCCTTTCGTCAATGAGCCTCAGCTCTTTTCCCAGATGGATCGTCGCTTGTTAGGAAGCGCTTTTCCGCTGGTATCATTGCCAAATGGACATACTCCTTGATCTTGTCCGTGATGTTCACCATATTGGCGCTTGGTTGAGATCCACAAAGGACCTCGTGCTACCTATTCGAGAAAAGGTCGCTTCCAAGAGCCGGATGTGTTCAGTTCGCGATGCTTGATCTCCTCAATCTCATCCAATCCTCTGCGCTTCACTTTTGGGTGGCAGAATCTCAGCGTTTGTGGTGGGGGTTTGTCCCTCAGTAGCACCCACGGGTGCTCACCGCCTTCCTGATTTGGCACATATCGGGGCGGTTTTAGCGGCGCCACCCAGCCATATTTTGTTGCCATCGGCCTGGCAGAAGGATTCTCTGCGACAACCACCCTAGACCAGACCAGCCCTGCCCTCCTCTCCTTCAGCTACCCTGAGCAGCAGGACCACAATACAATCATGTCGGACAACGAGCACGAGTCTCTCGCCGTCGCCGCTACAAGCACGGAAGTCGCGCCACCCACGGAGAAGAAGGTCAAGAAGATTATTCGGAAGAAGAAGAGGCCGGCGAGGCCACAGATCGACCCAGCATTGATCAAGTCTGAACCGCCTCCGCAGACCGGTACGACCTTCAACATCTGGTACAACAAATGGGCTGGCGGCGACAAGGTAGACAACGTCCAGACAGCAGCCAAGGGCCGCTGCAACATCGCCAAGGATGCCGGCTATACCAAGGCAGACCGCGTCCCCGGAAGCTATTTCTGCCTCTTCTTTGCGCGCGGTCTGTGTCCCAAGGGCGCCGACTGCGACTACCTGCACCGGCTGCCAGGAATCCACGATCTGTTCAACCCCAACATTGATTGCTTCGGCCGAGACAAGTTCTCCGACTACCGAGACGACATGGGCGGCGTTGGCAGCTTCACCAGGCAGAACCGCACCATCTACGTGGGTAGAATACATGTCACGGACGACATCGAGGAGATTGTGGCGCGGCATTTTGCAGAGTGGGGGCAGGTCGAGAGAATTAGGGTCCTGAACAACAGAGGCGTTGCCTTTATCACCTACACCAACGAGGCGAATGCGCAATTCGCCAAAGAGGCCATGGCGCACCAGTCGCTCGACCACGAAGAGGTGTTGAATGTAAGGTGGGCGACGGCGGACCCAAATCCCATGGCCCAGGCAAGAGAGGCTAGGCGTATAGAAGAACAAGCGGCGGAGGCGGTTCGGAGGGCACTGCCCGCCGAGTTCGTGGCAGAAATCGAAGGCAAGGATCCGGAAGCGAGGAAGCGGAGGAAGATCGAGAGCAGCTACGGGCTTGACGGCTACGAGGCACCCGACGAGGTTCATTTTGCGAGGGGCGTGAACGCGGTCAACCCCGTGGGAAGGCAAGGATATACGCTCGAAGAGGAGCAGCGGCTCATGATCGAGAACGGCGATGCCGATGGCAGACAACAAGAGACCGCTGATGATGCCGGTGGCATCTTCTCCAGCAGCACCTTGCGAGCGCTGAACTCAGCCAAGGTTGCGGTTGCATCCAAGCCCAAAACGGCTGCGCCCGCAGGCCCGCTGGTTTCCTATGACAGCGATGACAGCGATTGAACTTTGGGGAACAACACTCTATTGCGAAGCTGATTAGACTATCCGGCGTACAGGTGTTGTACAGAAGTGTATGGCTAGAATGTTTTTAATGATACCACATTATGCAAGCTGGTCCCTGATTTAACATGGCGGGGAATAATACATCTTGGACTCCAAATCGAGTGGCTACATGACGTGTGTGTGTGTGTTGTCAGCTGTTGAAGATCCTCGAGTACAACATCTCGTGCCTCCCAACCCAGAGGTCCATGACAGGCACGCTCTGCCCGGCCTCCTCGATCTCGGTCCCCCACTCGCGCTGCACCGACGTCGCGACGAGGTCCTGCACCTGTCCGCTGGCGAGGATCTTCTGCGCCTGGTATGGCCCCAGGATGCCCGCCCGCACCGCCGCCGACACGAGCGCCTTGACGTGCGATAGCAGGAACACGTACGCCGTCTGGTACAGCTCCAGGCCGAGCAGGCCGGCCACCACCCCAAAGAGCGGCGGCAGGTGCGCCGACACGGGCGGCGGCAGATCGTCGTCGTCGACGTCGGCGGTAGTCGTCCCGCCGGGAGGACCGCGGAGCAGCGCGGCAAAGTCGCGCAGGACGGAGGAGGAGGCGGCGGCGGCGGCGGCGTGTGGGCCGAGCGAGCGCTCCCAGATGGAGAGCAGGGCGCGGCCCTGGGCCGTGGAAGCGCGCCGGCCGACGGTGCAGACGATGGCGGCGTCGAGAGCGTCGTCGAGGGCGGGCAGGCGGCTCGGTTGGCGGTGGGCGGCGAGGACGAAGGGCAGGGTGGTGGAGGCGTAGGAGGCGACGGAGAGCGGCAGGAAGGACGCGGTAAAGGAGGAGGGGCTGCTGCTACCCTGCGCCGCGCGAGGGGTGGTGTGCGCGAGGTAGGACTCGAGGCCGGAGCTGAAGGCGAAAGAGCCGAGGGGCAGGGCCGAGTCCGAGAGCAGGAGGAGGAAGTGGTTCCCTGGTGATATGTGGGCTGGCCCAGGCCGCTGGCTGTCAGTGAGGTATTCTTTTCAAAAGTTTGAGATGATTGCGACTCGTCCGCTTTGGTTCGCTACTTACGTGGCACTCTGATCGGTGCGTGTTTGATGACTGGCTGCGACTTTCCCACGGGCACGGTCGATGCGCGAGATCGGGCTTGGGTGAGTTGCGCCTCTGCTTTGGCTAGTTGTTCTTTGAGATCATTGATATGAGCCTCAATCTGGCTATCGGACTGACTCTCCCCCTCACAGTCCATCTTGAGACTCGCACAAGCTGTCTCAAAGTTGGTGGTGTACAGTCACCATGCCGTGATAGATGAGATTGGATAGATAAGCCGCCTGCGGGGTCATCGCCAGTCAATCTCATGTCCAGCAAGGCGCGATCATGGAAACGACGAAAAACAATTGGAAATGAAAGACTATCTGCACCATCAAATTCGAGGGGAGCCAACATTGCAATTCAACATTGCCCACCGCAACGTAACCAAAGAGTTATCGAAGGCGGCCCTCATAAGGAACCTTCATTGTTGAGCACTCTATATCAATCATAGGTACTACATATAAAACCCTTCAGCCAAGTGAGTAGACGCCAATACACCAATGCTAATACCACGCATGCAAACTCCAATTTAGACCACTACGTTCTCCTTGTTCCGACCCTGTCTCTCATGCAGCCTTCGTCGTTCCGACCTCTTCTGCTCAATGCGCGCAATTGCCGCAGCACGTCTGTCGGCCGGCAAGGCGCTCCTCGATGCATTCATTGACCAGACGGCGTTCGTGCTGGTCTCGGGGCCTCCAAGACGTGCGAATTTGCCGTGGACCAAATCGAATCCGGGCTCGTCGCTATCCGATGAGACCGGTCGCCGGCTGGCATGATCGCCACGTGCCGTAACTGACATCGACTGTTGCTTCTGGCTTTGCTCCCGAATGTTGTGTACAGGCAAGACACTACGAAGCCGGTCCGGATGACTGCCCTCTTTCCTTCCGTAACCCCTAGTCGGTCGTTCAGACAATGATGGCAGTCGATCGCGAGCGCCATCATGAGCGGATAGGCTCTCCAGGCTCGATACCCCGCTGGCAAGAGCAGACCCCTTCCTTCCTGCTCTCCTCTCGCTAGAGACTGTAGCAGAAGGTTGCTGCTGAGTTCTTCGCTCCCGCAGAATAGGCAACTCAATGCTCTCTTCAGGCACGTTCATATGTGCAACATCTTTGTCCTCGCGTATCTGGAAATCATAGCTTTCCATCCGCTTCCGAGAATCACCAGCCAGGCGACGCGAGCCTGGTAGATCATGTCTCTGCGAGCTGCCCTCCGCTTCCTTCAGCGCTTCCTCATTGGGGGTCCTTCCCCCCGTCAACGCATCCAGTCGAGCAGCCCACTCGTCCATTGTCTCGTCCGACCCAAGTGACCTTGGTCTTCTCTGGGCACTAGCCGCATCTGCCCTCTTTGATGAATCGGCTTCCTTCTTAAGTTCCGATATCTCGGAGTCCTTGCGACGAATGGCTTGTTCGGCCTCCCCATATCGCGCTTTCGCATTCTCCTTCAGCACTTCGTACTTGCGCTTCCAGTCTTCAGCTTCTTGTTGGTGTCGACCGCCGGCCTCTTCGGAGGCTTTCAGACGTGTCTCAAGGCTTTCAATCCTGGCCTTCGCTTTGGAGAGGTCCTGGGTAATGTGCTTGTTCTCAGTCTCGACTTTCAGCTCCCGCTGCTGGGCGGTTCTGAGGTCCGATTTCAGATGGCGAATCTCTTTTCGCAGATCTCCGAGCTCTCGCAGCTGTTCCCGAGCCTTTTTGAGCTCTCGCTGAGTGTCGAGTAACGTTTTGTGGGTGCGCGGTGAAGTCGACTGTCTGCGTGATTTGATACCCTCCACCGATTCTGCCTGCCGGGTCTTCAGCAATGCGTCCAGTTCCTTAACCTGGTTCCGGTATTGGACTGCCAGAGCAGTCTGCTGAGTGAGATCCTTGATCAGATCCTGATTGTCCTTATCGCTCCCTTTCATGCGCTGCGTGGCAATCTTTGCAGCGAGCTCGGTAACTCGGGCCTCCATCTCCACCACCCGGTCTCTCTCCTCCTGCAACTTCTGGTTGAGCTCAAGGGCCTCGGCGTCTTTCATCTTGGCATACGACTTGGCCAACTGCTTGTACTTGACCAGCTTCTCCATCTCGACCTTGGCATCTGCATGATACTGCTGGAACTCTGATTTCCAGTACCTGCCGGAACGAGAATGCGGCTCATTGAGGTCAATTGTCATATCCGGATCCCGGTCAAGTTCGTCCACTTCTTCCCACGCGTCATCAGCTGCAGCAAATGCATCGACTTCCGAGGGTCGTGATTCGGTCGGTGCAGACCGCCGCTCGGGCTTCCGTGATTTCTCTAAGGCATCCGAAAGACGCGTCCGGGGACGTGGGTTGGCGCTTAGCGATTGGGATCCGCCCTTGTTCCCTGCTGACTGTCCGTTTCCTCGGACATCTTGGTTGAAAGACACGCGTTTCCGGCGCGCTGTGGCGGTCCCTGGGGTCAGAAGAATGCCGGCCGGTTTCGTTGGCGAGATCGGTCCCTTTTCTTCCGCTTTGGCGGTCTTGGCCAGTGCCGCGGCAGGGACATCACCAACACTCTGGGGACGGTTTTGTTCCTTAGGAGCGGGAGTGCCAAACAGGGCTGTCTTTAATGCCCGGACGGCAAACACGGGTGCAGGCGTGTCAGGCTGTTCAATCTGAGTGTCGTCTACCATGAACGGTCAGTGAATTCACCCTTTCGCGCTTTGTTGCCAAGCTGTATCGGCTTACCTGCTGCCGTGGTGTTTGCAGCATCGTGCGCCGGCGCGCCCGTCGCGTTCTCCAGGCCACGCTTGATGGCCCACCCTAGCATCGTGCTGGCCCAAAAGAAACAGACAGACAGAGACAATTGAAACCTTCGAATTGAGCCTGGCACAAAAATAATACACGACAAATTTGAATTACATCATCAGCCTCGAGCGAGTGTGTGTGTGATATCGCGTCGATCGACTCTGGTGGACGAGAGGATGAATGGGGTTGATCGATGGTCGTGTCTCTGCCAAAATGAAAATATGGGGTTGTTTACTTTGTTACTGTAAATGGTTGGCGCAGGGCCTGATGGTCAAGGTTGGGTCCCATGACGCAGCTGGAGCTCGAGGATTGCGCATGGTTGGCGCAATCAGCTCCAAGCTACAGCGAACCTACTAGGGTCGAGTCACACTACAGAGGCGTGAGAGGCTACCAACCTTATTAGCCCGAGGCATCAGTGCCCCACCGAAAAGGCGCTGGAACCCCGCCATCAATCCATTGATTGCTTGGAGAGACTAACAGCAGAATATGCACACCACTGCTCAAGACCTCATCGAGGTACTAAGTACCTACATCTGTGAGCTGCGTTCGAGTCACACTTCAACTCTTCCCCCAACCATCTATTTCAACTGCAAGCTCAGTTGCTCAGACGGCCATCTCTAAGTTTCCTTTCAGCTAAAACTCCCGCCACCTTTCTATCCAACATTAGTCTCCTCGTTACTCATGATGGGCCTGTCTCACTGAATCATCACAGCCTTCTAGGCTGTGATCAGAGTGACCTTCTCAACCACCGAAGGCCCCCAGTGACTCATCAACAAGTATTGTGAATGCCAATATGGCCTCGAGAACAACAGCACCATGGAAGCAGCCCAACAAGTCGCCCAAGAAGAACGATAATAGCTTTCCCGGCCTGAAGGCGCCTGGTCCAGCTCCCACCACTACGACACAATATGAGGAACGGCAGCAGAATGAGCTGCTCGTACTCAGGTCAGTCTTCCAGGAAGACTTCATAGATCACGAGGCTGCTCACCATGCCTGGAAGGTGAGCCAACAGCACTCAAGACACCCATTCCGCGGTCCAACAAGCTGACAAGAAGTCACCAACATGGACAGAAATCAGAACCTGCCTTTGATATCCACGTCAGGGCAACCCAGAACCCAGACTTTGCCTTGACTTTGGCCGTGGTGTTTACAGCCACGTATCCCAGATCACCACCACTTATCACTGTCAAGAACCATGATCACCTCTATGAGGGCACGGTCTACAAGATTCAGAGGCTGATCCAGACCAAGTCGAAAGCCTTCGCAGCGGAAGAGAATGAGCTGATTGTTGACTTGGTCGAGGACATCAAGGACGTCCTCGAGGACGCGGCAGCTCATCGGGCTGCTGGCCAGAAGTTGCCCTCCTTGGAGGAAGAGCGCGCAGTTCACGAAGCTGAAGCAGCCAAGTTCGCTCAGAAGGAGAAGGAGAAGGAAGACCGAAAGCAACGTGAGCTCCTGGAGAAGGAGGCGCTAGCTATGAGGGCCAAGGTAGAGAAGGAAGTGGAGTTGCAAAAGGACCGCGAAACTACCAGGGCCAAGCAGTCCCGGAAAAAAGGTCACAGCAGCCGATCACCCACGCGGTCTGCCGAAGACATTTCCAGCATCGAGCCCATCACTTTTGATGAGGTCTGCAACTGGACCGACGCTGCAGGCAACACCACCTCTTTCAGAGTTGTCACGGGCATGGTACCATATCGGCATGGTCCCATATCGACCGTGTGCGTTGTGCGACCTGCTCTCGCCGATGGTGATACATGCCCAAGTCTGGCGTTGAAACAGACAAAACTACGACCCAATGGCAGTGACAATGCCCAGTTTTTCAAGCAGAGGCAGGAACTGGAGACGAAGCTCAGGATCGTAAAGGATCTCCGCGGCTCAAAGAACTCGGAGAACATTCTGCAAGTGCTCGGCTTCCGCATCGAAAAGGACCTCGCTGCAGATGAAATGCCGGATTCCAGCACCTACACAGTCAGTGTCTTGACTCTGCTGGCGGAGAAGGGATCTCTCGAAGACTTGTTGGATCTTGCTGGCCAGATTGAGGTTGCCAAGGTCAGGTCTTGGTCAAGAGATCTTCTCGATGCTCTGAATTTCCTCCACAACAGCAATGTTGTGCACGGGGACATACACCCTAGCAACATCCTCCTCTTCCGCGAAAGCAACGGGAACATCGTTCCAAAGTTGGCTGACGCGAGTTTCCAGCGAGAATTGCACACCATACACGCAAAACGGCGTGCGATGGCTTCAATGAGGACTGCGAAGAGTGCATACTGGCTACCGCCCGAGATTGCAAGCCTATCTGAGCCAAGTTATACCTACAAGACCGATATATGGGATTTTGGAGTCGTCTTTCTCCAAATGATATTCAGCCTGAACGTGTACCAAAAGTACTCTTCTCCCAAGGTCTTCATGAACTCCGTGGCAATATCGGACTCGCTAGAGGAGCTGGTGTCCAAGTTCTTCACTTTGGAGCCAAAGAGGCGACCCAGAGCCTTCGATCTTGCGGCAAGTGAGTTCTTGGCGATAGATGCTCCTGTCTATGCCGAGAACTCAAATGCCATCACTTCTGGCTCGACTACCTCCTTGACCCGGGCTCTTTCAGCTGGGGCCCGACAAGACTCGATGATTCGTGCAGGCTCTAGATATCAAGAGGACTACGTGGAGGAAGGCCGCCTTGGGAAAGGCGGGTTCGGGGAAGTCGTCAAAGCTCGGAGAAAGCTCGATGGCCAGATATATGCTATCAAAAAGATCACACAGCGCTCCGAGGAAAGTCTCTCCAATATTCTTAAGGAAGTCAGACTCCTGTCTCAGTTGAGCCATCCCGCCGTTGTCCGCTACTATACCGCATGGACCGAAAATGTTCCTGATAGTTCCACCCTTTTGGAGGACAAGTCTACCGGGGAATTCAGTGATGATTTCTCCAATGGACAGTTTGATATTCAGTTCACGAATACCAAGAGTGCCGGACTGGACTTTGTATCCTCAAGCGGTCATCAGGACGGCGGCATAGTATTCGACGATGATTCAGATGAGGACGATGACCTTGGTGTAATAGATGAGGAAGATTCAGAGGATGGGGATGAGACAGCTTCGGATGACGAGGACGACGATGACACTATTGAGGACTTGGGGTCCAATAGTGTTCGCAATCTAGTCGAGCGGAAACGCCCTCGTAGGTTCAGTCAGCGGGGCTACCGTACGGTTATGTATATATCCATGGAGTACTGCGAGAAGAGGGTGAGTTTATTTCTTCCACATTCTACTTAGTAAGTTACCTGGTCCAGCTGACCGACCCTCACAGACACTGCGGGACTTGATTCAGCGAAATCTTTCGAAGGACACACAAGAAGCCTGGCGGCTCTTTCGCCAAATCCTCGAGGGCCTAGCACACATTCACAGCCTTGGTATTGTGCATCGCGATTTGAAACCCGAGAATATCTTCATCAGCGTTGGCCCTGAAGCTGTCGACAATGTCAAGATTGGCGATTTTGGTCTCGCCACCATTGGCCAGTTAGCAGGGGACAAGAACCTCCTGTCATCCAATGTCGATACTGTCGACGAGACCAGGAGCATCGGCACCTCTGTCTACGTTGCCCCCGAGGTCCGTACTGGAGGAAGCGGTTCATACACACCCAAAGTCGACATGTACTCACTTGGCATATTCTTCTTTGAGATGTGCTATCCGCCTATGCTTGGCATGCAACGTGCCGACGTACTGACGAAGCTCCGCGCATCACCACCAACGCTTCCGCTTGATTTCAAGCCCAAGGAAAAGACGCAAATCGAGATAATATTATCATTGGTCACGCACAATCCTAAGGAGCGTCCATCTAGCGTTGAGCTGCTCAAGAGCGGCAAGCTGCCTGTTCAGATGGAGAGCGAGGCGATGAGGCGTGCTCTGGCCGGTTTGTCCGACCCGAACTCTCCATATTACGAGAAGATGCTGTCCATGCTATTCAGCCAGCCGGTCGACCCCGCCAGGGACTATGCGTGGGACATGTCTACATCCGCTACGACAGCTGCTGACTTGATGAGGCAATACTCGGTCAGGGATGCATTGACATCAGTCTTTCGGCGGCACGGCGCTGTTGAGGTTCCAAGACATGGCCTGTACCCACGATCGTCCTTGTATAACAAGAACGTGGTTCAGCTACTCGATCAGAGCGGAACACTTGTTCAGCTGCCCTTTGACCTGACGATGGGCCATGCCAGATCGTTGGCCAAGAATGCCAATGCCGCTGTGGTGCAGAGGTCCTACTCGTTTGGTAATGTCTATCGCGACAAGACCAATGGTACTGGCGGAAGACAACCAAGCATGTTTGGGGAGGTCGATTTTGACATTGTGACAACCGACACACTGGACTTTGCGCTCAAGGAAGCCGAGGTAATCAAAGTCATCGACGAGATCATACAGGTCTTCCCCTTTCTATACTCACAGCCCATGTCTTTTCAACTGGGCCATTCGGACTTGCTCCATCTGATCTTTGACTTTTGCGGAATCGATTCTGGAGCTCGCCGCGCGGTTGCAGATTGCCTCAGCAACCTGCACATCCGCAATACTACCTGGCAAAAGATCCGAACTGAGCTGCGCTCACCCCTGATTGGTGCGTCTGCAACGAGCATTGACGCTCTGGAAAAGTTTGACTTTAGAGGCGAGTACCCGTTCCTTGCCATTGCGTGATGCAGACAGCTAACACGGCGAGTTAGACTCCCCCGGGAAGGCATTCAACAAGCTCAAGGCCATCTTCCAGGGGACTAATCTGTATCAGAAGGCCGCGCCGACAATCGCCCATCTCCGCGAAGTTGCCGAGTATTGTAGCAAATTCGGACTAACCCACAAAGTCTACATCTGCCCGCTTAATACGTGGAACGAAGTGTTCTTTTCTGGGGGGATCATGTTTGCCTGCCTGCTGGACAAGAAGACCAAGGACGTGTTTGCGGCAGGCGGGCGTTACGACAGTCTCATCAAGGAGCACCGTCCACGCATCGGGACCCAGTTTGAAGAACGCCATGCCGTGGGCTTCACCCTGAACTGGGAGAAATTGGCCCAGGCTCCGGCAAAAACGGGCAGCAAGGCGCAGTTGAAGCGGGCCATGGCCGACGACGAGGGCCACGGCGTCTTTGGAGCAAAGCGGTGCGATGTGCTGGTCGCTAGTTTCGACCCCGTCCTCTTGCGTACCTCTGGCCTCGAGATCTTGCAGACCCTGTGGTCCCACGACATCAGCGCCGAGCTCGCCAAGGACGCCCGCTCGCCAGAGGACCTGGCCATGAAGCACCGCGGCGAGCAGCACTCGTGGATCGTCATCGTCAAGCAGGACAGCCTCAAGATCAAGTCGCAGTCGAAGAAGGACACGCAGGACGTCGAGATGCCCGCATCGCGCCTCGTCCCCTGGCTCCGCGCCGAGATCCGCGAGCGGGAGCTCCGCACCCAGGTCAAGTCGCGCGGCGCGCTCTCGCTGTCTTCGGAGCCGCCGAGCGCGACGGCGGGGCCGGATCGGGACCGCGTCGTCCATGTCGTCGAGGCCTCGAGCCAGGGGGGCGGCGGAGGCAAGAAGAAGGGAGGTGGCGGAGGTGGCGGCGGCGGCGGCGGTGGCAAGAAGCACGACCAGTACGCCATCGCGGAGCAGGCGCAGGCCAGCGCGGCCAAGCTTGCCGACTCGCTGCGCGAGGGGCCCATCGCGGCCGTCGACGCGAGCGACCAGGCGCTCGACCTCGTGCAGCGCACGTGTCTTTCGGACCTGTCGAGCTGGCGGCGGGCCGAGCAGGGCGTCAAGGCCGAGGAGAGGCCGGCGGTGCGGGAGCTGCGGGACGTGCTGGAGACGTGGGCACGGGAACACCATCATGCCGGGGGCCCGCGGAACGCATTTGTGCACAGCTCGAGGACGGGCAAGTGTATCTTGTACGACCTCGCTGCCTGATTATATCATGTTTGGGTTCGGAGCCGGCCTCAGGGATGGGCGCACTGTTCCTATCAGGGTCTCTCTCTCCAGCCGACTCTGGATCGCTGCATGCATGAGGACGGAAATAGATAGGATGAACGGACCTTTCAACATGGGACACTAAATAGTAGTGGCACTGAACGGATAGGATGTTTTGCAAATAAGATACCCGTCGAACAAAGGAGTGCCCCTGTTGACAAATGCACGATGCTCATTCATGCACGAGCAACACTTTAACAGCCGAATATATCAACAGGAGCATTTGTAAATCTTCGCCGTTCATTTGATGGTTTGACAAGTCTAGAATCTACTGCAAAGGGGGGGGTATCCTGCTATGTACACCATTTGCATTTGTGATAGCACGACAACTAGGAGAAAAATGCAAGCGCCGAGCCAAAGGGCCCATCGTGCCGCTTCGCTTTCATGCAACGCCAACCACATGCGTTCCCTCACCACTCCGTCTCGACGAGCTTGCCCTCCGGGTTGTCCCAGTCAGCAATGAAAGATGCCGTCTTCGCTCGCTCGCTTCTCGCCGCAGCCGCAGCAGCAGGCCTGCTGTTGTTGTTACTGTTGGCCTCCCCGACGACTTCGTTCCGTGCTGGCTTGTTACTGGTGTCCTTCTCGTCGCCGCTGCTGCTGTTGTGCCGGATAGGAAGCTCCACCATCTCTGTAGCCCTCGGCTCGACGCCCGCCCCGTTCTGCCTGACCCCATTGGGCGCCTCGAGGGCCGCCGGGTACTTGCTGCCGCCACCGCTGGCTGGACCAGAAACAGATATGTCTAGCAACATGGCCGAGCCGCCGTCGTCGTCGTTGCTGTTATGGTGCACAAAGTCCGAGAAAATTAAGTCGTCCGCACCTCCAGCAGCGGCCGCCGTCTCCAACTCGTCGCGGTCGCTGAGATCACCACCCACAGAGGCCCGGTTTGTCGCCATCGAGTCGTCACTCCCCGAACGCTGCAGCCGCTTAGGGGGCGAGGCTGGAGTGCCGATCGACGCACGCTTACGCGCCTCGCGTGCTGCCGTCGCTGAAGAAGGGACTTCTTCGAGGAGCTCCTGCTTAAAGAGGCGGTTGTCGAAGCGTACAAAAGTGCGCTGAGCCTCCGTGAGCGGTAGGCGCTGTGCTGCGAGGGCGCGAGCGTCGGCATAGACGCATATCGGCGTGTCCTCTCGCGAGCATGAGGTGAAGTGCCGCTGAACGGCCTCGAACGTAGTGACTTCGGCTTTGACAGGGTTCTCCTCGCTCGGGAGGTAGCCGAGGAGCCACCACTTGTCCTCCGGAGCCGTGGTATCTTCGAGCTCGATAAGATCCGGCTCAACATGCTGATGGACGTAGACCGTGTCGGGGTTGATCACGACACCCTGGAGGTAGTACACCTGCGTCGGGTGCCAGTCTAACTCGTTCGAAGGCACTGTGTAGCGCGAGCTTAGCTCGTGAAGGAGCTCCTCGCATGTCTTTTGTTCGCGTTCCAAAACTGCCAGTTTGTTAGAGTGATTGCATCAATAGCACCAAGGCACGGACCAAAACACATACCTTTGAGCTTCTTGTTGATCCCGGCTATCTTCCTCTCGTGAATCGTTGCACATGCTTCATGATGCGCGGCGAATCTCTCTTCCTCGTCGGTGAGCTCGATGAGGTGATCCACGACCCCAGGGCGATACTCAAAGGCCTGGTCGGTATCTTTCAGCTCCTCGTGTCTGCGCCACAGCGCGTCCGCCCTCATGCGAGTGATCTTGCCCTGGTGCATTCGAATGCAAGCCTCGCTCAGCTGGCACCTATCCACCCACTTCCCCGTGCTCGGCTGGCACCACTTGGTGATCCTCTCCTTTGCTATGGCGGCCTTGTTGAGCGTCTCGTAGACCTGGCCTATCTGACGTCGCAAATCGGATACCCGATCGTTGTTATCCTTGAGGTACCTGTCTGCGTACCAGAGTTCCGGGATCTCAAAGCTGGCGAAGGAAGTCTGTTCCTCGAGGGTGAAGCGCATGGTCACGACCGCTCCTGGCACGCTGAGAGCCGCCCGCCTCGATTGCCCCATGCGTTCTTCATCCGAAGGAACCATGCTACCCCATATCATCTGGTCCATCAAATTGTAAAGGCTCAGCGGCTGGCCCAGCTGCCACTCGGGAATCCTGACATCGAATAGCGCTGCGGCCTCCATCTCACGCTGGTCTTCGGGGACTGTCAGATCCTCGACCCCGGTGAACAGTGGGACAATCTCTTCTTTCAGACCGCCGTTCTCATCTATATTCGCTTGCTTTAGCGCGTCAAAAAAGTCCCTGTCAAAGTCGTTGCCCCAGGCTTGGGCACGCCTAATGTCGATCAAGACGTCTGCTGTGCCATAGCTCCGATCTGTCAGGTCCAGGAAGGCCATGAGGCGATGCAGCTCTTGCGAGAACTCGGGTCGAACATCAAGCCAAGGGTTGTCCGGCTGCGACAACTGTCCGGGGAGTTCGATTCTGGTGCCCTTGTACCAGTCCGAGTCATGTCCATACGTGTCGGCAGGCGCACCAGAAGAGAGGAGAGCATTACGTGCCACGGGTATCTCATGAAAGACGGTCAACAGGCCGCCGAGACGGTGCCTGCTGTCACCGACCTGCCGGCAGCGTAGGAAGGCCGGGACGCCCTCCACTCGCTTCCTACCAGAAGCCCCCGGCTCTGGTGACTCGCTGTTCAGAGGTACCATTGCCCACTGCGCCTGGTCATATTCAGAGCGGTTGGCAGGCCCAAAGTAGGGAAGAGTGGCGTCGCCGTTGGCCAGCCCGGTGGCCGCCGATTCGGCCAAAGCCCGTTGCAACTCAACATCTTCCTGCTCCCGTATGCTGGGCATGCCGCCCGAGACCTGGTCGTTCGAATCCGCCGGTCTACCCAGCGGCGAATGGGTTCTCGAGGGTGGGCGAGACGGGGGCAGCTGTTCCACATGCGACGGCGACACGCCGTGAATGATGTGCTCGTCGCTCGGAGCATCGATATTGAAGGAGGGGATAGTATCGATAGGTCCATCTCTGGGCACTGCGAACATGCCTTCGTCCCATCGATGCCTGCTACGGAACTAATGACCGTGTATGTCAGCAAAGGAGTTAGGGCAATGGGAGGGGGGTTGAAGCAGGAATCGAAACGAACCTTGGCCTCGTCATTGTAAAACTCTGTTACCACTGCTTCCACATTGCAATGCTTTTCCTAGCAATCAATACTTGGTCAGCCTGATGCGAGGACGTAGGAGGGAGTAGAATTCTACAGCTTGTGACATACCCTTAGTGCGGCAGCAACCAAGTTTCGATCTGATCCAGGATCTAGAGACGTGAACTCGCAGACCTGCAGAATGAGGTCCTCGGTCGGCTCCATCTCCTTGATCTCAAATGCCCAACCCTTGCAAGGTGACGAGTTCGTGATTATGTAAAGTAGCCGGTGCAACTAGGCGCCATGTCATGGACTGGGCAGGAGGCGGAAGAGTGGACGATCGGCGGCAGCCAAAGATTCACCGTAATCGGCAGCCAAAAGGCTCCAGCATAAGGATCAGCGGGCAAATGAGCGAGCTAGAAAGAGAGACAGTGTGTGTGTGTGTGTGCGAGAGAGGGAGAGATAGAGAGAAAGTGAAATGATTACAAAGCTGCCTTGATGCTATGCAAGAAAAATCTTGGGGAGTGTGTAGTAAGCCGCTGCTGTGGCTGCTGGTGCTGGTGCTGCGAGCCAGGTCTACAGACAGAGAGTTGGGATGCGATTGTGCAACAAACTTGGAGGTTTGGTGATGACGAGCTTGCCATCACATGGCAGAGCGGCGGGGGGTAGAATCAGCTACCTGACCTAAGGTAGCGCTAGCAGGAGTTGAGGTAGTACAGCGGCTAACGTTGATTAGGTACCCGGGCCACCCTTCCAGCCTCAAGAACTGGGCCTGTTCTGGGGATAAACAGTGGGGGTCAGTGCTGTCACTCAGCGACCTGGAACTACACATAATCCACCAGATCACTCTGGAGTGCGCCCTCGCTGGAAAGATGACATCCATGGATGTCTCCTCTTACTCTGTGACCATCATGAACATCCGCTTGCATGTAAACCATGTTGATATATCCCCGCATAAGATCTGCAGGCCAGATCATGTACACGCCTGTATTACACTGTGGACTATGTCCTTTGTCCTCTCAAGTAGGATAGCAGGTCATGTTCTAACTAAAGGGAGGGGGGGAAGAGTAGGGAAAGAAACCAAGTAAAGTCAAAAGCCAAAAGTTGCAAGCAATCAAGTAAGCAGAATGCTATACCGTCTGTCAGAAAGTCCACCTATGTTGGTTAAACAGAGACGCCTGTCGCCTATGGAAAGTGCATGGTCGAAACGCCGTCCTCTCAAAGGTGTATCACACCAAGTCCGCTATGCATATAATCAATCGAGTCGAGTCGTGGAAGAAGGGAGACGCCTCCCCTTGCCTTCTTGTCGTCAAGGTGAAAGGGGTTAAGTCGGGTTTGGGCCCTGCCAAGCTCGGTTCCTTCCAACCGCCTCACAGAGGCCACCATGGTCGTTGGGAGGGAGCCGCTGGCTCAAGACTCCTCGTCCTCCGAGGCATCCTCCTTGTCTTCCTCAAAGTCCTCCATCTCATCATCCTCGCCTGTGTCACTGCCGCCAAAATCGAACTCTTCATCACTCTCAGCCCAGAAGGCATCGTCATCCTCCATCTTCTGAGGAGGGGGCGCATCGAAAGTCGCCGGCATGACAAAGCCATCGGGCATGTCCTTTTGTGACTCCTCTACGGTCGCCTTGGCCTTGGCCTGGTACTTGGCCCGGTAGTCACGGTATAAAATACCGGCGTCGACGTTGGCGGGGGAGCCGATTTCCGGGTCATCGAGGAGCAGAAGGACGGATCGCAGGACCGACTCGACGCCTTGGAGCGGCGACCATCGCTCGCTGGCCTCCTCTCCCGACATGTTGTCGTTGCCAGGCTTGTGGAGGATCGAGATGCACAACTGTCCATCTGGATAGACGTTGGCGTGGTAGACTGGGGTGAGGAATCGGAACTTGGGCGGTGAGTAGGGGTAGTCGTCGGTGAAAGTCATCTCGGCCTGCGGCACACGTCAGCAGTCGATCGTGATGGAACACACAAGGGCCAGCCACTGACCCTCAGATAGGCACCATAGAAGTCGCTGTCGGGGTTGATCACAATGAGCGCGAATCGCCATCGGAAGAGGTTTGCCTGGTCAGGCTGGTTTGGAGGTCATGGTCAGCCACACGTCACATCTGGAATGGAAGGAGGCCAGGCGGGACCAGACTTACATCGATATTGACCCATTTCTCCTTCTGGAGGTCTCTGAGTTCCGTCATCAGGCGTTGTTTCGCGCCGCCAGCACGAGAAGCCATGGCTGTGCTCTCAAGTGGGGATGTCCCAACCGGGTCCTTCAAAGTGAGAATGGAATGGCGTTGAGGTGTGCAGAATCTGGCCTGTTTTCCGCCCTGACCTTTTCTTCTTCGCTTTGTTCCTTTGGTGAGAAAAGGGGAAAAGGAGAAATATGCTTCCACGCGACGGTCTGAACAAAAGAGATCCGAGCGATCGTATGGAAGGGATTGCAGGGTTGAGTCAGGTTACTGCGTTTCCGGTTTCCAGTGGCGCGTCGCCGATGGCGGGGGCAGATTCGGTTTCAGGGACGTCAAGGCCTTATCGGAAAGCACGGACAACTCGCGGGCGGTGTGTTTGAAGCGCAGTGACTAATTATGAGCCTTTTGGGAGGCGAAAAGCACCCCAGTCTTTTTCTAGGTAAGGTATTTGTAGTGTGCCCAAAATAGTTGGGCTGTCAATAGGCATGCAATTGGCAGTACTGCCCACCTCACCAGCCTACCGCCTACCGCCATTGTAGGTAGTGAATAGGTACCTACACAATAGCTTGTTGCTTAGGTACCACACCTTGGAACTGTCTAGAATTCATCCCGAGTTTGGCTCCTAGGACTTGTAAGCCATGACCACCCAGTGGTTAGGTGTGTGGACATGCGGAAATCACAACCAGAATGTCAAGTTGAGGACAGCATTAAACGGTTTCCCGAAAACGGTTGAACCCCGGCTGCACCAATGATGTGAGCACCGAACCAGAAAAATCTACCTGGGTAACTGTACTACTCCGTACCTGGGTAGTTCCCGAGGCTGACGGGGACGCCGGAGGCCGCGGCCAGGCACGATTCAAACATCACTGATCTTGTCATCCTTGGCACCCATAACCTGGGAGATGACGCCATTGGATAAGAGGAAGCGACTGTTCTTCCCCGTCTCCAAGCGGGTTATCTGCTTCCTACATATCTAGTGGGAGAGAAAAAACATGTCAAAGCCGTGGGCGTGTGGAATACTGGGCCATTTGGCCAGACAAAAACCAGCAGGACTGAGAGAAAAATGATAAAAAGCTATACAATTTGTTTGATGATGATGTGATGCTTCGGTATGCAAGGTTCAACACTGGCAATCTTACATCAGAATACAATCGGCGTGATATCTACCCAGTGTGGTAGCTATCATGCCTGCCCCTGCCGACTCTTCCTCCATTGCATACGCCCGTCCCTCGAAACCGCTTATTTATTCGACAATCTCTTCTCCTGCCAGCGTGACTCAGTGGTATGTGCAACCCCCTCGCCCGGCCTTGCCTCCATAGGCCCATCAAAGGATAGCCTCGTCCTCAAGTCAACACCCGGAGGAGGTCGCCAATCTCTCGAGCAATCGCGCATGCGGCATAGGTAGTCTGCCACATGCGCGGCCAGGAGCTGCCCAATTAGTTGCCGTTGAGCTGAACACCGTCCAAGGGACTAGCCGGACCGGAACGCTTAGTTCTCAGGGTCAACGGGAATGGGTACTCGTCAGGATCCTCCTCCTCGCTGTATTGGAAGTCAGTATCATGGATGATTGGACTGCAGTGTAAGGTAAGGGGAACACTTACGGAAGCTTCCAGGCAACATAATCCTCCGTGCTGAGTCCCTCGCGACCCTCCTGCAGGCTCGCAAAATCTCCCGGGGTCATCATGCCAGTGCGGTCTCGGGGCGAACCGGGCACGGAGAAAGGACGTGAGATCTTTTGCTCAACTCCCGGGATAAAGTCCTCGTCTTCGTCGCCGCTGCTGAAAGAGTCGGGGTACGCTCTGCGCAGTGCCAGCTGTCGGGCCTTGACGTATTCCATGCCCATGCGCTTCCAGTCGAGCAAGTCGCTGAGACGCTCGGTTCGGTTGCGTTGGTTGATACGCTGCCGGCGACTCTTGGCACAGAACTCAAACATGAATGAGGTGAGCTGGTTGACCGAGTCATCGACGCCTTTGGTCCGGCGGTCCACAATGTAGATACCATAGTCGCTCGAGTTTTCAATGAGCTCCTCCATATAACAGCCGAAGCCGGACAGGTTGGTGGTGATGCTCGGGACACCCATCACAGTGCACTCGGCAGGTGTGTAACCCCAAGGCTCATAGTAGGAAGAGAAGACGCCCAGGTGGGTTCCCCGCACAAAGTCGTCGTAGTCCATGGGCAGGACAGGGTTGGCCGAGTTCAGGAATTCGGGATGGAAGACGACCTTGACACGATCGGAAGGATGGTTGAAGAGCTGGACGCGGCGGATCTGGTTCAGGATGGGGTCTTCGCTGTCATTAACCATATTGTGCGTCACGATGGGCGGCAGACCGTGCCGCTTCATGGCGAAGAGGCGTCGCCGAAGCAGGACACGATCCTGCCCCGTGATGAGCTCCTTCTCGTCTGGCAGCGGATCGCCATCGTGCCACTTGAGGGACCTCTCAAATATGCGACGACCAATGCCTCTCTCAATAACGTCCACGGTATCGCGGAGCGATTTGATCACCGCCTGGCCTTTGAGTGCCTCCACCGTAAGTGAGGATGTCTGTGCAGGCATGATGATGAACGCGACGACTGTCGTTTTGCTGCCGGCGCTCTTGAGGCGATGGTTGAGACGGGCCAGCCCTTCGATGAACATGTCGACGCCCTTGTTTCGGAACTCGTAACGGCCAGCAGTGAAGAAGTAGAGGGTATTCTCGGGGTCGAAGTCGTAGTGGCCGTAGAAATGACCTCGCACAAAGTCATGAATCTTCTCCTTAGACTGCTGGTGCAGATTCTGAAACTCATGCATGGCCGAGAACTTGGTCACGTTGAGGCCATTGGGCAACACACCATCTGGCTTGCGCTTCAGGAGATGCTCGCTCTCGTAGGCCGTGATGTGGGAAACGGTGGTGAAGACGTCGCAGGAGTGAGCAGCGGCACGCTCGATGCAGTAACGGTGGTAGATACCGCGCTTTCCAGCCTCGGCGTCCACGTCGAACCACTGCAGGTTGTTGTAGAAATCGACAGAGCCGGCGCACAAATACCTACCGAGAAGGGTTGCGTGAGTAGTAAAGATGGTGGTGACATCAATGCGGCGCTTCTTGCACAGCGGAAGTGCTACACCGGCGAGCCACTCGTGAAAATGAGCAATCACGGCTTTCTTCTTCTCGTGGCAAACAAACTGCACGTCGGGTCAGCGGCGAGAAGTCTGGAGGCCAGCCAGGCGGGCGGGGGCCTGGGCGAATCGGAACCTACCTCTCCCAAAAACCAGGCAACAAGATAGCCAAACACGATTGATTCGTTGGTCTCGTCGTCACCCGGAGGGGAAGGGATCGAAGCCACGTTCCACAGGTCGGCCTTCCACTCATCCATGTACTGGTATGCCGTTTTCGTATCGATGAGGAGAACGCGAGGAGCGCCTTCAATGAGCCAGCGTCCGTACAACATGCCGATACCTCGCTCCTTCATGGCATTGATACTAGCAGCCAGCTCGGGGGTCGTTGGTTCCAGCTCTTCGACCTCGACCGCAGCCTGTCGCTCGCACATTAGCTTGCGTCACCAAAGGCGACGGTTGGAGAAGGAGTAAGCGAGCTTACAGACTGGTGGTTGAGGGGTCCGATAAGGGTGTATCTATCTCCATACTCGGCGGTCGTTACGGGAGCTTTGGACTTGATGACGGAATAGATGCCTCCCACTATGGTAGGGTTAGGTTATATGTTCACGCGATCTTCTGGTGGCCTCCCAACAAGCTATCACGTACCTCGATGAGCGACCTCAGTGGCAATCTCGAAGAGGATGTGGTTCTTGACCTCACGGGCCTCCCGAGTATCATTGCGCTCCTCTCCTGCCATGGTGACAAACTAGGGGTTCTCCAAGCGAACTGTGAGATTGATGGTCAGCCATCAACGGAATACATAGCAGGGCCACTGTGTTTGGTCCATCTCGAGCAGTGCTCAGTAGAGCATATCATCGGGATGCGCATGGAGATGCCAAGGGACAGGAAACCTCTGCGATCGGGCGAAGAAAAGCGTCTATAGGGCAGAGTGTGGTAGAGCTTACCACTGGAAGAAACTTTGCCACAGGGTACCTAGATCGCGAAGACCAGAGAGGTACCGGAGCTATCTCTGAGCCTTGGAGCTCTCAACAGCTGAAGAACGAATGAAGAATCACAAGGAGGATTTGAGGTCAAATATGATACTGTGCGCCACGGACGAAACACAAGCAGAGAGGGCTTGAGAGGGAGGTGGACAAGCACAGGATCGAGGGAGAAGGGGATCAAGTTTGTGACGGGGTGGGCAGAGAGAATGAGCGCAAGGAGGATGGCGTGAAGACTATCATCTGGGCCGAAACGAGGAACAGGCGACCACGAGGTGATGGTGGTTGGGCAATTGGCACTGGCAGTGGGGAACAGCGGGCTAGCCGTTTGGCTCTCGAGCTCGACGCTATCAGAAAAAAAGGTAACCTAAGCCGGGATGGTTGACAGGGTCATGGCGGTAGGCGGGTTTGTACGTCGAGACGTACAGCGCACTACGGGGGTGCCGCAGCTGCAGCATCTCCAGACCGGCCTAATTGCAGCCCATGGAGACCGCCCAAGACGCACTAAGCGCCCACTAGGCGGCATTGACCCGGTACCATGGGGGTACTTCGCGATCGGTTGATCTTGATTGTACGCAATATTCATTAGCGAGAAAAACTCCTTTTCCAACCGTATCATGACACCCCAAAAAAAAAACCTTCCTTCCCCCCAACAATCTACTTTACGTGAGGAGGGAGGCGCATGATCGGGCCGGCAAATGGTCAATCCAGAATTCAGAGCAGGCTACAATCGCCGGCCGTCGAGGGAATTTCGCGTGTCCCCTCGTGTCGTTGTCGATGTTGTCGTTGTTGCCATGAGCAGCTTTGCCAAACATTCTTGGGCAACAGGATCAGAAATAAAATCATAATGTTGCGTCATTGTCGCTGCACATACGATCAAGCTAGCTCAGATCATGTAGCTTCGGGTACCTGTCCTTGGAGCTATGGCCCCCACAGTTCTCCTGCACATGCTGGAATGACGACAGTGAATGCGGGGTTGGTTCTCGAAGCAGCAAGCTCTGTAGCATCTCATCTAAATAGAGTAATGAGGTGTACGAATTTTCTTGATATTTTGACAACATGGGCATATCCAGCTATCAGCCTCCTCTAGGCAGCTTTATTCCCTACGCTGGACAGTGCGATATTGTATTGCGCAACGCCGCTTAACACTGGTCGGGCTGCAGAGATCTGACATCCGGACAGTTGGGATTTGGAGAAATATAAGAGTAAGCAAGGCACACTGACAAAGGTCAAGTCGAGTCCATAAGTACATTATGTACAAGTAGGTACAAGAAGACACAAGACAATTAGATCGTTTTCTGATTAGGTAATTGCGCATTCGAAAAGGTTTTTCTGCTTCTCCGAACCAGATGGCTGCCGTCCCGCTAAGGGCTGAAAGAATTCTCCCAGCTTCGGTTGACCAATGCATTCAAGACATCTTCAATGCCATCGGAGGGTTTGTAGAGAGCTGGCATCACACTCGAATGTTTTCGTCCCTAAAGAAAGTAAAGGGCCAGTAGATAGATGGTACCTCCTTAGTGGAGAGATATTCACAATAGGTGGCCGTGTTGATTATCAGTCGCTGTTGCTCGAGGCTGGCGCATCTTCACCATACCTATCACAAAGTCAGAACTGAACGGAACGCCAACACCATCTGCGGGATCCGACTGAACTGGCAGGTGAGAACTTGCAGCCCAGCAGTTGGATAAATCCCAATCACGTAAAGTGGCCCGGGTGCGGATTGTCGACATGCTCCAATTACTTGTACCGTTCACATTTTCTATTGTCCCCCTCCAACCGTCCGAACGCATTCTCTAAATGGCCTGACTCGTCACCACCGGAGCCGGAGAGACAACGTGCAGTTTGTCAGACATTAGAACAGCAGCTTCACAAGAGAGTCTAGGGGCGGGCCGAGAGTATATGTCACAGTGGTGTTTGTTTTGCTCCCCCTGGCGTGGGGAATTCAGCTCAATTCAGCTCAAACAGGTCGAGCTAGTTACGGTACTTCATTTTTGATGGGTTCCTAGATGCAAAGTGAGACATCTGCAAGGTTACTATTTGAGGCCAGCGATTCAGACCCGGAACCCCAGGAAACATGTTCAACGAAACTGTATTGCTCAAGAAAGGAACCGACTTCCTTCGCAGCGAGCACGCTCACAGCTGATACCCACATGTTCGCCCTTAATTGTTACTTGTCATCTTAGAATACGAGGTTAGCGTAAGATCCCATAGTCGAGGCTTCAGATTATCTTTCTCTCTGTCAGTAAGGACAAGAAGGAGCAAGCACTAGATGAATTTCTAACGAGTAAAAGCCAGCCCTGATGTAAGTGAGCCCTCCCATGTTTCCATGTTTGCAGACACTGTACGAAGTACTTACCTAGGTAGTCAAGTGATGGTCAGATTAGTTGACGGACTGCTAACAGAAGTACTTGGCTATCCATCAAGCCCATCGGATTTAGGTAGTGGGATAGCCCTTCCGAGTTCCAGGGCAAGGATGTGACAAGGATACTGGTTGTTAAGATTGAGGTAGCTCCTGATGAACTTCCGTCAACTATTCAGACGCCCACTTGGTAGTTCAGGGTTGGTCTTGGCTGGGGAGGTTTGCTGCAAGGCCAGATGGCACATGACCTCCACTCCATCAGATTTACAAGCAACCAAAGCAAGCTAGCCATTTTAATGCATGTACTCACTGTAAAGTTAGGTAAGGTACCTAAACCTGGGAAGCACTGAGCACATAAATCCAGATCCAATTCACCACAAACATCTACAGAATCGCGCGACATTTTCCAACCTCGGCAGATCTCATCTTGCACCTTGCCTTCTACCCTCTGGCCTCATCTTCAACCCTGGCAAATTTCCCTAGAGCATCCCGATGCCTTCAACCCGGAATCACTCACGACTGATACCTTCGATGACGTGACTATTCTGGCGAAGATTCCTCTGCGCGTTCCGACCGCTCCTTGACCTGCGGCGCATGTGTAAGACGAGCTTGGAGCTTTTCAAGTAATGGGCCGATACAGACTTGATCGTGCACAACCCTCATTTCCTTGATCGATCATCGCAAGGAGAGCGCGTCGGGCTGGTAGCAATCTTGCCATGCGCAGCAGGAAAACAACAACGATGGAAAGGCGGGGAGCGGATTAGCCTCATCCCATCCCATCCATCTGCTCGCGGTGGTACAACGGCCTTGTCCCTTTGCAAGCGACGGAAGGCTGCAAGAACTTGAAATCTGGGCAAGCCTTGTCCTGTGAGTGATGGAGCTTTGCCGCAATAGTCCAGGACTCCAGATCCGACTGCCAAGAACCCGGATCAAAAGTGCATGCTGCCCTCGGCGATTCTGTGCATCACATGCATAGAGTCATTCTCTCGAGGTTCTGGCAGCGGCGAAATGAAGGTCACGAGAGCCTCCTGGATGAACTTCGTTCCCATACTATACCATCAAGCCTCTTGTCGCCTGGACAGGGTGCGAGGAGATTTGCAAAAGCGGCGCGACGAGGGATTGCCACAACACGGTGCTCCGGCCGGAGCATTCACCGTACCGAGCCGCCTGGGTACGGGCTGTCGACCAGCAGGGAGGACCAACAGATTGCACTCCATATGCTGTCCTCTTTGCTGTCCACATACGAGCTGACGAGCGGCTCGCGGCACGATCGACTCATTCTCTGGTTCAGAACCTCCCAACAGGCCTCAATCCTCTGTTGCAAAGGCTTGGACTGGTACCAACAGTTGGCACGATACGTGAAAACCGTTACCGTAGAGCGCATTGCCGCGCGTCCCGTATGTAGCACTACAGCCTTGACTGCTCGTGATGAATGTCGCTTCGGGATCGACCTAAAGGACAAGGCCGACAGCCGCAGGAAGACGGGTTTCATTTTGTTTGTCTGGAAATACCCAGGGCCGTATCGTGGCGGGACAAGCGTCCCTTATCCACTCCATATGATGATATTACCGGTGCAGCTCGACTGGGCTTGATCCGGTGCCTGCCAGCCTGCCGCCTACTTCCAAGGTTGCTTGACCTAGTAAGGTAGTGGTAGGTTCTGGCTATCACCGTTCGACAAGCTCCAATCGCCACGCGCACCTCAACCACCTTCAGTTTGAATCTCAACAACACACCGGCAGATCAAAATCACTCACAGAGCGCAAGTGCCAGTCCGAACCACACGAGGCAAGAGAGAGCTGCACAAAACCTCCCGCCCTCCCTCGACCTAGCCTGGCCAAGTCTGGGCCGACATCTGCCATACCTACCTACCTAGAAATTCTTGTCTTTCTCTTCGATCCATTAACTACCCCCCGGGGAAGGCCCTTTACCCTTTTGACACACCCACCACCACGCACCGTTCAGTTCCTTCCGCTAAAGTCAATGCCTAGCTCGCACTGACCAAGCCAGCCTGCCCGGCTCGATCTGTCAAAGAGCCAGTAGACTCATTGACGGCTATCCGCATCCTTCGACGCAGGACCTTGGTCCGCTGTTTTGTCGGAGTCGGGAAAGCTTTTGGTCAATAGCTGCTGTGCTTGCAAGACTCCAGGGCAACTATCAGCGACACTTGCGTACTTAGTAGCTACAGCGCTCTGGGTGTCGTGGACCGCTCATTTGGGCTGATTTAGCTGATGCTCGCTGGCAAAAGCGCGTTTGTTTTAGCGGCCCCTCTCCGCTGATAATCCTTGTCCGCCCCCGGCTGAGGTACCGCCTTGTCCAGCACTAAAACTCAAATCGACTCTCGTGCCGCAGATGGGGACCTCGCAATATCACCATCCTCGCGATGTTGCAATGCCAGAAGACGACCGCAAACCCGGCGATGCCCTGAGAGACAGAGGCAGGGATGGTCGAGGCATGAATTCTATCCGAACGCATTCTCCCCCTCCTGCTTCTCATCGTTCAACGGGACGCGATAGGGATAAGAGGAAGGGTAGCTCCCAGGATCCCTCCGTCCACAGGTCTCAGCCTGGTCCTCCTCGACCCCGACACAGATCGCGAGAACGCAGCATAGACCGTCCTAGGCGCTCTGGCCAGCCGCGCTCACCGGAGTTCCGGGGAGGCCCCAGGGATCGCGAGCTCGCCCTGGACTCTGCTCCGTCCCAGAGTGCGCGCCACGGGCCCTCGCATCGAGAGATAGGCGACCGCCACGATAGCGTCGGTCGCTCAATCGGTACGTCACGCGAATCGCCGCACTACAAGCGGCCTAGGAGTCCCGGTGTATCGGCAGAGCCGTCCTCATCGAAACGCTCAAGGAGGAACGACAGCCCGAGAAGACCTCGAGAACGCCTTCGAGCGGCTGCCCAATCACCTCACCATCCCCGCCGCCCTTCACCATCTCCCCAGCGTGCTCGATCTCCGTCTCGTCGCGAACGACGGCGCGCCAGAAACAGAAATAGAGGACGGAACGCTCGGGATCAGCAGCCACCCCGTGGTCGCTCGCGCTCTCCAGCCCTGGCTGGAGGAGACGCAACAGACGATAATCCCAACCTTCGCCCACTAGGAGAACCACGGTCACGATTCCGTAGTCGGTCACCACCACCCGCATCCCGAAGACGATCGCTCTCAAGGCATAGGTCTCCTTCCACATCGAGGGGTGACCGGCAAACTGCGTCCTATCCAGCTTCACACCGCAAGCCAAGCCCGGATCCCGACTCGCGTAGACAGGGGTCAGTCTACCCACCGCCACGCTCTCCAAGAGACCGTAAGGAGTCGAGATCCAAGCGACGGAACAGGAAGAGGGATCATTCGAGGGCATCGAAAGGTTCGGAGTCTTTGTCTGGGGCAAATATCATCGAGGTGAACATGACTGCACGGGGAGGCTTCCGCCCAGGGCTTGGCCCTCAGACGCATAATGCCGCATACCCTACGAAAGGCCACTATGGAGGATCGCACGACGGTCGACGCGTCTCACAATCATCTGGCCATGGGACTCCTAACTCCTCCTTCCAAGGCTCTCCACCGCCCCAGTCGCCGTACGGCGGCAGTCAAGGATGGGGCGGGCAGCAGCAGCAATTCTCGCCGCACTCGTAAGTGTTGATGCCTGGCCTGATCTTTATACATGAGTCTCATTATACTTATACCATCGTGCCCACAGCCACTATCATTCGTCTTATGCCCAGGGTCATTTCTCGCCACACGGCCCAGCAGGCCAGTACCCTCAGCCTCATTCTCCCTCCGTGGGACCCCCAACGGGGCCCAGCTCACAACAATACCCGACGGGACCGACCCGCGGTGCTTATAGAAGTAGTCCCGCAGGTCCTCGAGGGCCTTCCTTCAACTCTTCCCGATCAGCGCAACGAGGCAACGCTCTAAAAGGCGGCCAATGGCGATCCAACTCCCAGGGAGGCAGCGGCCAGAGCAGTCCTATGCCGGCATCTGCTCAATCCGAAAGCGGCCACGCTTCTGACGTCGATACGGCAGTCGCAAATCATGAAGATGACAATCCTTTCAGGCCTTCCAAAGATCTTCAAGTCGAAGATACGGGCAAGGGAAAAGCAAGCGCCGAAGATGAAATGCCGCCGCCAGCTCGACCCCCTCCGACTGGACCGCAAGGCTCCAAGTTCAGCTTCGCTTTCAAGGCAGCCTCGAAGCCTGCAGTGGCTACACCGAAAGCCGAAATAGCTTCAAAATTCAATTCCGCTCCTCAGAGACGCGAGGACCTTCGCAACGAAGATAAGGACCGTAGGGATTTGCCTCGCAGTGTCCCGACTGAACCTGCTTCATCGCGGGCACGGTCTGAGTATCGGAGTCGGCCCGATCCCCCAGCACCTCCCAGGGCCCAACAACCACCGCGAGTCCGCAAGGTCAAGAAGATCATGAGACGCCCTAAAGCCCGTCCGTCTCTCCCCGATGATCTTGCTGCCTCCGAGTCAGTCTTCTTCCGAAAGCCCGGGAATGAGTCGGTGGTAGGCTCAGGCACGTACGGTAAAGTTTTCAAAGGTCTTCATGTCTACACCAAGAAGCTTGTCGCTCTCAAACGTATACGGATGGAAGGTGAGCGGGACGGCTTTCCTGTCACGGCGGTCCGGGAGATCAAATTGCTGCAGTCTCTCAAGCACATCAACATTGTCAAGCTCCAAGAGGTCATGGTCGAGAAGAACGACTGCTTCATGGTATTCGAATATCTGTCTCACGATCTGACCGGGCTCCTGAACCACCCAAGCTTCAAACTTGATTCTGCACAGAGGAAGCACCTAGCCAAGCAATTGTTTGAGGGCCTGGACTACCTCCACCGACGCGGCGTTCTCCATCGAGACATCAAAGCGGCCAACATCTTGGTCAGCAGCGATGGCATCTTGAAACTTGCTGACTTTGGACTTGCTCGGTTCTACGCCAAACGCCACCAGCTCGACTATACCAACCGCGTTATTACTATCTGGTACAGGTCGCCGGAGCTGCTTCTAGGCGAGACGCAGTATGGACCAGCGGTTGACATATGGAGTGCGGCCTGCGTCCTGGTGGAAATTTTCACCCGCCACGCCATCTTCCCCGGCGATGGTGGTGAGATTAATCAGCTCGAGAAGATCTACGCTGTTCTGGGCACCCCTAACCGTACGGACTGGCCGACCCTGACAGATATGCCTTGGTTTGAGCTCCTCCGACCGGGATATAAGAGACCCAACCTGTTTGCTGAGAAATATCGGGATCGGCTATCATCTGCCGCCTTCGATCTACTTGCCGCCATGTTCCGATACGACCCCGCGAAGCGTCCAAACGCCTCGGAAGTCTTGGATCACCCCTACTTCACCGTGGAGGAGCCCGCCCCACGGCAAGCTACAGAGTGAGTGATATACTGCTGAACAACCTTTCTTTCGGCTCTCCCCAAGCACCCCTCGAGTAGCGCTAACGCTTGAACTTTTTCCACGTCTAGGCTGGCAAATATCGATGGCGACTGGCACGAGTTCGAATCCAAGGCGCTGCGGCGAGAGAACGAGCGCAAGGAGCGGGAGGCGCGCCGAGCTGCTGCCAAGGAAAGCGGCGGAGGTGGCAAGGATAGAGAGAAGAAGCGCGCGGCCGACAGCCTCGAGAACCACCGCGACACGAAGAGGCAGCATATCGATGTGCCCCCACCTCCTCCGCCTCCTCCGCCTCCTCCTGCTGCTGCCGCCGATCAGACCTCGGAACCCGCCCCGGCAGCAAAGAGCGGCTGACACAGAGTCTTTTTATCAGTTGTATGCGCAACTTCAACCAGCTTTTTTGGAAGGAAAGAAACGAAAAAAGGGCGCATTGAGTTTACATCCAAAACAGGTCTTTTTGAGAGACAGAGGATAGGAAGGCTGGCTATCTGCATTTATGTGCATCATTATACCACAATCGCAGCGAGACCATATCATGAAAGGGGCGTCTGGGAGAGGGAGAGCAAGACAAAGGAGGGGCATGCATGCACGGCGTTCTCAGAACATCAAAACGACCGAGGCGAAGTCTTGGGAGAGAGTGTGTGTTTGTGTGGGAAACAACAAAGGGGCTTGTCTAAAGATGCATGGCATTGCCAGAGTATAGGAAGTCTTACATATTTGGCATGCTCAATTGGGATGGTTATAGAGCTGTTGTTCTAATTCGAAGATTATGAAGTACACCCCAACCCCAGTGGCAACTCGGGATCGCTGGTCTCACATTGCATTGGGAGGTTGCAGAGTTCTTTGTGTGACAGATCGCACAGTGTACATGTATTCTTTGCAGTGTCTAAGGAAACAGTTGCACGCCGCCGCCTCTTCCAATCTTCCATCAGGGTTTCGTTTCCTCTTTAAATCACTTTTTGATTCGGGATAGTATTCTTCCAAACTCTTGTGTAAAACCCTCAGCTCGCTCCTAAGAAATCCTCTGCAGTCCGTCCAATTATCCGTTTCGTTCAAATTCGTGTTGCTCGTATCAATTTTTGGTCATGATGATCGTAGGCTGTCGTGAATGGCATATTATACACAAGAACCCCGGTAGTGTTCATCTCGATTCCGTGCCGAGTGGGAGTTCCTTCGTTGCAGTCTTCTGAAAGCGGGCCATGTTGGGTAAGTGCCTGATTCATTCCCTGCTAGGACCTCTCAAACCCCCTTCGCTCATCGTACTTCACGGGCGGTCCTGGTCGGTTCCCTGGGTTTGGTGTTCCTCTGCAGACTTCAAGAGGGACCTCAAGCTCCCCTCGGCGTGGCTTGGGTTTCCCGTCCCGGACAGATCGCCGTTCGATTTCCAAGGCACCCAGCTGCTCAGGCTCGTCAACAACGCCGTCGCCGAGATGCCGGTCTCCTCCGAGGGCAGTACAGATGGTCGCGAGTACGGCAACTGGCTCTCCTCGACTCTGTCCATGTTAGCCGGGCGCGGCCGTGGCGCACTGGTTTGATCAACGGTCTGCGAGATGGCGGGTCCCGTTCGGATCTCCAAGTGGCTGCTCGATGTCTGCGGTAGAGCCGGCTCGCTTACCAGCGCGGCCGCCGAACCTCGGGGCGTCGTGGGGTGGTGGGTGGTACCAAGCTGCCTGGTGCTGTCAATCACGGCGTGAGCAAAGGAGGTTGACTTCTTCCGTGTCGGCTTTGGCGCCTGGGCGGTGGATTTCGGACCCGACGTCAGACCTTCGTCGGTGGATCCGGATCCGGACCCGGAATGAGACCGATCACGAACCGATTCCGCCTTTTTCAATGCCGCCCGCCCTCGCACCTCCTCCGCTATCTCTTGAGCCGACCTCTTCTTGGACTTGTCCTCCTCGGAAGACCGGCTCGAAGACATGATGGTTTCGAGTGTGCCGTACGCGATACTCCGTCTCCTACCCCCACTTCGACGTTTACGATGGGCCCTTGATGTTTCGTCGTCCGACTGCACCGCCTGCAGCGTTAGGGCCCCTTGATGCTTGGACGAGTTTCTATGTCGCCTCCCGCTGCTACTCGACGCAGTCTCGCTCCGTGCGCCTCGTGCTCCCGCGCCCGCGAAGGAGGAGCCCGATCCGTGGGGTTTCATGTGTACTTCGTACTGGTTACTCAAGCTGTAGCGAGACCGCGCACAGATCTCGGCGATGCGGTCCAGGTCTGCGTCGATGTCGCTATCCTGCGCCTGCAGGTTGGCCATGAAGCCCTTGAAGGAATACGCTTCCAACGGAGGCAAACGAGCCTCATCTTGCTCGTCCGAGTCCCGCCGGCTTAACCAACTCCATGCTGACTTCTTCTTGGGCTTATTCCGTGCCATGTTCACCGACCAGCCATTCGCGATCACCACCCGTGGTTCAAGGCAGCCAGGTGTAGGGGTCGAGGTGGAGAGGGCAGCCGCAGTCGATGATGCCACCACACCGGGCGGTTTCCGGAGTGCTGAACGGCCGGGGATGTGCGATCGATACTGTCCCGAATGGCTTTTGGCATAGGGATGTTGAGACGGGGATGGCCCGCTGTATGTCCGGACGATAACGGGCTGGGAGTAGGTGCTGCTTTGCGGACCTGAAGATTTGGAATATCGGTGGCGCAGGACAGGGGAAGGATAGTGGCTGTTGAGCTCGCGAAGAGCAGAGGTTCGATTGGCGGTGGTCGAGTCGTCGAGGGGTATTGGTCTCCCCTCGGCCGTGGACGAGACTAGCGAGGTCGACGATGCGTTGTTGGGAGCGAAGAATATGGGTGGGAAGGGCAGAGGCAGTGAGCGGCGCGCATCCTTGTGGGGAGGATGTTGCTGGGCAGCGGGAGGCTGGAGGCGGGCAGAGTTGACGGATGAAGGGGGCCGCCGGGGGTGGGAGGATGGAGTAGCAGATATCTGCGCAGTAGATGAAGACGGAAGCTGGGCAGTATCGGTGGCATTCATGCTAGGATGTCCTGCATGGGGATGCTGATCTGGCCCGGAGGCGTGTGGATTCTGATATATATACATGGCATGAGGTGTGAGGTGGACGCAGGAATGACCAGCAGAGCGAGAGCTGCGGTCCTGGTAGGACGATGCAGGCCTGGCCTGGCCGGCAGCAATCGTGGGGCAGACGGTTCGGGGCGGGAACCCCCAGAAACCTACTCTTGCAGATAGGTATGCGAGGTAGGTATGTGAGGTATGTGTGTATGTGTATGTGTATGTGTGTGTGTCCGTGTGTGTGTGTCCGTGTGTGTGTGTCCGTGTGTGTGTGTCCGTGTGTGTGTGTGTGGTGGGGATGGAGATAGGTAGCAGAAGGGTCATAGATCAGCTCGAGCTCATGGCTGTAGGCGAACCCTGGAGGGGGGTTGATGTCTTGGAAAGAAGCGGAGAGCGTCACCGGGAACGGGAACGGGAACGGGACGGTAAGAGCCAGTAAATGCGGTATCATACGAAAGCAATCAGCAAGGCCTGATCGATTTTGTATCAGGGTCGAAGAGCCATGATACAAAGAGAGTGCTGGCGGTGGTGGGTTCAATGTTTGGAAGAGTGACACCCCCCCCGAGGAGCAGACTGTGTGGTTGCAGCGGCTGTCGCAGTTGCTATATTGCGGTGAACGGTGCGGCGCTGAGATGTATTGCTAATTGCGCAAAGTTCAACATCACCAGCAAACGACAAGGATGGAAGATTGCTCGTTTCGCTCCCTGCCTGGCGGTGCAGATGGTTCCGTCTCTGCTTTATGTGTGCCGGAGCGCGCATGCGTTGTCTGGCCTGTGCCTCGTTCGTGGCCGGGCGAGTTCGAAGCAGACGGGCGAGACTCGAGAGGCAGCATTAAAAAAAAAAAAGGGCAGACAATGGATCTGTTTGGATGCGACAAGAGATGTTGTCGAGCGTGTAATTGGATCAAAAGGAAAAGCAGAGCGGGGATGGCGAGGGAGGAGGGGGAAAGAGGTGCATCAAATCCGCTGCGGCGAGCTGCACGAAGTCGTGGCTGTCGTTTAAAGGCTCGAGCTCGACGGGGAGGAGCTCTGACTGGCGCGCGGCCTGGGCTGGGCTTCCTTCTGATTTGGCCGGATCGATTTTGTCTGTCTAATGTATGTAGACTATGTATGTATGTCCTTAGCTATAGTTATTATTTATCTGGACGATTGATTGACTGACTGATTGATTGATTCGATGGCTAGCTGTACGCTACCTATATGTAGGCTTGTGTTGTCAAGGCGAGACGGACAACGTGTGTAGGACACGACACGGCACAGACAATGGACAATGGACAATGGGGGAGTGGAAAAGGAGGGGGAAGTCCCGAAACGAGCGGCAGATCGCCACCCTTTTCGTTCTGGATGCATCCAAAGAACATGCTTCCATTCCAGCCTGTGCCAGCCCATCCACCTCCACACTTTCGACTGCACCCTTCGCCTCGAGGAGTATAGTTAGGTAGGTAGGTTGGTAGGTAAAGTATTGTGTTCTGCTACTTACGACAAACACAGACAGCCGTAGGAGACTGGGTCGGGACTCCTAGGCAACGCTCGAAATGGATTGTGACTGTCAATACCTATGTGCAGAGGTGTGAAGGCGCGCCCCTATGGTTGAAAATATACCTCTGCTGGGCGTGTGAATTATCAACGTATAACATGATTATTGCGCACCAGTCTTCCGGGAAAGGCATTCACTACAATTTCCACCGCATTGTCGGATCGTACAGACACAGCAAACCTGGGCACCGGTGAACAATAGATTGCGTTGCGCAATCCTTTCCTCTTCTCGAGCAGGTCGCCGATCCCGAGAGACATACCGGGAAGGAGAAAAGCCCCCAAAATCCATCTTCTAGAAGGGAATGAAGAGTACAGAGTGAGTAGCACCCGTGAGTGATCGTTGTAATCGTCGAAATAGCTATGACCGCATAGCTTCTTCCCTGCTGGACCCCTTGCCTTCCATCCATACCATTGTCGAACTAGGTCTGGTGCGCGATCGTGCCGTACCCGCCTCCGCCAGTCTGGACACGGTCACTGTAGATCCCCGGCGCATGGGTCGCTGCGTAGCGGCCTTCTCGAGCCTGTTCACGGCGGTCGTAGTAGACATATGCTAGATAAAACGCGTGGATGTGGCCCGGAATGTAGCTGGGCCGGGTGTCAGTACATGATTCTTGACTGAATTCACGACAGGCGGGAGCATCGAGTGGCTTACCCGAGTAGGGTCAGGCAGACATTGATCCAGAAGTCAGCGCCACATCCGGCAAGGAGGAAGACTCCGAGAGGAGGGACTGTGTGGTGAGTGGTTCAGATCATCAGCGACGCTGCCCCAACTCGACAGCATTCTTGGCCCGGCGCAAGACGAGCACTCACAGAAGATAATTGCGATGATGACGATGACCGCAGAGGCAGCACCCATTTTGGCGGTGATAGGCTTTCGACTTGTCCTAAGAAGACGAACCAAGTGTATGCGAGAGCTGGATGCCGGTGGTTATTCGAGTGGGTGGGATTCTTGTGGTGCTGTGAGGGGAGGGAATATGGTTGGAGGAAGGAAGACGTGTGTGTGCGTTGTGCAAGTTGGGACGGAACCTCGGATCCTTTTGTAAGGCTTCGCTGAGCTGGCCAATATCAAGCATCATCCAAAGCACTCTGTAAAGCAGGACTGGCGGGCTGGGAGCCAGTTTGTTAAACCAGGTTGGATAAGTTGGTCAAACTGGTGGCCAATAGCTGCTCCGGGACCCAGCGACATGGCATGACGTAAATATCCTGATTCACCGGCGGCCGCTACGCAAAGCATGGGAAACCGGCACCCCAAGGCGCCTACGGACCACGTACCACCCTACCTACATCTTTCCCATTCGTAACGCCACATTCCAGCTTTCTCCCTTTCCCGTAGGTTTGGGAAAGATCAAGCAGGTACTTATGTACAATCAATGCTTCCACCATGTGTCCACATAAGAGTCGCATCAGGCACTGACAACCTTGGGACGGCTGTCATGCTTCGCACGAATAGAATAGTTGCAAGCGTACCTTGGCGTTGATACCATCCCTACCATTCGAGTACTTGCGTGGAGCGGAAGACCTACGGAGTAAGGAGATGGTCTCATCCCACGACGTCCGATAAATGGAAGTTCTGGATGGTTGCATGGCGCTCTGGGTACGTCCATGGCATGGGAGTATCCATGCCCCGCCCGAGTACTGGTAGCTTACGTATACGGTATTGGGGGGGCCCTGTGAACCATGCAAGATGCCGGATGGCTGGCCCGATTGCACTAGCGTGTCTTTCGAGTCCCTGACAGCGCGGATGGAGAGGATGCCTAGGGCGGCTTCATGGCGATAAGTGTGTAGCCCAGGCAAAGGATCTTCGTGTTGGACCTTGCTACTCTGATCTGAGCTTCTTCTCTTCTTCTCTGTCGACTTGAGAGGGGAACAAATAGATTTCGAGAAACTGACCATAGCTGCCTTGGAAAGGTCCAGGAAGATGGAGACAATTCAACGTGTGACTTCAGGATAAAGAGGATACTTGCATGGATTGGTGGAGCCGATGACGGGCTCTTCAATTTCAAACACCTGCCCATAGTTTATCTCGTTTGATCTGTCTCTCTGTTGAGGGGCACGGCTCTCGACACGCTACCCGGGTACGGAGGCAATGTGATGCCTACCTACCTAAGGTACTCTGCAGCCTGTGCGTAGATATTGGCATCGGTCGTCAATTCTGGAACAAGATGTGTTGTGACAAGCCAGTAATGCAGGCGCCTAATTTGATAAGGTGGGCAGCTGGAGACTTGATGGAGCAAGTAGGTGCAAGTAGGTAGTTAGGGGAGCAGGGCCCGTAGGGAGAGTAGCTTCTGATCACCTGGGTTCGCTATGGACCTGAATGAATTAGGATACTCCCGTGGTCACCCGGCAGGGCTGGATTCATGATAACTCGAGGTGCTTCCACACCGTTTCAATATTCCAGACAAGCCCAGAAGAATGATGTGTCCAGGCAGTTACCCAGTCGCCGCAAGCAGAAAGCTGGACACAATTTGCCGTATTTCAATGCTTGACCTAGCTTCGCAGGCCGGCGGCGAGGAACAGGCTTCAGCCTTGTCGAAAAGGGGTAACACGCCATGGCAATATCACGACAAAAGTATCACATCCAACGCTGTGCTCCAACATCCTGCCTGCCTCTCTACAATACCTGCATAGTACCTCAAGCCCACAAGCCTGTTACTGACACCTAACATTCTGCAAGTACTCGAGCACTTGCAGGGAAGCCGCGTGCATTTGTGTGTGTGTCTGGTCTTTGCGCTCAAGCACACAGCACACAGGACCCTGACACGTCCAACACGTTCTCCCGCACCACCCAGCAGCTCGAGCCCACATTTACCTAATTTAGCAATGCCTAGTATGCCCGCCGGTACCTGGTTGGGGCGGTTTCAGTGGAGACCAAACATGAAAAGGGGACCCGAGGCCGCCTGCAACTCGGCTGTGCTAAACCTGAGGCTGCTAGTACCTGGCACCACCGGTTTTGCGCCAACGGGCAGGTAAGTAAGTACCTGTCTAGAGGTACCTCCTTGACCAACCTCGAACTTGGTAAAGCAGTTCATTTTGAGTTGGCAATCTACATAAGGTAGTACCTAGGTCAAGTACAGCATCATGGGAAGACAAGGGAGGTACTTTGAGTTGTGCAGTTGTCGTCCCCTATTTGCTTCCCTAGGTAATTTAATATAAGTGCTTCACTTGGAACTTTGAGACCGTACCAGCCGCCGGGGGAAGCGGATGGATATGGATTATGGATACCTTAGGTATGGAGGAGAAACTGGAGACGCAAGAAGGAGAGATAGAGAAGCCAGGGCTGCCCCCTACCTACCTACCTTAGTTACCTCTCTACTGTAGTTACATCTACTGTGCATTCAATCCACCAACTAAATATTGCGAAGGGGGGTGCTTCTCAAAGGCCACAGGCAGTCAACTCCACTGTCTGCACTGTCTTCTGTGGTCCGAGAGTGTGCTATCCTCTTTTTTTTTGGCGCCAAAAGACAACCGTCCATCAATTTTCCTCACTCTTCCTCCATCCTGCAAGACGTTCTCTTTTCTGCCACCCCCCCTTCACATCCTCCTCTTCTTCCCCAAAACATCGAAACCACCTCCTCACACTACGAGGGTGGTAAGCATTTCCATAAGGGGGCTCCTTCGGTTTTTCTTCACTTTGCCGTGATTCCTCTGCTAGCCGTGCATTGTCTTTTTTTTATACCTCTCACCCCAGACGCGCCTCAATCGTCGTTGAGTGCGTGCGAAAGCTCCCAGGCTCGCTCGACCTCTGGCTCGATACAGACCATCCTGCACATCTTGGGGGCCCGTCTCTCACCACCCCCCCTTCGTCGTCGTCGACCATTCTCCCGAACGCTGCCCCTTTCCGTTGCCTGTATTATTACTGCAGCTTTCCGGGAAGCTTTGAGAGTCACTTCCCACCCGCTCAGCAACCTCTCACCTTTGGTTCGGTTTCCTGTCCCCGAGCTCCTGAAGTTCAAAATTCCCGCGGAACCCACCCGAACTCCTCGCAACCATGGCTGCTCAGCAAAATTCGCAGCCCAATATCGATCGCTACGTGGTTATCCACGTTGCAACCACCTGTGACGAACACGGGGTCTACGTGACCAAGGACTCGGCCGAGGTCATCGAGATTGGGTGGATCCTGCTGGACGCGAAGTCTCTGGACGAGGTGAGCTTGCATTGCACACCCGCCCCTTTACCCAGGCTTGAGAGCTTCGGCTGACCATGTCCAATCCCAGATCCACCGCGAGAGCGTTCTTGTCAAGCCCATCAACACTCCCATCACTCCTCTCTGCAGTAAGAACCCCCCCTATACCTGTCAATCCCCACGCGGGAGATGCAAGAAAGAGCCCCTGGGCAACTCTCGGCCCTTGGGCTCCTCACTAACAATCGCGCCCCCTCCAGCGAGCTTGACGACCCTGACCTGGGAACATGTACGAAATGCCGGCACCTTCCGTGATGCCATCAACCGCTTCGATGCCTTCGCCTCCGAGCACCTCACCTCGCAGAACCTCGACTTCGTCTTCGTCACCCTCGAGGCCTGGGACCTGCGTGTCCAGCTCCCACGGGAAGCCCGCGACAAGTCTGTAGTCCTTCCGCCGTACCTCCAGCACTCGCGGACCTTCGACCTCCGCACCGAGTATCAGCGCTGGCAGCAACACCACCCCGAATCCCTTCCTTTCGGACCTTCCTCCCTGGCCAATATTTGCGCCGCGCTCGAGGTTGAAGCCGTGCAGTCCAGCGCCCCCATCAAGCACAACCTTCCCTTCCACCTGCAAGCCCTCGCTCCGGCGTCTCCTCGCCGTGCGATGGAGGAGGCTGTCACTCTTGCCCGAGTGCTCCGCGGCCTCATCCGCAAGTCCCAGCCTCCACACGAGCACCCCGACGTTCTCACCCGACCCATGGATGCTCGCGCTGATGTCCGCGCCTTCCTCTCCGAGCGCAGCAAGGTTCTGCATATGTCTGGCCTTCCGCACGACACCACACAGTCCGAGCTCGAAAGTTGGTTCACCCAATTCGGCGGCCGGCCTATCGCCTTTTGGACACTTCGTACGCCCGAGCAACACAAACCGACCGGTACTGGGTTTGCCGTCTTCTCTTCCCACGAAGAGGTGAGTCTCCTGTTTTTGAAGGTTTCTATTGCGTTTCCCCCACTATCGCGAACCGTACCCCTTGCTCGACTTTTGGCTTTGAATCTTGAAGCGCTGTGCTTTGTGTGGATTGAGATTCCAGTACTCTGCGACTTGTATGCTCAGCACGTCATTTGTATTCATAATTTTCTTGTCTCCAGCACTACTGCATACTCCAGTGACTGACTGATTCTGTTTCTTCAAGGCTGCCGAAAGCCTTTGCATGAACGGCCGCGCTCTGAACGAGAAGGCCATCGAGGTCTCCCCATCATCTAGCCGCGTTCTCGACCGGGCAGCAGAGATCCTGACACCGTTCCCGCCGAGCAAGAATCGTCCCCGACCGGGTGACTGGACCTGCCCTTCGTGCGGTTTCTCCAACTTCCAGCGGCGTACCGCTTGTTTCCGGTGTTCCTTCCCCGCCGTCAGTGCTAATGCCGCTGGCGAGATGGGTGGTTATGGATATGGCTACGGCCCACCGACCATGATGCCACCGCCTCAGCATGGCGGCCACCACGGGCACATGGGACATGGCGGTCGCATGGGCGGAAGTGGCGTGGTGCCCTTCCGAGCCGGCGACTGGAAGTGCGGCAACGAGGTGTGCGGATACCACAACTTTGCCAAGAACGTGTGCTGTCTCCGATGCGGTGCCAGTCGCGCTGGTGCCGCTGTTGTGGCTGACTCGGGCTATCCCTCGCCCATGGATCCTCCAGCTGCTTACAACATGAACCAAGGTTCTATGGCTGGTACACCTGGTCCCGGGCCTGGTCCTTTCGCCTCCGCCGGTGGTCCGTTTGCCTCTGGAGGAGGCTACGGTCAGCAGTTCGGCGCCCCCCCCAGCACCTACGCTCTGCCCTCAGGTCTTGCCGGTGGCGCTGCGCCCTATCCGTCGCTGAACACGCATTTTGGGCCGGCACCGGGTTCCCACTCCGCTGGCCCTTTTGACAGCCGTGCCGCCGAAGCCGCATTCCAATCGGCTACTAACGGGCCTGCTTCTGCTGGCCCGTCCAACAACTTCTACTCGCAGAATGAAAATGACCCATTCGCCTTCCTGTCATCCGGGATTGGAAGTCTCTCTGTCAGCAGCGGTGACGCTCGACAGAACGGCGGGGCCGCGCCTCCTAGCAAGTCGCCGGCCTAAACTTATGTACAACCAACCATCAACAACCTGGGGCAGTCGACGCTGTGTGATCATCATACTACAATGGTCTGATCGCTTTCTGTGTGACTATTTTCGACCACAATTTCCTTTGGACTCAGAACATAGAGCATTCGAACCTTGGCAGGAGCTTGTGGTGTTTATATTGTCGATATACGGGTGGTCCCCACAGCGAGAAAAGCAAGGTGCAAAAACGGTGCGGAAAGGCAGATGGCGGGGAACGGCTTTGGCCCGATCTGCTGAAATCTACAGGGCTGGTGAGAGCAAGGATTCTTGTGCTCAAGGGGTACCAAGGGGTGGAGTTTTTCGTTTCCTTTCCACATGTTGACACTCTCAAATGTCAATGGCAAACGGAAGGGCAGGCTGGTATTGGAAGTCATACCTTATCTACGGGGCAGTGCCATCCTGTCCTACATCTTTGGGGGGATCTTCTCGGAAGAGGGCATGACAGTGTGGCCAAAGCCAGAAGGGCGTGCATAGCGAAGGGGTGAACAAAAGGGATATATATCGCGGCCTTGTTACTCGGACTTGCCCAAAAAGACCTTTATTTCTCGGTGCTTCCTGTTTCTGGTCCTTTTTTATTTTATTTTTGTTCTTTCTCATCACTCTCATCTCTTGTCTTTCCTTTTATGTTTTCTCTTTGTCTTCTCTCATTTCATTGTTTCCCCCTTTCCCCAAAGAATTTGCAACGTATACATTCTCATCATTGTGTTACTGTGGGTTCAAGGAACAAAAAGTAGCTGTCAACTTAGCTGGGGCGGTGGAGTCTGCTGGATGGGCTTTTCTGGGGGAGTCGGGGGGTTTGTCTCGTGGGTAGGAAAGGGACAGTCAGATCTTTCAGTGGCAGCAATGCTCAGAAACTGACTTTGTCCCATTTTCGCCTCCTGATCTGATGCATTTCACTGCTATACCGGGATTGAGATTGGAGGTGCAAGACCGCACACACTGATTGTGTGTGTGTGGCCTTGATACAACGACCCCCGCCTCAAATTGCTCGTATAGAAAGAAACTTTTAATTTACTATTTCAGCATCTCTAAACATTGATCTTTGAGTATCTTCGATGTGGATGTCAGCTCGGGAAGTGTGCCCATTCCCTTAGTGTTGGAAACAATGGGCTCTATCTCGTGATCGAGGAAAGGACGAGGACCACTCCTGGGTATCTTGACAGAAACAAAAGTGGCTTCTAATATCGTCGGAAGTCGTTGAAAAATACATATTTCTCCATCTTCTCCATCTCCAAAACAGCGCTGGGCTGCAAGCTCGGCTCATCGAGAAGCTCGTCTCCAAGCCATTCGGTGAGGCTGTCGTCGTCGTCGTAGTCATCGACGTCGACATCACCTTCGTTGCCTTCCTCAGTATCCTCATCCATGTCCTCATCTATGTCTTGATGGCCGTCGTCGTCCTCCACCCCGTCGTCCTCATCATCACCGTCCTCACCATCAGCAGCGTCATCTTGATAAGACTGCTTCACTTCTCTGTATACATCTTCCCACCCCTCCTTGTTGTCTAGGTTTTCGTTATACGGCCCCTCCAGTGAGACCTCGGCCATCCTCTGATCTTCTACATGAAGCCTTCGGGTGATCTCGTCAACACACTGGTCGACGAGCGCCTGCTCACGCGGTTTGAGCTGAATCTTGGACGCGGGTTTCAGGTTATTGGAATCCGTTTGCCAGATTCGAGAGGGGAAAGCCATGCTTGGGTTGAAGAGACGATCATTCACGGTGCCGATACCAGACAAGTCTACATCAGTCGATGCCACAGACTCATCTTCCTCGCTGTCATCCTCAGAACTGTCGAACTCGGAGTAGTGCTCCCAGGCCTGTAGCGCTAGCTGCTCGTCCTGCTGCGCTTCAAACACGGCCCTCTTCTCCTCGACGCTGAGCTCGTTCCAGCGCCGTTTGAACGAGTGCCAAGGCTGCCACTCCCACTGCTCAAAGGGCACGTTGCCACACCGGTCGAGCAGCCCCTTGCCGGCGGGCGGCAGCTCGTCGTCGCTCATGTACATCTCGTCGACGCTGGGGACGAGGTTCAGGCCCGTCCGACAGTCGAGGTGCCCCCACATGGCCATGTACCACAGGTGGTCGTCGAGCCGCAGGCCGCGCCGCGCGGCCTCGACGGGCAGGAGCTCGTCCAGGCGCAGCAGGTGGGCCTCGCCGGCGCCCCAGCCCTCGGTGTGGCCCTTGCCGACCTCGTCAAAGGGCACGCCGAGCATGGGCAGCTCGGCCTCGTGGAACCACTCGTCGTCGACCTCGACGTCGTACCGCACGCGCATCTGCACGACGCGCTGCGGGTCGAGCGCCTCGGGCACGCGGCCCTCGCGCACGCCGGCCAGGGTGTCGCCGCGCAGCATGCGCCAGAGCAGGGTCATGCCGCCGCGCTGGGCGAGCACGAGGCGCGAGAGGAGCTCCTGGCGCGGGCCGTACACGGGGTCGCTGAAGCGCATGTTGAGCTTGGTCAGGAAGAGCTGGCCGTTGTAGATGTCGGCCTCGGAGAAGAGGGTGTCGCAGTGGAAGAGGTCGAGCCGCCCGTTGCTCGTGGCGCAGTCGAGCACGAGCCAGAGCCGGAGGAGGGTGCCGTGCGCGCCCCGCGGCGTGCGGTGGCCGTTGCGCGCCAGGCAGGCGAGGATGTCGCGCGCGCGCCGGCTGCGGCGGAAGACCATGGCGTACCACCGCAGGGAGGGCGCCATGCGCGTCCTGGTGACCTCGCCGCCGCCGCCGGGCTTGGTCTCGACGACGACGCGGCCCATGGGGTCCGGGACCGACATGCTGGGGTAGAGGGAGCAGGGGAAGACGCGGGCCGCCTCGGGGCACGCGTGGCTCGTCCACTGGGCGATGCTGGCCGTGAGGTAGCTGTCGATGGTGGCGTGGCAGACCTTGCTGATGGCGTAGACGTTGACGATGTCGGCCGGGTTCAGGTGCTTGCACATCTCGACGAGGAGGATCGTGTTGGAGCCCATGGAGCTGATGAGGTCGAAGGCGACGCGGCGCTCCCGCTTCCGGGGCGCGTCGTCCATGATCAAGGCGTGCATGAGGGTCTCGAGCCTCGACAGGCCCGTGTGCTGGCCGGCGGCGGCCCGCTCTACGATCTCGTCCACGTCGACGTCGTCCTCGCCCTCTTCATCCTCGTCGTAGAACTTGGTGTAGGCCTGCGCATCCTGGCCGCGGCAGATCTTCTTGAGCGGCGGCGGCGCGGGCTCGTTGATGGAGCGGCGCACCTCAGCTATATCGGGTTCGACGCCAAGTTGCAGGAGCTGGGCCTCGGTCAGAGCCGCCGCGCGCCTCCTCGTGTCCTCCTCGCGCGCTCTCCACACTTCCAGAAAGTGCTCTGCCGATATGGAGCCGTCGGGCTCCCTGGGAACGTCGGAGAACTCTTCCTCGGCAAGATCGTCGAGAGTTTTGACAGCTCGTCGGTTCAGGGGCCGTTGGCTGGGAGGGGGGATTCCTTCGGCGCCTGCTGTCGAGGGGTGCGCTGGTTGGCTCGCCATGCTGATCTGGCGAAACTATTTTCGATAGAGGCGAGATAGGAACTCTGAGGTGGTGAGAAGAAAATGAGGAGGTTTTGATGTGATGACGATGGGTTGGTGGAGGTCGGAAGCGGAATCATCGAAATAAATATAGCAAGGACAAAGCTGCAGTGCAAAAGGGACTTCAGGCCACGGCCAGCCTATTGTGGGCGATGAATAGAAGAACGCTTTGTCAACTCGGTGACTGTTTATGGGTGAACCGAAGCTGGAGGAAGGAAATTCGTTATTCACTTTGGTATTACTTTTAGTACCACTTCTGCAAGATGAGACCAACCACCCTGCTGTTTTCATGATAAAACACGGCAAACTTGTCTAATTTCAGGAACCCTCATTTAGCTCCTGCGCAAGAAGCAGGGCAGGCATGTAGCATGTATCGTTACAGGAGATCCTGATGACCTCAAAGGAGACCGAATAGCAAAATAAGCAAACCGGAATCGAATAAACCCCCCCATTTTGACGCCAGCATAGCCTTGACGGGTCTAGACAACTCACCAAGGATTGTCTCAACAGCCATGATATAAGAACTTCCTGAGGCCCCTGCCCGCCGAGTAGGCATGATCGTGCCGATCAGGACCCCTAAGATTCAATAACTGACTCCAAATCGGCATCAACAACCTCTGGACAGCTCGACGAGCTCTGGGGCGTCATCAAGCCATATGTCCCTCCCCGCTTCTATCGGTTCAACTCATCGACTGGCAAATCGTCTTCATCTCGTCCGACGATAGCATCAGCAACCTTCCAGATCTGCAGGAGGTTGTCTTCTGCGGCGCTGCAGAGCAGCCAAGGATCATTAATGTTCCAGCTGAAGTCCGCCAAGTGATTGGTGTGGCCACCATGCATGAAGAGGCTGTACACGCCGCGTGTTAGTCGACCACCAAATCGCTGGCTAGTGGATCTCAGTCGGGAGTGAACTTACAGCTCGGGGGGGCCATCCTCCTGGTCCTCGGGCATCTGCTCCTCGCCTACCCGGCTTAGGTCCCAGAAAATGATACGTCGATCGTAACTGCCACTGCCCAGAATAGAGGCTTCCGAAGGATGCCACGACAGCGAGGTGACCGCATCGTTGTGGCCCTCGAGGGTGTGAACTTTCTCCTTGACGCATCGCAGGTCCCAGATGCCAATCGTCTTGTCGGCCGAGGCCGTCGCAACGAGGAACTCCGAGGCGGGATTGAATGCAAGCGAGTTGATGGCGTCGCTGTGTCCATTCCTTGCTACCAATGCAGCCTGATCGTTGGCTTGTTGCCGGACGTCGAGGATCTGGAGGGTCAGATCATCGGATACGGAGCCAATGAGGCTCTTGGCAATGGGGTGATACTGGACGTCGTTGACAATCTGGTTGTGGTGTGTATATCTTCGCGCGGGCTTCAGAGTGTGGCTGCCGCTGGAGATCGTCTTGATGTCCCTGGACATGCTCTGTGATCAGTGACTGGCCCTGTGATATGTGGCGGATCAGAAGCGCAGAAGCGTCGAAACTCACCAGAGGCAGACGGTCTGGTCCTCACTACCAGAAGCCAAGCAGCCGGCTTCATGCGGGTTCCAGGCTAGACCGAACCCTTCCTGATCGTGGCCAACAAGTTCGATCTGGGGGTTGACAGTACCCGCAGGTTGAAGGCTGTGCTTGGTCCGGTCGAAGATGAGAATCTTGCCATCGACGCAGAGGGTGGCAATGATGTCTGGGTTCTGGGGCTGATATCTCGCCTTGTTGACCTCCTGGGGGTGGTCGATTTTCTGCACAATTTTGAAGCGAATGGCAGCGACGTCGCCCGTAGAAGCCTTGCTTCCGTACCCACCAATCTCGCCGCGCTCCTCGTCATAATCATTTGGGTTGGGGTCGACTGCTTTGGGAATCTCTACTTCAGCAATCTGGAGATAGTTGGGGCGGCCTTCCGAGGTGTGAGTCCCGATCAGGAGACGGTGGATGCGGTAGTTCTTGTCTTCGGGGGCTTTGACATCGGGGAACCACTGGGTGGTCAAGGTCGGCCATTCGAGGGCAGTGCTACCAAGTCGTGAGCCAAGGACCGACACCTGGAGATTTCGAGGATGCACTATGCTAGACTAACCTCAGAATCATGTCGTAAAGAAATGGGCTGTTCTTTTTCCAAGTCTTGTACTCTAATGAGCGTTGGGAGGTCAGTGGCGCTCAACGAGATTGACATCCAATGGACACGCTGCTCACCCTCATTGATCAGCCTCTGTTCCTGATCCACGTCGTCTTCGTGCTCCATGTCGACTGTAAAGGCTTGGTCAGAATTTGAATGCAAACCAGCTAGCTCTCGGCAAGGGCGCCGCTCTCATGGGAACTTTACCATCGACATCATCCACCACCTGAGCTGGTGCCATGGTTGATGATTGAGATGCGCCGGAGACTGCCAAATGGCTGAAAATAGGACGAGGTGTTGAAACGAGATTGGGTGTCTAGGAAAACCACAGCTGGGGCTCTGAAAGTTTGCGCGATTTGGGACTGCGCAGCTGTTGAATTGAGTTGATTGATTAATAGGTGTTTGCCGCGGACGGGGTTGGGAGTGAGGGCGATAGCTCAGAATTAGAGCGCCGGCCCAGACGCGACAAGACCGCGTTAAGTGGTGCGAAGCGGTGAAAAGAGGCAGAAAGGTGCTGGACGAGTATCTGTAGGTAGGTACTTGTAGTTAGGTGGTGGGCTGTGTGGGTGAAAATCGATTTGATTGGCTTTCCTATCAGAAATCCCTGCTGCCCTCAAGCAAGCGAGAGCCTCAGGTACCTCCAAGTGCTCGTGCCCCACAACTACAGTGCTTGTGGTTTCCAGCAGCCCCCGCACAGCCGCCGACCTTGCGCTGACCAGGCCATGCCAACCTTGAAGCCAGTCGATCCGCTCGCGATCTCTTCCACCTTACCTCCACCTCACGTTCGATCCGCAATCCGCATCGCAAGATCAGCCTTACCACCACCTTCTCCTCCTGCCACCCTGCAGGCTTGGTATCGGACAAGAATCAGAATGGCTGCTTGAGCAACTCACCTTTTTGAATCACCTCACCCGCCTCGTTCTGATCGCCTCATACTCTGCTCTCTGATCCATCCCTTGCAGAAAGGAAATTCGCATTTTTGGCTTTGTCAAATTCTTCGTTGGCATCGCATAGTTTGTTTGCTGTTGTGTTACTACCCTGAATTCCTACAGTCGCACTCGAGGCCATTATTTATCAGAGCCTGAGCGACCACCTTTTCTAGTGTGATTCATCTCTTTTCAACTCTCTTCTTCGCCGTTCTTCCGGTCGCGATCGCGCGCGCAATTCGAGCATTCGATTCCGCCTCCATTTCGTTTCTTAGCATACAAGTCATATGCGCCAGAGAGACATACAGCCAACATGGGTGTTCCTAAGTTCTTCAGGTGGCTCTCTGAGCGCTACCCGGCCATCTCCCAGTTGATTGCCGAGAATCGCATTCCCGAGTTCGACTGCCTTTACCTTGATATGAATGGCATCATTCATAACTGCACCCACAAAGACTCCGACGATGCCATGTTTCGCATGACAGAAGATGAGATGTTCATCCGTATCTTCAACTACATCGAGCATTTGTTTGGCAAAATCAAACCCAAACAGCTTTTCTTTATGGCCATCGATGGTGTCGCTCCCCGCGCCAAGATGAACCAGCAGCGTGCCCGGCGGTTCAGGACCGCTCTGGATGCCGAAAAGGCCAGGGAGAAGGCCCTGCGAGACGGCCTCGAGCTTCCCAAGGAGGAGCCATTCGACAGCAACTGCATCACCCCCGGCACCGAGTTCATGGCTAAACTCTCCACCCAGCTGCGTTATTTCGTCAACAAGAAGATCTCCCAGGACAAGGAGTGGCAACAATGTGAAATTGTCCTTTCTGGCCACGAGGTCCCTGGCGAGGGCGAACACAAGATCATGGAATACATCCGCAACGCCAAGGCTCAGCCAAACTACAACCCCAACGTGCGCCACTGCTTGTACGGACTTGACGCCGACCTGATCATGCTCGGTCTGCTCAGCCATGATCCCCATTTCTGTCTCCTTCGAGAAGAGGTTACCTTCGGTCGGCCTTCCAAGACAAAGTCCAAGGAGCTGGAACACCAGAATTTCTATCTCTTGCATTTGTGCATCGTAAGGGAATACCTCGAGCTCGAATTCCAGGAGCTCAAGGAGGAGGGCGTCATGGACTTCCCCTTCGACATGGAGCGTATCATCGATGACTTCATCCTCATGGCATTCTTTGTGGGCAATGACTTCTTGCCCAACCTACCCCACCTGCACATTAACGAGGGGGCCCTTGCCACCATGTTTAACATCTACAAGCGCACGTTGCCCAAGTGTGAGGGATATATCAACGAAGGCGGAACAGTCAATCTCAGAAGACTAGGCCTTTTGTTGGATGAACTGTCCAAGGAGGAATACCGCTTCTTCGAGCACGAGGCCGAGGACGAGAAATGGTTTAGGTCCAAGCAGATGAGCCTCCTCAGAGAAGGGGCAGCCGAGAAAGTCCGATCCAAGGGAAAACTCGTTGTCACCTCGGCCCAGAAGGAGCTCTGGAAGCACAAGATTCGCAAGTTCCTCAGCAAGCGCACCTCTGAGACTCTGGACCTGGGCTCCGGCCTCAATGCTGCGGATCGCAAGTTCGTCCAAGATCTTGCGGATGCAGTCAACGTTACATGGTCTACAAAGGAGGAGGGAGATGGTGAACGTCATCTTGTGCTGACTTTCCCCCCAATTCCTGGTCAAGACGGTGTTGAGGGTGCAGACGGGGAAGAAGACGACGACGACGATGAAGAAGCTCACATGGCTCTTTATCGTGTGATGAGGAAGTACGACAATGCAGATGTAGTCGATCTGACGCCGGAAGACGCCAAAGCCCAGCTCGAAACTCTCTATCAGCAAAAGTTCCAGGAGTGGAAAGACAAATACTATGCTGAGAAGTTCGAAGATTGGACCCCTCAAAACAAAGAAGAAGAGCTCAAAAAGCTTTGCGAGAACTACGTTCAAGGCCTCCAGTGGGTGCTATACTACTATTACCGCGGCATCGCATCCTGGCCCTGGTTCTACCAATACCACTACTCCCCTTTAATTGGAGATGTCGTCAAGGGCCTCAATGCGGATCTCAACTTCAAGATGGGCCAACCTTTCAAGCCGTTTGAGCAGCTCATGGGCGTCTTGCCTGACCGCAGCAAAAAGATTGTTCCCGAGGTGTATTGGGAGCTTATGACAGATTCGGCCTCGCCCATTGTCGACTTCTACCCGCGCGACTTTGAGCTGGATATGAATGGCAAGAAGATGGACTGGGAAGCCGTTGTCAAGATTCCCTTCATCGATGAAAAGCGACTCCTCGACGCAATGGCTCCAAAGAACCAACTACTCTCACCAGATGAGAAGGCTCGCAACGACTTCAGCCTGCCGCTCAAATTTACCTACAGTCCCGAGGTCGACTTTACGTACCCTTCATCGCTGGTGGGCATCTTCCCGGATATCCAGAACTGCCACTGTGTCACAAACTTCTTCGATCTCCCGCCCACAGACGGTCTAGAGTTTCTTCACGGGCTGACAGACGGCGCTCTTCTCAATGTCTCGGCTTTGGCGGGCTTCCCAAGCTTGGCAACCTTGCCGTACACGGCTTCTTTGAGTTTCCACGGAGTTAATGTCTTCCAGCAAGATAGCCGAAACCAGAGCATGATTGTCACCCTCTCCGATACCGAAGCGAGAACCCAAGTGAGCGCGACCACCGTGAAACTCGGCCAGCGTTGTCACGTAGGCTACCCGTTTCTGCAAGAGGCCAAGATCGTGCGCGTATCCGATGAGCTGTTTGACTATACCCTCGATGCGCATGGTCATGTCGAACAGAAACCACATAGCCCGAAGGAGACTGAGCAATGGCAGTCCAAGGCCTCGCGTATCGAGAGTTTCTACAGCAAGCGTCTCGGGATTCTGATTGGAACCGTCGAGTCTATGGTTCATGTCCAGATGCTGAAGGGCCTCATCAAGACAGACGAAGGCGCGACGGTCAAAGAATACGACGAGATACCGGGTGTTGAGACGGACTATGCAGCTCAGGTCGTCGTGGACGAGGTTGTTAACGAGGATCAACGCTTCATTGAACGAGCCGCACTACCAGTCGAGGAGGAGTTCCCCCTCGGAACACATGCCTTCTTCCTAGGAGACATGGCGTATGGCCGCCCCCTTGAAGTCATTGGACACGCGAATAACAGGGTCCACACTCTGGTTTCTATCATCAAGTCTAGGGAGCCCGACTTCGCTCGTTCGATTGTTCACAAGGCCGAGCGGGAAAATCGGTACACTCCTTCCTACGCGGTCGCTAAAATGCTCGACATGCATCCACTGGCGCTCAGCAAGGTTACGTCTTCGTTCTACGTTTTCACCCTTGGCGGATCCCTGAAGGTCAACCTAGGTCTCAACCTCAAGTTCGAAGCCAAGAAGCAGAAAGTCCTGGGTTACTCGCGCAAATCGCAGACCGGATGGGAGTTTAGCCCTGCCGCGATAACGCTCCTGACCAACTATATGGTCAAATTCCCTGACTTCTTCGCCGCCCTGAAGAAGGTGCCATCTGGGGCCGAGATCCAAGACACTGACCTGTGGCCAGATGCCACCACTGCTGCTGCCAGGGTCAAGGAGATCGGCGCTTACCTCAAGACGGTCGAGACGAGCAAGTTCGAGCGCGTGCCTCTCGATGCTGAACAGCTCGATTCAAACGTGGTGATGCAACTTGCAGATGCTGCAGACAAGGCACAGCTCAACATACCGGTAGCCGAAGCAAAGAGGATTAACAACCTCCCTCGCAACGCATTGATGAAGCCGTCTGACGCAGAGCACCGCCTCGGCAACCAGCGCTTTGCTCTGGGCGACCGTGTCATCTACGTCCAGGACTCGGGCAAGGTGCCCATTGCCCTCCGCGGCACCGTGGTAGGAATCAGCCGCACCGCGACTGCCAAGTTGCTCGACGTCGTCTTTGACATTACGTTCATGAGTGGAACTACCTTGAATGATCGCTGTCCCGCCTTTCGTGGCCAGACTGTGCCTGCGTCCTCGGTGTTGAACCTCAGCTACCGACAGGTCATTGCGGGATCGAAAGCGAATACCGAACGTCGACCTGCGCCTGCCAGCGGGTTTGCAGCAGGTGGTATGCAGCAGTATCGGGATGCGCCGGCCCCGGGCCCGCTCCATGGTTCGTGGAAAGGAGCGATTGATGGTGCCAATCGTGGAAGGGGTCACCACTCGCCCCAACCTGGACCCCGTGCAGGGTCTCACATCCAGCACAGTAGCCTTGTGTATAGGAATGCTCCTCATCAGTCTTCACAGCAGAACGGCCATAGTCAAGCGAATGGTGTGAACGGGCACAACTCGCGCGGAAGAGGAGGACGTGGTCGCGGACGTGGAGGGCAACTCCCCTCTGGTACCAATGGGGTCTCGGCAGAGGGAGCACCGGCTCCTGCTGGCCAGCAGTCTTTCAATGCAGTGCCCCCGCCCGCGAACCTAGATTCTCGAGGCGGCCGAGGCCGCGGACGTGGACGTGGCGGTGCCCGCGGCCGGGGTGGCCCACGAGGTGGCCGAGGTGGCCAGACTGGCCAGGCTGGACAGTCCTAGATATGTCATCTTTAGACCTCCATCCAGCTCTCGCCCTTTCGTGCCGTCAGAGATTCTTGACGTCTGGATCTAGCCAGTTCTGAACCACCACTTGTACCGATAAGAGATGCGATATATGGTTCGCGATCTCAGCAGGCGTCTGTTAAGATGGATAGACCAGGATATACCCTTGGTGTGGGGGGGGGGGGGTAGTGTCTACACGCAAGATATCAAAAGCTTTTTGTAGACAAATCGCCTGGGAAAACATAGAAGGGACGGTGTCATGACAATACAAATACATTCATTCTCGTGTGTCTTCTCAACTCCGTTGTGTAGTGTTATGGAAAGTAAACAGCCTAGCTATTGCCTAAGTCACACATACTGCACGGGTGCTGCACAGATCCAGAAGGTATATAGTAAATGCCATCTTGGGCTCTACGATGGCTGCGACATCTACGCTTTTTGGCCCTCCTTCTTCTTCAGAGCCGGCAACGCAAATTTCTTGCTCACGCCACCCTTGAGACGCTCCCAGAGCCCGTAATCGCGATCTTGGTTCCACGTAAGGATACCGACCCAGGGCTGCACGTTGTAGTGTAGCCTGAGGGTCACATCCTTGGCTTCGGCGATGCGCCCGCTCGGGTGCGTGATTTGGTATTTTGGCTTTTGGTTCTTCAAGCGCAGCAGGCCCCTGTCCACAGGTATGTTGTCAGATGTAGCTGTACTCCTTGCACCCACACACACACACACACACCACGCAGGCGGGTGCGCCCACAGACACGGTCCACTTACCGGCTAGGGTCAATGCTCTTGCCCTCGGCACTCTTGCGCAGCTTCTTCATGGCGATAGGGCCGATGTTCTGGAGGTGGTCGGCGCTGGGGCTCGTAATGATGGTGTCCCAGATGACGGCCTGGTTGGTCGCATTACTGCTCGGAGAGGAGGCATGGCCAGGCTGAACAGAGGGCCACTCGGCTGTCACGTATACAAACACCTGCTTTGTACTGAGTGGCGGTCAGTATCTGCTTGTGCGTGTCGGAGCTGCCAAAAAAAGAGAGGTTCCAGGATGACTTGCTTCCAATTGAAGAGGGTCGAGAGATCAGCATCGAGACTGAACTTGATCTAGAGCGGGGGGGGTTAGCATGCTGGATCAGCTAGGCGACGGTGATTATGTACTTGCAATCGCGTATTCCTCCTTCTTGGAGCTATAGTAATGTGGGCGGCCGCGGACTCTGTGAAAAGAGAGGACATCAGCACCCGACGATCACAACGGACAGAGAGCTGTGCGCTGAACGTACACCTGGACATTTGTAGTCTTGATGGTCCCTACGCTGGGGGTACGCGGGGCTATGAGATCGGAGAGGGCAATGACGAGGGCGAGAAAGCCAGCAACAGTGGTGAAGAAGCCGAACGTGTTTTGCGCCCTGACCAGAGAGCTATACATGATGGTCGAGTTGAGGGCGCGCAGAGCAGCCCAAGAGGCTCTTGTTTTTGGTGACGTCGACCTGGCGCCGAGAGCTTGCAGCGCGTTCTCAAATATCCGTACTGTGAGTTCTATGTCTGCAAAAGTTTGCGGAACCTCACATCGCTTGCGGAGCGGTCGCGGGAGTGAAATACTTTGGAGAGACCCGGTTGTGATGGTTGATCGATGCGATGTGAGGCCACGTTTAGTACCTTGGTGGTAGCTAGGTACCTTCGTTATGGAGGACCATGCACAATGGAATTGCGATAAGATAAGGCAGCACTCCATACGTGTGTGAGCCACGACATTGGCCAATCACTCGTACCTGGTGTTCCTTCACTACATTACTAAGTACCCTAGAGAATCTGTATCTTGGGCATAAGAATGTTCATCATTTCTATCAACAATACCAAGGCATTGTTTGTTTGTACTCTTCATTACGGTGATATTCATTACATGGCATGTTTTACCGGATCGCTCTATTGTCAATGACGTTCACGCAATGCGCCTCCATGTTCCTCCTTGACCCATCCAATCCCAAAACATGACTCTCATAAGCTCATGCATGTCTCGCCTCCTTGCCAGGCTGTCATTTACTGGCCGGTGGCGATGGCGTCTCGGCAACGATCGTCTCGTCCGATGGGCCCTGGCCTGTCTTTGCCTTTCTCTCCGCCAGCAAACTGCTTGAACTCCCTTCCGCCCCAAGTGCGGCCGCTTCTGGCTTCAGTAGATCTTTGTCCTTGCCAGCCTGCTCTTCCCCCACCCGTACCGCAATGGTTTCGTCCGAGATAGCTCGTTCGCCTATCTGGGGTTCCTCCAAGTGTTGGTTGTTGCTCTGCGGTGCTGGTTCTGCTTCCGCTGGAGGAGCTGTCGCGGCCGCAGGCTCACCGTTTCTGTTACCCTCCGTTGCCTCGCCTGACACGTCTGCTGCTACCGGCTCGACTTCGCGGCCCTGGGGATCCGAGACAACCACCTGCTCCAACGGTGCCGTGGCCGGTTCAGGGACAGCGCGCAGCCTGCTGTCTAGTTTCAGGACCTGACGGGCAAGGCCCCTAACACCGGCAGTCAAGACCTCGGGCCTTTCCCACGCAAGAAGGCCGGCTCGGCCAGGAACCCGCTGGGTGAATGCCACATTGTATCTTGCATTTGCCCAAGCCGGACAGACATAGTGCTCCTTCGCCACACCGGGAATCGGTACGTGTGATGCCACTGTCGAAGGAGCGTCCTCTGCACCAGCGTCGGGAGAAGCAGCTGACGCGCTCTCTCCAAGGAATACGGTGATCGCCACCTTTGGTCTACCCATCTTCCTCGACTTCGCGCCCTGCTCGTCATCCCAACGGTGCTCCGCGCAGGAGGCCCAGAACCGCATGGCATACTCTGGCCCAGGGAGCCACGCTAATTGCGTGGTATTGATAATTTGCTCTGGCGTAAATTGAGCCTCCAGGCTCAGCAGCCTTAGACCTTTCATCACGTAAAGCAACAGCCCAGTTGGTGAGTCGCAGAGCGCATATGCGAGGGTGTTGGGCTCACGCAGACCGAACTGGTTGAGCCCAAAGGCGGCGGGCGACGTTGCCTTCGACCTGCGCATGCTGCCTGAGGGCGATGCGCCAGGCGTCGAGGCTAGCCGGTCGAGAGCCGTGAAGTCGTCGTCGGAATAACCCAGTATGCCCGTGTGCAAGAGGCTGGCGAGCGACCATTTCGTCCACTCCCACGGGTCCTCCTGCATCCTGGGCGATGCGAGGGGCGGCGACACGAAATGAGCACCCACGCAAGAAGAAGAATAGCGAGTCGCAAGGTAGTTGATCAGTCGCCAGTCGATCTCGGCTGGCGAAGCTGACGCGGCGCTGGCGTTTGTGGCCAGATAGTGAGGATAAGAGAGGCGAGTCATCACGGTGTTGAGCATCTCGGCGGTCGCAGAGATGACTGGCACATTGTTGGGGAATGCATCGGAGAACCCGAGTCCCGGGAGTGACGGAATCACGAGATGGAAAGGCTGGGTCGTGGCAACGTCTTCGGGATCCGTGAAGGGTTTGACAAGGTGCCCAAAGGACAAGTTTGTCAAGGGAAAGGAGGGTATCAGAAGAAGGGGAACCGCGGTCTTGTGTGGTGAACGGAAATGGACGAAATGGATCCTCAAGGGTGTCTCGGATCCGGGGATAGAGATGGCTGTACGAAACTGCGGTATCCGATTGAGCACTTCCTCCTGCTCCCGCCACGAATACTTCTCCAACCTGTTTCACGACGGAACAAGAACATGGCTGTCAGCCTAGCTCACCCAGGCCAGACCAGTGGCTGGTCAGGGCTACGACTCACCAGAAATCAATCAGAGGCTCGACCTGGGGTTTGGGCTCCCACCAGTCCTCCGACTTGGGCTCTGACGCCTCATGAGGCAGTCTGGTGAGCTCGAGCTTCTGTCTCGTGAGCTCGAGATACTTGGTTGAGACCTAGAGAGAGCGACGCGACACGGGCGCGCATCAGCCACACGTTCAAGCCGCAAAGGAAGCCGTGCCAGCGGGAGATCGCCACCGGAAAAAACCTACATGGATTTTGTACGGCTTGACTTCGTCACCGGCCACTGCAGCGCTGTTCCTTGCCGCGGCGTTTATCTCATCAGCCATGTCTGCCAGACTTTGTTCGTGGCCGCCGCTGTCCAAAGTAATAATCGACCAGAAGGAAAAGAACCATGAGCCACCACATGTGAAAAATTGACCACTTAGTTCAAAGGCGCCGCCCTTCCCCTGCAAGAGGGGGATCCGGCCTGATAATAAAAGTCAATAAACACGTCAGTCAAGCCGCAATCTCTCAGCCAAGAGACATAATTCATGCAAATGACAGACCGGGTCGGTCATCCTTGTACTTGTATAAGCTACTCCGTACACACACGACACAGGCACTCCTCACACCTCTCCACCCCACCCTACCTACTCGCCGCCAAACAAATGAAAAACTTGGTTTGCCCGAAGGTCGTGGCTTGCCGCCTAGAGAAAGAGTTCTCGCCCTCTTTGTCACGGCTTGCACGGCATGCACTTCGTGCTATTCGTCGCTCGTAGAATGGGCGTGTGTGGCTCTTAGCGGACGAAAGTGGAGGGTGTGGCTGCCAACCTGCAAGGAGGGCCAAGTAAAGCAGGTTTTGGCAGGTTTCTGGGCGTGATCTGGACCCTGGATCGACCCTGAAACAGTGGCGGTGCGTGTCGGGGCCCACACCGCGGTCCTGGGGCGGGCATGTCTCCGTGCTGCTTCGGAAATGATCTGCAAGGATCTGACCCGAATGTGGAAGCCTTGTTGTTCCCTTTTCTGCTTCTCGAACCATACAAGTACGTGTGAAGTACCTTGGTACCATGGCTGCATGGCTAGCACTGGGCTGCAGACCGACGTGCGACGTGGCTTGCTTTTGCCACAGAAGATACCTAGTGCAATGTATTTAGGTCTGCAGAGAAGTTAGAAGGCCCATTCAATGTCACGAGAGAAGAGATCAAGACGCCATGTTCTAGCGCTCTCCTCAGAGAGAGAGAGATCAACGCGAATGGTTCGAAATGGCTCGGATGATGCTATTGCTGATACACTGTATAAGAAAAGAATCCTGAAACGCCATCCGCCCAATGCTGCGCTCGTCCTGCTTCCTGTCCCCAGTGATCCTTTCCCACTATTGCAACACGTAGTTAGTTGTCCCGAGCGAAGGGCAGCGGGAACGGGGCACCTAATGCCGGAGGTGAAGTCGCTGAGAGAGTGTTGGACCATGGGAGCTCCAAACCCCCACCGGACACCAGCGCCATCAGCTGTCGAAAGAGAAGTTAGGTTCGAACGACAAGGTCTTCATCAGGAAGGCCGTGGCGGGGCTCCGCTCGTTCCATGTGCAGGCGCCGCGCCGCGCAAATTGATGGCGCCAATCCTCGAGACGATGTTGCTGCCAACTGCATCCACAGCACCGCGCGGGGACGTCAAAGTAGGCCCCTCCGGCGCCGTCTCTTGAACACGAAAGAGCTTGATCGCGGTCGCGTTCCAGATGCCGACTGTTCCCTTGGCCACCTGGAGCTCGCTCGTAAAGATGAAGCTCCATATCAGCGACTCGTACCAGCCCAGTGCGAGCGGCGACCACTCGAACGAGTGGACCTGGACGGCCGATGGCTCCACGCCCACCAGGCGAATTTCCTGTATCATGAGCAACGTCTCGCGGGACGGTAGATCGGCCGCTAACGCCTGCCGCGGTACCAGCGCCGTGACCTGTTGGATGAGGGCGAGGCTGGTGTGCAAGGGCAGCTCGGGAAGCCACTTGTCGATCCAAGGTGCCGTCGGCTCAAAGAGGGCATCTTGCGACTGGCCTGCGCTGGTGTAGCCGCCTCCAAGGCTTGTGGTGCTGTTCTGCCGTGAGAAGGCCTGCGCACCGGCCGGCATCTTGCCCCTGGCCTTTTCTGACATGCCCCGTAACTGGATGGGGACCGCATCCTCGAGAGATGCGACCGATGACGCCCGAGAATGGAGGTCGCTGGGAGTCGAATGTGATGGAGTTGGACGGGGCTCCTCATCGTCGCTGTCGTCGTCAGCGTCGCCGATCGCGAACGTGCTGTCCTCCTCGGGTACATCTCCTAGCGGAGGATGTTGCGGGTGAACTGAGGTAGGGCTCCTAATGCTCTCAGCCGAGGTTCGTGTTGAGGATGCCTCTAGGGGGTCCGAAGACGACGGGGCATCCTTCCTCCGCCTGTTACGCCTCTCGATTTCTTCCTGCCCGCTTTCAAGGGTAAAGTTGCGAAGTGCCTCAAACCGCTTCCTGTTCTTGACCACCGCGAAAACAAACCGAGGGTTTTCTTGTGTGATTATGTTAGCTGAAAACGCACTGCCAGGGGTGTGTGTCATCGATCTTCCCACATACTCTTGTACTGGTGCTCGATGATGGCATTCATTGACTCCAGTAGTGACTGCAACAGATCATGATTTGTCTCGTTTGCCAGCAGAAACGATGGCGAAGACATGGAGGAGAAGAGTTGGAGGAGTTTGGCACTTGTGGTTGAACTAATCCCCTCCAGATATGCCGAGATGTTATTGATCACGGCAAGAAGCGCCGGGTAGATAGCCGTCAGCCTTCCTTGGCTGGTTGTAATGAGGCTGTAGATCAGCTGAGGTTTCCGTTAGCACAACTAGCCCTTCTCCGGTATAGCTCAGATCTGACACTTGCCTGAAGCAGAAAGTCTGCATATGTGCCACGAAAGCCCTGTATCCTGATCGCCGGTGGTAGTGTCTCCTGGGCCTCGAACGTCTTGTTCAGATTGCTGCCGAAGTTCTTCTCCACGCTCAATGTCTGTAGGAGAAACGCACACATCCTAACGACCCCTTGCTTCGACCCGTCGTTCTTGTATTCGAGAGCATAGAAAAGGATCAGGACGATGAAATCGAGAGCCCTCTCGGTGTCGACGATGAAGGAGCGGAAACGCTTATTACACTGTGTAATCTCCCAAAACAGCATGATGATCTCGGGAGCAAACTTCACAGATGAATGTGTCCCCGGTATATACGAGGCGTTTGCTTGGAGAGGCTGGTTCAAAATCCTGGTCATACCATCCACGATGAACTGGAAATCCGCGGGTCGATGCACACGGCCAAGGAAGTGACGGTAATAGTTCTTGGGTGTAGTGCCATTCTGCTCTGGGATCGGATACAGCAGTGCCACCAGAAGAAATTGCAGGGTATAGGTGACCAAGACCTGCTTGGGATCCTTGAACACCAGGGTGTTGTAGGGTACACGCCAACTTGCCGGGTTGTATTTCATCGTCTTGGATTACATTAGCGACTTGACATTCACGTTCAGGCCGGGACAAACAAACGGGTCCGACATACCGTGTTTAGAAGTGAGCACAACACAGAGAGGACGGTCTGTTTGTCGGGACAAGTACAGATATACGTCAACGCCCGAACGCCTTTCTGTGGCAGGACGCCCGAGCTCATGTACATGCTTTGGCTGGCTAGTGTCAGGAGAAGTCGAAGGATCTCGCACCGGTTGCTCTCGTATTCTTTAGTCGTCGGCACGGCTGCATTACAGCCCACACCGCTCTGCCAGATGGCATAGCTAACCTTTGGTTTACCGTGAGGTTGGTTCTGCACCGTCAGGTCGGCAAAGAAGAGGAGGTCAACGAGCGTATCTATCAGCTCCTCAGCCAATGGCTTCGCATCCTCAAACTCATCCTGAGCATGGGCGGCCCTCGCTTGTGCCTCCTCCTCGGACTCGTCGAAGAGGACCTCATTTGCTATCGATGATTGCCGCGTCCTCTTTCTCCTCGCACCCCAAAAAAAGCGCTCCTCCCACGACTGCAGTGAATCCTTTTCGTATATATAAGGAAGAACACGCGTCAGGACTCGGATGCAGTTCAAAGCATCCTTCTCGGGTGCGATCTCCGGGTCGGGAAAGGAGGGATGGTGGCGTAATATGAACAGGCGCGACGTTACTGCCAGTATGAGCGTCTCCAGGTTCTCGAGCGCATGATCACGGGTCCGCCGAATATCTGCCGGGGAAAACAAGCTAAAGACATCTTCTGAAGACTCGGGCAGCTCCCAAAACTAGAACCACAGTTAGTTGGCCGATGCTGGCAGAGACTCGTAGCACGACAGGCTTCGCAACCCTGAGAGGGAGCGGACAAAGACAGGGAGACAAACCGAGGTCCAGTAAGGATCATCCGCAGGAATATGACGTTCTTCGGACAGTCTGAAGATGCCCTTCTTGAAGACGAGCTTTGAGTCGCTCGCTCCCATGTTTGGAGACTGCCTATGATCGCATCACAGACCGAGGGGGAATCCAGCCGAAAGACGCCAGTGGAGGCGGTTGAAAGGAGCCCAGATCGTTGTTCGAGAATGCCGTGAAGATTTGGGTAGGGAGGCGCCAGCGTGCTTTCTACACGTGGAGTCAACTGGTACAAGAAGGTTCGGTGGCGGTCAGTCAGAGGTGGTTCAGGCAAGTAGAATGCGAAGCACGTTGCGATGTTTGCTGGGCCAGCCTCGGGGATGGAGGTTACATCACACTGGGGCCCTGCCGAAGCCACTTCGCAGCCTGGACCACCCGCACGATCCCCATTCCAACCCCACTCATCAACGCTTACTTGTGTATGCATAACTTGGCTGCACAAAGTGTGTGCATTAGTTCACATGTGCTACAGTATGACCACGCCAGGACAGGCCAAATCAAATGATGATGGCGATTAGGCACAAAAGGATATTCTTCAAAAAAAGGTCTATTCATTCATTCATTCATGGCACAGTCAGCTGGCTACATACCTTGCTGCTAGGTACTGCAGCTAAGCTTGTCCATCATATCCCATAACCCATATTCCCAAGCCTGCCTCGACCCTCAGAATCGTGAACCACTTCCAGAGCCCTTTCTTCCTCTCTCATAGAGCCACTTATTATTCAGACCAACACTTGAACGCTTTCCCGTGCCACTAGGGCTGGGGGTGCCAGGCGCGTCAGGGAACAGGCCCCCAGAAGAGCTGGGCGGCAAGGGGCTTGGTGAGCCGAACGATGACCGGCGCGGCCCGTTGACTGCCTTCTGGAACAGCGGGCTCGCGACTGGAGAGAATGGAGAGCCGTTTATCCTGCTGCTGCTGGGGCCAGGGCTGCCACGACCTGACAATGGCGAGCTGGTGTAACTCTTATTGCTCCCGATAGATCCGGATAGTGATGGGGTCCTCGAGTACCGAGGAGGGGTGCTGTAAACCGATCCCGGGGTAGCCGGTGCTGAGCTCGGCGGAAGTCCCAGGAGTTTTCGCTGGCTCGGGGTCAGGGGAATGTCTGACAGATCGTCTTGCCGCCGGACGAGGGGAAGGAGCGCCAGGGCAATGTTCACCACGGGGATGCACTGCAGGGTGAGCCACAGCCACGACTCGTAATTCTGGCGGAAGTCTTGGCCAAATCTGGATCGAGAGAGGGTTAGTTGTATATCCAATGGGAGCAAGGTCGGGGATGAAGTTGGCATGGACTTACAGTCTCAACAAGCCATAGCTGGTAGCAAAGGTCTGGATGGCCACGACGATGACGAGAAATGAGAGGTTGTACACAATCGCCCTGACGTTTCTCTCAGAAAATACCGTTGCGTTCTGCCGTTTGGTGATTTCTGCAAGACGCGGATGCCGCCAATTTCCAGGGCTGTCCGCAATGACTGGTGTCTTTTTTGTCGGCGTGCTCGCCGACTTGGGCGGCACGAGGGCGGTAGATGACATGATTGATGTACAGCTTCCGATGCTAGGAAAGATCGACTACTGCAGGTCGTCCAAGGAGAGGAGAGACAGCGGCAGATGCGGCGATTGTAGGCAGGAGCTGGAGTGCCTGAGGTCGTGACTGGGATGGGCGGGCGCAAGATATAGGGTTGAGGGCCGTTGTTCAAGAAAGGATGTTGGCGCGTTACGACGACCGTCGAATCTCTGCTGTCAAAGGGATTCGCCGTTCCTGCTGTTTGTTAGTAAATGCGCTTGGTGCGCAAGGCAACGTCGTGGGCGCTCTTCAAAGGCGGCGACAAAGGACGAGGGAAAAAAAGAAGCTTGTCTCGGGACTACGTTTCTTTGATCTAGAGCCAAGGAACGAGTCTCGGGTCGTCGCAGTGGGTCAACAACACAACAGCCAGCACGGTGCACCGTTACTAGGGGACCTCGTAGCTGGAGATGTGAGCTGACTTGGGGGTCCCACTTCACTGACTGCTCGCCAGCACACTGCTGACATCCATCCATCACCCCGCCGTCTCCGCCGTGGTCGCTAATTATTGATGCCAGCCTCCTCCTCCTCTTCCTGATCTACGAACTCCTTCTTCTCCCGCGTGCCTCTTTAATATTGCTCAAAGACCTCCGTTTCTGTCTCCACCGTGCTGGCATTCGAGGGAGTCTGATCTGGCCCAGAAGCGCAAAGACAAGGGCACAAGACTACATATATTATTATTATTGAATGACTTAGGCCCTGTCCTTGAGCCTTTTAGGTGTCGCGGACAGCCAGTGTCAAGACTATCGCAAGGTTGCCGTGTTTTCGGTTGATCGGGGCTGTTCGCCGCAGGCATACTGCGCTATGGGTTTCGACAATGCCATGTGGCACCTTGACCAGGGCATCACCGGCTTCTTCGGGCAATGGAATGCTTACTCAAGCGCTCTGGTCACTCTCCTCCTCATGATTGTGTCTTACCAGATCTTCACCCGTCAAGACCCCGACACCCACCCGATGCTGCTCGCTCGCCAGGCGCAAGGCTCTCCAGTCCGCCAGGAAGGAGAGTCTCCCGTGTTCAGGTCTCATGCCGCCCCGCACGGCATGCCGCTGAATAGCGGGCTCAATGTGAAAGATGCCGGCGCCTCCAAGTGGGCTAGGGGCCGTGACGGAGACCTTCGGGATGTCTGGCGAAGGGCCATCAACGGCGCCCCGGAGGGCGAGGGACCAGCTGGCAAGGGCCGCATCCTCACGGTCCTAGGCCGCGAGAAGGTCTTGGAACACAGTCTTGGTAAGGACCGACCCTCTCCCCGCAAGCTCTGCGCACGCTCGAGGCAGACATCCGGGATCACTTGGCTAACCAGTCCTCACCTCGCTAGACGACGTCACGCGGCAAATCAACCTTGTCGGACAGCATATCATGGACCAGGGAGGTAACCGCGTTGCCATCTACCTGCCCAACTCGGTCGAACTCATGGCTACCCTCTTTGCGTGCAGCTTCTACAACCTCACAGCCATTATCCTGCCGTTCGACAAGTCCGACGATGCCGTCATCTCTATGCTCCGAAGGTCAGCCGCCGACACCGTCATTGCGGCTCCGGGATCCTTCCCCTTCGACAGTGTCGTCAAGACTTACCCCAGCCTGCGACAGCTTATCTGGGTTGTTGACGAAGGCAGCAAGCACATGGATTGGAACGAGGTCCCCAAGGGCATGGGAGGAAGCGTCAACGTCTCGACCTGGCAGGAGATTGTACAAGACCAACCTGTCGATGCCGGTCGAGAGCTTCCGCCCATCGAGAATCAGACCGAGGCTCGCGATGTCACCGTCTTTTGGCAAGGCAAGCCGGGCAACCTGGAGGAGATGGTGCGCTTCACCAGTGCCAACCTCGTGTCAGCCGTGGCCGCTCAGATCTTTGCTGTGCCCACCAACCAGCGCATGAACCCTTCGGACCTGTTCCTCCCCGCTGACTCTTTGGCCAACACCCATACCCTTGTCCTGACCCTCGCCGCAATCTACTCCAACGCCTCGGTAGCTTTCAACTCTGTGGCCGAGGGTGCCGCAGATCTCGCCCTGGCCACCCAAGGCATCGCGCCCACCATTGTAGTTGCAACGCCGAGGGCCCTCCTCAGAACCCACGCCGAAACGACTCGCCGCTTGGGCTCCTTCCTCAACTCCAAGATACACTGGCTGCAGACCCGGTCGCTGACCGAAGCCGGGGTCATGCCAGCCGCATCCTTCTTGTCGTCTCTCAACGACAGCGCCAAGCCTGCTGTAGGCACGAGCCCTGGAAAGCTACGCATCTTGTACACGGCGGAGCGCGTTGGCGCCGGGTCTCCTCCAATCTCGTCCGCCGCCCTGTCTGACTTGCGTGTCTATACTGGTGCCAGAGTCATTTACGCCCTCACTGCACCCAAGGTGGCTGGTGCAATCGCCCAGACCGGATACTATGATTACCGCGTCTCCAAGGGCAACTGCTCGCATTTCGGCCCACCACTGACAAGTACCGAGATCTTCTTGAAGGACAGGGCTGCACACAGGACGACTGATGACAAAACGGAAGGCGAGGTGCGTTTTTACATTGACCCTCTCTATGTGTCTTGCATTGCCGAAACTAACTGGGCTCAATGGCAGGTTGTGGTACGAGGTCCCTGTGTTGCCGGCAATGAGACTGCTATTGGCATGATTGGCCGGATCCTGGACGACAACACACTGGCCTACGCGTAGGCAGATTAAGACTGCTGCAAGCAGGCCAAAAGCTTGGTTGTGACTCGGAGGTGTTCATGCTTGATTTGCACCGTGGATGTCTCCAGTTGACTCGATATACCACCCCATTTCACAATGTTAGACAGTGTTTCTTTAGCTCCCAAAGTAAATAGCTTTCTGTGGACCTATCTATAGTCCAATGTAGGCAAGATTGGTCAGCCTGGGCCTTCAATTCCAACCTGAAAGAATTGATCACTCTGTGTCATATCTGTCTACCTTCCTCCTTGTTCCGAGCTTCACTTAAATTGAATATGCTGCTCCATTAGAGCTTGAGGTTGGCTGTTGGGATCGTGCGGCTGGCATCTCCAACCGCTAAAGCCCCACCAAAATCACGGAAGCTAAGCCTGAAGGGTTCAGTGCCTTGTGCATTAAAGCTCAGCTGCTCGGTGCATACCTAGGTATAGGTACTTGTACTTCCCTGCCTAGTCAGGTACCGGGGAATAATGGAGCACTCAACCTCCAGGGCTGGCCCGAGCCTTTGCTCCAAGCTATTGTGGGGTATCAAGATTGCGAGATAAGGTACGTCAGCGGCCTGACACGTTTCCCATTGCACACTATCAACTCCTCCAGCTAACTAGGAAATTCTCCTCGACGAAGTACCAAGGCAGTAACTGAGGAGTTCTAGAAATACACCTCAAAAGCTTTCTGCTCCTTTCCGCGCGACCACCACTTGTCAGAAATCGGGAGAAACGGGTAATTGCCAGAGAGGGGAGAGAGTGATTGGTGTATGCCCGCCAGTCGCTCTACCGCCACCATGGCTTTCTTCCCCCAATTGATCTCTCTGTGTGCCGCGGTCCTCTGCCTCAACCTCAGTATCGCGGGCGCCCAAGCATCCAGCTCGTCTGGTGGCGAGACCATCCTGCATGGCGAAATCGGCCGACTCAACAACCAGAGCCTTCTTTGGGGTCCCTATCGACCCAATCTTTACTTTGGCGTCCGTCCCAGACTGCCCCAGGCCTTGATGACGGGCCTCATGTGGGCAAAAGTTGACAGCTACACCGAAGTACAGAATGGTATGGCTCCCTCACTGGTGCCCCTGACATGTCGCCCGCAAAGCTTCAAAGCTGACTGAACCTATGCTGTAGCCGTTCGCTACACTTGTGAGCAGAATGAGGGCATGGCTGGCTATGGCTGGGAAGAGTTTGACACCAGGAACGGAGGCGTTCAATCTATTCACGATGCCGAGAACAACATCGACATCACGACCTCTTTCGTCAAGGTCCCCGGTGGTTCGCACGGTGGCAGCTGGGCTGCTAGGATCAAGGGCGTCCCACGCAGCGATGCTCCTGCGGATCTGAAGACCACGGTTCTGCTCTACGTCACACAAGAGGGTCTTGGAAGCGTACTGGAGGCCAGCCCTTCTTCTGAGAAGCAAGGATACGATGGCGACGTCACAATATCGGGCAACTCTCACGCCCTTGGCGACTACAAATTGGTCATCACTCGGGGTCAAGGGGAGCACCCTTCCAGCGATCACGAATTCTCTGAGCACAGGCATCTGGACAAGACTACGGTCCAGTCCTTCACCTTACCGGACGAACACCTCTGGCAAGCCAAGCCCATCGTGTTTAGGCAACTCAAAGAAACCGTGGATTATGTCATGGAGAACTACGACCCGAATCAGCCACCGCCGCCATGGCAGGTGTACCAGCTTGAAAACAAGCCCGGCGCCGGCAACGTGCAGATCATCCAAAAGGTTTTTGAAGGACCCTTCGAGTTTGACATTTTATTCTCTAGTGCATCAGCAGGAAAGGACCTCGAGAGCTCAGATCTCACCCGTGAGATCAAGACTGTATCCGAGGCATTTGGAGAGAGATTCTCGGACGTGTTCAACTTGAAGGCGCCCTTCACCGCGGAGAAATACAAGAAGTTCGCAAGGAGCATGTTCTCCAATTTGATTGGGGGCATTGGCTATTTCTACGGCCAATCCGTTGTCGATCGATCCTATGCACCAGAATACGACGAAGAAAACGAGGGTTTCTGGGAGGAAACGGCTGAGGCGCGAGCTAAGAGGCGAGAGCAGCTCGAAGGCCCGTATGAACTGTTTTCGAGCGTGCCATCCAGGCCTTTCTTTCCCCGAGGGTTCCTCTGGGACGAAGGCTTTCATCTTCTCCCAATCTCCGACTGGGACATGGACCTTACTCTCGAGATTGTCAAGAGCTGGTTCAACCTCATGGACGACGACGGATGGATCGCGAGGGAGCAGATCCTCGGAGCCGAGGCCAGGAGCAAAGTGCCGGAGGAGTTCCAGGTTCAGTATCCCCATTATGCGAACCCGCCGACCCTCTTCTTCGTTGTCGACGCTTTTCTCGCCAAGCTCCAGCAGATGAATGGAAGCATGCCCGCCGCCAAGGAGCACCTATCGCAGGGCGTCTCGCTCTCCTCTGCCCACATTGACAATCCCAATGTCGGCCTCGAGTACCTCCGAAATCTCTACCCACTCCTTCGTCGCCAGTATAACTGGTTCAGAAAGACGCAGTATGGCGATATCAAGTCGTACGACCGCGAAGCCTTCTCAACAAAAGAAGCGTACCGTTGGCGTGGACGCACTATCCAGCATGTCCTGACAAGTGGACTCGACGACTATCCTCGGCCGCAGCCTCCACACCCGGGTGAGCTGCACGTTGATCTTATGTCATGGATGGGCATGATGACCAAGTCCCTCATCAATGTTGCATCTGGACTTGGGATGCCTGAAGAGGTTGACGAGCTGACCAAGAACCTGCGCGCTATTGAGAGAAACCTGGACGATCTGCACTGGTCCGAGAAGGAAAATTGCTACTGTGATGCCACAATTGACGAATTTGAAGAGCACAGCCTGGTCTGCCATAAAGGCTATGTCTCCCTCTTCCCCTTCCTCGTTGGGCTGGTGCCGGCGGACAGCCCGAAATTAGGCAAGATCCTGGATCTCATCGGCGACGAAGAAGAGCTTTTCAGTCCCCACGGTCTCCGGAGCCTTAGCAAAAAGGATGCGCTGTACGGCACGGATGAGAACTACTGGAGGAGCCCAGTGTGGATAAACATCAATTACCTTGCCATCGTGCAGCTCCATGTAAGTCTATGGTGAACTACGCGAGCTGTGGTGTCGGGACATACTGACATCACGTTTTTCCTTTGCAGAATGTCGCCACGCAGGATGGTCCGCACAAAGCGCGGGCCAAGCAGTTGTACTCGCGACTCCGCAAGAACATTGTGGACACGGTCTACCAGAGCTGGGAGGAGACTGGCTTTGCCTGGGAGCAATACAACCCAGAGTCTGGCAAGGGCCAACGGACGCAGCACTTCACCGGCTGGACGAGCCTGGTAGTCAAGATTATGACTATGGGAGACTTGCATAACGAGCATGTCAGGGACGAACTCTAGGAGGCCACCGTGGTTGGCAAAGGCAGGATGTAATCCGTGGCCTGTATTATAGAATGTGTACCATCTAAAACAAATGCATGCCTTGTACATGTATGATTGCAGACCAAACTCCACCGCCAATTGTGCTGCTCAATCCGGAAACGCCTCAAGACACCCGTGTCAATACAATACATGAAGGTGAACAACAACACAGAACATTGAAGAAGTTTCCGTGGGTGTTGAGTATAGCATCAAAGCTGTTCAAGTACCACTATGAGTCCACAATCCGCCGCCCTGCTTGGCTACATCCTTACGAGGCACGGTCTCGATGCTCCGGCTGAGCAGCTTCCTGAGCTCAGGAGTGATGACTTTCTCGACCTTGGCGGGCGACTTGCCTGCGCTTCTGGCAGGGGAAGACACCTGTGGCCGTTGTGCATCCGTTGCTGTTGTAGAAGGAGAAGTCTCGGGCCGGCTCGGTGTATTGTCGTCACGCAACCTGGGTCCAGGAAAGTTCGGCTTCTTGTCGATGGCCTCAACGAGCTTGCGGAAGCGACGGAAGAGGGATTCGGCGCGGACCAGCGTGGATTCGAGATCAATCGTACCAGAGAGTTCGTTGACTATGAGCGAGTTAGCATCTTGTTCCCCGTGCGCCGCGAAACTCGTCCATGTTGTGAATGGGGGGGATGGGGGACATACTGTATTTGAGGACTTCGTCAAAGTGCTTGAGGTGTTCCATGATCACATCTCGATGTTTCTCCAGGATGGCCAGAGCAACAAACAGATGGAAGCTGCTGCTCAAGAAGTCCGTCCAGAGCGTCTCCCAAAGGCGCAGTACATCCATCCACTCAAACTCACGCTTGTACCAGACAAGAAGCATCCTAAAGAAGAAGAAGAAGTTGGTGCTCTCGGCGGACTGCAAGTGGGCATAGAGCTTGGGGTCCATGAACTGCACTAGGTGGTCAAGCGCGCGGAGCTGCGCTCGCATGCCGGACTGGTCACGGAGGAAGTTCCACTCCATGCGATCCATGAACCGCTGGAAGCCCCAAAAGGCGATGGCATCATCCTGTACCACGGCGTAGATCGGAGCGAGCAAGTCTGACATTCCCTGGACGTAGCCCAGCTCCTTGTTGTACTCGTTGTAGGTCAATAAAAGGTCCTTGAGCTGCTCCATGTGAACGTTTGTGCCAACCGAGGCGAAAGGAGATTCGGGGTCGGGATGCGGTATGTTCTCTCCAGCAAAGATGGGTACGTTGCGGTCCGTCCGGTGAACGTCCTTCTCTGTCGGATGGGGGAAATCGTTAGATCGTAACAGCGCCTGCACCCTGTGGCGTCACACACTTACCAATACGGCCCTTTTGTTCTCTCCACCATTCGCCTTCCTCTCCCTGCCCACCCATGTCGATCAGGCGTTCCCACCAGGCCGCTTTGAGCTTGATGTATTCATCGCGAAGGGACGCGATCTGCGCCTTCCTCTCCTCTGCCGTGCTGTACCAGTCATGCACGCCCAGCAGAAAGAGCCAGGCCTCCTTGCGTACGCCATCCTCCGGATCCAGTCCTCCATGGAATATACGCTCCTTCACCTCGTCGACAGTGACTGCGAGCCGCCCAGTCTGGGGATCAAAAAACGAGTTCCACTCCTTAAGCGTCACGGCCTTTCTTCTCTCTTCTAGCGACATGCTACTGGCTTCCAGGAGCTCGAACTCACCAACGTCGGTATCCTCGAGCTCCATGACTTCCCGCGCAGTCCAGATCCGCTGGTTTCTATCCCGCTCACTCTGCTCGGCGATCCCCATTGCCCACCTCGCCAGGTATATGCGCGCACTGTCGAACTCGTCCTGGATCGTCTGGACTTCGGGGTTGCGAAGGAACCTCTTGACTTGTGGCGGCATCCGCGGGTCATCCATAGCATTCTGCGCTGCCTGTCTCGTGAAGGTGGTGACTTTGCTGAACTTTTCCATAATGTTCCACCCAGTCTCCTTGACGAATTTCATAAAAGGGTCCATGCTGGCGTCTCTCGAGGTGCCCGGAGCGGTCGGTGGACCTGACCCGGACGTCGCGCCTCTGGTTGATGGACCCGAGCGGTCATCCTGTCGTCCGGTGGCCGAGAATGAACTCGTGGTGAGCCTGCTGCCAAAGGCTTCGGCGTCCGCCGAGCTGGGTTCGACCAGGTATATATTCGGCTCCGCCACGCTCTTCTCGATGTGCACATAGCGCTTCAACCACCGCAATACCTCGTCGCCTCCCCAGAACATCTCGCCACCTTCACCAAAGGGATCAAAGCTCTCTCGGGCCCGCTTCTTCTTCTGCAGAATAGTGGACTGGCACTCGCTGTCGTGGAAGAAGAGAGCGGGAAAGCTGTCGCCCGCGCGGGAGTTGATGACCACGGAGCCATACCACCAGCCCAGGTTCGGAGGCCGGACCAGGAGAGAATATACGGCACTGACGGGTATGGCGAAGGCATACTGGCCTACGGAACCACGGTGCGTCGTGACCGTCGGGGGTGGGGGCACGAGATACGACTGCTTTGGCGGAGAGTCGCCTTCGCACAGGTCAACTTTGACATATATGCTTGCCGAGTCGCCGAGAGACGACTCGGGCAGCCAGGCAAGGAGAAGATCGGAGGATGCGGGATGGGCGTCGGCTTTGGAAGAAGACGAGGTTGGGCGTTCGTCGGTGTTGGGCGTCTTTTGCTGCAGCAGGGCGACGTAGCCCGGGATATTGTCCTTGGCCGAGGGCGTGGGGTGGATATAGACCTATCCATGTGTATGAGTGTTAGGGCGATGACGACGAGAGGGCTGGGACCTGGCAACCAAATCCTGCGGGGCGTACCTTGCTTTTCGAGTACAACAGCTTGACCCCACGTCCGGTCTCGGTGTGGGTGATGGTGTTGTACTCTCCTTCATCATCGTCGCTCATGGCGTAGAAGCTTCCGGCTGGAGAAGTGGCTCTGTCTGGACCGCCCGCGGCGTTGTGCGATTTGGCGGGGCCCAACGTCATGATGTTTGGTCCTTACCTATATATTGCGGGGGGGGAGTGTGCGCGGGAAGGCAGGACAGGCGGCGCCGCGCTCCTCTGAGGCTGGATTGTGTTTTGAACAAGCTCCTACAGATAGAGATGGAGAGAGGGAGAGTTGCTGAGATTGGCTACATTTCTTGCGCGAGAGTCCGGAAGTCTTGAGAGATGGGTGAAAGAATCACGAGGTTGAAGGGGATGACCAGCGCAGCAGTCCACTATCTACTTATGGAGTCTAGCTATCAGTGCCTGACTTATAGGCGGAGGGACCTGGGTTGGTGACGGAGTGGTGGCGTGGTGGTGTGCGTCAACTGCGTACGACAGCGCCCAGCGTGATTAGCGCACGACGTCAGCAGGGCGCCCAGTGTGCCCAGCCCCGCCTTCGCCGGCCCCGACTGAGCGAGCTTGAATGTTCCGGGTTGCCATCATGTTCGTAGCTAGCCAAGAAAAAAAAACATCTCATGTGCTGTAGGTTCCCATCCTTGTTTTCACTTGCTCTGCACCGTAACATAGTCCCCCCTTGTAAACTTGTATTCACGGTTCCCAAATCGATACTGGTCGCCTTTCGCGCCCGGGTCACTTCTGGTCATCTCCTATTGTCTGAGCCTGGCCGGCGGTTGACTGCCGTTGTTGTATTAAGATGTATCAGAAGATAAGACAGGCTCCGGTAGCTATCAAGCAAAGCAGTAGACGGTCCGCTCTCATCTCATCCTAGGCCCGCTAGGTAACCCTCCTGGTCTCCGAGGCCCGCTTGGAAGACCTCCAGGGCGGCTGCTGCCACCTCCGGAATAGTCCGTGTCGTTACTTGCCCATGGAGAGTTTGCAGCCATGAAAGGCCGATCACCTCCGCCTCCGCCCCTGTTAGGCGGCGCTGCGTCATACATCCCACCCGGTGCGAACCGATCCTCGTAGTTGTCGGCCGCTCCTCCGCCGCTCTGGCCTCCCCGGCTACCATACGTCCCCGAGCTGCTTTGCGCCGGTGGTTGGAAAGGCCCGCCTGACTGGGGACTGGTGGTCCTGGCGCCGCCGCCGCCAAACAACCTGTTTCGTAGGCGGTCTTGGGCGGAGCCTCCGCCGCCTGCTGGCGGGGTTGTGCTGCTCTCTCGGCCATACGCATTCGCCGACTGGTAACTGCCGGCACGTTGTCCGGGTGGCGGCCGTGTTTGGTTATCGTCTCTCGGGTCGCTGTTCCTCGCGTAGGGGTTGAGCCTGCCGCCTTGTTGTTGCTGCTGCTGCATCGGGGCTCCCCTCCCCTGCCTCAGGCTTTGGGCATCCTGCCGCTGCGAGGCAGGGTTGCTGTCCCACAGCGAACTCAGACCGCCACCTCCGCCGGGCTGTGAGGCCATGCCGCCATATCGCGATCCAACCTGCGGCTGGGCGTAGACCGCCGGGGCAGGTGGTGGCGCCTTTGGGTCAGGGGGCAGCCAGCCCGGGAAGGTCCTGCCCTTCTCCGTATAGTAGGCTCTCAAGACTCGGCAGACATGAGTGTCGTCTTCAGTGTCGCCATCCGCGTCTCCAGATAGGTACGTAGAGCGGAGATTCGAGATGCGAGACGAGGTTGTGGTCAGGATGTTGGAGTACCATGAGGTCATGGCGAGCGACGTCACGGTTGGGCCAGCCCGCAGCTGTCCCCGGGATCGTATCGAGCGTTCCGACTAGTGCAGCAGCGATCCCAGTGCCGCGTGTTGAAGACGAGGATGGGCCGCCGGGGCAGTTTTGAGGGTCGGAAGTTGCCTTGCGCGGGTGATTGCGATGCAGTTGGTCGGCGAGACCGTGGCGGACGAGATAGATGTCTGGAGCTGGTCGGGAATAGATGGCAGCAGGGTTAAGAGCATTCAATGTGCGGGCTGTGAGTTTGGCAGTAAACTACAGCCCTGGAGGTACCTGTAGGTACTGCAAGATCCTTGCTGTACCTTCGTCTAGCTGGGTCCTCACAGTGGGTCGGATCCAAATGGATATTCGAATCGCGCATAAATTAGAGCCGACAACGGTAGGACGGTTAGTGGAGCATCCCTCCTTACCTACCTACGTAGGTACCTAGGGGCAATTGGCAATCGACCTGCAGATGTCGATGAGCTTCTTCAAGGTTGATGTAAAACACCAAGCAGCACCAAAGTCCCGACACTGATTGTGTCAGAACGCCCACACAACCCGGCTCTCATTGAAGCCCCAAACCCTCAAGACACATGGCCTTCTCTTATAGTGCTTCGTGCACTCGGTAATCGGTGTATAGCTACATACGGCCATTGACTCGCTCGAGGTCAATGTTTTCACATGTGTTGAGGACTGGCAAACCGGCCCAGGTCTGCACATCTCGATCCGCAGCCACAGCGTTCTGCCACAGTCTAGATTGCCATGGGACTCATCTTCCCACTTCTCGTGTAGGATTTGTCAACTCGACTTGGGCTCCTCGTGCACCGCGCTGGATTTGTGCCACGAATCCTTCGCCTCCTAAGTCTACACCCTGGTTCAGTTTTCATGATGACACCATCTACGCCTTGTCAACCGCTCCTGGCAAGGCTGCCATTGCCGTGATACGGATCTCCGGTCCTGGGTGTCTAGAGGTATGACTCTCTCCACTGTTTTGGTATCTCTGTGGGGAGTGAGTACCCAGGTAGCTTACCTCTCGTCAAGGTGTACAAAGGGCTCTGTCCCTCGAGCGCAAGCCTGAAACCCAGGCACGCCTCAGTGAGAAGGCTAGTCCATCCCTCGTCAGAGGCGGGCACTAACGTTCTGGACTCGCACGCCGTAGTCCTTTACTTTCCCGGGCCTCGTACCGTGACGGGCGAAGACGTACTCGAGCTGCATATCCACGGGGGGTCTGCCACCGTCAAAGCCGTCCTTGCCGCCATACCGCAGTGTTGTTCGGCCCAGGCCATTCGCTATGCTGAAGCTGGCGAGTTCACCAAGAGATCTTTTGCCAATGGTCGGCTAGACCTCGCGCAGGTTGAGTCCTTGAGCGACACCCTCGCTGCCGAGACCGAGCAGCAACGCCGCGCTGCGGTCCGAGGCAACTCCGGCGCGCTTGGCAGGACGTATGAGAAATGGAGAGATCTCTTGCTCCACGCTCGGGGCGAGATCGAGGCGCTCATCGATTTCTCCGAGGACCAGCATTTTGACGAATCGCCGACTCAACTTCTGGCCAATGTCACCCGCCAGGTTTGTGAGATCTTGGAGTCGATTGATCTCCACGATACGGCGAGCCAGAGGAGCGAGCTCCTGAGGAACGGCATACGAATTGCCCTTCTGGGGCCGCCCAATGCTGGGAAGAGCTCCTTGATGAACCTCATCGTCGGGCGCGAGGCGTCCATCGTTTCCGGGGAAGCTGGAACCACTCGGGACATTATCGAAGCCAGCTTGGACATCAAAGGCTATCTCTGCACCTTTGCCGACACCGCCGGGTTCAGGTCCAGAGCGACAGCAGGTGCTCTAGGTCATGGGTCGGTTGGCCCGCGCCTTGGAGCAGTCGAAGAAGAAGGCATCCGACGTGCCAAGCAGAAAGCCCTCGACTCTGATCTCATTGTTGTCCTGACCTCTATCGAGCCCGCCGATGCAGCCTGCAAATCCTATCAGATATATTACGACGAGGATACCTTGCAGTTAGCAGCTGGTGCTCCGGCCTGTCTCGTGGTGGTGAACAAGAGCGATGCAGTACAAGGAGACGAGCTCGAGGCCTTGAAATCCTCCTTCCAGACCTCAGTGCTCGACAGAACACCCGGGCTGGCCAATGTGGTTCCCCTATCGATATCATGCAAAGAGGCGGAAATTTTGGGGTCCGGCCACAAGGACCCGGGCCGCATCCACGGTCTGGTCCAGCAAATGGTCTCTCATTTTGAGCGGATGACATTGCTACCCGCCGATCAGCAGGACCTGCTGGGCGTAACTGAGAGGCAGCGGCAGCTCCTGCTGCTGTGTCGTCAACACCTCGAAGGGTTCATGGCTGTGGCCGAGAGTCCGCATGACGGGAGTGAGCCGGACATCGTCATGGCGGCGGAATACCTGCGCTATGCTGGCGACACCCTTGCACGGATCACTGGACGTGTGGATGGCGGTGATGTCGAAGAAATATTGGGCGTGATTTTCGAAAGGTATGCACGGTCTCTACAGCTCTGTCATCTTCAAGAAAGCTGAGCACTGACAAAGCAGGTTTTGTGTGGGCAAATGAGGAGTGAGAGCGAATAGAAAGTCTATTGTGAACGACGTTGTTGACTGAGACTGTGGCACCGTCGAGGGATTGCGAAATCCGTCGCGGGCGAAGAGAAATAGTGGGAAAATCTAGAATGAAAGACAAGAGTCCGGAAACCTGCAACGCCGTCTGTCTAATACAACAATGTCGACCGACGCAAAAAAGAAAGTCAAAAAATCCAGACACCGCACCAACGCCAACCTCTATATGATGCACACGATACCATGGCATACCCGTCTAATGCTGACACCTCCGCAATGCAATGACGAAACAAGCTAATAACACAGCCGGCGAAACTTGCTGCGCCGGAGAGATTGTCCCGGTCTTTGACAGCCGGGGATGCGGCTGTCGTCGAAGGGCAGGCAGAACGACTTACTCGTCGTCATCATCCTTGTCGCCCCTGTGGATGGGGTTAGTGACTGGACATGGCGGTCTCGCTGTACTTGGGAGAGCTCACTTGTTATAGCCACTGCGGCCCTGGTTCTTTGGCTTGTCATCGCCGTCAGGCTTGTTGTTGTATCCACTTCGGCCATAGTTCATCATGGCAGAGGAAGCGAAAGAGCTGGAAGTGATAGCGGCCATTGTTGTTATGCAGGACTGGTTTTGTTTTGTATTTGTGGGCGGTGAAGACGTGTCTTTTCTTGGAGTGATGGCTGGTGTAGAAAGCTAGTTGGCGTTTTGGATGTGGACTGGAGACTGAGTTGGAGAAGAGATATCTCGAGAGATGTCGATCTGATGATGTGGTGCTGGTGTTGAGAAGGATTCAATCTCCAAGGGGCAGAGCGTACTGGTCTTTTATACACGAGAGACTACGATGCCACAGCTCTACTTAAAAGCACAGATTATATATAAAAATATACAGATATATATTTACCTAGTCGACAAGCTTCATTTCCGTCCATCCCATAAGCCCTTGTCCGTCGTCTGAGCCTCCATTAGGCGACGACGGCAAGCTGTGGGTGGCAGGCGGACGATTGCGGATGACATAAGGCAGAAGGGGTTCAAGGGTCAGGTCAGGGTGGTGATGTAGCAGCCAGGCAGTACCGAGCTTCAGCCTCCAAGGTCGGCTCCACCCGGGAGAGACGACGCTTGTCGACGCTGGGAGAGGGAACGAGTGTCCTTGGGATGGACCGGGGTCAGTCCGGAGTCAGCCCGGTCGTTTCTGGGTACCTACTTTACTTTACCTTGCACTATTCACCCCCCCCTTCCGCTTGGCCTGGCCCCAAAATAAGATACTCCCCCCCCCAAATAGGGTCAAGGCAGACAGACTGCCGGTGTTACTCAGTAGAATCGTAGGTAGTCGGGAACGGACGGGGCGGGCGGACGGGGGTGACGGCGATGCTCGTGCCTTGCATGTGAAGACTGGCTGGTGTACGTGGGCGGGCGGCAGTAGGGGCGCCGAGAAACGAGATAGGGTGCAGGTATCGCGCTTACTGTGCGTTGGCGTGTGTGTCATTCTCTCTCTCTCTCTCTCTCTCTCTCTCTTTCTCTTCACTCTTTTTTTGATGCAAGTCTGGCACTAATTGGGGTTCCCGAGAGGCCGGGTGGGGAGAGATGGGACTGGGTGGGATGAATCAATCTGAATGAGCTGCTAGGATTAGATACTAGATGCGTCCCAGGACCCAGAAGATGGATGCAGTGATGCACGACCGAAGTCAGGAATGGCGATGACTCTTGGAAGATCGATCAGTTCAGATGACAACGGCGGCAAACCCGGGCTGGCGGTACCACGAGCTGGAGATGGGATTGGTCAGGCTGGACAGGCACCTGTAGAGCAGTACCTAGTTACTACTCCGCATAGTCGTATAGACCTAGGTACCTCTAGGGCTAGGTAGTTAGTTACCTCCAGGCACTGCTAGTTACCAGCTGGAGGTACCTATGCGCCAGATGAGTGACAAATGCTCTAATTTTGTTTGGGGGCTGAAAACGGGGCGTCTGACAGGGCAGGGGTAATCCAAGGTAAGCTACAGTCGGGTCTCGTCTCGTCCGTCGTCTCGTTTTGTTTCGTTTCGTTTCCTTGCACCCTCTTCACTGCAGGCCCGCAGGCCCGTCGCAAACCCGCCAGGCCAATGGGCCAACAGGGCCGGCACTGTAGGGCTGAAGAACGTCCTCCGTAAGCGCCAACCCACGCCAGAAAGGGTGTGTACAACCCCGAAAGAGGTGACAAAAACGTGCTGTTGCAACACTACCTAAGCAGTTCGTTACCCAGGACCTGCAAGCCATCCCTCTCTGTCTGTCTCTGGTCATCTTCTGTCCCCAAGTGCTGGGGGTGGTGTCGGTGTGTCATTGGCATCGTCGTCGTCCTCCTCCTCCTCCTCCTGGTCGTCGTCCGGCAAAGCCACCCTGCATCGTGGCAGTCGCAATTCTTGGGACACGCCGGCCAGTCATAAGCTGAGCCCACCCTCTCACATTCTCTCTCCTCTGCTTCGTTTCCCTCTGGAACCCACCGAACCGTCTGTCCCCAGGGCAAAGCCAAGCAAGGGCCCAGGGGGGGTGGCAGGGTGGCAGGGTGGCAGAGTCCAAGTACAGAGTACCATTGAAGGGCCTGCGTGTTGCTGACATGCGGTTCGACACCGCCAAGCGTCGCATTTCATCGTGACTGATCTGAGCTCGAGGGCCCGCCTGGATGCATCGCTTCCTGCCTGCGACTTGGTCCCGAATAGGAAAATGCTGAGTCTCGAAGCGCCAGTCATAGAGAATAGATCCAGCTACGGCAGGAGATGCCATCATGGCTGTACCTTTACACAGGCTCGGCCAAGGAGTCACAGATCAAATCTCACCGTGTTTTCTACCTACCTAGGTACTTACCTAGGTAGTTTCCACCTAGCTAGGTACCTGGCCGCGTTAGTCATCCTCTTATTAGCAGACAGTGAATACGCAGCCAAGATGACGACGGGACGGAAACAAGACCCTGCGCTCTTCGACCGTGTTCCAGGTGCGTGTTCGTTTGGCTCGGCCGGATCGCCGACCGACCGAGCGGCCAGGTGGGTAATGTTGGCGGCAGTCATCATGTGCGCAGCCCTTGCGCATCATCTCCTCTCGCCTCGTCATCCCGTTGCCCGTTTAGCTCTTCAGTAGAAAACCGCGAGACCAGGCCGGTGCGCACGGCGCCGCCGAAGGTCGCCGTAGCAAGAGTCTAGTGTCAGAGTTGAGATCTCCGGTCGCATTGGTATTACCTCATCAACGTTTCTGCTCTTGTTCTTCGTTCTTCCTCTTGCTATCCCGCCTTCTTCCGTTCTCTTTCCCTCTCTTCTCCTTTCCCCTCTCTTACCCACTATTTGCTCTCGTCGTCGTCTGCACGTCAGAACAGTCATCGGCCACCATGCATGAGGAGGCGACGACACTCACACACACGTACACACGCACACGCACACGCACACGCACACGCACACAAATGACAGATCTGATCCCGTGCCATCGTGATACGGCGTCTAAATCCGTTGCTTCCGATGCTAGATCACGGCGCACTCGTTCGACCCTGGATATTATGGACTACCAGAATCGCAGTTCCAGGTGCAGCCTTGAATCCGGTGGAAGGACCCCGACTCCCGTATATGCTGCCTGGGCCACGTACCAGCATCAACCTTGTCAGGCTCTCAAGGCGCCCCCAGGATCGCAGGTCCTACCTAGGTATATCACACACACACATATCACGCCTAAAATACACAGCTCACACAAACAAGCTCACCGAATTCTTTGCTCCGCGCTGGGCTGTCTGGCTCTTCCCTTCCAAGAAGTCGCCACTGTGCCCATATCAAATGTGAAGTCTGTAGGTGTCCAAGGCAGCAGCCACTTTGACCGAGACTGTGCCACACACGGCCGCCCTTTGACTGTTCCGCTCTTGCAGCTGGCCCCCGAAAGACGGAACCTCGTGCGCTTTAGTGACGAGGAAAGCAGGAACAAACTGCCAGTCTCAATTTCAAGCAATCTACTATTCTGCTGCGTCCTGTATCTTGGACTGACCTCGTCTTCCCTCCACCATGCTTTTGCGGATTTGCGACCAAAGGGTCCTGGGCGCTAACTCCTTCAGAAGGGCCTTTTAGGCGGGCGTGGCCGTCTTTAGCGTCGCCCCGACTTGCAAGCCAAATTTAGCTCCCCCAGCCGCTTGTCATCAGCACGCTAGAAGTGCGCTAAAAGCGCTAAAAACGAATGCCGCGGACCCCCATGGTCAAGCCACGCCGGGGGCTCGCACTGCCACAGCCTCAGCCCGAACCCGCCCGGGCTTTAAGTTAGTCATCTTGGGACAGACCCCAATTCCGGGCCCCGTGTCGAGTTCAATGCTCGTCAATATGTCTCTGTCTCTGGTCGGGTCCTTTTTGGGAGTGCAGTCGAGTATACCAACAGCCACGCTTCTAATCATTTCCTTGCTTGATGCCAGGCCAAGTTCCACCAGTGATTGGAGGCGGGCGGGGCGCTCTTTGCAGCCAACTCTAGCAATCTCATGCACGCCGCCCTCCCCCCTCTCTCCGGACTTTGGCAGCCCGGAAGTCGTTGCCCGTCCCATGTGCCGCATCGCCACAGAATGGCATCTAGGCTCTTCAATGGATATTGGCTCCGTCACGTCAAAAGGCCCCCCGCTGGAGGACGTGTGCCTCGTAGTGACCTTGCTTGAAGTCTTGCAAGTCTTTCGGCCCTTATCGGTTTTGGCCCCATGCCTGGTGGAGTGTTTCGCCCAGAGAAGCACCTCGTATGATGACCGTGAGCACCCTTCTCCTCCAACAGCTGGGGAGCGACGGGGCTCATCCATTCCGCTGCATTATTGCTCTGCTATACCTCCATTCTATTTCATCCGCATGGTGATATGGTGCTGTGGGTGATATGGCTTGACAAGAAGAAGGGCTGCACTCGTTCTCCATTGGTCGCGTGATTGGTGATGATGCAGGCTGACAGCTGCCTGTGTCACCACGTTGGCGCTTGGGCATTTGTTTGGATGGTCTGCAAGTCGGAGGCGCAAAGGCCTCCTCGTCGCGGGGGAGAAAGGCCTCAACGTGAAGAAGCAAGCAGCACAACAACCGAGAGAGAGAGGTTTGTCAAAGGGGTCCCGGCACCAGAGATCACCGAGGAAGACAGAGATCCCCATGATCTTGGTGTTGTGCTTCCAATCGCCGCCTTTGCCAAGTCTTGAAACATCTGTCTCCCGCGTGCCCCCCGAGAGCCGAGCCCGGGTACGGGCCAGAAATTGCCTTGTTGGGACTCATGGCAGCCAAGCGAGCTAACCCTGACCGGAGTGATCGTCCACATAGAGTTGTGATTAGGCTCAGTGTGGTCGGGCCTTGACTTGATTCGGGATGACCCTCACTGATAGCAACTGTCGACCGCTGACCCTTATGCAAATCCCTTCCCCTCATCATGCAACGAGCTGTTCTATCTCCGTGGCCAATCTTTGCAAGCTCCGCTCTTCAGTACCTTGCCATGCTCGCAGTCGAACCGGCTAGCGACACGTCACATCCCTGTCGGCGGGACGCCAAGTCCTGGCCGGCGAGAGGATCACAATGGCATGCCTGCCACCAACGAGAAGACGACCACCATGGTCTCTCACCGTCCAAGACCGAGGACCGCTAGTCACGTCCATCTGACCTCCCTTTCCTGAGGTACCCAAGGGGACCTGCTTCGCCGTATAAGACAGGTCGCCCGGTCTCTTGCGGACAACAGTTGTGCAAAATGCTACCATCCTCTCCCTCTCTGGATCCTGCTTTCGAGTTCTGCATCTGAATTACTTCCCTCTCCCCCTTCGGCTGCGAACATAGTATAGCATCGAGATGGTGAACCCAGCAGGCGTAGCGAATACAGATCGCAGTGCCGGCAACAACAATGCACCGCTACCCGTCCTCATAGTCGGAGCTGGTATGTATATGTATCCATTGCAGCCAGACTTTCCGCCATGTCGTCAACCCCCAAGCAGCTGAAACTATGCCACAATAGGCTCTGCCGGTCTTTCCCTTGCCCAAGGGCTGGAGAAAGTCAGTTCTCTCAGGCTTGTCGCTCCTCTCTCGTCTCCTCCTGATCCGGACACCAAAGTCTGAGCATGACATGACACAAGTAGAACGGCATTCGCACGATGGTCTTTGAGAAAGAGGCCTGCGATGCTCCTCCCGGACGCCGCACATGGGCGTTTGTCGCCGCTTGGTCCGCACCCATCCTGCAGACCCTGCTGCCAGCGCACCTCTGGGACCGCATCCACACCGCATTTTCCGACCCATCGATGCCCGTCAAGCCCCTTGACTATATTCCTCTCACCAACGGCGCCACAGGCGAGCGACTCACCGAGGTCCCTCTCTCAAATGGACATCGCTTCTTCCGCCCTCGTTTCAGGCAGCTCGTCTCCGAGGGCCTAGACATCAGGTTCGGGAAGGAGCTGGAGTCTCTCTCCTACAGGGACCAGTCGGTGGAGGCGCATTTTGCTGATGGGAGCTCCGTCGTTGGACGCCTTCTCGTCGGCGCCGATGGCTCTCGGTCTCGTGTCCGTAAGCAGCTCCTCGGCCCCGACCTTGCAGAGCTTGACCGCCTCCCTTTTGGCTCCATTTTCGTCAATGTCAAGTACCCACGGGAACAAGCCCTCCTGCTTCGCAAGCACCCCTTGTTCAGCGCCATGCTTCATCCCAACGGCAGTATCGCCCCCTTTTTCATCATCGATGCCCCCGACCCGGACCACCCGGAGGACTGGACCTTTATGATGTATATCAGCTGGGCGATGCGCGACGACGGCGAGGCAGCAGCGTACCAGGGCATGAGCAAACGCGACTTGCTCCGCACAGCCAAAGAACTCAGCAGTGTTTTCTGTGAACCGGTAAGGAGCGCCTTCGCCTGGGTCCCGGACGATGCAAATGATGTCTATTTCAGCACGATGGCCCAGTGGGATCCGCGCCCACCCCATCGATCCTGGAACAATCATGGCGGCTTGGTGACCTTGATTGGTGATGCCGCCCACCCTATGACACACCGTAAGGATGCTTCTCCTCGTGTATGCCTGTCCATCGCGTCGTGCTGACTCATTGCTTTCAACACGCAGAAAGAGGACAAGGTAAGCTCCGAGAAAACAGACAGGTGGCCCACACTTGGACTTACGTCTGGCGCAGGGCTCAACCATGCTATTGATGATGCTGGAAATCTGACCCGGCTCCTGTCTGCACCAGAGGGCCGCTCACAAGGGCAGCTGATCGACAGCTACGAGTTGGAGATGCGTGCTCGGGCCGGCAAAGAGGTGGAGCTGAGCGAGCTCAACACCAGAATGCTGCACGACTGGTCCCAGCTGATCAAGAGCCCCTTCCTGACCAATGGATTTGCCAAGCCCAAAGCAGTCGCGGCGGCTCCTCTTGCTAGGATCTGAGCTGCTGCTGCTGCTGCTGTATGGAGAGTCGACTGGTAACTGGTGTCTCGTGACACACCCAAGGGACAACTTAACGTGAATTCAGCGTGTTGTTCACAGGAGACCGAGATACACACTCTAAGATGCACTAGTTGAAGTCTACTTCTCCGTGACTCGGACGGCATGCAGTCGTATGCACCGAGGGAAGCAGCTTCTAGCGAATTAAGAATAGCAGCCAAAGTAGCTAGGAGTCAATATCATTGCGTATAGGCCGCATAGGGAATTGTGGCCTCAAGAGGAGAAGTCGATCCAGAGATTGGAGACGCAAGGGTCTTAAAGCAGCAACCTGACCAGGCTGGAGGGACCCAAGCTGTCGTAAAGATGCACATTTGAAAAAAATAACAAGAAAAAAAAGGCGATCCGGCTAAAGAAAACCCCATTCCATCCTAAGGTTTTATTGTTGCAACGCCTTAGAGGAGTAGGATATCTCATTTGAGAGCATCGGTAGGATCAAGGCAAGTCGGCACGCCAGCCTAGTCCCGGCTCTCCGACAAAGCGACCTTTAAAATCAATCCACGTCAGTATCTGTATCCGTGTGATACTCGAATTCACAAGGCACTGGGGCCGCGCCGTCACCCTGGCTGTCCGGGTCTATATCTACCAGAGCGTGGCTGGCTCGGTCTGCCCACTGGTGAAGGGCAGTCGGCGGGATGGGCTTTTCCCCTCTGAGCAGGCCCGTCATGCATTCGGCCCACTCCCATGGCTTCTCTCTGCCGCCGGGCAGAGAGTTGAAGTACTCCCAGCCAGAGACCCCGGCAAAGTTGGGATGTCGACCTACAAGAAGCGGGATGACGGTAGAGAGGGACTCCCAGGGCACATGGCCGGCGCCGTTTTCGGGATTTGTGACCATGCCAACCACCACCTTGTTGGCAGGCCAGCCCCTGGCCACAATCATCTCGTACATGAGGGGATTGCTGCAATCGCCCCAGCCGCAGTAGAACTGGGTGTTGTACCAGGCTATCTCGGAGCCGCGCATGACCTCGAGTGCCTCGTAGTCGAACCCGGACAGGTTCCTCATGGGGTCCAACAGCGCAGCGGCGACGGGAGCCAGCGTGAGGATGAAGTCTCGCCCAAAGTCGGCGCGCAGCCGATCGATGAGGCGGATGATGCCCGCGAGGCTCATGGGCTCCTCGACATCCAGGTCCAGCCCGTCCAGCCCCCGCCGCCGCACCATGTCCCGGAGGGGGACGTAGTAGCGCTCAAAGGTCAGCCTGTCCTGGTCGAGCCGCTCGTACGAGCCCTTTGCAGCTCCACCGAGCATGCCCAAGACCTTGACACCGCTAGCCTGCAGGATGCGCAACTCGGCCCACAGAGAGGTGAAGCGTTCATGGTCCGGGTGGTGGTCGTTCAGCGTCATGCCGTTCGGGTCGTCGTTCAGGTGTATAGCCCCGACGATCAGATGTGTCAGCTCTATGCCCTTGGCTGTGACGAGCGGCAGCGCCGAGATGAGCTGGCCACTTGCGTCATGATGGGTCTGGTAGTAGGTGATGATACGAGGCAAGTTGGGACGATGAATAGGTGGCATTGTCAAGAGAGACGATCTGTGGTATCTAACGTAGCTTTCCTCAGAAACGAGGAGATATATATGTAGGTACTCAAGGAAGGGAGGATGAGCCGCGCGCTGGCTCAAAGGATTGGGGGCGCCGATGATAACAGGCCGGACGCGAGCTCAAAAGAGTGTATATCGAGGAAGGAGAGGAAAAAAGAAAAGAAAACCAAAGAAATGTAAGGACTGTGAGACGGATGGCCCAACTTTTGACACGAAGTGAAGCAGACGCGTCCACCAGCAACGGCCGAGACCAACAAGAACTCGACGTATGTTGTTCGAAGCGCAGCAAATAGACCGACTACTGTCCAGAGTGTGCAGGTGGTGTGGTGGGTGCTTAGGTCAGCCCGAGGCCACGGGCCTAACCTTCCAGCCTCAGCCCCGCCCCCCAAGTTACCTAAGGTAGCTTAACCTCCACTCGCTCCCACAGTAAATTCAACCGCCACCGCCCAGAACCTCCTCCCCTTCCGATTCCACGTCTCCTCCTCCGGTCGGGCTTAAAGGAACCAGCGGCATACTACGCTTACTTGCTTCACCGGATATCTCTGCGTTCATCCTCTTTTCTTTTTCTTTTGGTAGTTGTTCCTCATGTCTTGGGCGGGGAGCATATCAGAAACCCATCTCGATCGTATAGGCCCGGGCTATCTTCCATGATGGCCGCTGTGCTGATCCTCTCGCTCAGACGGTTCTTTGCAGTCTTTCTCGGCGTCTGGAATTGCGGCGCGCCACTGCTGTATCCCGATGCTCTTTTTCGCTTAGTCCCGGGCGTGCTGTGCATCTCCACTTCGATCCGCGGCATGCTGATAATGCTGACCTTGCCCGGCTCGGGCGCATTCTCCTTCTGCTCGTCTGCCTCCCCGGCTTGGTCTAGACCGCAACCAGTCTTCAACGTCGACCTGGGCGAGTTGTTATTGCTGCCGAGCTCCAGGTAGCGCCGGGTGCCTCCGCCTTTCCGTGACGGACTGCAACCGCCGCCTCTGAGGACTGGAAGAGGCACCGTTTCGGCGTCCTGGTTCGATGTGGCGCTGTAATAGCTCGACGCCGCGCTATAGGCGCTCACAGCACTGTTCATGCGCCGTAGCTCTCCAATGGTCGATGCCACCTGGAGGTTGTCCTTGTTCTCATGCGATAGCGGTACGCGCGCCCAGTTGGGATCGGATGGCTTCTCGACGGGCGACTTGACATTCCCGGTTGTCTCCTCTGGGAACTGCGAGTAGATGGATGATGCTGCCGAGACGATCCGGATGCTGCCCCGCATCCTCCCGAGCTGCGGGCTCTTCTCTCCCGCGGTAGGAGACGCGGGGTTGGCCGTGATCTTGCGCTGGCCGATCAGTCTCAACTCAGGGCTCCCAGGGAGTGGAGGGAGCGTGTCGTCTTCTGTGGGACTCCCCTCTCGTCCCAGTGTGGGTGAGCTGCAGATAGGCCGCAGGTTATGCGGTGGTGGCACCACCTCGGCCACCTTATGCACCCGCACCCTGCCCAGCCCGAGTCCAGGCGTGGTGGGACTGGTGATGAGAACACCAGGTCTGTTCAGAGTGTCCGTGTTTGGAGACACGCTCTTCGGTTCGAACTTCTGCGAGGTCGAGTTGAGCCGAAGCGGCGGGGGGTACACAACCTGCGACCGGCTGGAGTCATGGCGACTCAGATCTTCAGAAGTCTCGCGTTCAGGCATAGCGAATCTGGAGTGGGTCGGGGTGGCATCTAACGACTTGGTACCGTCTTTGGACGCCGGGCTCCTCTCCCAGTCGCCCCCCAGAGGAAGCGAGGAAAATGTCTTGGCCGAACTCGGCTGGAATCGAGGCGCCGTGCCGTGGAGAGGAAGGGCCCTCGGCGGGGTGGCCATTTGTAGAGGTCTCCCCATGCTCCCAGGGGAGTTGCTGGAGATGAACGGATCCCCTTGCGCTGCCGCCCGGGCCATGATAATCTTGCCCACCTCTTCCGGCATGTTGGTTGGTACCGCGGGAATGCGGTTCCGGTCGCCAGGTACTTCTATTTCACTGTACACTGTTGACAATGTGGACGAAGCGCTGCTGCTGGTGGATACGTGTCTGTGCCTGGACTTGTCTTGCTCGCCACGACGGACCCGGCTCGGACTCGTCAGGGCCGTGGGTACGTCGTTGCGTTCTGGGCTGGAGTCGCCGTAAGCATCAAAGATGCTGTCAGCCTCCGAGTTTGCCGACGCTTGCGAGAGCTGTTTGGCGTGGCTCGGCGCAGTTGGGTATGGCATATTTGGAGCGGACTTTGCGGGACTAGGAGTCCGCGACCGCATGTGCCAGGACGCTGATTCATCACCCGACTCGGCTTGGGCAGCACGGAGGCTTCTCGTTGGCGAGATGGTAGACCTTGTTGTTCTTCGCCCACTCCCGCCGCCTTCCTGCAATCGCTTCTCCGTTGAGCGCAGAATCTCCGATAGTGTCGAATCGGTCGAGATATTGCGCGTGTGTGATCTCGTCGGGCTGCTTTTTTGGGCAACATCTGCACTCTGCTCCTGGTGGAAGTCCTCATAGACATAAGGAACACCCATGGAGGCCTGAGGGTCCGCCGGACGCAGGTGTGCAGGCTTGGGAGGCTCGGGCAGCTGGCGCACGGGCATGCTCGGCATCGACACCGTGGACGCGCTGAGTGACGACCGAGCTCGTGTGTACGGCCCCGGGTGGTGTTCAAGTTGCACCTTGGGGACAGTCGGGGAGCCAGGGAGCAACGACCTCAGCGGCCACGAATCTCGTATGGACTTGCGGCCGTGTGTACCGTGTCTCTTGACCTTGGGCCCGTGGATGGCATCCTCGTCGATCCAGCTTGAACTCCGCAGCCTCGTCAAGCTTTCGCCTCCTTTTGTACGAATAGGTCCAAAATTGTTGTCGTTACCAAACATGGGCGAGAGGACTGGCACTGAGAAGCTGTGGAGGAAAGAGTTCCGGGTTGACCTCCTCTTCTCTGGCGAGTGCGAAGGTCGTTTCTGTAAACGTCTTGGGCTCTGGGCTCGTGTGCCGGTGCTGTCGGCGTCGTCGTGGGGGAAAGCCTCGGAGGCATCGACATAGTCGAGATCACGGCGTTTGGCAGCACGCTTGCGTGAAAGCCACACGCAGAAGAACGCACCTCCAATGCACACCGCGGCGCTCCCACCGATCACAATCGCAAGCAAGACGCCGAGGCTGAACGGCGTCGACCCGACATTAGATGTCGACGAGTCCCTCCCCGCCACCGAGCCCGACCTCATCGACGGACCCATTGTGTAGAGTCCTCTCCGGATTGGATGCGACCAGTGGTCACCACCACCACATGGCACAACCTGCGTTGTTGTATCACTACGTCGGCTCGCAGCTCCGTGTATCATGCAGGTTGACTCCTTGCAGGGTAGGTGGTTCGCTTTCCGTCTCGTTGAATCTCTTTTCTGTGTGGTGCGCTGCAGGGCGATTTGGATAGAGATGCATTGATACAGTAAATGAACGCACAGGTAAGGAACAAAGTTGAACACTTGGGGACCATGCGAAGACCGCGACCCTTTGCTGTGGTCATGTCAGGCTGTTTAATCATGGTTGGAATGCGTCGCTATGAGCGACCTCATTCCAGAGCGTGTCCACACCAAACATCTACCTAGTAAGTATCGGGATCTCCACCAGAGTAGGCTGCTACCTAGTTCAACGAGAACAGTAGAGAGGAATTCGAGAGGGATTGGTTTGCAAGAGCTGCGGCAAGCGATGCGTAGTTGGACAACTCGTATGGGCGAACCTATGATCGTTCACTGTGCAAAGCGCGCGGTGAGAAGACATGGCTCTCAGCGAAGCTACAAGACTAGGTACAGGTGATTTCTCTATGGTTTGGCACGCGGTGAGGAATGCTGAAAGAGCTGTTTCAAATCTAGACTTGGTCAAGTGCGGAATACATCTACAATGTACACAGGCTTTGCTCCATACGAATAGGAATTTCAGCTGTATGTAGACCCATCAATCATCACGTGTGAAGCAAATCTTGCGGAAACGGAGGCTCTTCATTTGGTACAGAGTAGAGTCATTCGAAGTTCATTTCTAGTGGATATCGTTTGAAATTCCCTTCCTGCACCCAGCCCGCGGGAGAGGAAGGCAAAAAGGACAGGTGCTAAAATCATGCCAGTATGCCGATCAAATGGAGACGAAGAAGAAAAGGCTCGAGAAGGCAACAGAATTCAAAGTTGCAACAACAAAGATCATGGACGGGCAAACCGCCTAGTATCCTGCGCGTGGTAGCCCGGCTGTGCAGATGCTGTGGTCCACACAAGACATCCTCGTCGGGGTGGTAGGCATCATCAGGATCGGTGTCCATGCTGCCGTCCGGCATGGCGATGCACGTGGCCGGGGATCCGGCGGGCCTTGACTTGGACCTGATTGGGCACGTCGGCGCTGACGGTGACTGTTGAGGTGACATCCTCCGACACAGTCACATAGACAACAGCTTCTTGCCAAACGATTTCGGAGACGATGTTGCCGTTCGTCACATATTCGGTACGGACAACTTCGTAAGAGAGCCCATCGCCAGCGGCCTGCGCCGCAGGCAGCTGTGCGGGAGGTGTAGTGGCCGGCGGTGGAGGGACAGGGGCTGGCGTTGGGGGCACAGCCGGCGCCGATTCCACAGACACCTGTTGGACCTGTGGAGCGACAGGGGGCTGAACCTGAGCAGCGGAAGCCTGCGGTGGAGGCGTGCTTGTGGGCTGATCCTGGGCCACGCCTTCGGCCGTGGCCTTGAAGACCTGGCCGGGGAGGTAAGTGCCGCTGGCCGTGGCACTTGAGCCGGGCTTGTACGTCAGGGTAGGAACAGCCTGGACGCTCGATGGCTGGGGAGGGTGGGCCATGGTGGCCGGGCCAGGACCGTACTGGATAGCGACGTTGCCGGGCAAGGATTTGAGGCCCGGTCCGCGGACATCCTCGTTGACGAGGGCGGCTGGAAGATCCATCTTGCACTGGTTGGCCTTGGAGTCATCCTGGATATCAAACAAAGGGCAAGCGCTGATCATTCCGCTGTCGCTTGTGCAGGTATCGACGGCCTGCTGCAAAAAGTTCGGGTCCCAGCCAGTCATGAAGTCGCCATGGTACCCGTAACCTACGAAACAAGAGGTCAGTCTGATGATTCGAATATTGACAGTGTCGGCTGCATAGCACGCGGGGAGACTGGTGGCTTACCGTACGGGTCTCCGTTGGAGATGACAAATTTTCCAGGACGGTTCTTGAATGCATCGGTGGCCCAGATGGTCTCGTAAAAGAGGCTCACGAGACGGATGGGGTAGTCGGGAGGGCAGGTGCCGGTCATGACAAGATCAGGATACGCCACATGGTCCTTGTGGTTGGGCGAGTCGAGATCCTTGCCATTCCAGCACGACGGGAACATCAGCTCGAAGCGAATGCCATCGGGGCAATTCGCGTCGAGGTAAGCCTTGTCTGGCAGGAAATGGCGGTAGAGCGAGCCCTCGGGAGCCTTCTGGTAGTTGAGGCAGTTGAAGCCCAGTGCACGCTGGGCGAGATCGCCCTGGGTGACCTGGCCGAGAGCAGCCCACAACGACTTTTCGGGATCCGGGGTATTGACATCGCCCAAGCTGTAGTTGCGACGAAGGCTATCGCCGGCGATCATGCGAAAACCCTGGGGAAAGGCCTTGACAGACTTCTCACCGGGATTGCTGTACAGCAGATAGTACGCTAGCATGCCTCCTCTCTGGTCCACAGCTTCGAACTCGCCGGTGGAAGCGTCCTGAAAGAGCACGGATGGGTGCCAGTACACCGACTTGTCCTGGGTGACAGCGCATGAGGTGCAGTTGGCGCGCACGAGGTCCTCGTAGGTAGCGTCTTCGGAGAATCCGCTCGAACCGTGGATGGCATGGACGTGTTGGGAGACCTCTCCGGGCGAGACCAGAGGGTCGAGTCTAGCCAGGCCGACGCGGGCGTGGCATTCCATGCGCCAGAAGGCGGTCGCGGTCAGGGCAAAAGCCCAGACGGGAAGTAGGGTGATCCTCATCTCAGCTTTGATCCTGGCTGAAAAGGGTGAGGGTTGGTGTGAGATGGTGAAAGTCGATCTTGTCCGGCGTGCTCGAGATGAAGAGCGATGGATCCGGTACAAAATTCGTATGTGTGCAGCCCGTTGTAGATGTTGAAGAGATGAGCTGACAGTGTCTCTGGTTCTTGTCGCGCCTTGGGAAGGTTTTGTTTGGCGTTTTGATGCACTGCCGGCCGGATCTTGTCAGGTCGAGACAAATGATCGGGTATGGAGCGACCAGGTAGCGGTCAGAATCTCAATGCAACGGTGACGCAAAAGACCGAGAAGGACGAGGGAAGATGCGTTGCTGGTGAGTGAGTGAAATGTGATATTGCGTCAGTCGTTGGCGTTTGTGGCTTTCCGAGGCCGTGTAAGTGAAGCGGCGTGTAAGTGAATCAGGCGCTGCCGAAGCCACACCTTAAAAAAAAGTCACTGCTGGTGTCGGGCGTGGTGAAAAAGAAGGAATGTCGACCGCAAGTGAGGATCAAGGTTTGCAAGTTTAAGCAGCGGCAAGGCGTCAAGGAAGAAACGCCCGTGGTAATAATAAGACGGAAAGGACCTGTGACGTGATGCCTGGGCCAGCTTTTCCCAGCCTCACCAGCGAAGGCTTTCTCACGATGTCAAATTCCAACCTGTGGGTGGGTGGCGGGCTAAATGTCCAGCAGCACTCCACCAGGAATTCGAGCCAACAACAGCCAAGCGAGACTGGATTCGAAAGAGAAGAAAACGGAGGGGAAGAAACCAAGGAGGGAAGCAGATATCAGGACGTTTTTCGTTTTTCGTTTTTGCCTTTCTGTCCTGGCTTATTCTCTCGGCCCCTTGTATCTGGAACCCTTTTTTCCCTTTCTCTTTGCGGCGGTTGAAACTGCAACCGTAGCTGGTGATCCAAATCCTTGAGTCTGGACAACGCTCTAACAGAGAATACTCGACCGGTGAAACCGTGTAATTTACTGGGAGAAACGAATGCGATCAACACAGAGGAAGGAGAGCGACGACTGTGCCAAAAGAAATCAGACAGCCGTTGGGTGGGCGAAAGAACGTGAGCGAGGTGGCGGTTGGGACGAAGGAGCGAATGTCGTCGATGAAGAAATCCACCACCAACAAGAAGGCAACCTGCTGCTAGGCAGAGAGAGAAAGAGGGAAGAGAAAAGAGAGGCGATCCAGACGATCTGGAAAAGGGAGAGACTGGGCTGCGGAGGCGAAGTAAAAGAGGCAAGGAAAGAGAAGCCAAGGGAGGGATGCGTGGAATGAACCTCGATGTAAGAAGCAGCGCTGAGAGGGGCGCTGGGAGGATTGTCGAGGGGGGCGGGTGTCGGCTCGCGCGCCCACACCACTCACTGCCAACCGCCCCCCCTTCTCTCTCCCAAACTCCCAACTCCAGATCGTGAGCTGTTGGGCCCCCCGGTCAGAAAAAAGAGAGACCAAGTCGATCTATTCTTGCACCCATTTCTTGTATACACCGCACCCATGTTCTGCTGATGGACCGGCTCCGTCGATCAAGACGAACATTCCGCCCGTGGCGTACCTAAATACAAGAGTACAACATGTAAAGTAACTACCTAATCTGTGGATAGGTCTATGTAGACATCCCATTTCAGCTTCCTTATTTGTGTAGCTTCCTTACGGAGTGGAAATGCTCTGGTGTTGCAAGGAGTCGCCCTCTTCTCTCACTTCCTCACTCGCTCACACCCTCGCACAGCACCGAGTCTGGGGAATCCCATGGCTCTGCCGTTGAAGCAGCTTAGGTAGCTCAGACGAGAGGGAGGGGGAGCGAGGAAAGGGAGGGAAAGCGGTAACTACGGCACAGACCAGCACAAGAGAGGGTCAGCTTGTATCAGAGATAGATTAAGGTACAGAGCCTGGGTTTGAAAATGCAAAGTGCCGGTTGGCCGGGGGGTGCACGGCTGGCTCACGATCCCTGCGAAGTCGAGCTGGTGGAATTCTTGTAAGTGCCTCCAAGGGGCTGGGCAGCCCTTCTGACTGGTTGGTCGCCTTGCCACTGCCACGAGAGCGCCGCTAAGCGACAAGCCCGACAGGCTTGACAGGGGAGAGGAAGAATCCTCATGCACCAGCGGCCCCCTGTCTTCTATTCGCGACTCCATGCCTGACGAAGAACGGAAGAGGAGGAGGACCAGGTGCTTGTTCCGCACACACCGTTCCTCTCGATGACCTATCTATCTTAGTTACTGGCAACTGCATGCTTCCTGGGTACTGTATGTAACTACTAACTGCCTAAAGGTAAGTAGGTAACAAGGTCGGTAGTTAGGTACTCAAGTCTAGTCGGGAGCACCATGTGCTGGAGCAAGCCAAAGACCAGACTCGGATGTGCCCGCTCTCTTCCAGGTTAGCCTTGTTCTCCAGCACATCCATCATGAGCGACAGCACAGTGGAGAACATTCAGGCCCTTGGGCACGACGAAGCTCGCGTGCGCGCGAGGCGTGTAAGTACATGTACCTGAGCGATGACGCCACTCAACGCCAACTACAACTACATAGGTACGTTAGGTATGTAGCTACCTTGGCACTTGACGTACCTACGCACTTCCAATATCATGGGACCGCAAGTATGGAGCAGGATTCGCGCACAATGCCTGCACCAGCTTCGGGCGCGCGTCTTTCTGACAGAGAACATCCGTCCCGCATTCCATCTCGAGCAGATCGTCTTGACCTGCTCGGTCGTGCCGTGTGCGGCGATCAGGATCGGCGGTGCTGAGTGTGCCGTGAACCCAGCGAGAGGGGTGTCGTGTCAATGAAGATGCGCGGGATAATCAGGGGCAGAGCTCAGATCGGCAAATATCGACGACCTGCATGCCATTGGAACATCCCCTCGGCAGGCATACTAATAGGGATTCTGCTGGTGCTGGCTGTCTGGCGCTTCCGGCTGAAAACTGCCTTTCACTCGTGGTTTTGGGCACCTCTCGCATTGGCGACTCTGGGGTCGGCATCCTGAACTGAATATCCAAGTACGTACTCTTGTAGCTACCTACCTAGGTACCCAGAGGTATGTCCTATCTGTTGTGCCAGGGATGAGAGAGGTGAAGGGCGTTTTTGGGGGCTTCTTTCTCCCTTTCTGCAAGCGCTGGCGCCAAGCACATGAAACACGTTTCAGCCAAGAACAGCTTGAGCCGTGCACCAATCAGCCTGCGACATCAATACGGAGTACCTAGGGAGTTGGCAGGTTTACTCCGCAGAAACGAATCCTTGGAGCCGTGCTGTTGGATCCTGGCTTTTCTGCTGCCTTTTTGTTTCCCAGCTTGTTGCCATTCTACTTGTACTCCGTACACAATCAAAGTGGGAGTTGTAGCTTGCTTGCCTGCTTGCAGACCAAGGTTCGAGCCTCAACCTCACCATCCTTGACCATGAGGCAACCGGTGACAATGAATGCAGCCTCGCTGTGCATGTTGGGGAGGCGCCCCAAAGCACTCCGTACCTAAGTACTTGACTTATTCTAGGTACCTACTTGTAGGTGAGTAAGAAAAGAGTGAAGTGCGCAAGGCAAGTTGATCAGGTACCTTACCGAGTAGATAATACAGCTAGGTACCTTACCTAGGTACCTACCTTTCCGTGTGAGGCCCTAACTACAGTACCTAAGTCTACCTCCAATCACGTGCACCACAGCGTGCATCCACTGAAAGCACCAGCCACATCGTGCCACACTCCGCTAGACCTCCAGCTTGATGTTCTGGAAGCCGCCCCAGGCTGGTGTGTACAGCACGCACAGGTGGCACCAGGAGCTCATCCATCAATATCTCCCCGACTCGGAACTGGTCTCGCCAATTGTGACTTGCATCGTCACTCGATACCACGGGTCGCCTTTTTGGAGGACCGCAAACAAGCACGCCCACACACTCTCGCCATGTCCCGATAGAGCCACCGTACCTGCTGAATCTGACTTCCGTCACAATGGACGACCTCTCGGCCCTGGATTGGTCGTCCACCTCGGACACCAACAAGACCTCCAAGGCGCCTCCCAATTCCACGAACCCGCCGAATGCATTCGCCTACCCTTCGCTGCGCCCGACTCCTTCGCCATTCTCTTCCGGCCACAATACCCCCCTATCCAATCAAGCCTCGGGCAGTTCCTCCTTCAAGCCGCCCCCTCAAAAACCGGCCCAAGACAGCTTTAGCAATCTAGTCAACTTCGGCCATGCCAAGAACACCGCCAACCTGAGCTTACGCGAGCGCCAGGAGCGTCTCGAAGCCGAGAAGCGCAAGAAGCAGGACGATCTCAGGAAGCAAGCCCAGGCTAACTACGGCGATGGCCGCTTCTTCGACACGCTTGCCTCGAACTCGGGTGTCAACTCAAGAACAGCATCGCCAGCTCTGTCCAACCAGCCTGCTCAAGAGCGCCGCAAAACCGACTCGGACGACGACCTGTTCGCCGCATTCAACGCCGAAACAAAGGTGGATAATGATAGTCACTATCCCCCACCCGCCGAATCTGCATCGCGGACAGCAACGCCGGCTTCCGGGCCCGCCTTGGATCTGAGTGACCCCGGCGCGTGGGGGGCTAACGCCCAGAGCACGAGCCATGGAGGAGGCGGGTTCGAAGACGACGACCCTTTCGATCTTGGCCAGCTCAACTCGAAACCTAGCAGCAGCGCTGCCGTCAGTCCGGCCAACGGCGGCGATGACGACTTCCTCGGCGACCTAGCCAAACCTGTGGAGGAGGTTCGCCGCAAGGCCAAGGCCAGTCAGCCTCAAAGTCCCGAACCTGGCAAGCCCATCGAAGATGGAGATTCCGATTCGTCTGCTGAGCAAGCTGTCTCACACATGGATGACCCCTTCGACCGAGCTGTGGCTGAATTGGTCGATTACGGCTTCAGCCCAGAAAACGCCCGCCGGGGCTTAACGGAAAGCGGAGCTGGGCTGAACGTGCAGGCTGCTGCAAACTGGTTACTGGATGACGCGCACAGAGCTGCAAAGGAAAAATCACAAGGACAGCGACGTGCAAACGGCCGCGACGGGAGACGGCAAGTAGAAACCAAGAGTTCCAACGGTACCGACAGCGCGGCATGGATGGCCAAAGGTGGGGATGCTCGTCAACATGCTGTCTCGACTCATCAGAACGATGGTGATTTCGCCAAGACGGCGGCTGCTATGGGAACCAGCTTCCTCAAGTCTGCTAATTCTCTCTGGAAGACCAGCCAGAAAAAGATGCAACAAGCTGTTGCCGACTTCCAGCAGGACGCCGACCCCAGCCAACCAAAGTGGATGCGGTCGGCTCAAGCAGACCATCCGTCCAGCAGAAACACTGCGCGGCAACAAGACGTCACTGATGAAGCCATGATGTTGGAAGGCGGTGCACATCCCGATCGAAAGCCCCAGTCCATGCCACCTACACATACTTCTTCGCGGACCCAGGCCCCTGCAGCGTTCGACCAGCCCGAAAGGCGGCATAGTCCTGTTCCTCGGTGGCAACAGGCCAAGCAGCCTCCAGTGCGCGATCCACGAGCGAGATTGAACCATCAGTCGGTAGAAGAACAGAGTGCACAGGCATACGTTAGCCCGGCCCGCAGGAAGAAGCCATCCCCCCAGCCGGCACGGGAGACGCTGCCTAGTTCATCGCAACCAACCCAAGATATCTCGTTTCGATCCTCTCCCCGCTTGGCATCTCGGACAGGAGGACAGCAGCAGGCGCCTGCTCCGCAAAACACCACAACAAGGCCAAGTGCGCCTCCTTCAAAGCCCGCGCCGAAACTGCCTCCGCGACAGATCCCCCCTTGCAGCCCAGCATCATTCCAAAGTTCCAACAAGCATCGCCTGGATGGTACAGCGCATTTTAAACGAGGCGACTATGCCGCAGCACATGCGTCTTATTCTTCATCACTGGCAGCCATACCTTCGACGCACCCATTGGCCATTGTGCTCCTCTGTAATCGCGCGCTCACGGCGCTTAAGACGGGCGAGCCCCGCCAGGCGGTGGACGATGCCGACGCCGCCCTTGCGGTAATCGGCCCCGGCAAAGGGGAGAATGAGCTTGTCGCTCTTGAGGACGGTACAAGCGAAAAGCGCGATATGCGCGACCTCTACGGCAAGGCCCTCACGCGCAAGGCCGAGGGGCTGGAGCAGATGGAAAAGTGGTCCGACGCCATGGCTGTGTGGCAGACCTGCGTGGAAGCCGGCGTTGGTGGTGCAACGGCCACTGCTGGTCGGCAGCGATGCCAGAAAGCACTAGCTCCGAAACCGCCCCTGAAAGCCGCCGCGCCCTCGCCGCGCCCAACAGGTACTGCCGCAAGGCCAAACGCCCGGCGCCCCCCCGGCGGCGGCGCCGCCGCCCCAGCAAAGGACTCGGACGCTGTAGAACGGCTTCGAGCCGCCAACAAAGCCGCCGAAGCCGCAGACGGCGAACGATTTGCACTAGTTGATCAGGTTGATGCACGGATTGCAGCCTGGAGGGACGGGAAACGAGATAATCTTCGTGCACTGCTAGGCAGCTTGGACCAAGTCCTGTGGGAGGGCAGCGGGTGGAAGAAAGTCGGACTCCATGAGCTGGTTCTGGCCAATAAAGTCAAGATTGTCTATATGAAGGCGATCGCAAAATGTCATCCTGACAAGGTAAGTCCCAGATGAGAGCCTGTCTATGGCACCCCTCAGCCGCGCTCCTGGCCGTTGCTAACACCCTCCCGCTTTCCAGCTGGCGCAGGACACGAGCACAGAAGCCCGCATGATTGCAGGTACCGTTTTCAGCACCCTGAACGAGGCCTGGGACAAGTTCAAGGCCGATAACGGCATGTAGTCGTGGACCCAAGCGTAGAATTTTGGCAATTTTAGCGATGCAGCGACAAGCCGATTCGGGGTGCTTGACGCCCTGGGTGTGCCATTGTGATCAGTGATGACCCTGCAGTAATGTCAAGGCTGAGAACGCGACGCAAACGGTGCAAAGATGGAGCAAAGTACAATAGGAAATGCACTGAATTGAATCATCATAGCCCAATAACACCTTGCTATGCAAGCAGAACGAATAGTTTATCTACGCGCAAGTATCCCACGACAAACGGGACACGAAGCTTGGGACACGCCGCGGGCCCAAGAGCAGCAGGAGAGGCAAGACGATGGACAATCGTCCAGATGAGTGCTCCGCCCCGTCCGACCTCCCCGATAAAGCTCAGACCGGGATACTCTCTTGTGCCAAGACTCAGAGACCAAGCATCCTCCTTACGCCGTCGCGGACCTTCTGCTCATACTCTTCCCTCCGCTCGCGCCACATCTTCGCCGCCTCTACATTTGCGGGGCTCTCGTCATTGGGCTCCGCTAGCATGCTCATGACGGATATGAGGATCTTTTCCACGCTCTGTATGGGAGACCACCGCTCGGATGCGTGCTCGTAATGGTTGGGGTCATCGCCGGGAGGGTGCAGGATAGAGATGCAGACCAAGCCGCTCGGGTACACTGGCGATACGGTCAGACATTTGCCGAGCGTGGTCTAAGGCACCGGCGACGGCGTTGCAAAACGAGCGGGAGCGGTGGAGAATGATGGATGATGGACACTTACCATTGGGGTGCCACACCTCGTCGAGGAACTTCATCGTGGGCGGAGCAAGGGGGTAATCCTTGGGGAAACGGAGCTCGGCGGGGAAGATGCCGCCTTCGAACGGAGTGCCCTCGGGTCCTTGTATCCAAGCCTGCCAGTGGAGGAGGTCGTCTTCGGAGACGGGGCCTGCAGTGATGCCATCCGGGGGGTTGTTGGTCAAGGCGCGATACTCTTGGAGCAGCCGACGATGGGCCGTTGATTGCGCCATGCTGTAACTACGCGGACAGTCTTTCTGGGGCAGTCTGGAGGAGGGTTGGTTTGTGGCAGTTCTACTTCAATAAAACGCTGGGCCCGGTGAGATGAGATGATGCGTGAGGTGTGTTTGCATCCGCCGAGCCAAGGTACGTGGAGGGGCGGGCGAATGCTGATCGTAGGTCGCTACTTGTACATGCATGTTTGGTGTAATGTGGTCCATGTGGAGTACCTCCTTATCTTATCGGAAGTACTTGTAGTTTTACTTGGAGTGCGAATTGACCCGTAGCTCCAAGCACTGACCGTTTCCCCCGTCCGTCCCGCAGAAAATACCTACCTACGACCGCCAGCTCCGATTCAGCTTCTCAAGAACCTGAAGCACACGCTGCGTTCCCTCACAGCGCATCCGCTCGTTCGACGTCCTCGACAGGCATCATGCCGCCGGGCTTGGGCTTGCGACCAGTCGTCGGCCGCGGTCGCTTAGGATCTACGACCCGACCTGCCTGTCGTCCTTCCCTTTGTTTCTTTTGCTCCTTGACCACCCAGGAATCGGCTAGGGCCAGGTCGAGGATAGCCAGGTCGAGGTATCAACACATTGGCCGCCTCAGCGTCGTAGCGAGCGCCCGATATGCAACCACCGACGCTTCCGCAGCACGACGAGACCTAGAAGACACTCTGGCGGAGCTCGAGAAGCATGCGCCAAACCACGTGAGTCTGCCACGCGTGCAACTGGCACTGCGCAGTCTTCAGCAAGAAGCCGGCAAGGAGTCAATACGTATCGCCATCCTCGGCATCGCCAACGGCCACCCTGGGCGAACAGCAAAGGAAGTGCTACGCCTACTTCTAGCCGACCCTCTCAAGGCCGAAGAGGAGTGGGAAAGGGAGCTGGATAAGCATGACACAGCCCATCCTCTAGTTGTTCGCATTGGCAAGCAAGATGCGCCGGACCAAGAGGCCCTGAGGCAGTCCAGAACTGATCTCATACGTGAGATGCAGGTGTCGGTACCTACATTGAATGGGCACAACATCGAGATCCTGGTAATGGAAACTAACCCTCTCACCACCAACCCGAGGGCCCGTGCGATACAAGAGTTCGAGGAGTCGGTCCTCGTACCCGCTGTTGAGATTCCCACCTCGGATTCGGGCAGGGTTACGCCCGTCGCGACCCCAGTCCACAAAGCTTTGATAGTGGCAGACGGTATGCTGGGTGCCCTAGCCGTATCCGCCATGCCTCTCGTAGACGACAAGGACGAGATCGCCGCAGCAGTAAATCTCAGGCACCCGACCGACGATGTGTCTAGCTGCCCCTTCATGCACATCGATATCGATCTCGGGGCGCAGGGCCTCGGCCTCTTCCGCGACAACGTCTCCAACGCCATGAAATACGAGGCATGCTGGTATCGGAGCAACATTCCGGATGTGCGGAGCTGGTTGACACTGGGCAGCTTGTCCAGCGAGGATGGTGCCACGAAGCTGCCCGTCCGCAAGCTGGTGGCCTCGGTTTTGCAAAATGCGTTGGCGTCTATCCAGGCTGAGGAGGCGCGACATGTGTCTTGCGCACGCCCTGCGCTTCTGTCGGGTCCCAGGCTGAATGCGCGGCTCGCTGATTGGGCGGAGGGGGCTCACGCAGAACTTCAACAGGAACTAGACTTGGTTTTCTCGGGCCGTCGATGGCGTAAATTGGGATGGTGGAAGCTGTTCTGGAGAGTTGACGACGTCACTATGCTTACGTCGGAGATGGTCACGCAACGCTTCCTGCCGAGGTCAGAGCAAGAAATAGTCTATCTGGCAGGTCGCCTAGCCGAGTCCCAGTCGTCCGATGCCAGGGACGAGCTTCCCGCATACCTACAGCCCAGCGCAACGGCTGATGGGACGAGACAGATTGTCGAGGCCAAGTGGCCCACCCACATCAGCTTCACGAGGCGCTATCTCCTGGACGAGACAATTCCAGCTCTACAGGCGCTTGCTCAAAAACTCGTCTTGCAAACCTCGAGCTCTTCTGCATTGTCCGCGGCCCTCGGCGGCCTGATGTACCTGTCATCCTTTGGCGCGTACGAGGCTGGCGCTGTGACGGCTCTTGGCCTTGTTTGGAGCTTGGGAAGAATGCAGAAGAAGTGGGAGGCCGCTCGAGACTTTTGGGAAGGCGAAGTCCGTGAGGAAGGCCGCAAAACTATCCGCGCTGCAGAATCCAGTGTGGCCCATTACCTAGACCAGGCAAAAGAAGAGTATGCCCAAGGTGGCAGAGCAGTGGAAGATCTGGAGCGGGCTCGGGAACTGGTCGAGAAGGCAGAAGCTGCTCTGCAAAAACTCCCATAGGCAGATGCGCCCATAAGGGCATAATAGTCCACTGCACTGTAATACCAAACGATGCTCGTGTACGAAACGAGTTGGCATAGATTGGCCTGGAAAAGGTCTCAACGTTGTATTTGTCTGTCTCTTGATTCGCACTCCGTGAGCCGAAGCACCATCAAGGGAAATGACCTGCCCTGATCGCGCATCATGGGTCCAGTCTTGCCTCTCCCATCTGTCATTCCAGCCGCCGCCGCTTATTTTTGGGCGCACACGCGATTTCCACCGGGATATACCCATAAATGCAAATATATTCGTTCCCCGAGGTGTCCCCTGAACGCCTGCAATCTCAGTCCTGAGTAATCCGCGCCCGCCTTCCCTTCCCCCCTCTCCTCCGTAGCCGGTTCAAGGCCCCAGACCCGAGTAGCTAACTGATCCATCTGTCGGCCCGTTATTCTGTTTTATGTCTCTATGTCCTCTCCAGCTCGATGTTTTTACCGACCGCCACGTCCACCAGCTCGTGCCCTGCTGACAGTTGCTCTTCCTCTGGCCAGGCCGACACCACGTCCGCGCACGTTGCGACTCCGGAACATGGGGGCATTTCGTAGCATGTCAGGAACGATAAAGAAGCGCACGTGGCTGCCGCGGATGTAGACCTGCTCCAGATGGCTGACCCGGCCGTCTCGGGCGGTGACGGTGATGTCCTTGAGCTGGACATTCATGTTGTCTTCGGCTATTTGGGGGAAGGCGAGTCCTCTGGTCAGTCTGCGGGCTCATGGAATGCAAGCTCGAACGGGCTGTTGGGGTTTTCCTTACCTTCCAACAGCTTTCCTCGGTATGTCTGGCCTGAAGTGATCTCCAGCGTCACGATATGGCCCTGTTTGAACAAGCAAGGGTCAGCCAAACGTGAGGGGGCCATAGATTGGCTCTACCAAAGGCAGCAACGCGTCGGAGCTTACCTGGGCCTCGTTCAAAAGCTTGATGGGTATGCCGATTGTCGAGGTCATGGTGATGAGAATTCTCGGTCGATGAGTGCACCGGATACGAATGTCGTAGATAGTCGTCACAAAGGCTGCTAGATCGCGCCTTGTTTGTTTTGGGGTTCAGGAGCCGACGAGTGGAGTTGCTCTGGTCGGTAAAGGGAGCGTCACAGGTGGGCGACGGGGAGTGAAGTGTCCACGCAGGCTTTGGGCGTGTCAAGACTCTTCGTTCTATGCGAGATCCAAGCTGGAGTACAGTCGATGCGCCTTTGTGAGCTCAGACTAGTAAATGGTTTGGAGCATTGATGCAGTCCGTCCACAGTGCACGCAAATCCCACCGGAGCGAAAATTTTCCGATGCGGTCCACTCCAGTCAGTATCAATCAAATTGATTAGGCTGGTAGTGGATTCATTCATGGACCAGACTCAACACCACCTTCAGTTACTACCTATTATTGTCAACTCACTGCAATCAATCAAATGCTGAGTGCTCCAGTCAAGCTGCACAGCAGGAAAACACATAGCCTGAGTATCGTGCGCTTTCTACAGCCCAGCCCGCAATTATTCAGGCATTTGATGCCTTTATGGCAGCACCGGGCATCCTCTCTCCCCCTCCAACACAGGGCACGTGCAATAACACATGAAGAACGGTCGTGCTGGTATTACGACATGTACACTTCCACGTTTCGCAGTAGGTTCGAAGTGTCTGGATGGATATATGTCTTGGGTAATCTTCATAGTTTAAGGTTCTATGCCGAGTAAAATTACCAAGCGCTCAAACCCAGGAGCAGCAGCAGCAGCAGCAGCAGCAAGGACTATCTAAATCTATCATGGACACCAGACACCATACATTGCTCATAATCGTCATTCTTCGGTACATCATTGGCCAATCCCCAGGTCATGCAGCCAAGCACAGCTAGCATCTAGCTCTGCTCAGGCGCTGTTGGCCGATGGGGCAACACCCGACATGGCCCCTGTAACGTTGCCAGGTCGGCTGAGCTGCGGTTCGAGTTCCGGCTCCATTTGCTGTTCTTCATCCGTCCCGTCGGCGTCGAGTTGTGACGTGGTGTCTGCCTTGCCCTGCTCAAGGGAGCCAGTCTCCTGACCCAGCCCTATGATGTCGACCCACCTCCAGGATTGAATGCCTGTGGGCTCGCTCCGGCTCAGGATTTTCTCGTCGTCGAGAACTCCGTCGTCCGCAACGCGGTCATCGTGGGCGTCACGCACCCCAGGTTTGTCCACAAGTTCGCCATCAACCAGGTCCGCAAAAGATGTACGGGATACAGGGACACTGTTGGCACGAAGCATCTGCAGGGCAGCCCGCAAGTTCAGGCGCAGAGACTGCTCCGGGTCCTTGACGCCAAACATTTTACCAGTCAGCCAGGGGAACAAAACACCAAAGTCACTCTGGTTCAGGTGGGCGCTTTGTTCGACGTAAAACACACTGGGCTCGGGGAGCTGCAGACCGCTCGGTCTGCCAAAGGCCGAAGCCACGACGCACGAGGCTGTTGGGTCGGGCGATAGGACGCGGGCAGTGGCGTGCAGATGTTTCGTCCACTTGAAGAAGCTCTCCGATTCTACAGCCAGTAAGGCCTTGCCGCCGGGCGCCGTGGGGACATCTGCATATGCCGGGAGAGGCAGGTTCCACAGGGGCCGAGACGACTCGGCAAGCAGAGGGAAGCACCACATGTCTTGCAGGATGGTGGGGTTCTTCTCCGTGATGGCCTGCCTCAGACGCGAGCCTCGTGCTGGCCTGAAAAGAGGCTCAGCCATGGCGGCCACAGCAGGTTCATCGGCGTAGTAGGTGCTCTTGATGAACTGCACGACGGTTGCTGCTCCGAAGCTGTGCCCAGCCCATATGATGCTGCCTGGTTCCTGGACCGCGAGCTTGCCTCGGTACTGAGCCAAGGCATTTTGTGGCGTAGACAGGTTGAGGTTGGCAAAATCGGGCTGCTCGTCGAGCCGAAGGATGGCGTCATGAAGTAGGCCGAGCTCCCAGAGCCTGATCCTCAGTTGAGCGTTGCGAGCAGCCCAGATCTCGGGGCTTTCTGTGTGCGGGATGCGGACGTAGGGCACCACGCTACCCCGATTCCGTCTGAGAAACGCATTTTGGCGGGCAGGGTCGCGGATGAAGGACACGACAGAGCTACCGTCTCGGTGCTCGGGGCAGATCACGACCACGCCGTGGCTGGCCATGGAGCCGGCAAAGTAGGAGTAGGCATTGCGAAACCCCGCCAAGCCGTGAGAGAAAACCATGGTCGGCCATCGCTTGCTGGGGGTGTCGGGCTCGAGGAGGGCGGCGTTCTTGTGGACGGGGAGGGTGGCGTAGTGCAGATGGCGCGGCAGAAATCTGTACGCAGAGGCAACAGGCCAAGTCAGTCGGCGCACGCCAAAGCGTCTCCCGTTGAGGAGATGGGCAGAGGGCAGAGGGCAGAGAGCTTACGAGACGACCTCGGCCAGTAAGGGTGCGAGGCCCATAAAGGTGGTATATGCGGTGATGTGCTGGCGCTGGGGAGCGGGAAGCCAATTGATCTTTCCGCCATTGGAATCCGGGCCAGCCGGGTAGAAGATACGGAACTGGATCGTGTGGATGGCGGCGGCACCTTCTGGAGCCGGGCTGGGCGATTCGAGGTCGGAGACGGGGATCTCAACATCGATGGTGCCGACTTTGTGAGGTCCGGTATATTGAGGGAAGGCCGGCACCGGGTTCAGTCGAGCCAGGTACGAAGCCAGCCTGCTCGGCTGCTCCTCATCCCTCCGCTGGACCACCATGGCGTCTACTGCGACGAGTCGGATCCGTCTGGTATCGTATCGCCCGGCTTGGTGGCACGGCAACGTGGGTGACAGGCCAGGGAGCCGGTTCTGGTTCGTAGTGATCGCGAAATCGACCTGAAGAGGGATCGTCGGTCGCCGACTGTTCGCCAGAGAGTGTGTGTCGCGCGCGCGCGTGCGTGTGCCCAGTTTGACTGGTCAAGTTTCAGGAACGCTTCGAAATTGTTGAGAATCAATAGGGAAAGGGGAGGCAAGAGCTTGGATGGTTCGCGTTGCGTGTTAAATTGGGTTTATTATTCTCGTTAGGGGGGGGGGGGGGTTTGTGCTTCTTGGTCTATCGATGGAGTTTTCTGTTCTTTTCTGTTCTTCAATTCAAAGTTTGCTCTTCTCGTCTCGGAGACGGAGGCAGCCGAGGATGAAAAGAACATTGAACAGGCCCAGACTGGAATTTTGTGTCCCTGAGCTGAGGGACCGGGATGCTACAAGAGTCCGGCGTCACCGCAAAACTGGGGACTCGGTCTGTGACAGGACCCGCCTCGAATCGCTTAGGCTGAGTTTTCCTGCCAATTCTGTGCTACTGGCCACCAATCACGTACCGTGGCGTCATAGGGAATTGCCGGGTCTCGTGTCCAGACTCTCGATCTGGAGCCCGCGCAAACGTCATCACGGAGTAGAACTCGGTAGCGCCATTGCAATGGACGAACGATCACCTATCGTTGTGGAGAGATCAGCCGAGAGACATGGCAGATGGACAGATCGATGCACTCCCTAGTTAGTTAGCCCTACCTACCCAACATCATCACATTGTGCATCACAGGTCTCTCTCTGTCTGTTCCTGCGTACCTGGGACAGGTACGCCTGCATCATGGGGATATCTCGTGACTCTATTTCAACGCATCTACGTACAATACTTTTGGCCACCACAAAGACGGCCATCCTCCTTTCAACATTCTACGTATGCATGCACCAGCTCGAGTGGCCGCCGTTATGCCCCTGTTGTAAACAGATCCATCTTCTCCAAATAGTCAGTCACCTTTGCCTCGGTGATGCTACAGAGAACCACTGAAACCCAACATCGGGCTCTGTTCAGGCGTGGATGGCCTGTTGCACATGGGGATACACCTGGACCATCCTGTCGTACAGATCCGGGTGGTCTCGCATCAGGACCTGCGGGTCCCACGCTGCAGCCACAAAGATCGTGTCGATGCCCGAGCTCAGGGGCGTTGTGAAGATATTGCAGATTTGCAGCCCGATGAGGAACGCGAAAGCCAGGATGACCGGCGTGAAACTGCCCTGGTTGTTGTACGCGGGCTTTGTGAACTCCAGGTACAGGTACGCCATGAAAGCACAGGCATAGGCGACAAAAGTCGCACCCATGCTGAGGACGGGCCCAATCAGGCACTCGTTGACGAGGGCATCAATGCCACGGTCCTTGATCATCCTAGATAGAGAAAAGGTACCAGCAGTCAGTCCAGGCCTAGTCCGAGGGCTCGGCGGGTGTGCGTCTTGTCACAGAATGGATGGAGGGGGGGTGATGGGGAAACCGGGGATAGCGAGGAGGGAAAAGAGAGAAGGGAAAAGGGAAAAGGGAAAAGGGAAAAGAGGTAACGTACTTCCAGGTGTCCTTGGCAGCCGCAAAGTAGGACTTTCCGTACAGCGCAATGTGCGAGAAGGCATATCGATTGACGAACTCGACCGCCCACTGCAGGATACTGATGAGACAACCCAAGACGCAGTACAGGATGGAGGAAACAATGTTGCCATCCCCAGCAGCTTCCCTCTGAGCCATCGAGCACAGCTGGCGGAGGAAGTTGATGATGGCCACAATCAGGCTGCCCAGGCTGATGCTCCCAAAACTGTAGGTCAAGGAGCGTCGAAGGGCGCCGCGGGTGACGCCCCTGGGATAATTCTTGGAGCAGAAATACCACGAGCCGTAAACGCCCGAGATTGTGGTGTGAATCGTGTTCTTGAGCCATTCCGAGATCCAATATCCAGTGAAGGTGATGAAGACGACCAGACCAATCACCTTGGCGCTACTGCAGCCGCCTGCGGTCGTGCTGCACGCCGGGTTATTGCCGGGTTCATACTTGGCATATACAGCAACCAGCGTCACCGAGAACCAAGCCCCGAATGCAGTTGCCAGCAGACCGCCGAGGGCACTGACCATGTAGACATGTCCATGCTGCTTGGCGACGTCAATGGCGGTCTGGAGCATTAACACGCTGAATGGGATCCGGGGAATCCAGCTTATGAAAGCTATGACAAGGAACAGCGAGAAGATCAGGAAGACGATGCCCCCAGAGTAGTACTTGCGGTAGAGCATGTAGATGGCGCTGGCCAGCCCAAAGACAATGTTGAGAATTCCAGTGATCCAGATGAACTGCTTGGTAAAGGCCCGAGCCAGCCACATGTAGACGTAGCTGAAGACGAGGGCGATGCAGAGGCAAAAGACGAAGAGGATGATGGTGTTGGTCGAAAGACCAAAGTCGTTTTTGCCATCATAGATGCCATTGCCGTTGTTCTTCTTGGTCGAGGCTGTCTCTCGTCAGCTCGGGATACCAGCGCAGCGGACAACGGGATACCTACAGTAGCCCGAGATAGATATTCCGGACACGGCGACAAAGCCGGCAACAAAGATCAAGAACTGAGCACCGTCCGTGTCAGGGGGGGTCGAGGAGTCGAGAACGTGGGCTTAGAGGGAAAGGAGGTGAACATCAACATACCAAAATGCCCGCCCACAAGTCATTCCATTTGGGCCGCTCCACACGGAAGGCCTGGTCGAAAGACTGTTTCTCGTTGGAGTCGTAGCCGTAGGCACCACCATCATGCTGGGCCTGAGCAGGCGCTGGGGGTGTCGGTCCTTGCTGGCCGTTCTGATAATAGTTTGGCTGGCCGTATGAGGGCGGAGGCTGGTAATTCTGGTAGTACTGCTGCTGCCCGCCGCCGTATGGCTGTTGGGGCGGTTGCTGGGAGTAGTAGCCCCCGTTCTGGCCATAAGGCCCGCCGCCTTGCGAGTTCATGGCCGAGATCGACTCGAGAGGTGGCAGGTAGACCCGTCTAAGAGCCGGGCGCGACGATATCACAATTCAGCCTCGACAACCAGTGCGAGCCTCGTGTAGATGTATCTTCTTCCAAGAGAAAGAAGGTCCGCAGGGGCGTCGAGAAGGTTTGTCTGTGGAACAAGGACCCAAAGGTGAGCCAAACAAACCACACAAGGGCCCCAAAAACAAGGTGCATGAGATCATCGGTTTGGTAGGCCGTCTAGCTAATAAGTGACGACCACACCTGGCCCCATCACAAGCAAATGAGGAACGGGGCGCTAGTGCCATCTATTAGCACATGCATGCGCGACCTGGCGAGCTGAATTTCCAGCTCCCATTCGGCCTGGCATGTCTTGGCTGTTACATGTCCTCTGGTTGTGGGCAGGCGAAGGTCTCGGCACTTCCTCCCACTGCCGTTTATCCGTCCACTGGTTCTATTTCGCTCCTTAGACATCAAATGTACTCACCTGTGTCTGGTTACGAGCAAGCATGCGAGGAGCAGGCCAGCCTCGAGGACACGCCCTCGCCCACGCATACGGAGTACATGCCTTCATTGTTGAGTAGGGAGACAGCCATTTTGATGGAATGGTGTAGGTACCTAGGTATGTGTGTCGCAAGTTTAGGTTAGGTAGCTTGGTGTGCCGGGTACCGATTGAGTGCAGGGATCCATTCATTGATCTCTCTGCCGAAATTGATTGGGTTGACATCAAGGACGTGGACTACGGAGTATTTGTTCTAGTACAAGTACAGTACAAGTACATGTACTAGTCAATTGAGTTCCGCTAATCGCCAAGGCGGGCCCACTGGAGTGTCCGAAAATCAGAGGAAGAAAGGAAAAGGAAAAGAAAAAAGAAAAAACGAAACAGTACCTACGAAGTACCTAGGTAGGTAGTGGCGAATGGCGTCCATACCTCTTACAGACTTGATTTTTTTTTTTTTCTTATCACCTTATCGTCAAGTCCATCGTCAAGTCCCCTCACTACAACACATTTTGCACACCAACACACTTTAGTGCTTTGCTCTATATTACAGCAGCTGCGTTTCCACAAACAAGGCTTTATTCCGACTGAACGCGCCAAACAGCTCTCTGTTCCGTGGCCAACATATCATCTGCAACCATGGCGGCGGTGTCCTCTTTATCGCCGTCGGGGCCAACCCCTCCTGGGGGGGTATCACCCGCTCCCAACCCCACCTCCGCCTCCTCCACGCCAGTCACTGCTCCGACGACGGGCAAGCCCATACACTGTCTTGTGATCGATACTGGTCCCCTGATCAAGAACGATCCACCTGTCTCTACTCTCCTCGCTCAGGCTGATGAGCTGTACACCATCCCCTCTGTCATCTCGGAAGTGCGCGACCAGGCCACCCGTACACGGCTCGAGACGACCCTCCTCCCCTTTCTCAAACTACGCAGCCCCAAATCAGATTCAGTCAAGTTTGTCACCGACTTTGCTCGAAGGACTGGTGACCTCGAGGTTCTGAGTCGAGCTGATATTCATGTGGTTGCCCTGACCTATGAGCTCGAGTGCGAGAGGAACGGCGGTGACTGGAGACTGAAGAACACCCCCACCCAGAAGAGCGTCAACGGCAAGCCACCGGGCAGGCCTGATGGGGAGAAGCAAGACTATGCCATACAAGCTTTGGATAGCGATCCCGTAGCCGAAGAGGGAACGCAAGAATTGCGAGACTTGCCAAACTCCGAAAACGCTGCGCCGCCGGTCCATGATGAATCGGGGTCGACTACGCTACCCAAGATTGATGACGGGATTACGAAACAACTGGCGGGTGTCACTCTAGAGTCACAACCGGCAGAGGAGGAGGAGCAGGGGAAGAAGGAGGAGGTCCATGCCCACGACACTCAGGAGAGCGAATCTGGCTCTGACGACGACAGCGACGGTTGGGTTACACCATCGAACTTCAAGCGCCATCAGGAGCAGCAGGGACCCAGCGCCGCCGGTTCGCAACCCGCGCAGAAGTTCCTCAAAGCAGCCATGTTGACCTCGGACTTCGCCATGCAAAACGTAGCGCTGAGGATCAACCTGAATTGCTGTTCTCCGTCCCTTTCACGCATCACACAAGTCAAGACCTGGGTTTTGAGGTGCCACGGCTGCTACAAGGTGACCCGGCAGATGGACAAGCAATTCTGCCCCTCATGTGGCCAGGCTACCCTGACCCGCGTCAGTTGCTCGACCGACGCACAAGGCAACTTCAAGCTGCACCTCAAACGGAACTTCCAGTGGTCCCACAGAGGAAACGTCTACAGCGTACCCAAGCCGACCCATGGGAGTGCCAACGGCAAGAACACAAATGTACGTGGTGGTGGCCAGAACGGTTGGGGTCGTGACCTTATCCTGGCAGAAGACCAGAAAGAGTATGTCAAAAAGCAAGAAGAGGATCGAAGGACACGGTATCGGGATCTCATGGATGAAGATTATCTGCCAGGCATCCTTACTGGCGAGCGTCGGAGCGCCAATGGCCGAATTAAGGTGGGTGCGGGTAGGAACGTGAACGCTCGCAAAAAGCGTTGATCAGTAGTGAAGTGAGCTCGTGTGGACGATGTGTCCTCCAAGCAGGCTACCTAGGTACATAGCATGAAAAACGAGGGGGCTAGGTTGGCACGGGGAGCCATCATGATGCATGAAAACCTTAAAGATTCTATTGCCCTTGTTGTGAGCTTTCTGCGTGCATGTACACATGGCCATCTTTCTAAATCGACAGCCATCGCCGCTCACTGATGAACCCAAGGCGGGTGCTCGACTCGAGGTATAACAAACAGACTTCCTGAACTCCAAAACGCTCAACCCGTGGAAACAGAGAGAGGGAAGCACCAAAGCGGCTGGCCAGAGACGTCAATCGCTGAAGCGAAGACTTCCTTGGCTCTGCCCCAACCTCGTGTGAAATAAACCCTTCGCCGGACTTCTGAGGCCCATGGCATCATCCGTTGTAGAGACCGTTCCCCGTGACCCGTTCTTTATCGTGATATATCATCGCGCCAAGCCCACCGCGCACACCAAGACATTGCTGGCACGAGCTCAGCAGAATGTCGACGATCGCAGAATTCGGCAATTAGGTGCCCAGGGCCTTGAGGTCCTCTGCGCCGCAAATGTCAGCTCTTGCTACTGTCTTCAGTGTAGGGAAGGTCCACCAACTCTTCTCGGTCAGAAGGAGACCGAATCTCTTCTTCAGCGTGACCCTGTGCCGAGACCACTTGTCGTCGGGCGAGAACCGGGCAGGATGCGCAGACTTGGTCACCTTGCCCTCGAGCGTCTTCTTGAGGGTGTAGGTCCGCTTCCCGGACTCGTCGAGGTTGATCATGAGATGCATTGTGGCGGTGTTTGCGTCCGTTGGCGACGAGAGCGGTGCAGAGAAGGTACCTAGGTAGGCAGGGAAGCTGGATTGTAGGTGGATGTGTCAAGGTCTGATCCAAGAATCTCGAGATAAATTTTCTGGGAGACAGACATTGGGGTCCACTTATTGGTGGGGTCTTCTTATTTGCACGCGACACCTGTAAATTCAGGGACTACGAAGTACAAGTACCACAAGCATTCCAAGCCTAAAAGCATACCTAGGTAACCCCGCTGAGGAGGTGTGTACTTGTACCTGCCACTAACAGCCACCCCCGGGATTCTGAACGTGAATTCCGATATCACACCCGGGAGCGAAAGCATCCATGAGAGCAAAATGTAAAGAAAGATGGAAAACGCTTTACGGAAAAGCGGAATACTTCTGAGGGGGCACCTTTAGTCTTGAGACGCACAGCACTGTCGTCGAAAGCCTCGGGTGTCTTGTTGTTTGGTTGGCAGGCAGTGGAGGCTAGTCTGCGATACCCAAAGGTCAAGCCGTCAAACATGAAGCATTTACACAGAGAGAATAAACCAGTAAATCAGAGAGTGAATTAAGTATTGGTCCTTGATGCCCATCCATTCATTGTCTGCGCCCCCTTCGTCGACGCCTCCAAAGCAAGGCAGGTAGTTGTGCACACACACATTCTGGTTAGACCCTTCCTTCCAGACAGCTGGCAGCCGAAGGAGCAAATCCATCGATTGATCAGACCTTCCTCCTCCTCCTGAATTTCTCCGGCCGACAACGTCCACAAATACCAATAATCGATCGGGGATCCAGATCACTGCAATCTATCCCTGGATCGTATTGTCTCGGACGCCGTCTTCATTTGGTCTGTATCCCCCTCACCAGACGACGCTGGGTCCGCAGTCTGGCCCCCTCGACTCTGTGCGGTCTTTCAACCGCGGCGCCTCTCTGGCGGAGCTACGCTACTCCATAGAGCCTTCTGCCACGAAAGGCAACTGTATTGGCAGTGCGTACGATGGATAGTTCTGAGGCTTCCAACCTTCAACATCACACTTTTGAAGTTCCCGAAAGGCGGGCGGCGCCGGGCGTTGTAATCGCTCGGGTCGAAAACCTCATTGCTTCGTTACTAGATGATCTCATCGAAGGCCAGGAACTCTATCCTCCGGTCCCAGTGTCAATCAAGCTTGGCGCAACATCATCGAGCCATCTAAGGTCCACAGAAGCCGCGCAGCCGGGACAACCAACAACTACCAGCTCCGTGTCATTCCCTGGAAAGAGTCATCAGCAATCCAGAAAGATCGGTAAGTATGTGCGGCTTGGGTCTGAATATTCCTGCTCTGGAACATGGAGTACTTACCAAGGTCAATGCAATATAGCGAGGCTTCTCAAGATTCTACAACTATCCCATGCTGCACTCGTTACTGGAACCATCGTCACCAAAAGGTTAGACGCAGGCGTCGCACACAACAGCCGTTCAATGTGCTGAGTCAAGGCAGAAACATTTACTACCAGGATGAGGGGCTCTTCCTCGAGCAGCGAGTGGTTGATACTCTGGTCGACCAGCTTGCTTGCTCATTGGGGCTGGGCCGAGACGCACTATGCATAGTATGCCTGTAGCATCGACGCGAGGGTTCGCTTGAAAGCTGGCTGACTAGTTGCAAGGTCGCAGCATCCAAAGGCTTAGTAGTGGGCCACCTGGACTTGATCATGAAAGACCACTCGGTCTTATCCTGCTCGAGTACGCAGGGCACGGTGAGTTATGGGCTGATCACCCGAGAGACACATACAGAAAGGCTAACAGCGAGCTCAAGGGAAGCCTCATCCCTCCGCCTGAAGCGATACGTCAAATGTCAGTAACTCCGCCGAATTGGGTCTTGATAGTCGAGAAGGAGGTAAGGAGACAGCACCAGCACCCGTCAGGCGATTGATTACCGACGCGGCCAGGCAACCTTTCGGAGTCTTGCAGCATCTAGGTACTGGAAGAAATCACTTGCTGGACCCGGGATCGTGATTACGGTAAGTTTGACAGATACGTCGGAAGCAACTCGAGCCTGATGCCGACTACAGGGGAAGGGATACCCAGATCTTGCCACTCGGCAGCTCGCCTTCTTGCTGCATTCATTTGTTCAGCCTGTTCCATTCTATGTCTTGGTCGACTTTGACCCACACGGGGTCGACATCTTCCGTGTGCTAAAGAAGGGGAGCAGCAATTTGTCCCACGAGCAGAATATAAGCATCCCGAGCCTACGATGGCTTGGAATCAGGTGCGAGCAACTAACATATCCGAGCTTTTCAACAAACATAGGCACCGGGCAAGCTTCGCAGGACAAGGTCATTGCTAGAACCTTTCGCACTTCGGGCGAGATGAAGCCCCTCACCTTGACTGATCGACAGACAGCCGCCAGGCTTCTAACAGGCCTTCAACGGGAACCAATGAGGCAATGGGAACAGGACACCTACCTCAAAGAGCTACAGCTGATGCAAATGCTGGGGTATAAAGCCGAGATACAGGCGGTTGACAAGCATGGCGATCTGACAGACTGGTTGGATGAGGAACTCCTGAAATGGGAATCACAAGTTGGTCCTGTATGTATGTGAGCTGGCTGAGGATATGATCGTCTAGATCACTCGCGAGTTGTTGACAGATGCCATAGGCTTTGCTATGACCGCTGCAAGGAGTATGTGCTCAACCGTTGCAGATTTGACAAGGGGCGATGTTGATACTGACGATTCGAAGAATAACCAGTACACTGTATGGTTGGAAGTCGGTGGGAATTTAGTTGATGATTTATGGCTCTGCATTGGGCGAAAGTTGCCACATCTCCGCAAAAAAAAAAAAAGTGCACACAGTACACGCACGGTCCGGTATAGATTATCCACTAAAATTTTCGAGAAAGACTATGCCGCATAATATGACAACAGTCTCACCTTCAACAAGCCACCATCTCACCTCTCGTCAGGACGAGCGACCGCCAGATGTCACCAAAGTTGAGTGAAGACGAGATCGATGATCTCATCTACTTCTCCCGTGCCGGAGAAGAGGATGAACTCGCCAAATTACTGTCAAGCCTGGCGCAACGCGAAAAGGTCTCGGAAGCAGAGATTTTGATGGCCGCCAAAGACGAAGGACAGTCGAGCTGCCTTCACATGGCTACGGGGAACGGAAATCTAGGTATGTATGGCCATATTTAGATCGGCTGTCTTACCCTTGGACGAATTCCCCCTCCGATGTAGTCTTGCGGCAAGGGGCGAGCGCTTCCGAGTTCAGTGGCTAACCAGTGCACAGCTATCGTCAAATCTACCCTGACTTGTTTTGACGGCCGGCCGGAGGCTGAGAAGAAGCTATTCATTGATGCTCCAAATGAGTACGGCAATACTGGTCTACATTGGGCAGCCATGAACGGCCATCTCGACGTAGTAAAACTGCTCATTGAGCAGGGTGCGTCGCCGGCTCTTGCCAATGACAAGAATTACATTCCACTAGATCTGGCAAGCTTCAACGACAAGGTCGAAGTCGTGGATTACTTCCTGGCGCAGTCAGGCGGGATAGAGGGCGACAACAGCGACGGGCTGGAGGGCGCGGTAGGGGAGGTGCAGATGGCTGAAGGCGAGTTGGGAGATGGAGACGATGATGGGGATGTCGACAACAAAGCATGAAGCCGGCTTTCTCGTCCGGACAGAACTCTCCTGACATCAGCCCACATTCTCAAGAAATGAGACTGGACCTACCTATGCGACTTTTGCTTTGCTGTTAACCTCCCACTCTCCACCTGAGTGCTACCTGGTCCCGGGACGAGATGTGTTGCAGTCCTTCGGAGCTGCGAAGCAGACGACCTTGAGAACTTGGCCAGTCTGGTGCGCAATGGCGTTGTCGATTCTTCGTCAATGCTTTGCAAGCGTCAGCGCTGCTGCCAGCAGGGCAATCGAGGATCCAGGTTGAGGTTGCGAGATATTGAAGATTGCGAGGTTACATCGAAGCATCGAATTGCAGGTAACGCGGGCCCGGGCTCCGAAAAACACCCTGCATGTACTCCGTAGCACCCGGCAGAGGCATCAGCTGCCTACGGTACTGAAAAAGTCGGGCAGAGTGGCCGTGCTTCAGAAAGGCATGGCCCAAGATAGACTTCTGCCTATATTCATTCATTTGCTGCTATCATTCCTCAATGGAGAAAGAAGTGGTTGTCTCGGCATAAAGTACCTACAGGTAGGGATAGTCCCTGTGGGTGTGCGAGCCTGGCATGGAGTGGGAACCGGTCGATCGCGCCTCGTGGCGACAAAGCAAAGAGATGGATGTTGGGCGACTAGTGCCCGCGATGCCGCGATGCCCGCGATGCCCGCGATGCCCGCGATGCCATTCGTGCATGAACACAGCAATGATTTTAATGGGATATCTGAATCGATTGGCACATCAGCTCTGCTCTCGGGAGCCCCCCATCCGGCCCCCCACGCTGCCGAGCGTCAGGGATAAGAGGATGAAGCGGGAGATTGGATGGGCAGCGTGGGGGCTCGACACACGCATGCACGCACGCACCTCCTTGAGCGCTTGTCTACCTACCTACCTACAAGTAGGTACTCGAGTGCCTGTCGACCGTACCCAAGGTAAGGTAGGTAGGTCAATGCCTCTCTCATGACCTGTGCTCTTTCTTGCCCACGCTCATCCTGGCCGCCGCTTCGGACCCCCCATTCCACGCATTCATGGATCGAGGTGAGTGAAGCGAGACCAGAGATAATCATCCCCTCTACTCGTCTGCTGTCTCGCGAATAATTACGCTGGCCGAGCTCAAATGATGCCTCCGCTGCTCCTTTGCAGTCCTCCATGTACAAAGCCATGAGAGCTACGCCATGATCACAGCCCCGCCACTGCTCATCTGCAAGGCTGAAGACCTCTGGACCACTTCAGCTGTCGAGGCGGTTGGGCTCACTCCTCAAGCAGCATGGCTTCATCATATCAGCAACCTACACAGATCCAGGCTGGCAGGTCTGCCTATAAGCGGGCGAGCAGAAAGAATGCCGCGCGCAAATTCCATTGCGAGTATCCCGGCTGCGACAAGATCTATTCGCGAGCCGAGCACCTCCAACGACACCAGCTAAACCACTCCCCCAAACAGATATATGAGTGCGAGGTCGAGTCTTGCGGCCAGAAGTTTGTTCGGCATGACCTTCTCGCGCGACATAGGAATCGCCACTCCAGCTCCTACACTCCGCGCAATAGGGTGCCAAGCTTCAACATCTCGACAGTCGCAGAATCACTGGCCGTCAATCGGGCCGCGTCGCCGCCTCTCGGGCTTGGCCGGGGTCGCGAGTCGCTTCTGCGCCCTACGCCGAATATGCCGCATGATGCTGCTGTGCTGCTCACCTCTGATGCTGGTGGCAGCCCTGCCCTGTCTTCGATCCCCCCCGGCCCGGCTCCGGAGCCGCCTTGGTCGTCGCCAATGAGCCACGCCATCATACAGCCGAAGCCTGAGTACTACTCTCGAGACACCCATCTTCTTCAGCAACCACCTCCGGTGATGCCCTTTACCAATGTCCACTTCCCTCCAGATGCCGCTGTGGCTCTGGCACGGGATAACTTTGCCATGTGGCTCTTCGATCCCCAGCCTAGCTACGAGTTCAGCGTCGCCCATCTCCCGTTCTTGGAAGGCGGCCTCGAGTCTCCCTTCAACAGCAATATACACCACGACTATGAGTCCCTGACGAGCCGATCTCAGCTCGAGACCCCTCCGCGATTGGTCGACACCGACGAGCTCCTTACTGAGTTCCGGCGACAAGAAGTTTTGCACTTTTTCCAAGCTTTCCGCGCCAAGCAGCCCAAATGTGAACCGCTGATTACCAACCTCGTTCAGGACGGTGGGGGCGACATGCCCATGCTCGACCTTGAGATGATGCGAGATTGCTTGCGCGAGTTCTGGGAGAGAGTGTCTCATCGACTACCAGTCATCCACCAGCCGACCTTCTCTTGTAACCGATGCCCAATTCTCCTACTTCTCGTCATGGTGGCCCTGGGGGCTACCTCCCTTCGAAGTCGGGATCGCAGCGGCAAACTGTCCGACTATGGTGCTTTCGCAGATGTCATCATCACCGGCGCTCGTTGGGAGATCTTGACAGTCGAGGAAGCGTCTCCGCCGGTGGCGCTGTGGGTTGCCCAAGCTCTCCTGCTTCTGGAGTTCTACGAGAAGCTGTATTCTTCCAGGAAGCTCCATGAGCGCTCTCATATATATCACTCAGCTACACTCACCCTTTTGCGGCGTGGGAGCCCCTTGATCGGGCGCTCCGGGAGCGAATCACCGCCGGGTGAGTTTGCCTCGGGCCTCGTTGGCGATCCGAGCGCGGCCGGACTCGACTCTCGCACGTGGTGGGTGCGGTGGGCGGAGACTGAGGCGATGCACAGAGCTGTCTTCGCCGCCTTCTCCCTGGACGTCATTCACGCCGCCATGTTCGGGCATGCTTCTGACATGGCTCCCCACGAGATACGGCTCCCTCTTCCCTGTGACGACAATTTGTGGACCGCATCCAAGCCAGAAGATGTCAGGCAACTGGATGCTAACCTTCGCATGTATGGTGTCAAGCCTGTCTCCTTCCTTGACGGCCTCAAAAGAGCTTTGCACGGCAAGGAAGTCAAGACACATAGCTTCGGAAGGATGATAATAATGTCCGGGCTCTTGAGCGTCGGGTGGCACTTTTCCCATCGAGAGACTCACCTCAAGTGGCTGGACCTCACCACCCCGTCCAACGAAACCAGGGACAATTGGCGCAAAGTCTTGTTGAAAGCATTCGACGACTGGAAGGGCAGCTATGACGCCGCACAGGGAATGCTGGAGTCATCTGCCGCCTCAGCGGGCCAGCGTGGTGGCTCAAACGGGCCAATAGAGGTTGCCGCGGTCCTCTACCATCTCGCCCATCTTAGTCTACACGTCGACATCGTCGATGCTCAGGTCTATTCAGGGGCGAGGAGGCTTTTGGGCCGGAAGGTATCCAGTCGAGACTATACAAACGTCGTGTCGCGAATGCAGGGGTGGGCGGCCTTGTCTTCAACTAGACATGCCGTTCTTCACGCGTTCAAACTTCTCTACGGTGTGCTCGTAGATCCTCGCAAGACCGATAGACGCCGGCACACGTCGAGCACCGGGGCGAACACCCTTCCGTCAACCGAAGCTCGAATCTACTCTTGCTACAACGAACAGGATCCACACAGGCCTTGGATCTTGTATTACGCTGCTTTGAGCATCTGGTCGTTTGTCCGGGCACTCAGTGCCACTGTCCCGTACCAACAAACGCAGCCACAGAGCTCTCTCCCGGGCGTGGACCGGCCCAACAGTTATCGAAGAGTCGTCAACTATCTTGCGAATGTTGCTACCATGAGCGAACTGAGTGAACCTGTGGCTATCAACCTTGCAGACGGCTTGCCGGAGCTGCTCGACTACCTCCAGGTCATTTTTTCCGAATCTCAGTTCGAACTTTTGAAAGAAGCGCACAATCGCCTCAAAGTGTGTAGGGAGATGCTGGTCCACGGAGGATGAACGAACAAGCTCTGTTGGTCTTGTGATTTCCACCATCTGTCTCATCTGTCCCACCTATCCAAAAGGGTCGTGGTGAGGGGGAAGATGCAATGGACAGCAAGTCTTATCGTCTTTGCTGGGCCCTCGTGCCAGCTCTACGCATGGCTCCTCCGATCTTCGATTAATGGGTAGAGCTATCTACCTCTCGGGGGAGACTGAAGCAGCACAGCTTATACAGTTATGAGGCCAAGTCACAACTTAGATCGGGCCAAAAAGAAAAACAAGAGCCCAAAATATATTCACGTATAAACCACGTCTACAAGACGGCATATCACGAATGTTGGTCATAGATACATTTCTGTGGCATTGTCAATTCAAATCAATTTCTTGATGGCTGTAGTGGAACTTTGATCTCCTCACGACAGTAACTGGAGCACACTATGGCGCATGGACTCTCTCGTTTCATCCGAGCACGACTGCAGATCCCGAAAACCTGGAGAAGCTGTAGCGGCAGTCAAAGCCACCCCAGCGGTAGGATTCCTGAAACCAGTGGGGTTTCAGTTCGCCAGAAATCCGAGAATCAATCTGTTGAGCAAGACCGGATGATGCGGATTGTGTTGTCAACCGAACCTGGTAGACAAGAAGATGAGATGGCATTGCATGAATATCATCAGATGAAAAACCTGGGAGGCGTACCAAGAATGTGAAGTCCGCGCCACGCTGCTCACTGACGAGTGAAACAAACGTGTAGGTAGCATACGCTCCCGCATGATGTCTTTTGTATTTATCCAGAAGCGGAACCAACCATGAGGAAATGCGGTCGGTCTTTGCTTGGAGGTAATGCCTCTCACTTGCAACCCCTTGATGTATATATGCTCTGCCGTAGCCTATTTTCACGGATCGCGGACTCGAGCACGATGTTCAAAGCCGAGCCGGACTCCCAGATGACAAACAATGAACAGTAATGAACCGTTGCGGGACACGTTGCCGTCCGCGCTGGCGTCTACGTCGGGCCTCCCGCAGCTGAGCACTCATCGAGGACCAAGGAAGCATCACCCGAGGGTTGCTTTGTTCGCGCTGCTAAGCGTGGCCCTCTTGTCGTGTGCCGGTGCAGCCCTCACGGTCCTGAGCCTCGCCAGGCCGACTCTCGGTATAGTCGAAGACCTTGCTAGCCGCCTCGCTCTGTTGGTAGCAAGTCTCATTGGCCTCTTCTATACTGTTCTCCACGCCGTCATCGCGCGGCTGCTTCCCCAAACACGCCAGCAAAACAGGCGCAGGGAACACAAGCACGGTATACTGCTCTTTGCAACAATATCGTTAAGGCTCGGCCTCGTCTCTTCGCTCATGGCCGTGATCTTCACTTCAATACAGGCGGGAAGGACGAGAATAGCCAATCTAAGCAGCATACTCTACCTGGCGCTCAGCGCAGGAACATTGTATTTGCCCCCTCCGCCTGGCTGGAAGCTAGACAGAATGCTGACAAGGAGCTTCTAGTACCGCATTCTGTGTGCTCGTTTATTGTCTCGAGACATCCCCCACGCCATTCAATGCCGGATCTGTCCCGCGCAGGTCCTCCAATCTTCAACACACCCCGAAAGACACGGAGAGAGGGGCCTCGGAGACCTCCGCCGCCACACCGCGACCGTCGTCTCTGGCTAATCCACCAGACATGCCCAACGACGAAGCCAATCACAGTAAACACCTCCTCTTCCATTGGAAGAGCACCGATGTTCTCGAGATCAGCGACCAGAGGGCAACCACCACGACAAATTCAAGCCCCCCAGCCGGGCACAGGCTCCTCGGTCCGAGCGGGCTCCCAGCAAACCCAACGCCCATGTCTCGGTCCCAGCTCATGGCGCCCCCACAAAAGTCGCTCCAACCCCAGGAAGGCCAGGGGCCCGTTCATGCGAGGCCGGTGCCCATCCGCAGGAAGCCAGTGCCAACCGCACAACCTCGTAGTGACAACAATGCTCGCAACTCTGTGCCTGAGGGATTTGAGCCCGGAGAGAAAAGGAGCACGATGGCTACGCAGAGGAATGGGGGTGCTACCGATTCCTCTCACCGGACAGATACCACACCCATGCATGCTTCGACAGCCATCGAAGAGTGGATCAAGAACACCGCCAGTATGAGAAGGACATATCCAGAAAGTCCGATATCCGAGCGAGAGGAAGATTTCAAGTCACCCAAACTTCCGTCAGACGTCGGAGACCAGACTGCGACTAGCAGCGTTGGGAGCTGGGAGACTGCGAGCTCTTTCGCAGCACCAAAAGTCTGGCCATTCCTCGGCTCGCCCGAGCCACTTGCCCCCCAACATCTACGCACAGCCAGAGCAAGGCAGCTCGAGCGGATCCTTTTGATGGAGCAGATCTTGTCATCCAGGGAGATGAGGCGTCTCATGATCAGAGAGAGTCGATCGCTACGGGCAACAAGACGGCGGAGGGTACCGAAAGAGAAGCCGAGGAGGTCAGTGAGGAGGTGTTCCGGGTCCCAGAGGTCCCTTGTAAGCGGCGAGGCGAGGGTGATCTGGCCAGTGAGGGATGAGAACCTGCTTTCCGTCGAAGGAGTTCACAGCCACAGAGTCCATCGGCCAATCTCGCCCATGGCCGTGCTTGTGGCAAGGCGGCAAGGATAAGCTCGCGCCAAATCACATTCGCCCTCTACATAATAGCATAATGTACCAGAAACCTCCCCGCGTGCCACTGCCATCAATACCCTGAGAGCTCTTTCAGTCGAGCGTCAATCCAAGCGCCGTAGCCTCTTAACATGCCGATGTTTCCCCCTTGCGTGCAGTACTCTCTTAGCGCGGAGTATCTTTCTTCTACATAGACGGACTCGACTTCCTTCCTCTCCTGGGGCTTGGAAGCCTCTCCGACAACAGCATAGGATAGTTTACGCAGACAAACTGGGCAAAGAAACGGAGGCTGTCTCAGGTCCTCCGCAATGCTTGTTGTCCCTCCCATCACACAAGCATAGTAAACACAATGCCCCATGGCTAGGCAATGGGCTAACTCATGGGAGACCGTTCTCGACACACGAGACTGCCATAGGCCTACAAAAGACTGCTTGCCGTGCGGGATCAGCACAGACTTTGCGGCCCGGATTGCCACAGCCAAGGGTGGCGGGTTCTCCATGTCCTCGTCGCTCACTGTGAGCAGTCTCGTCGGGTTGGCCCCTCCACTTCCGCAGAGACCATCGACATATCCCCGGCAATGCGAAGCTGGCCACATGTGCGAAACATCAATTCCGCTGTAGCGATCAAGGCAGGGGTGATATCTGAATGATGTGACTATAGATACGCGGCTGCCGCCGTAAGCGCGGCCGCAGCAGAAATCGTCGTCCTCGTCCTCAAAGAGGTCATGGTGGACAAGCAGTACGACTGCGTAGGCGTCTTGCGGGAGGCCGTCGATGACGGCATCAAGTATATCGTCTAGATTCAGCTGACGGTATGCAACTTGGTCCAGCGATGTTCGCGCACGGACACGGAAGCAGGAGCCAGCAGTCGTGGCGATACCAACGTGGCGGCTTCGGTTCGTTACCGATCCTTCTGTCCAGGATACCCAGCGGAATAAGTTGGCTACTTTGACCTCGAGGCCGTGGTAGAAGGCAGCGAGGTACTTTTGAAGCTCCCAGGCTGTCGGTGTCGACAGGTCTGCGGGAACGGTCGGATTCAAATCATCGGCAGGGACGACAGGTTGGCTCCATTGCTCCATGACGCCGGCTTCGGAGGTAACTACAGGCGGCTCTATCACGTAGAGGGTCTTTCGATCTCCCGTAATCCGGTTGCGGCTCTTGAACATGGAAAACGACCTGAAGCTCTGCGGCTCGGAGGCGGGGTCGAGGGCAAGTTCATCTCCGGGGAGTGCCAGAGGCGCCGGAAAGGTGTTGGAAGATGGCGCTTCGCTAGCCGACTGGCCTTTCAGCAACCGACCGGAGCCATTAATGGCAGCAAGCCTCTTCTGAGCCGGAATGCAATGGAAGTCGCACTCAAGTGCATAAGGGGACGGACCAGTGTAAGCCGCCACATGCGGACAGTCGGACATGGTGGAGCAAGGGCTCTAAACAGCGCGCGAAGTGGCATGACAGAAGAGGGACAGAAGAGGAGTACCGGTTTTATAGTTGTCAAGAAAGAGAATTAAATTAATAATGTATGTCTCGTCTTGGATCTGTGAAGATTGAGGCGGTGGATTCGAGCGTCGTGATAGGTGCGTTCCGCTCTGTTGCCTAGAGTGAAGACTCGGCGGGCGCCGGCGGCGCGGCAAGGATGTGGGGCAACGGTCGGGTAAGGGTCTGCCAAGTTTCACAACCTGTCACTCTTGGGGCCGGCCTGGAAGTATTTGTTGATTGGAACCAGAAGCGGAGTTCATATCGAACCTGGATAGTGGTACCCGACATGTACCTAAGTAGTGGTCCATTGCCTCACTAAGCTCGCTCTCACTCCTCTCCCCTCCCCTCTACAATCCCCGTGCCTACTTGTATGCAAGGCACCAGCAAGACCCGTCTCAACGGGAGAGAAAAACAGAACAACAGCAGACCATGGGCCGTCTCAGGCTCCGACCGGCCCAGCCAGACGACCTCGCTGCTCTATGCGACGTCTACTTCTCGGCCTTTTCGGATAACCTGGTGCAGCAAATGGTCTTCCCCGCCACGTCTCCTGAAGCGCGCAATTTCTGGCACAGCGGACTGTCAACCGATATGCAAGATCCGAACTCGCGCCTTATTGTTGTGGTTGAGGAGGCGGTCGGTCCCCAGGGTCGCGCAACGGAGCAGATTATTGCCTTCGCCAAGTGGATGAGACCGATGCAGCTCGGCGAGACCTATGCACCAGGGCCAGCGCTCGAGGACTGGCCAAGGGATGGCGACCCGGAATTCGGGGCCCAGTTCTTTGGGTCGCTTGCGATGCAGCACGAGGAGATCATGAAGAAGCGGCCGCATTGGTACCTCGAGTGCATCGCCACAAGTAAAGAGCACCAGGGCAGAGGGGCTGGCGGGATGCTGGTGAGATGGGGAGTGGAGAGGGCTGATCGAGACGGGGTAGAGAGCTATCTTGACAGCACCGCAGAGGGAAGGGGTCTGTACGTCAAGCATGGGTTTCGAGAGATCAAGAGGCTGTGGTGGCTGGGTGGAAGCTACTCGCAGTGTTTCATGATACGGGACAAGTAGCAAAGAAGAAGAAGTCGGACCCTCTCGACGAGGCATTCATTACCATTCATCAACTACAGATACTCAGGGACCAGGTCAACATCAGCACAGGTCTCTAAAGTCATATGACCAAAACCATTAACCCTGAAGAAAAGTTGAACACCCGGGAAGGGACCGTCAAGAGAGCCATGCCACCACTGACAGACTAATATTGCGTCAGCACCAAAGAATACTTCATGCGCTCGGGCAGGGGCATCCTTTCACTCACCATACCAGCCGCCGAAGCTCGATGGCGTTGTGCCACTGCCAGCATTTGTCCACTGCAGCCCTGTGCCGTTGATCCAAAACGCGCTCTGCTCCGTTGCCGCGCCGCCAGCGTTGATTCGGACAGGCTGCCAGGCAGCATAGAAATTGACAGAGAGTGCCGGTAGCATTGACCACGGGATGCCCTGAGAGCCAAGGTCAAAAACGAGACCGGAGAGGGCCTGGCCGTCCCCGTCGCTAATAAGGCCAGTGGCGTTGAGGAAGCCCGGGATGGCGTGCGAGCGGTTGCTTGTGAACATCGCGTCATTCATACCGGCTCCCGTGTGGTGGGCGTAGAGCCAGAGGCCATCGTAGTCGGCCTTGCTCTCTTGTCCGGCCTTTAGCTGCGTGCGCAGGTTGAATTCCCGCGACGTGTTGAGAGCTTGCGGGCTGGCAGCCCAAACTATGGCCGTCCATGCCGCGGCAGTGAACAAGGAGGCACGCATCTCGGGTCGAGTTTCGACCAGCCTGGATTGAACCTGTGCTACTTGTGGTTCGGAGTGAACGGGTAGGCGTGGCTTGCTGGTAGCAGAGTGAGCAATGGTGATGACGGTGGTTGGTCTCGAGTCTCGAGGAGGGCATCGAAGGGGACCCTTAAATACAGGATCGGCCTCGGAGAAGGGGCCGATTTCATCTTGATAATTGTCGCTGCAATGGTCTCTGGTCCTTGTGATGGCCCCGGACGGCCAAATTCATAATGTTACGTCACGCCACGCCTTGAATTGCTGGATTCGGCCAAGGTATGCATTGCGGGCATGTCAAACTGTCGGATGTCTTGCATCAGGGCGAGCCGAATGTCGATCTGGGACGTCATTACATCGTGGTGATCAAGACAAAAAGCCCAAGCGGGAGGTGCAGAGCCTTTGCGCAGCGTTGGGCTAGTGAGCTCGTATTCGCCAAAGACGACAGTGCAGACTGATCGGCGAGTTTAAGCTTCCGCATCACCCCGGTCTGACCGGGAATAGCGGCAATGGGGTCGTATTCTTGGAGACCCCGCATCTCACACTGGGGAGAGTCTTGATGATAGCCCGTACAAGAACAAGATCTCGGCTCCAAATGCCGGACAGGCCGCCCACTACAGGCCCTCAGGGTGGTATCAGGTGCTTTACCACAATAGTAGCGACATGCTTTATCTCGTATTCACAGTCATCTCTCAATATCACCTCGCGGGTATCGAGCGAAGATCAGCGCCATTTGAGTCGTCCTAGGCGGCGTATGAGAAGTACAAGCAAAAAGAAGCAATGAAAGAGAAAAGGAAGAAGAAAAGGGGGGAGAAAAGCAATGAGCGATGTGGATTTCTCGACACGGTCACGCACTTACCAGCTGGCCCGCCGGCTGGCAATAAAAGTTGCCCATATGACAGAGGGTTGACTGATCTTGTGCGCGCCCGTGACCACAGCACATGGCGGCCGCACCAGGCCTGTCTATCCCGCGTCTCCCAGCATGATGATGCTATGCTATCAGATGCTCAGTCCTGCTGTTGATGGGATGCTTTCCGTCCTGGACGCATAAAATGAGGGGAGCGTCTTCGCGTCTTCGCGATCGCGATGGCCTCCGTTTCTCGTCAGCAACCAATTTTGTCCCTCACAGGCGAGACGCCGGAGCTGCATCCCGCCAATACTATTCGAAAAGCGTTGACCCTGGAGGTCTTTTTCTTGGAGTGGCAGCAACTTCTCATGGCGCAGAAGCGACCACGCGGCAAGCGCCAGAAATCCCCTGCTCAACCCGAGCGCCCACGCCGTGAGAGGCCGCCGCACGACCAGAGCGGCACAGCCAGCGAAGGGTTTGAGGCTTTCTGTCGTCGGTTCATCGAGCCACGCTTGCGTGAGCATGTCGAGAGGCAAGCAGAGGGCGATATTAAGCAGTCAGTCCGGCCCACGAGCAGTCGAGAAAGCTCTACGTCAGGGGAAGCCTCGAAACAATTGATCAAATTAGTCCTGGGCTTGGCCCAACTGATCGTGCATCGGTACATCGCCAAGAGAACAGCAACGGAGAACACGGCCGAGGAGACACAAGACTCGTTCTCTGGAATCAGCACCCAATGGTCCGAGGCGCCTTTATCGGGGAGAGATGGGTCGCCGTTGTCAGCCAGAGACGACCAGCTCGTGGCCTCGCTTGACCGCGTCTTGGACCAGCTTCAGGCGACTGAGGACCTGCTAGTCAGAACAATGTACAGTCCCGCGAGTCACGAGAATTGCCAGATACGCCGCAGCATTCTCGTCCATGCCAACAGCCTACAGGCAGCCATAGGAAGAGCAGCCGCCCAAGTGCGAGGTCTCCGAGGACGGCTCAAGAGTGGCGACCAAGGCGGCAACCAATGCGATCGAGCCTCGGAAGGTGCGAGAAGGCAGTATGGAGAGAGCGCCAGCTACTACTGGCCTTCGGGTGGGTGAGAGCCGAAGCGGAGGACTGCCTCAAGGGAAGGGCGGGGTTTGGGCTCGGTGCCAGGGAGGCGGCGAGCTCACCATGACCCGAACTATCCCTGCGTGCAGGGGAGTATTCACATCTAGGTAGTCTTAGGAATGCTGTTGGGTCAAGGAAAGTGCTTGCGCGCTGTGCGTAGGGATTATCGTGACTTCTAAGTTTCGGTTCGCCTGCCTTCCAGTTCCTCCAAAAATGACCCATGCTCCGTTGAGATGCATCTTCCATGCATGTGTTTGGTCAGTGCGCTGTCCTGTCGGCTGGGGATAGCCTCCGCCAGAGATGCCAGGACTTGATGTGAGCGCGAAGCAGACACAGCAGACAAGCAACGGCGCGCGTGGCCCACTGCGGATGCAGCTTGTCAGCAATCTTGGAAGGGAACCAAGCGGCTCGACGCATGGAGCTGACTCTCTTCCTATCTGGATGCCGCCACTCATGGCCACGGTCGGGGCCAGACCTCGACACCCGCATCCCAGCGCTGCCCAACAATGCAGGGAAATCGATACAATACACTGGAACATACGGACATGACTATCCTTTCAGCCTGTTGATGCTACCTCGTTTGGCGCACTTCCCACCTCTGCCGCAGCATGTTCGCCCTCACGCTCCGGGTCGCACATGGGAGCTGCATTAGCCTTGTAACCTCATCTGCTTGGCCCAATAATCCGCGTGGACAGGGCTCTATTATTAACAGCTTAGCCTATCTGAAGCAGCGCCTTCGGCTCCCTTCTTGGCCTTGACTTCGGGGGGGGGGTCTGCCCGCCGGATGGCCATCACCCCCTTCCATACCCTGCTTGATTCGGACGGGTGTGCCTCGTCCGCAATAGGGCCATAATGGAAGACCACCCTGCTTCAAAAAGGCTGCGAGCCCGTGGCTGCTTCGCCAGCGGTTCACTCAACTCGCCCAATAACTCATCATTCTGTGAATTCCACTCACGCGGAGACTGACTCATGCAAAGGGTGCAAAGATCGTCTGAACCGTCGAGGCATGGTCAGCTTTACCGCATCGGCTCGAGCAGCTATCTTAGCCAGCGTGCTCTTGCCGAGACATATTCTGGCCGTTCCACAGTCTTCATCACCCGCGCTCGTTCCTAGAATCTGGAATGGGAAGAAGTACGGCTGCAAATGCTATATCGGAGACTCGTGCTGGCCGGCTGAGCCTGCCTGGACTCATCTGAACAAGACGCTAGATGGGAATCTGGCTGTCGACATCCCACCAGGCGCACCCTGCCATGACGAATTCAATGGGCCCCTGGGAACCGTCAAGACGTACGACGCTGCGAAGTGTGCCGAAGTGACCAGTAATTTTGCCAGCGAAGACTGGACTGTTTCGCTCCCTGCCGCGGCGCTCTGGACGTTTTTTACGAACGAGACCTGCCGACCGACGCTCAACCGCAAAGATGTATGCACTCTCGGCTACTACCCCATCTATGTCATCATGGCAAAGACAACCTCGCACATCAAAGCTGGTATCGACTTTGCCCGCGCCAACAATCTACGTCTGATTGTGCGCAATACAGGCCATGATTTTCTGGGAAGAAGCACGGGCTTTGGTTCGCTCGTCATCAACACGCACAGCTTCAAGGACTATACTTTCCACAAATCCTACCGTGGACCGGGCAACTACAGCGGGCCTTGTGTGGAAGTTGGCGCGGGTGTCCAGGGGCGCGAGTTCCTCAGGGTCGGACATGAGAGGACGCCACCGGTGGTCGTGGTCACTGGAGAATGTCCAGTAAGTGGCCGAAGGGCTTTGCTCGGTTTCTGTGGGCCTGACTGAGAATGGAACAGACAGTTGGAATTGCTGGAGGGCTTGTCGGTGGCGGCGGCCACGGCCCGTGGACGACTTTGAAGGGATTCGGTAAGCATGGATTAGTTTCGCCGCCTTGGACAGGCGATCTATTGCTAACAAAGCTAAGCTTCGGACAATGCTCTAGAGTTCCACGCCATCACTGCCGATGGCGTGGTCAGGAAGGCTAACGCAGAGGAGAACCCGGATCTATATTGGGCTCTCAAGGGTGGAGGCCCAGGAGCTTTTGCAGTTATTCTCAGTGTCACCTATGCGGTCTTTGAGGACGTGCGGTCAGCCGGAGCCATATTGAATATCAACCGGACACACACCACCGACACCCAGCTCTGGTGGAAAGGCGTGACAGCTTTTCACGGCTACGCAAACCATTTTGTCGATTCCGGACTCTATGTGTACTGGGAACTAGCAGAGCTTAGTCTGCATATCCAGCCGTTTGTGGCTATCGGTCAGAGTGCTTCTGATCTGCGGGAGATCCTGAAACCTCTTTTAGATGATCTAGACCGACTGGGCCTCGAGTATTCCTTCTCCATCAAGGAGTTCTCGACCTTCTTTGATCTTTATATCGACATGTTCGAGGACGAGGGAGCCGGTGGGACCGCGATTACTGGGGGCTGGATGTTCTCACACAACGATGTCGCCAAGAACAACGAGGGGATCATTGGATCCTTCCAAAATGCCCTGGCTAATGGAGCGTTCATAGTCGGGCATCTCTGGGATGCCGGCCATTCCCCAACTATCACAGAAAGTGCTATCAATCCCCGGTTCAAGCAGAGCTCCGACTTTGCCATCGTAGCTCTACCTGTAGCCGTCAATGCCAGTCTTGGCGAGAAGGCAGCTGCACAGGAGTTGCTGACATCGAATATCGATCTAGAGCTCCAGAAAGCTGGGCCATGTGGTGCAAACTATGTGAACGAGGTATGTTGAGCGGTGCAGATGTGCAGACTCTGTTGTGCTAACAGCCTCTCCAGGCCGATCCCTTTCAAGATAACTGGCAGGAGCACTTCTGGGGCACCAATTACCCTAAGCTGCTAGAGATTAAGAAGAAATGGGACCCAGATACGCTCTTCTATTACGTGTCGACCCCAGGCACCGAGGACTGGGAGCAGATAGAACACAACACAAGGCTGTGCAAGAAGCTCTGATGTTTCAGTAAAGAGACAGTCCCTATCTCGGAATAGTCAACACAAATACCAGTCAGTTGTAGGTCTGCGCTATCTGGAGATGTTTGTGGTCGCGCTGGTGAAATGATTTCACTCTTCTACTAAGCTTGACCTTGCCCAAGCATTCCGATATCATCTCATTCGACCGCATCCCGGCATCAACAAGCGGACAGACCACTCCCCGTCAGGTTTCTGGCTGATGGGTCATATTAATAATACAGTGGAGCTGCGTCGGTCATCCTTGTCCGCGTCTATAGGCCTAACATGTGAGGGAGACGGAGTGGGACGGTACGTTTCTGCTCGGAGTCAAATTGGTATCAATTCATTTAATATCTCTGTCTATGTGAACAGAGGTAGGGGAGAATACTCACCTGTCCAGAGAGATCGAGTCGGGGGGTTCGTAGGATTCAAGAACCACGGGATGCGAGACTGTCCGAGTCTCTACCAGGTATCCTGGGTGATGGGAGAGATGTGAGATGGCAGGGATTCGGACGCGATGGGGTTTTGTATCCACGGGTAGTAGTGAGCTGAGGACAAGGTCAGCTGGAGGCGAGATGAAAAGACGCCTTACTTACTACCAACAGCGAACAGTGCATGGATACAAGAGGAAGAGGGAAGGACAAGAAAAAAAAAGAGGCGGCAGGTTGGAGCCCGAGAGTGCTTAGAATCTCATAGTCGCAACACGACCTATGCGGATCACGAGCCCTTAGGTAGCGCGGAATCGAGTGAGTTGTAGTTCACATTGAATACATGGTCACCTTGAGTGATACAGTATAATCCCTGACATTTTCATTAGATTGGATTGCAATGTGATAATCTAAATCTAAGAAGCTAAAAAGTCTATTCTACTTAAAATGGAAGTATAACCTACCTAGGTATATATAGAGCCAATTACTATTATATTACTTCTCTTAAGACTTAACTGACCTTATGTACTTTAATTACAGATTATCTCACTCAGGGCCCCTCCTAAGCTGAAATCTTCTAGCATTTAAGCTGACCTTAAGGCTGGCTATAGTATATCTTAGCTTCCTTAAAGCTTAAAGTAGAACAGTAATAGGTTTTCAAGTACCAACCTGGTGCCTGCAAAATCCGGCCTGTAAATGTCCTGAAGGACTCCAAATCCACTACTCTTCTACTCTAAGTCCTGAGTGGGCTGAGATTCACCATGACCAGCCTCAAGATCAGCCCGAGTACCAGAAGATCTCAGCTCAGGAGGGGCTGTAAGAGGAAGCGAAGGGCACTGGTTTGGATGAGGTTCTCAATCTCATGCTTTGCCTTGGGCACACTGATCGCCTCCAAAATACAAGCGGCCACGACTTCCTCGACTGGAGCGGGCTGTGGTGGCTTCAGGTTGAGATCAAGCCAGTAACTTCGATTCAGCTGGCCCTCAGAGTTATGTGAGCCTTGTACCAGGTCTCAGAAAGTCGCAGCCTGTTCCTGGCTGACTTGATGGTCTTGTTCGCGGTGCCCCCCTGGTTGCGTCTGATGATGAGATTGACATCGTCATTTCTAAGGTGACAGAATAGATTGAGGATGAAGGGCTCGTTGTTAAAGTTGAACTTGTCGGGTCGGGGCTCGGCCGTAGCCTTGTTTGTTGTGAGGACTGGGGCTGGTTTATTCTTGGGCTTGGGCTCAGCAGGAGAAGGTCCCTCTCCGAAGATTGAATTCTGTACACCTGAGCAGGGAGCCGGAGCCGGCTCATTTGCAGCTTCAGGCTGAGGAGCTGAAGACTGATCTCCGAAGATAGAGCTCATGGCTCCATTGATGGGTTGATCTGATAATGCTGGTTTGATGATGTCGAGGTGAGCCCTTATTGAAGCCTGACCAGCTACTCAGGAAGAAGCCAAATAGAAGAAAGCTCCTTTGTTTATCTGGAGATGGCCCTGGCTTAGTGTAAAGCCCAGCTAGATGTGAGCCTTGTAGATCGATTGTAGTAGAAGGTAGTGAAGTTGGGTTGAGGTTTAAGCAAAAAGAAATCAGACCCCCCTTTTTAATACAGGCTGGGGGTGAGTCCTTAGGGTCCCACTGAAGCTGTATTGAGATTGTACTGAGCCTTGCTTCCTAAGTTGCCAGCTGTAACTGTCTAAATTCATCTTTATAGGGAAGGTCCTATTAGGGCCAGACAGTAAGAGCCCCATTATATGATACAGCATCATTCACCTGTGGTTTAAATTCTGTCTCAGCCTCCCCTCCAATTGTGCCTTTTCTTATCCTTTGAAATTACTACGGAACCCCTTGCAGGCGTTGGTGGTTATAATGTATGCGTATATGGATATTTGGATGGAGGGCCCAGTCCTTCTCATTAGGCGCCGCCAGGACTAATTGCATATCAATTACATTGTTAATAATATTCCTATGATGCATAGACGCACCATGATACCTACAGGACGTAAGTCCATGAGCATTTTGCGCAAAAGCAACAATGGTGACGAGCTCCCTCCAGTTTACCCTTCTGTCACCCCATCCCGATCATCGACTCCGGGGGCAGCCTTCCCAAATATAATGACATCATGACTGTATTGCAGCCGCGCAGACAGGTCAGTGGGATGCTGAAGCTTGGGTCGCCAAGATGTGTGTGTTGGAGAGATAGACGTACCCTGCAAAAACAACGATGGTGGATGTGTCGAGAAAGTATGCGCAGTCAGGGCCGATCTTTTTATAACCGGGGCTGTGCAGGAAACCATAGTAGGCTTCCCAGGTTTTGAACCAGAGCGAGGTGCAGCCGTCATAATCGAGAAGGCTATGGCCGCATTTCTTCACCCATTCCTTGTCTTCGGCACTTTGGTGATGCTATACAGAAGGCGCATTTTAAGCTCCGGACATATTGCTTTCAACGGCACGGCTATAGCATCGAGACTACTAGGCATATACATACCTGTACATAGCGCAGACAACCGTGCTCCTTGAATGTTTCTGACGAAACAGTGATGTCTGCATGTACTGTGGCCCAATGCTTGGAAAAGTGCTCCCAGGAGACGTTGGGCAGTTTCTTGAAGTAGAGAGAGACCTTGACACAAGCTGTGGACCCTGTCAGTGATGTGGTCCGTCTAATGACAGCGAGAAGGATGAGACAGACTCACGCTGATAGTAGACTCCTGCGTCGTAGCTTAGCTTCTCGTGCACAAAATCGTAGTCGATGCGCTCGTGGCCCGTCACTCGGTCTTCAGACATTTGGCGAACGGAGAAAGGATATGTCCTCTTGTTTGGTCTATAACTAGGTAGTAGAGAACCTGTTGGTTCAGTGCCAAGTTTGGTATGCTAAGCCCCGTTTCGCAAAAGCGCAACAAGACGGTGTACTTGGCAACGGGAAATGATGTAGGAATGCGGTAGTTCTGCTGCGTGGGCGACTCGACTTCTCGACCGGGGTTGGCTCGTTTTAATACTAGACGGTGTCTGGGGGTTGTTGGAGGCCGTGACTTGGCTTGGTGAGGACAATAATGATTCTCGGAAAACCATATGCGCTACCTCCTCCTCCTCCTCCTCCTCCTCCTCCTCCTCCTCCCGCGGGGTCATGCCGGTTCACCAACGGGACATCACCGACGGCCTAGACTACAAAGGGCTTGAGAAGGGCTCAATCTAGCCCGATAACTGTTGCGGGAGCTGGTGTTGCGAGCATGTGCAGGTGTCGAGATAGGGGTTGGTTATTGCAAGTATTATCTATTTCTAGTGTTGACCGACTTGCGTGTCTCGCACGCCTTCCAGACTTCTTCATCTTCTTCCGTCTGTTTCTTCTCGGCAAGGACAAGAGGCGCCTTAGCAATAGCTGATCTCTCTCGCGATGCCCTCAATCGCCTTCTCGGGAAGCATGCGGCAGTTGACCCCCATCTTGTTGCTGGCCCTGCCCTTGTAGCCCGGAAGACGGGACCAGTGCGTCACACAGCCGCAATGGCCACAAAAATTGAAGACATTATGCGGGACGCGATTCTCTCCCATGTCCTGGCGCCCGTAGCTGACGACCTCGCCGCCTTGGTCCACGGAAACTGAGATTTGGGCCGGCTCATAGTAAGCCCACATGGCACCATACTTGTAGCAGACAGTGCAGTGGCACTGATTTAGCTTTGTTGGTTTTTGGGGAATCTTGACGCGGACTCGGCCACAGTGGCAGGTCGCCGTCAAATCGTTGGAGAGTGCTGCGGGGGCGGGGAGCTCGTCTTTGATGGACGCCATGTCGCGAGAGCGGGAGACGCAAAGTCCGCAAGGGCTGAGTTCAATTGATTCGCTTCGCCAGGTAGATAGATAGGGGAGGAGGTAGCAAAGAAAAGAGAAGAGGACGGATGATTATCTGGGGTGGTGGGCGAGCGGGCCAGGAGACGAAATAATTATTAAACATTCAAGATGAAAAGATGAAACCGCGAGGACACTCTACCCCCCCTCTCTTTATCTCTCCTTCTCTCTATCTCTCTTCTAAGGAACTAAGTACCTATCTGATACGAGTCGATTGGCCCGGTAACACAAGGAGCAAGCAAGGAAGGGCGTGGTGGCGAGAGGACAGACAGCACCCGGTGACGCCCTTCCACGAAGTCTCGTGACTCTGAGTGACACGCGCGCGCCCTTTGACCTGCAGCAAGACGAGAGCACGGCCAAGCGAAGCGGAATGATTGGTGCATTGCTCACCGACGGCTGCTATTCTACCAACAAAAATGTGCGAGAAGTCTCCGAGGTTCGTTGTTCGATGTTGGGCGGCCCACCGCTCTCAGCGTTGGGCGTAATTAATAGTCTACGTCGATCATGCGTCCAGCCCTCGCTCCAGCTTCTCGCGCAAGCCTCGCAGTGCTTTGTCCCCAAGCGCCATGATCGTTCCCGATCCCAGCATCTCGAGCACGCTAATGTCAAACCCGAGAACCGTCTTCCACCAGCTACGCATCTCGACTGCAAGTAGGCTATCCAGCCCCGCGTCCTGCAGCGAAATGTTTACATTCACCTCTTCTCCGTCCTCCACGGGCTTGAGGAGGAGGCGGAAGAGCTGGAGTGCCAGCTGACGTGCTACGAAGTCTGCGGCACCCGCCCCCCGGAGAAGGTCGGGATTGCCGACTGCAGCCCGGACGAACAATGCCAGTTCGTCAGAGGCTCCTGTCTTGCTCGCGGCTTCGCTTGACCCGGTGCTCTGGCCACGGCCATGGTAGTAAGCCATGCGGCGATCCCGCTTCCAGACGACACGATTCGTTGGGTCAGAGAGACTCGTTGTGCTGCGCAGGCCGATGACCAACTGCGATGCACTGACAAAGCTGTGCAACTGATCCGCCCTGGGCACCTTTGCGTTCACGACCGTCGAGAGAGCGTCAAGGAGCTCGGGGATTCGGATCCCATAGTTCCCTTGAGATGTGAGGCGCTCCAGCAAGATCGGGTTCTCTGCGATATAGCCGTGGTCCAGCATAGCCCCAATATCAACGGCCGCTGCGCACAAGCCTAGACTTTGTCGATACTGGACAAATGCGTCCAGAAAGGTATTAGCCCCAGCATAGTTAGCCTGTCCTGGCTGGCCCATGACACCAGAGATAGAGCTGAACAAGAGGAAGAAATCGAGCGGGCCATGCTGCTGCTGTTGCTGCTGTGAGAGAGACGCCTTGTGCAGGTTCCAAGTGCCACGCACTTTTGGGGTGACCGCAGCCGTCCATTCTCTGAACGTCATTCGACTGAAGGCTTCATCCTGCAACAACATCGACATGTTGAGAATCCCCCGCAGCGGTTTCCTCGCTGCAGCCACGGCCCTCTCAACATCGCTCAGCTCAGACACGGAGCCTTGGACTGCTGTAGCGGTGCATCCCTGGCACCTGAGCTCCTCGAAAAACTCGTGATCCCTCGTTGACTGACCAGCCCGGCGTGAAAGATACACGAGGTGCCTGGCGCCTCGCTCAACCATCCAAGTAGAGACCGTCCTGCCCAGACCTCCGAGGCCGCCAACTAAAAGGTAAGAAGCGTCGCTAGGGAAGCTTAGCTCCGCGGCCGAGGAAGATGATTTGAGGGGCCTTCCATCGCTGGTGTTCATTGTCACGACAATTTTACCAATGTGCTCCCCCTTTTGCATATACCGGAAGCACGACTCCACCGCATCGGCCGTAAACGTCTGAATCGGCCGGAGGGGATGGATATGGCCTTCTTCGTAAAGGCGGACAATTCTCTCCAGAAGCCTGTATTCTTTGTTAAGAGGGAAAGAGCGGAAGAAGGCTCGGTTGCCAAGGGAGAAGAAGAGAGGTACAATGGAGATCGCACAAATGACTTGGGGCGACATACCTATGGCCGGCCCTTGGCCTATTCTCAATGACATGACCCAGGTCGACCCCATGATAGCTCCGGTTCAACTCAAAGACGTTCAATGCCAGCTTGCCATTGCCAATGAGGTCACGTTTGCCTATCTCGATCATCTTGCCAAAGACTGCCACGCAATCCCAAGAAGCATGAAGCAGAGCACCAGAGAGGGAGTTGAGTACTACGTCTACACCCCGATTGCCGGTGGCCTTCATGACATCGGGCAAGAAAGAAGCGTCGCGTGAGTTGAAAATATGGTCCCCCGGGATCCCAAAGGTGCTCGTCAGGTACTCGATCTTTCTTTTGCTAGAGACAGTGCAGAACACTTCAGCGCCGATCATTTGGCAAATCTGGATCGCTGCTAGCCCGACGCCTCCGCATGCCGAGTGAACCAGGACGGTTTGGCCGGCCTCCAGGTTGCCCACGTCCAGCAGTCCGTGAATGACAGTTGAAAAGACGCAGGGCATTGTCGCGCCATCCTCAAACGAGAGACCATCTGGCATCTTGACGCAGAGTTGGGATGTGATTACAAGCTCTGTCGAGAAGCACTGCCCTCCAAAGACAAGAACACGGTCTCCTCGGCTGAGGTCACAGCAACCCGGCCCAACCTCTCGGATGACTCCGCTCGCTTCCAGGCCAAGGCTGTCCAAGGAGTTAGAGTCGACAATGCCCATGGCAATCAAGACGTCCTGACGCATAGTAAATGTCACGGTCAGTGTTCTATCCTTATAGTTTTGCGCCGCCGGAGCCGTGCAACTCTGAAACGCACCTTGAAATTCATGCCGACAGCCTTGACCTCGAGAGCGACCTCGTCGCCAACAAGTTTGCGCCTCTTTCTCGTTGTCCAACTCAGTGTGTCCAGACGTCCGTGTTGCCCAACAACAAGGCCAAGTTGCGGGTGCAAGGCGTCATCGTCTTCCTTGCCCATTTCGGCGTGGACAGATACGGGCAGCAGCCGAGGAATCAATACGACGCCATCTCTGATAGCATACTCGTACTCTGGCCGGATGTGCTCCGTTGCCCGACGTCTTTGAAATTTCTCAAAGACCGCGATGGCTTTTTCCAATGTGTGATCGTCTACGTTGTCGATCTCGCAAGTCGAAAAGTCCATGCTAAGCTCGTTCCGGAGGCTCCTTGCTGTGCCTATCACTTGACCCCATCTCGGGTCAACACACCTGACTTGCGATAGCTTGGAGAGCCAGAAAATACCATGGCCAGTCCTGGAAACGCACGTAGCCAGCTCTCTGAAGGCCAGGAATGCCTCCTCTGATATCTCGTCGAAGAAGGGCCTGTTGATGTCAAACACGCAGAGGACATCGCCATTGATTGTTGGCGCCGCCTTGAGGTCACGCAAAAACACATCAAAGCCCTTCACCATCAGCCTATCACGAACAGAGTCGGCGATCCCTTGCGAATCTTCATCGTATACCACAGTGATCTCTCTCCGGCGCTCCTCTGTCCTGGGACGTGCGGTGAGATACGCCAGAAGGTGGTTCGGAGCAGGGCAATCCAGGGCAGTTTTCTCCAGACCCGCGAAGCCGGCCTCCCGAAGAGCCAGATCCCAGCGCTCGGGAGAAACGTACGGCTCATCCGCCCTTCCGTCTTGCGCACCAAGCCACCACCCCGGAAGAACGCCCATGATGAAGTTTATGGCTTTGATATCGCAGCAAAGCTCTTCCATGTAGAGCCTGCCATCCGGCCGCAGGAGCTTTCTCGCGTTGACCAGGGTCTTCGCAATGCTTGGCGTGGCGTGGAGCACGTTCGCGGCAATGACAAGATCAAAGGTGCCAGCCTCGAATCCTTGTCCCAGGGGATCCTTGGAGATGTCAAGTGTCTGGAAAGACACGCGGGGATGGTCCCGGAAACGCTCCTGAGCGGCGGCAAAGAATCCAGCGGAGATATCCGTATAGACATATTGCGAATACATGTAGTCGTTTGCTACATCACTCTGCAGCCAATGCAGGATCTTATTTGTTGTGCCCCCCGTGCCTGCACCGATCTCCAAGATCCGCATACCCGGGTTGGCGTGACCTAGGGATTGGAAAAGGGGCCGTCGGTCGCCGAGATTCATCGAGTCGTAAAGGTTCGTAAGTGTGTTGTTTGGCAGGAGGACTTCGAGCGGCTCAACTTCGCCTTTGAAGATGGGGACAACGTTATCAAGAATCTGCTTCATGGCCACTGCAAAGGGGGCGAAAGCCGATCTTGAAAGCTGATCGGCCACGCTTTGCAGGTCAAGCGCGTCTCTAGGTTCCGGCTGTATTCTTAGCCAGTCATGAAAGCTCCTCAGATGTGGCATCGTCGGTTTGATGGCTCTGAGCCGGAGCATAGCTTCTCGCACGCAGAGCAAATGCATTTCCTCTGTGAGCCTCAAGACTCGTTCCTGTTCGGGATGCGGTCGAACCAAGGTGGTTAGGTCGGAAAAGCATATATCTGGATGCCAGAAAATGCGGGCAGCAGCGTGTCGATCGCCACCGGCGGCGTCCCCTTCCAAGGGACTGAGTTTGGTGTCTGTCATAGACAAAACGACACGACAGTGCCTGTCAACGGCCCAGCCACTACCGGAAATCAGCCCGCGCGGTGTTCTCTCCGCTGAAACGACCATATCAAGCTCGTCGCTGCTGACGGTGATGTCAAGACCGCCGATAAAAGTCGGCACTGTCATCTTGTCCAGCCTATGGCCGAGACCCTTGGCGGAGGCGACGCTAAAAAGTTGCAGGAAGAAATCTATCTTCGTGGGATGGAGGGGATAGAAAACCTCGTCATCCAGTGCCGTGTGTAACGCTTTGGCTCGCGCGATGTGCCCTTCGGTCGAGCATTCTACGCTCGCTAGCCCCTGGAACTGCTCCCCATAGTTAGCGCCAACCTTGCGCAGGGTATTGTACCATTTGGAGGCCTGGATCTTGCGAGGGTAGCTTCTCGGCTGGGCGGTATCCTCTGTGGCAGAACTGCGAGGGCAGACTTTGCCGGAGCAGTGCCTCGTCCACGATGACCCGTTGTAGGAGCTGATGGTGAACTCCCACCAAGTGCCATCCAGACTGTCAGTCAAACGCTCCCTCCGCAGGTTCGTTACTATCTCGGTGGACGCCGACTCGCCGAGAACCATAGCCATGTGAATAACCACATTGCGCATGGAGAATCCGGCAAATTGCCCCGTTGACACCTGCCTGACCGCTTCGCCGGCCATACCGACATATGCCGCACAGGGGAAAATAACATCGCCATGGATATTGTGGTCTCTGATCCAGGGAACACGCTCAAGGAGCAGAACATTGCGAAATAGCGGATCGTCATCACTGCTTTCCCGTACGCGGGACCCAAGCAGTTCGTGCCTTGGGAATCTGCGCTGTCGCCATTCTTGCGTGATGCGGGATCCAAAGAGTATTGGATGATCATGATGCCAGGCATAGGTAGGCAGATCGGCGACTGCTCTGGCGCTGCCGTCTCGGTTTGTTAGACGTTTGAAATCGATCTGGATGCCCTGCTGCCAGAGGTGACCAAGCGCCGTCAAAAAGGTTTGGTTACCGTTCTTCCCACGAACCAGACAGGACGAATAGGGGCAGGTAACAGATGCCTGGGCCAAAGTCTGACGTAGAGGTCCTGCGAGGGCGGAATGGGGCCCGACTTCAAGAAATACCAGACCGTTTGACCTCTGTTTATGGTATTCCACAAGATTCGCGACGGCAGTTCGAAAGAGGACAGGTGATTCAAGGTTCAACCCCCAGTATGCCGCATCTGTTGGTTGCGTTGAGCGAAGACGTTTCCCAGTTACTGTCGAGAATATCTCTGACTTCGGTGCGTCGGGGGTGCTTCTGATATACGGACACGACTTCTCAAACAGCGATTCCCCAATCTCTCGCACGTGGTGGGAGTGGTATGCCTTGTCCACCTTCAGTTTGCGCGCAAGCGTATCCGGCTTGGCTCGTTGTATGCTCTCTATCATCTTCTCAACCTGGTCACAATCCCCCGATATCGTGACACTAGACGGCGAGTTCTCGCAAGCAATGACAACTCCCGGTATCAGGAATTCGACTGTGTCTTGCCAGCCCATGCCAATCGCGGCCATTAGACCCGGCCTGGACGACGAGCCAGACGCTTCACCCCGGAAGTATGCAGCAATGACGGCCTCGCTCAGAGTCAGCTTCCCGGCAGCGTATGCAGCGGCCATCTCTCCCGATGAGTGGCCGACAACGGCAAAAGGTTGGACCCCGAGATCAAAAAGCGTATCGACCAGCGCTAATTGAACCGCTGTGCAGACCGGTTGCGAGATGGTGGCATTGTGCAGCCTACTTGACTCTGCGGGTTTGGTCATTTCCTCCAGAATTGTCCACGCAGGGGGGTTCGGCAGGGACTTGAGAATGCTGTCCATGGTACTGATTGATTCGCGGAAAGATTTGCTGTTTCTCAATAGCTCGACGCCCATTTCGGGCCACTGCGCCCCCTGGCCCGTGAAAACGAGAACTAGATCTGGAGTGCTCTTTGACATTTTCACCGCGGGCGAAATGTTTCCTTCTACACCGCTTCCAACGAGAGAAAACGCTCGGTATGGTAAGTGGGCTCGCCGAGAGCCCAGGGTGTAGGCTACATCCCTCACAGTACTTGGACTTGGATTCTTTTCAATATATGCCCGGTGGTTGACGGTCTCGCTTGCTAAGGACTCAGGGGTGTTGGCGGAGAAGACGAGCAGTTGTGGACTCATAGGGGGTGTGGGAGCCTGGGCAACAGATCGAACTTCAACAAAATCAGTCGCCGAGTCAATAATGGCATGCGCGTTCGAACCACCTATGCCGAAGGAGTTGACGGAAACCCTTGGCTTTCTACCCGCAGGCCATGGCGTGCGGTCCAGTGGCACTGTCAACTTCTTCTCAAAGAAGGGGATCCTGGGGTTCGGCTTTTCAAACTTGATGTTGGGTGGTATTTCACGATGTTCCAGGGCGAGAACTGCCTTGATAAGCGAGGTGATCCCAGACGCTCCTTCAGAATGACCGACATTGGGTTTGCACCCCCCTATGAAGACGCCTGCGTCGCCGAAAAGCTTTGCTATTGTGCCAGTTTCTATAGGGTCTCCCGTCGGGGTTCCCGTGCCGTGACATTCCACAAACGCAGTCTCGGCGATGTCGGCTAGGCCGGCCGCCTGATATGCTCGTCTGATCATGGCTTCATGACTCTCGGCGCTTGGCATAGTCAGGCTAGGAGTCTTGCCATCAGCATTGGCAGCGGTGCCGCGGATGATGGCCCGGACGGGATTACCATCTCGAGTGGCCTCGCTAAGTTTCTTAATATAAATCATGTTGACACCCTCGGCACGGGCGTAGCCATCCGCGGAAGCATCAAATGTACGACAGCTGCCGTTCGGCGAAAGTACAGCTTGATCCGACATGCTAATGTACAGCCCAGGGGCCATGATCAGGTTCACTCCGCCAACAAGTGCTGCGCTGCAGTCGCCGTTCTGGATAGCAAGGCAAGCCTCGTGGAGACCGACTAGAGCCGCGGAACAGCCGGTCCGGATGGTCATGCTTGGGCCTCTGAGATCATACTCGTACGCTAGTCTGTTGGAAAGGACAAAGTCGCCGTACCTGAAATGGTAGTGTGAGTGCCTGGGGAAGCAGAAGCGAGGGGGGGGATCGGGGGATCTTTGGCTTTTTCGAGGCAGGAGAGTCCAACTTACCCAGTAATCTTGAACTGACCAACTACTTCTTCATCTTTAGACATGATTTCCTGCCAGTCTTCTCCAAATGATCCGATGTAGGTGCCAATTGCCCTGCCTCGATATGCCGTTTCTCCCGCGCTGTCAAAGCACTCACGCGTAATTTCCAGCAGTAGTCGTTGCTGGGGATCCAGTCGCTCAACCTCGGGCCGGGACATACTAAAGAAGGTAGTGTCAAGAGTTCCGAGCATAGAATCGTCCAGGAAGTAGCCATGTTGGGTTCTCAAGTGGCCCGTCTTCCCTGATTTGGAATAGAAACTTCCTGCCTTGAATCTAGAGTCGGGGATCAAGCTCCTTGCATCCCTCTTATTCACGAGGAACTCCCAGAACTGATCCGGGGTTGCGATTCCTCCGGGCAACCTCAACGCCATGCCACAGATGGCGATCGGGTCCGCCATGGTCTTGCAGTTACACGCTGCCTCTGGCACGGTGCAGTGGCCATGGTCGTTCTATTTACAGCCGGCTTAGGGGTTTGTGAAAAGGCATTTTGTGCTTTCTGGTAGGACTCACCTGTGGCATTTGTGTCAAGTCGTCCAAGTAGGGGGCCATGATGACAGGAGAGCGGTTAGGTTCAAAAGGGCAGAAGAACAACAGGGACAAGGTGTATATAGTGTAGGCTTGAGCAGCCAGGGATGCTAGGCAGTAGTACACGATCAGAGTAGTTATCGGGAGAATTAAGGTTCTTATATGGACATTCAGCTCTCCCGTCCCTCTGTGCTCCCGTTGTTCTCACGCCGTCCCCCAGCCAATCGTCCATCTCACATCAGCATGCCAAGTGCCATAGCGTTGGCGCCGCGAGACTGTGAGCCTTTGACGAAGCGGCATCTTACATCAGCGTCTCCAACGCCCAGAGGTCACGTTGTAACGCTCACTTTTGGGGACAGGCATTACCTAACATGGTGTTTCCTCTCAGTTTCGAACAATACCAGCTCATAGAAGTCGAATCCGCAAGGGGATTCAAAGTCAATTGGCCCAAGATGCACACTCCCGCAAACCATTTCTTGGCAATGACCCGCCATTGAACAGAGCATTCCCAGTTTGGGCCCACTGCCTAGGTAGCGGTATCTCAGGATAATAAATTGCATTCGTGGGGACTCTACGGTATCTGTACCGAGGGGAACAAGTACACCGTCGATGCATCTGTCGAGAATTGTGACCCAAAGCAGCATCGTGGGCATCTCGACTTGTGCCTTGTGCGGGGTGGTGAAACGGAATTGTGGGTTGGCTCTCACCGCCTCCACGAGAGTCACATCGCGCAAACCAGAGAGCTCTGATCCCCCAGTGGCCGTCCGTGTCTAATTTTGCTTTGCAGGTGCTGCTTAGTGTGCCTTTTTCTACTCATAGCACTCGCTTATAGACCACTGAGCAAGCGTCCTAGGTGGATGGGCGGGTAGAGAGAGAGAGAGAGAGAGAGAGAGAGAGAGAGATATCTGTCTATGTTTATAAGTTTGTCCTGCTTTGCGAGTGGATTCAAAGTCATTGATACCTCTTAATTGTCCTTAACTCGGTTATTAGATCAAGGTTAGGAGGTGAAAGTGGGGGATGTAGGCAGGCAGTCAAGAAGTCATCCGAGGACTGGGATGGACAACCAGCAATTCCAGCAGTTCAGGATCGGAGCCAATGGTCTGTGATGCGGCCTACAGTAGAATGGCTACTCACCAGGATCTATTCAGTGATGGCCTAGATCCGCACATTCGCCAGTTCTCCTGGCAGCTGATCACATCCTGATCTTCGGAACCAATCCATCGCATCCTCGACTTAGAAAGCAACCTTAAGTTACAAAACATCTCAAACTTCTATTGCCAGCAAGCCCTCCTCCTCCTAGGCAATACCTATGCCCAAACAGTGGTCATGAACACAGCCTCAACCGCCGAGGACTCGCCATCTCTTTTGCCAGTTGACTCCAGGGATGTGAGCTGCCTGGTCTGGTCGCAGCAGAGTGGCAGCTCGTGGTCCCTTGTCTTCCATCACACATCTAGAACCTTGCACAGATGACTTTCGAACCATCATCACTTCCAAAAACCCAATGTGTGGGCTTGGGGACTCGGCAATCAGATAGGACTATGGCATCCGGAACGAAAACAGTCTGAGCTGGCGTGCGCACACGGTCTTATTCTTGCAGAATATCCCAGTGGAGGCAGACAGCAACGCCTTCACCAACATTGCTCCGGGACAGAGTGATCCTCAATACCTGGCTGGACGAACGAGTTCCCTTGGATGACTTCGACATCGCCAGACTTTGACACTCGTGGAGCCTCAGCCGCGCCGGTCCGCTCAAAGAGATATTCGAGAGTTGCCCAGCGACGTTCAAACTCACAACGGGGACATTGCAGAGCCCAAACGAGATGACGTTCACCCTGGCAGAACCTGCGGTCAGGTATTTCCAAAACCATGGCACATCACTCTGCAGCGCTTGCTGTGGGTGTGTAATACGAGGATCTGTTTCGACAGTCTCTAATATCTTGGCTCACTGTGTCTCGGCGCAGGGTGTTTGTTGTTCATAGGGCCAGCACAAGATAATGGCCCCCCTGCACGTGTATACTTCATGGGACTTCTAGATCCCGCATTGCAGGAGATTGTCCCTCACGGTGGGGAGCATATCTGCTTCGCGATCGATTCTTGCCCAATTAATACGCAGAGAGAAGATCTCGAGTGGTACGACGCAATTGACGCCATCAAAGAGCACATAATCGACAGCTAAGGACGCGTCTCACGACTCTACGGCATCCGCAATCCGAGCACGAGCGAGCAGATGGTTGCCTGCCTCCAAGCCTGCAGAGTCTGTCCATCAAACGAAGGCCAGATGCGGTCCTTCGCCGAGACGACGGCGAAAATCTCGCCCAGAGACCTGCAATAAACTCCCCGGAGAGGCTCAAGCCATTCAGCGGCTATAAGGACCGTGTGAGAAATTTCGTTGAAGAGAAGTACTGCGATGGCTTGCGCTGCCCTCCTGGATCACAGAGCCCGCCAGAAACTATTACTTTCACGGACTGGCATGGAGTCCGGGTCGAGACGCTGAGGCCCCAAGGCAGTCGGACTTGCCTGAGCATCTCGCAGTCGACGCTGTCCTCTGGCCAGTAATACGATATCGGCCGAGCTACAAAAGCGCCATCTATTCCTCAGGTCACTCAACAAGTCTGCTGTTGGCTCTCGAGTCTTGGCTGACCTCAAGGGAAGTGAGGGGGTTGCGAGCGGAACAAGCTCCTATCAGTGCAGCTCAGTGTATATTCGAGAACTACAAGCAGCGATCTTTCGCGCCGGCTTATGTTCGAGGCTGCCTACGGACAGCAGTGATGGCCAGCGCTCGAGCATCATGATCACGTTCCCGCACAGAGCCCAGTGTTCCTTGTTTCGAAAGGAATGCAGCAGACTTAGCCCCGCCGAGTACGTGCCCAGTCTTGTAAAGCGCCGTACCCTGACCACAGCCGCGGGCGACGAGGCTGATATAGTCATCATCGACCTCGTCCGGACAATGGCTCTCGGACACTCGGCCGAACCACGGATCCTCAACACACTCGATACGAGAGCTCGCCTGATCACCGTCGTGATCGCTGACGCCGCTCTCTCCATGGCTTCATCCAGAAGGAAGACACGAAAAAGCATCAAAGCCGCTTCAGGCCGACTACTTTGAGTGCAAATCCAAGTCTGCAATTGCCATTGAGCACAGCAAGAACTGGCGTCAGCTATGCAAACTGTGTTACTCTACTGACCAGGGTTGTTTTGGGGCTGCCTTGTGGCGTGGGGAACGTCGAGCCTTTGTCGTAGACCGAACGGTCGCCACCTTGAACACCGCACCACACAACCACGGCTTGTGTGCACCCATAACGACGCTCTAGTATCACCTCTTACTATAGCAGTGGATGCTGAGGTTTCAGCTGTTGGTTCGGGAGCATTGGGATTCTGGCGTTTGCTCGACACCAAAGAATCTTGGCGCTCTCTCTTTCGCGCTGCGGTGGACAGAATGTGGACTTCATTAAGAACCGGATCGGATGATAGAATAGGGGACGGGTGGTCCGGAGGGGGTTGGATGAGATCCACGAGATCCTCTTCTGATATCTTCTGAAGGTTGCCTTCTCTCCATATCCCGAGCGCATCGGGCTGCCATCGAAGGCCATAGTAACTTTGATAGACACGCAAGTGGTGGCCAGATCAGTCCAAGTCCTGGAAACAGAAGTACTTCTTATCTATTGGGAATCTTAGGTGGTGGTATAAGCCTTTAACTGAAGGTCAAAGTATTTGAGTTGATGGGCTGGTATTAACCATCAAGCCAATCGGGATTAGGTAGTTAGCTGGCCCATGTGGATTTTTTTTTTTTGAGAGAAGGAAAGATAAATGAGGTATTTCCTGAGTCTACAGGTACCTGCCGACTCGTGGCTGGTACTGTGTACAGTACCGAAGTCCCCAAGGAGCTTTGCAAGTGGACCCGGCAGCGTCCCACGCGCCTGAAACCACCAAGCGTACCTAGCTATTGCCCATGATTGGAGAGGACACAGACTTTAGCAAGCCGCCCGGCGCGAGCGCTAGCATCTTGTGCCTGGCTAGACATGCTGGGGATCGACGGCGCCATCTACGCGTCTGCCGAGTGTTCGCCTGCCCGCCCAGCTCTGACGCCGGAGTTGGACCCTGTGTGCGGAGCCACACCCTCGGGGAGGTGCACAACCTGTGTTCGGATGCATCGTGACCAATAGGGCATGCGTGGCCGTTTTGGACATGCGGCATTTGCAACTCTGGACCACCGGTGGCGTCAAGAAGATGTCTACACATGAAGACTTTTTGCAGACTCTTTGCAGACCCTTTGCAGACCCTTTGCAGACCTTGCGCAGAGTCTACAAGCCGCTCCACAACGTCTCTCATGACATCTCTAGCTTTTTAGTTGTTCTTTGCATTGCCGCTGTCGAGGCATCGCCGATTGGTGAAAGAGAAACGACTGGCGCCGACAAGCCTTTGTGTCAATCAACTGATGCATGTGCTCAGTGCAGCCCCTCGCCCACGGATGCGTACACGGAAGAATATTAATGAGGGCCGGGCCATCGGGGGCATCAATCGATTGATTTGATCAAGTGCTGGCTCGCCGCGCATCTCGGTCTAGATGAAAGAATGTAACATGCCCCTCGTAAACCCGTGGAAGGGGCTGTGTCCTGGTGGCAGTGTTGCCAACTTGCCAAGTTGCGTACGTCTCCCTTGCTTTGACGAAAGCAGTCTGAATTGTAGTGGACCGTACCCACATGGGCATTCCCAGCTTGATCTTTCTCTGGGACTCTTCTCACCCAGTTGGTACCCAGTCCCGAGCTGTGGTGTTGACCGAGAGGGCATGGTCCAGGGTGATCTCCGGGAGATGGTTGTGGGACGGGTTGGGGGCCAATCTGAAATACCTGGAACCACTTGTGTGTGGTTGAAGCCGAAATAGGTGGAAGAGACAGACATGAACATGACGTCGCCATACTGACGTTGGGGGCTTTTGCCCAATATCCGTCGGTGCGTTGTACCTAACTTGTAGGTGCACGCTAGACATACACACTCACGAGACGTTTTGTTGTTTTGAGCAGATCCATTCCCCAGCTACATTCCAGACCAGCCACCAGCAGCAGTGCCGTGTGCCTACCTAGTGCAGAGCCTCCAGACGGACGGCTGCACTGAGAGTTCGTGGTTATGGAATAGATGTCAGACAAGGAGAGACGTCTTATATTGGTGGACGTAAATTCATATGGAGTATCGTGATGAGTGATGAGTTATGAAGCCTATATGATCATGACGTAGCAAGAGATCACCGAGGGCGGGGAGCATATGTGGATAAATAAAAAGTCAACAATCAATTCTTCGGATTGCTTCCCCTATATGCCAGTGTATGTGCCATCGCCAGAGAAATAGCAAGCCGGTCCTGAAACCCCAAAGTTTGTACTATACATTGTATTCAAAGGAGTTTGTTCTTGACGCGATGCCCAACGCCAGCAGCGAGCGTGATCATCATGTCGTCTTGAATCGCAGAAGGTGTAACAGAAGCAATGAAAGCACAATATATTTCCCTATCAGATGTAGCCCAAGGAAGATCTACTGTTCCTTGCGAGAGCCTGCACATCGTCGGTGGCTGAGAAGAATGCGGATCGCCAAGTGGAGAACCGACTGTTGCAGATAAATAAAAAAAATCACACATAAAACGGCTGTCGTCAATTTATTGCTGGAAGGCGACATTGACATTGAGAGTGAGCGGTCCGGGGGCGATGTTGCCACCGATGCCGTCCTCAGCCTCCATGCCGGGAAGGTAGGCGTTTTGACCGCCGCCGCCCTGGTAGAGGGTGGAGCAGGTGCCCTTGGCGCAGACCTGGAGACCGTCCATGGCGGCGCCGGTGGCACCGGCAACAAGGGCCGAGGCATCGAAGCCGGACCAGCCACCATTGGACGTGTTGCCAAAGTCAAACTCGGTCCAGGGGCAGACGTACTGGCCGAAGGAGGTGGTGGCGGCGGCGTCACCCTTGGAGCAGCAGAAGCCGCCCTGGGTGTCGTCGTCAAAGGCGAGCCACTGCTCCCCGTTGGCGGGGATGGTGAAGGTGTGGACTTCGTTGTTCTTGAAGAAGCCGTTGATGCCACCGTCGGGGCCGACCTTGAGCCAGACGGCGCAGGTGTACTTGGAGGAGCCGCCCTTGATCCTGGCCGTGTACTTGTACTTATCGGCGATGGTGGACTCGATGAGCTTGATGTTGCAGCCGTACGAGCCGGCCACGCCGACATTGCCCTTATACTTGATCTGGTCGAGGGTCACGCGCTTGGCCTTGCTGCCGCCGCAGAAGGGCTCGTAGGTGTTGGCGCCGCTGCCGGTGGAGCCGCCCGAGGTGCTGGCAGCCGACGACGAGGCAGCGGGAGGCGAGCTCGCGGCAGCGGGGGTGGGCTTCACGAGGGGGGCGGCGGTCGTCGAGGGCTGGACGACGGGCTTGCCGGCCTTCTTGAAGGGAGAGCCGCCATCAGGTCCCTGGGTCCACGAGACAACCTTGCCGTTGATGGTGGCAGTGATGATGTCGCCGGCAGCCGGGTTGGGAGCAGGGTTGCGCTTCTCGTGGAAGTCGCGGTGCATGTGGGCGTGGCCCGAAGGGTGAGCTGCGACGCCAAGGGCGGATAGCAGCAGCAACGGTGCGAAATGCATCTTGGCTGCAAGGTTGGTTGGTTGGTTGATTGGCTGGGTCGTCAAATCGCGCTGGTGGTGATGTGTGGATGTGGTATCGAGTGTTTCTATGTATCGTCTTGTGGGCGTGCACGCGCAGAGGGTTGTCTTCTCTCCTGCTCTCGCTCTCTATGACGGGGGTGGAAACGACGAGTTTGTCAAATTCGCCAGAACTTGTCTGTTCGAGGTTCGTGCTTGTCTTGCTATGCGGTCTGGGGGTTTGAATTGCTGATGTCGTTGAACCTGCAAGGAGTGCGCAATGTCCCACCAAAACTTCAAAAAAATAAAGGAGTGTGAAGGAGTGTCTTGAAGGAATGTGTGGCTTTTGATGGCCGAAAGGAAAGTCGGGGAGGAAAAGTGAGCGTGGTGACACTCGTGAGATATTTGATGGTGGAGAGAAGAGAGAGAGAAGAGAGGGAGAGTGAAAGGGGAAAGCAGGGAGGACGAGGAAGGGGAGAAAAAGGAGCCGGCTGGGCCAAGCGCCAAGGGGGTGCTTTTCCACGCTTCAGTGAGTGTTGCTTGCGTGTACGGAGTAGGTATGTGGGTGGGTACCTAACTTGCTAAGTGGGAAGACCAAAAATGACTGTAGGGGGGGGTGGGAGTACGTGTCGAGGTGTGTGTGGGAAAGTGGACTGCGCAGTCTGCACGGCACTCAGTGCACACTGTGCACAGGTAGTTAGAGTGGCGCTACAAGAACAATCCATGGAAGCGTGTAGGTACCACCGTCCCAGCGCCATAACAGCCAACTCCCACAGCGCTAGCCATCTTTGGCCTGTACCTAGGTACCTAGGTAGGTAGGCTCCAGGGACTTGCATCCAGCTGTTACAAGTAGTGACATGCGTCACATTGTCAAGTCACTGCGCACTGGGCCCCCAACGAACAACGAGCAACGAGCAACGGCAGCAGCACGAAGGAGAATGTGCGGATAAAGTGCTGACAGGGATCTGTTCCGGCAGAGTCTGCTAGCTAGTCACACCGTGCGCGCACTTGTGGACAGGAGTCCGTTGAATGGCAAAATGAGAACCAAGCAATAGGTACTTGGCCAGCCGGGATGCGACACGCTGACGAGATGAATGAGGTCTGGGTAGCCGCTGGCTGCTTTGTCTGGCAAGCACTGGACTTCTACGTAATTGCATTCATGACAATGGCTGGGGTTATTGTGTGTGTGTGTGCTTTGTTCTATTGCGGTCACAAAGGCGACGTGACCAGATGACCGATCTTCTAACTAACTATGTACGGAGCACTCACTTTAGGACATGAGTGTGTGTGTGTGTTTGCGCTCGTGTGTGCCCTGATTTAGGTACGGAGTAGGTGCTTGACAAATGTGTGAAGAATGCATCCATACAAGTCCAAATCCCGGCCATTGTCAGACTTGTTCGCCATGGCTCACTGCCACCAGCGAGACTGGCTCCAATCGATGAACTAATTTAGGATCCATGGATACGTGGAGTGTTCAGGGGTTTCCACGCAGGGGCCAAGGGAGTCCATGTTCGCACATGGCCAATAGGATGGCTGTGCCTGGATTGTGCGAGCCACTCCCGGGAATCTAGCGCCATCGGACCTTCTACTTGTACGGGCATGGCACCTGGTTTACTTGTACCTACTCTACTCCGTAAAGTACTGTAGGCCTGGTGTACTGTGCCCAAACCCAGCAGAGAAAGTACCTTGCTCCATACAAGTACATTCATTCATTTGCGAGAGAGAGTGAGGAAAAAAAAAAGTGAATAAAATCCCTCCCCAGTCTCCTCTTGGATTTTGATGGCATCACCAGAATTCCAGCCGGTGGCAGCTGGCCTGTCTTTTGGCTGGCTGCCCCTAGCCTTCAATTTTCTACCACGTGTTTCCAAAAGAGACTGGCTGTGAAATCGAAGGAAACCGGGCTTTCCCCATGCTATCATCCCATGCCATGAGGTCAGAGGCTGTCGCTGGAAATACCTTTCGGTATGGATGGAGAGCCTACAGTACCTGAGGACTTGTCCACTTGCATGTGTGTGTGTGTTGTGCCCTGTGGTTTAATGATGCACCTCGCGGATCTTCATGCGATCGACGAGGTTTGGATCAATAAACAGCACTGCAAGCCGGCATTCGACCCACCATTGCCTGCACACAATACTTATCAACACAGCAGATCCGGCTCTTTCTAAAGCCCACACCAGCGAGCGGTCCGCGCCCTTGTTGCTTGGGAGGCTCCTGTTGGGTTTCTGGTGTTGTGAAGTCGAGGAAAAACATCTGCCGATCTTTATCCATCCATCAATCAATCTGCGTTGTGCAAACAAATCAAGGTTTCGGGTGTTCCTGGATTAGCCTACGGAGCACCCCGGTACAGCTGCAAGCGACCCGAGCCAGGCTTGCCATGTGTTCCGTCAAAGTTCTCCAGCTGCTGTGTGCCTCGGGACTCGGGAGCCAAAACTGTGGAGGCGCACGGACCAACAGATAGGTAGCCGTGCTAGACCTAGGTAAGGTACCTCCAGGAGCTCCCTGATAGCGAGTAAATGCTCCGTACCTCCCTTATTGACAGACTGAGGGTAGTTATCGTTCCCCTCATCGTTCCCCTCATCAAAGCTCCAGTCGTACCACACCAGCACCAGTGCTCGTACGACACCTTTCCCAAGTTCCGTCCCTCCGAGGCACTCATGCCGTCAGTCGGGACGAAGAGTTCAGTTCACTTCGGTTTAGCTTAGCTGGGTAGCATTTGACTTCAAGGGCAAAACCTTGCGCAACCGCCGCACTTCTGACCCCGTTTAGCTCGCCAGCTGATACCCAAGCAAGAAGAGGAACTCAACCCCCAAGACATCATGATAGCCCGCTCTGCGGCTACGGCCAGGGTCCAGCTTACCTTTCGACGCGCCTCAAGAGTGCCATCCGTCCATGGTTCTCTGATTTCGCAACGGCCCTGCGCCTCCCACGCCGCTCGTTTTGCCTCTTCCCATCAGAGGTCTCGGCCAGCGAAGCTGTCTCAGTGGAAGGCCAGTTCATCACCACCTCGAGCCCGGGAGGCTCGAGACGCCGGTCCTCGGGATACGGAATGGCTACCAACGTCCCTGCAAAAGGCCGGCAGGCTCTTGGAAGCAAAGGCTGGGAAGGGCTCCGTCGTCTTGCGATTTGAGCATGTCGATCAGCCAGTGCTGCTGTCCACTCTGTGGCTGCGCGACAGCTGTCAGTGCGATTCTTGCGCGAGCCCTTCGTCCGGACAGAAGCGCTTCGCCACGAGCCAGGTGCCTGTTTCCCCCGAGATAAACGACGTCTCCGTGAGAGACGACGGCAGCTTGGCCATTAGATGGGCGAGTGACTTCATGACTGGCGATGCGCACACCTCGACCTACTCGTGCGAGTTCTTGTTGCGTCACCTGCAGAGGCAAAGGCCGAAAACAAAAGACGCAAGGTACTTTTGGGACCGGCAGCGCTTTGCCGACCAGTTGCGGCCGATCTCCTTCTCCGACTGGATGAACAGCGACGAGCACTTCTGGCGCGGCCTGACCAATCTCTACCAGACCGGCCTGATCATTCTCGAGAACGTCCCCCATTCCGAGACGGCCGTCGTGGACATTGCGAGCCGCATCGGGCACTTGCAGAGTACCTTTTACGGGCTGACCTGGGATGTTGTCTCCAAACCGCAGGCCGAGAACGTCGCTTACACCAGCGAGTTTCTTGGCCTTCACCAGGATCTCATGTATTACAAAGACAGCCCCAAGATTCAGTTGCTGCATTGCCTGCAGAACGACTGCGATGGCGGCGAGTCTCTATTCAGTGACGGCGCCAAGGCCGCTCTCGAAATGGAGCTTCTCCATCCCAACCTTCACGCTCAGCTGATGTACTACAAGGTATATTACGCCTACGACCGCAACGGCCATCTTTATCACCGCTCGCGCCCCGTCATCCCCAGTCACTTCTTCCATACCCGCGAGCTGGCTTGGTCACCCCCCTTTCAGGCGCTCTTCGACCCTCCGTACCTCGATCCGGCTCAACACGACGACCGTGCCCTCTCGACCACATTCCACAAGTGGAGAAGGGCTGCCGGGGTATTTGACGCCATCATCAACGCTCCCGAGAATGTCTTCGAGCGCCGCTTCAAACCTGGAGACTGCGTTTTGTTTGACAATATGCGCATCATGCACGGTCGGCGTCAGTTCAACACTGCTTCCGGGCACCGATGGCTCAAGGGCGCCTACGTCAGCAAAGAGGAGTTTGTGAGTAGGACGATGCAGATCCCTGCAGAGTTTGACCCTCCCTTACCTGCGAGCTACAAGCTGCCGGAGAGCGACTGGGCGCAGGTGCGTGGTCTTTTAGGTTCGTCTACTGTGACGGATCAGAGGCGTAGCAGGAGCGATCAGCAAAAGACACGAGGTTGACACATACGTCCATGGCAACTCTAAAGTTGCCTCAAAGCCAAAGACGAGGGCTTCATTGCATGTCCTCGGGTTTGCCACGGCGACTGATCATTGAATTATCAGGTCGCCGAGCGTCTCAAAGAAAAAAGGTATGGGAACAACAGCCGGGCATTCCTCAATTCGAGGACAAGGAAAGAGAGGGAGGAGGGGAAAAGAGAGAGGGGACAAGAATTTTCTTGCCATGGATTTGTATTAGATAGATTGGTATATCTGTCTACTCTATTCATGTTCGTCAGTCTGCCTCAGTCCACGCGATCCTTGCTTCCCCATCGATCCGACTGCGCATGGCCGTTGGCAGAGCGGACAGCACGGGACGAATCATCGACTTGTTTGGCATTTATCCTCACGACGGACATATCTGTCCGCACTCTAAACTCCTCCCCTCTCCAGTTCACCGTCGCCCCCAGTAGCACCGCCCAAGTCCAGATCGGGAGCGCGAGAAGCTCGCGCCCTAGCCAAGCCAGTAGCCAGCACCCAAACGGCCTGTGCTGGCCACCGCGCGCAAAGGCCGGTGTGAAATCGTCGCGCTCGACGCTTCGGCAGGCGTGCAAGCGGATGTAGACGCACCGGTCTGCGAGCATCCACACAGACAAGGCGGCGAGCCACAAGGCGCCCATGGCCGCCCATGTCTGCGGCAGGCCTGTGTGGAGATGGACCCAAGGAATGGTGGTCATGGCGAAGGCCAGGTAGAGACAGCACAGCACTGATTCGACGCCAGGCTCCACGAGGGTGGCGGCGATGACTGTCCATTTCCTCACACGCAGCCATCGGACCCGGCGGGCAACATAGGCGGCGATAGACATGCCGGCCATGGGCTGGATGGCGACATCGCCGTAGACGAGCCCGTGATTGGCGAATCCAGGCAGCGATGAGCGCCACAGCAGATCTCCAATCAGGTGGTCCTCGCAGATGATAGACGAGAAGAAGTCGAGGCCGCGCCCTCGGCAGGCCTCGGCCGGGGACAGGATAGGGTTCTGCGCCGGATCGGTCAGACGCTCGAGGTGAGACTTGCGAAACATGTTGCTCTTGCCGACGACGCACGGGGCGACGCCGACTATGTTGATGGCGCTGTAAAACTTGGCGTGAGTGGTGGCCATGAACATCTCTTCGAGGCGTCCCCCCGCACCACGGCCGGGGCGAAGCCCGTCGCGCAGGCCGGAATCCGGGTCGGAATCGGGTGACAATGGCCGCCGGGTCTCGGGGATCGGTTGGTGGTCGGGCACGTCGACGTCGACGACGAGCGGAAGTTGGTGCACGAATTTGAAGGGGGTGTGGATCTGACCACGGGGACCGAAACCGCAGAGCTTGTCGACCATGCGGCCGGCGACTCCCCTGCCCACCCAGACATTACAGTCCACAATCCATACGAGGTCTCCCCTGGCCTCCCTATAGGCGCGGCTGATGTTTCTGATCTTGGGGTTGGGCCCCAGGTGGTCGAGAGCGCCGTGTGAGCCGCGGAGCCGGGGATCTTCCGTCTCGATCAGGAGGCGGCTGTCGAGCCCGGGAAAGTCGGCGATGACCCGTTTGATGGTAGGAATGGCCGGGTCGTCGGGCGAGGCAACGCACAGGCGGAGGCTCAGCTTTTGCCGGGGATAGACTTGGCGGAAAGTGGAGGCGAGACAATCGTAGAGACCGGGCTCGAGTCCCTTGACAGGCCGTATGATTGTAATGTGTGGCACCTGGGCGTCGTCTAAAGAGGGCGATATGGGCCGGGGCGGTGGAGAAGAGCATGTACGGAATCTGTTGCAGAGCGTCAACATGAGGCTATCTCGAAACGAGTCGCGCGGCGGGCAAGAAGGCGGCATAAGAAGGAAGAGATACGCGAGGGCCGTGCAATCTGGGCAGGCAGCAGACTCACAACGTAGATATCCCGACTAGCTGCACCCCAATCACGGTGCAAGCCCAGACTGCGCAGATGTAGGCGGCCCCGAGCACAATGGGTGGTGAGGCTTGTAGGTCGGACATGGCGGTCGGAGGAACGGTCGAAGACCCGGAAGGGGCAGAAGCGGGAGGGACCAAGACGGAAAATGATCTTTGGCGATGGGCTTCTCCATGGATCGCATGGATCAGGGGCAGCGCCGGGGCACACTCAAACCGCGGCGGGCAGATCTCGCCCGGAGCGCGGATGAGAATGGGTTGGGGCGGTGCGGTGTGGTCGCCGGCAAGATTGCATCCCCTTTGGCCCCCTTCGAGAGGTGGCAATAGAAGCTAGGGTTGTGCGAGGGCGAGATAATACTCACCGGCTCCCCGCTCCTGGGGGTCCTGGCAGCTCCAGTCTCTTTCTTCCTACCCCTTCCGATCTTCCCGGTCGTCGTGAAGTGCTGGTCGAAGTTAGACGTAGGTCTGGTCTGGTAGGGCAGTGAGTGTGCTGTTTGTTGCCGGGCCCGGCCCCCCGGTCCTCTGCAAATTTTGGAGTACCTTACCTTGGGGACGTGTATGGAGTACAGTAGAGAGAGGTACCTTAAGTTACCTACCTATGTACTTAAGGTATTACATGTACCGGACCTACCCACTCTCGACTCGGTTGATCCAATCCAACCTGGGAAGCTTTTCTTGGGCTGTTTATCTGGGCGGGCTGGGTTGGTGACCAAACCTCTTCAGCTAAGGTACCTAGATTACCTTGGTGCCCTAAATTACAAAAGACCAAGCCCTGAGATAGAGCTACCACGGTCCCTAATCAGATCCACTAACTTTTCATTCCACGTCCATGAGCCTTATTTTTACGCACTTACTTAGGTAGCTCCTTTGGGAGACAGGGGATGGATCAATGCAATGGACGTCGTGGGTCAAAACGAAGAAAGGGAAAAAAAAAATCTTCCTCCTCTTCTGCCCTCGGTCAACCGACCCGTCCGTCCACCCTCATCCCAGGACAGGCATTCTCTCACACAAACAATGTTGCTGCACCGAGCGATGCGACAGGCGCTCGGCACAGTCAAGTGTTGATGGGAAGCAATTGGCATCGCATCACCTCATTTCCTGCGGGCCAACGGAACTTTGCGCGACTACCGAGAGACTGGCCAAAGCCGATGTGCCACCCTTCAAGGCAGAGGCGAAGCTTTGACTGATATCTGAACACGGCCGGGCTTGCTGGACATCGCATTCTTACCTTTATCCATCCAGATGCGACACTTCACGGGGTACGTATACCAACCAAAGTGCAAAGTCTGGTTTCCGTCCGCGACGACTACATGGACACCGGACATCCACCCCCCCCCTTCACCTGGGCCTCTCTACCCCCCCCCGAGATACCCAAAAAAACAGCTGATCGAGCTGTGGCCGTGTATTCCTCAACGCAAGTGCAGAGAGTTGGAGGACCGTCGAAGCGGCGGGGCGCGGCTGTGCGGCTTTCGCAGTGATGATAAATTCCAAACATTGGTGCAGAGAGAGTCCTCAAACCACTCTCGATGACTGCCCTTTTATAATAGACTACAACGGTATCTGAGCGAAAGCATGAGCAACTGTACGCGCATGTCCACGGACGTCTTGGCCGGAAGCGTTCCCCTTTGTTATGCTCTCTCCAACATCCAAGGCGTATCTTGGCTATGTATCTGACAAGCTGCTCTACAGGCCAGACTTGCTCTCCGATGACCATGGCTGATCCGAGCAACTCAAAACTGCCCGACATGCCGTCCCTGCCGGAGCAGCAGCCAAACAGCCCCCACGGGCCCGTGGGGAAACCCCAGTCTCAACGACCCCAGACCCGGACCGCAACATCCTTGCAGAGGGCATATACTCAGCCGGCCCCGTTGAAGACTTTCCCTCTCCCGACCTTCTACCCGAGCAATCCCGTCTCGCTGGTGCACCTAGCTTGTGCCTGGTTGACGTATGCGCTCTTCCCGCCCCCTCGTGAGCCCGCAACCATACACCAAGGAGTTTGGTCGCCTGCCACTCGGTCCATCCACGTCACCAACCCCGAATCTATGCGAGCGCTCTGGGAGCAAGGCTTCTTCGGAAAAGGAAGCCTGAGTAGGAGTGAGCCCAACTGGCTCAAGCGGGAGCAAGTCAGGCAGGGCCTCGTCGATGCCAGTGTCAGCGAACTCCACACTCTGAGACGACGAGAGGAACGAGCACGTGCAAAGTGGGAACGGGGCAGGACGGAATTGGATGCTCTCGAGCAGCAGCTGCTGGTCGAGAATCCATTCCCAGTCGCCAATCCAGGTGCAAGATCTGCACAGCTACCGGCGCAATCCCCCTCTCCGGCCACTGTCCAGCCGCGACAGCAGACTGCATTCGCCGGGCACGGGTTCGCTGCACCAGTCAGTCCTCAGCGGCTTTTGGCGTTGCCCAACTCTGAATCCGACCTGGACAGGAGCATTCTCTGCATGCAAGAGGAAAACAACGCCGCTGCTCCATCCGGCCTGTCTATATCGAGGCTGGATCATCATGACGGCCAAGAGGCTCGATTGCCAGATTCCGTCTTCCCCATTCCATTAAAGGATATCAGCGATGGCATGGCCAGGCCGAACCAGCACCTCCTGGCTTCTCACGCCGATGCCACCGAACAGCCCTTTCCTCTTCACGTCCACACCAACGGCGACTCTGAACCAAAACGCCTCAGGCACCAGAAAAGTGTGCGCTTCTCGCCCAAGGTCGAATCTACCACGTTTCAGCTCTCAGACCCGCCCAGTCCGCACCGCTCCATCCCAAACGCCTCCAAGGGCAACGAGGTTGCCACAGTCGTCGATGTCCCAGCACCCGGCAATGGTAACCCGTTATGCAGCGCGCCGACTGCTCGACCCGCTCTCGAGACGAACTGGAAGGCCTCTCACGGCCAGCTAGCCAAGGGCCTGGACCCCTATCCAATCGAGGACAAGGAGCATTTGCAGCTTTCACCGGAAGAAGCATTCTATCTGGTCTTTGCCATAGGAGCGTTGTCGGTTGTTGATCCGCGGACCCAAGCCCCCTTATCGGCTGGCAAACTCCTCGAGCTCTTCCGAGATCAGTCGCACTCGTCCGCTTCATCTCATATATCTCCCGATGACCCTTTTCTCGTCCATTACGTAGTCTATCACCACTTCCGGTCCTTGGGCTGGGTCCCGCGCCACGGCATCAAGTTTGGTGTGGACTGGATGCTCTACGACAGGGGCCCAGTCTTCAATCACGCCGAGTTCGGTCTGTTAATCATCCCGTCGTACTCGAACCCGTATTGGACAGCACAGGGCACCGAGGCCTTGAGGCCCTCTTGGCGCTGGTTCCACGGTGTCAATCGCGTCTTGACTACTGTCTTCAAAAGCCTAGTTCTTGTCTATGTAGATATACCACCGCCATCCACCGCTGTAGACTCGACTGGCCAGGACATCCCTCACTTGCTTGGCAGGTACCAAGTTCGAGAAGTGATGATCAAAAGATGGTCGAGTAACAGAAACAGAGCCTAGATGCACCGAGGATGCGTCACGCTACAGGACGGTCAGGTGACGGGGACTGACTTGGGCTGATTCCTCTGAGTCTATCGCACATATACATAGATGATAGCTGGTGATTACACCGCCCAGGCTAGAGAGATTCTACTGAGAAACCCGTGTAAAATGTAAACTTCACGGCCATGTTCGCCAATCTGGCCCGGCTTGCTGGCTGTCAAGCGGGGAAACAGTTGACTGCGATGTGAGTCGGGAATCAGTTCAGATTCAGTCTCTATTCACTCACTTGAGTATTGCTGTCTCTTCACTCTCGCATCCGTCACTCAGCGAGCAATCATGCTCCTCTCATGAATATTTCTCTTCTCCAGACTACTTCCACCCCTCAAGACACCCGCTGCCATTCACTACATCCTCTGATGGCTATTGCCTCGCAGCCCTCATTCTCCCCAGTTTCAGTGGAAAGCATCTCTTGAAACTCTCACAACACCCACCGCAAGGTTGTTGGTGTAAGTGGTTACGGAGTACTTCACATTTACAGAGGCTCCGGTCTGAACTGACAACATACATGGGCTTTGGAGAACAGGATGGCTGGTGGGCAACAGGCTGATCAGGGTACACTGCCCGACCCTCAAACCCTTGCCCTACCTCGCTTTACTCTAGTCGCGGGTGCTATCCCAACAGAGGTTGCACGGTGCCTCTCGACTCGAACACTATGGGGTGACAGCGAGGACAGCGAGACGACTGTTGTGGTCAAGAACCTGGTAGTGCTTTTCCAGCTCGTAAACCACTACCAAGATTGCTGGCCGCAGTCTGACGACGACACAGGCACGGGCGCCCGGTTCTTATGGGGAGAAATTTATCGGAGCTGGACCGGCAACAACCACACCGGGGGTACAAACATCGCTGAGCTCGCTGTTGGAATCTTTACACATGCTCGCTATGTGTATCTGCTCGAGGTTGAGAGCCATGTCGATCACATCATGGAGCCAACCTGTCCACTATTTGCCCTACTCTTGAAGCTGGTACAAGAAGCCATGAGCTTCGGCAAGACTGGCAAGCCTGCTCATAGTCTTCTGCCCCAGGGCAGCCTCTCAGCTCGCCGAGTCCATCGCGCTATTACCTTCAACAGGCTCGTTCAGCGGGATCGAGACAGCCTTTTTGCACACATGTGGCCAGCAGTGTCCAAGAAGAGCCGCAGTAAGTTTGTTGCTTGTCTTTCCCTTCCCGCCGGGGTGTTCTCCATCTCACGAATTGGCATGACTAGTTCCGGAGCCTTCTTTCGCCGAGACTCTTCTCCCGCACCTTTTATCCATCGTTGATACGGCCTCGCTCATCAAGCGAGATGGTGAGTGATCAACTTCTTTTCCCTACAGCACCTACGCGTCAAGAAGAGTGATGTTTGACACCAGTTGCACAGGCCCGCCTTTCATGCGTGAGGAAGAGAGGCACGACTACCACGCTGTCCTGCGCTTTGTCAAGTGGATCGATCGAGCTAGTGCTTCTATCAAAGGCACCGGCCGTGGAGAGGACCAAGACCAGCTACTTGAGCATGACTGTAGAGAGTCCGGAGGCGGGGTAGATGTCGATGCTGCCCAGGGGATCAATGGGGAGGGCGCAATGGAACAGGCTGCCCAGGGTAGAGACCGGGAACTGTATCTGACCCTCCAACTTGAGACGGCTCGCCCGCATGAGACCACCGATGTCCCTCATGCCTGTTGTTTCCTGTTCTTTACCGCTCGTGGCAGGCTGGGGGTGAACATCGACGTTGTTGCATCACCTGGGTGGGTCGCTAAGGATCTGATTCAGGAGGTCGGGCGACGAACGCCACATTCCACGGCAGAGGGCCGCAATGATGTCGACTTGGCCCCGTTTCTGAGAGCCAGAGATGACGAGGGCGACCAGATTAAAGCATGCCGCATCCGGGTCTCTTCGATTTCTCTGGGCTCGCAAGATCCCGGCCCACTCAGGACCGATGTCGTTGTCTCGGGTAGATTAGAGGTCGGCGACGAACTCCTTGTCGGCGTAGAAAATGGATGGAACCTGGACGGCCCGTTCGCATCCTCGGCTGCGTAATCGAGTCAGTCCCTTCCGACAGGGCTGGACCCCGACACGATGTTATGCACTAGACGATGGCATCCCCCCAAGGACGAGGCTAGGCCATCAGGAGAGGGGAGGAATGGGCTGACCTCATGTACAATCGAATGGCTGCAGGCGCAATTCATGTTTCCGGCATTTGTTCTGCGCTTGGCCCTTACGAGCTCGACATGCCATATAATAACACGGATAAGACGGGATCGCTTGTTCATTCCCACATCTCGAGGCCATCAAAGGGCCAAGGCTATCATGAAGATTACAATCAAGACTGCCCGACTGTTGGAAGGGAATCGAAGATACCATCTCAATTTGCTATGAATGCGTGTGACTTGCTAGAGGCAAGATCTCACCGCTGCGTTGCACATGATCTGTTCTCTGTTAGGATCTCAAATCTATCGTGCGTAAGTCATCGTCATCAAAGCTGTCTTTCCCATACAAGCCCAGGGGGTATAAAACGCCTCAGAACGCCAAGCCTTCCCATCGTATCTGGATGGAGTCGCGAGAGCAAAGCCCTTTCGGAGTAGAATTTACCATTTCCTGGCCTCCACACCCTCGGGCGGGTGTGTCTCCACTGTGCGGCTTTTGACGTCATTCCAGTCGGTGCTGAGAGCGGTGCCATTGCTCTCTGTGAAACTCTTCATCATGGCGCGTTGCTGCTCAGGCGTGCTGTTGGCATACAACTGCTTGAAGAACTGGTTGACATCCTTGCCATCGTCGTCGTCCTCGGCAGCTGCGATATTGTCCCAGTCCTTTGGGCCTGATCTGGAGCTGGTAGGATAGACTGGGGCGAGAGTCCGCTTCTTGTCCGCCGGCGCGTCGTTTGATTTGGCCGCCGCCGTCTCATGAATCGTCCCTGTGGGCTTCTCGGGTTCGCTGGAGCATGCGGTTGAGTCTAGCTGCTCCTTGCTGATCGAGCTCTGCTCCGAACCGGACGGACCCTGAGCCCCAGCCTTCTTCTCGTCTTGACGACCCCAGGTGGGCCACTTGGCGGGCTCTGCCTTCACCAGCGTGAGCTCGATTTTCTTGGGCGTAACAGAATACTTGCAGGCAGAAGGGTTGATGGAGCCTTCGAGCTGGAGGGCCGTGGGGGGTAGGGTGAATTCACCGACGAGGATGTTGGCGAGAGTGACCTGGATGACACAAACAAATTAGAGAATTGGTTGTAAAAAGTGCGATCCAGCTTCATCAACGATACGCACCCTGCGATCTTGGAAGTGAACAGTGAGCTTCTCCTTGTCTACGCCGGCGATAAAGATGGTCAAGTTGATAGCTGCGAGGGTCTGGTAGAAATCCACCTTGAGAGCCGTGTCAGGCCGCTTGACTGGTCGGGGGCGTGGATTGCCTGTAGGAGTATCCCTGGCGCCGGCCTGAGGAACACCGTGCCCGGCGTGGCCTCCCTCGTCTGCGCCCTCGGAAGCCACAGGCTCCTTGGGCACTCGCAATACGGTGAGCTTGCGGCGCTCGTCGCCAGCTGGAAGGCTCTCCAGGGCGGCAAGGGCTTGGCTCCGCCAAACATAGGCTCTTGTCCATTCGGCAACTGTCGTCTTGCCCTGGCCCAGCGCGGCCGCCCCTCCCTCCGTCTTGGGCATCTGCGATGTATCCTTGATCGACTCGAGAGTGGCCAGGTAGTAACCATTGTCGTCGACGTTGTTTGCGACGGTGTCCGCCTCCTTCCGGAGGTTCTTACCCTCAGCCAACTGCATCGACCAGAGGCAGCAGGCGTCCGAGTCGGCGAAGCGACCCATCTTGTGCAGGATTACGGCTCGGCGGTACTGTGCCAGTATCATTTGGTCTCGGCTGGCGGGTTGCTGTCGCTCCGAAGCGATCAGGTATGCTCGCTCGGCATCGGCGAGGGCTTGGTCGAGCTTGGAAGACTGCTGGTAGGCTTGGGCACGGGCGAGAAGCCAGGCCGGCGATTTGGCGCCCTTGAGGGCATCTGTAAGCAGCTTCACTCCCTCTTCCCACTTCTTCTGCTGTACGGCCCCGACGCCCTTGTGGCCCAGGGTAAAGTGCGACATGGCGATGGAGGTGAAGTGCGCGTGGGCTGTGGGAGACGGGTGGTGGAAGTGGTGGAAGGGAAGGGAAGGGAATGTCGTGGCAGCGTGGCAGGGACAGTCCAAATCCTCGGGTGACTGCCTTCCTCTGTTGCCGGTCAGAGCGCAGGTGAGGAAAAGGCAAGGTTTGCCCTGTTCGTGTCGATGTCGGCAGCTTCAAGCCGGGGTTGTCAACGTACAAGTTGGTAGAGTGAAACAAGGAAGTTGAAAAAAGATTGGGTGTAGTTGGTGGGTTGGGTGCAGGATGCGTCCACAGGTATGGCTGAATGTGGAGACGGGTCGGACTGTGGGGGAAATGGATCCTTCAACTCCTACGGTGTGTGCTCTAGGCAGCTAGCTCACCAAGCAGCCAGCCAGAGATGTGTTATCACCTAGGTTCCCCAGTGCTGTCTTGCTTGGACCTTCGTCCATCAGGTTAATTAATGTGTCTACCTTGCTTTCCGTACATCTTTTGCGTGCGTACGGACGGGCTTCCTCAGAAATAGCCAGGATCACCGTCACTCACGCCATGTTTGCGATGATACAGAGTCAGGGGTAAACAGATGTCACGTCTCGCACCGGAGGGTTGATGGAAAGATCGAGATTATTAAATTAGCTATTAGATTGGCCCCCTCGCACCTCAAGGCTCCGCCGGCCCGCCCTTGTCAATCAGTTCCCGCACCGCAACATCATCGCGATTGGCCACGGTCCAGATCTCTCTGCGATGGCAAGCACTCGCCGTGTCTCTCCTGACCATGTATGGTATGGAGATGCACTCACCATTCAGCCTTTTCGTCGGGGTATTTGCGCGAGAATTGGCCCAGCGCCTTCATCGGAAAGATGAATTTGTAGTTGGGGTACGAGATCATACAGCTCTTGTTGAAAACGCCCTCGATCGCTTCCTGGAGCCATTCACCATTGGGCTGCTGTCGCTGCATCAAGAGAGAGATGCCCTTACGCAACAGCCCAACGTCGGGATAGCCCGCATTCATGAGGCCAATGAGCGCCCACGCAGTCATGACAACTTGGGAGCCCGACTCGTGCTCAGTGTAGACCATGTCGGCACAGGACTGCCACCTGTGTTAGTTCCACAGTCTTCCAAAGGGGTGGACCACGCTCCCAAGACCGATTACTCACCTTGTAGCTCTCTGACCACCCACCGTCGCCCCGCTGCTTCGAGATCAGGAAATCGCAGGCCCTCCTCGAGTGCTCACTGGTTTCGTACGTCTCCCCGATGCTCGCCAGGCTCTCTAGGGCAAACATGGTAGCGTAGGTGAAGCAGATACCCCAGTTGCCGTACCAGCTGCCGTCCGGCCGCTGCACTGACTTGATCCAGCTGACCGCACGCTCGATGAAGCGCTTGATCTCCTGCGTCCGGTAGTCAGGCCAGTGCTTCTGAAACAGGGACAGCGCCGTCACTACGGCCGTGGTGCATTCGGGGTAGTTGTATTCAACCATGATGCCGCCAAACACTTCGGCGGCGTTGAGCATTTCGAGCCACTCGCCGCCTCGCGGTGGCTCGTACGATGCACATCCTCCCGAGGCGCTCTGGTACGTGAGGAGGGTGTCAACGGCGTCGAATATGCGCTGGTCTTCCAGCAGAGTCGGGTAGCCTGGCGTCTTTTGCAGCAGGATCACCGACTTGAGGGCTTCTGATATGCAGTCACTGACCGCATAGCCCTGGTCCTTGTTACTAAACGTCCACGCGCCCTTGCTCTGCTGCCTGTAGCCCTCGACCTGGTACGGGCAGTTGTCGCGGACCTGCTGGCTGTCCAGAAACTCGAGGGCCTTGAGCAACATAGGCCTGAACCGATCCTCAGTCTGCAGCCCCGCATCCATGACAGCCTGGATGGCGAACGCCGTGTCCCAGCACTGGACGCCATTGGTCCCGTTGACCAGCATGCCTTCGTCCTTGACCCAGAGAAACTCCTGCAGCCTCTCGCGGTGTCTGCGGACCGAGTACGAGTCGGGCCCGTCGCGAATGTAGCAGCACATCATGTTGAGTGGGTTGTTGACCGGTGCGAGATCGGCATAGTCTGTGTTTAGGTCCTCGTAGTCGATCAGCTGGCTGACCCTGGCCTCACCAGCAGCGGCGATGCTTCCGGTCCGCAGGAACGGACCCCAGACGTTGACAAGCACCCAGTTTGCCGTGTTCAGCAGCCAGGACTTCGGGTGATAGTTGTCAATGGCGGCGATCGTATTTCGATTCGCAGCCCAGTCAATCTGGTCGTACGGCTCCACGTAGAGCTCCTTCCGCAGCTCCAGAGTCAGCTCCGTCTCCTCGCACACCCACCTCTTGGACCAGATGTACGACATGGGCACAAAGACCTGTCGCATGTGAATCCACCATCGCCAAGGAGCAAAGGGCACCCAGTCGGGCAGCAGCCAGAACTCGGGAGGCACGGGGTTCACAATGTCCCAATCGGCCAGCCCCAGAGCGGACAGCCAGAACTTGGCCCAGTGAGGCCCATGGGTCGAGCCTCCGAGCTTGTGCAGTCTTGCACGAGCCTTGGTCATGCGAGGGTCGTCGGCTTCGACGCCAAGGATACGCAGAACGACGTACGTCAGGCATGTGCCAAAGACGGTGCTCTCGCCCTCAATATGCAGCCCCCAACCGTGCTGTGCCGGGTGCTGGAGAGAAAACAGGTAATTCCGAAGCTCAACGGCGTGCGGCACGGGGATCGGCGTTTTGGTCATGTGCCACGCAAAAACAACCCCGGGCAGCAGGAACATGGGGCCTCCGTACTCGCAACCCCAGTTCCCCGGCGGAAGCTGCAGGTGTTTGAAAAACTCAAGTCCATTGCGAAGAGACTGCAGAGGGCTGTCGGCCTTGGGAAGATCCGGCAGACCCTGTATTTGCAAAGAGGCACCGCGTTAGTCTTGCATGCTGCTTGACCGGCAGGTCGAGGGATAGTCATTCACCGTAGGCAGGCCCAGGTACCATTTGTCTGCGTAGCTCTGGGGCCAGTCTTTGATCTTGTCGTCGTCTTCGAGGTAGTGCCAGGTGTGGCGTCCTTCCTCGTCGAGCATTCGCCAGCGGGAGTGGTCCGTTGTACTGGGCAGCCTGAGTCGCTTCGCGTGGCCGTTGGTCTCTGCCCCGACCCTCTGCCGTTTTCGCGGTGTGTGTTGCGGCTCTGCCGGGAGCTTGGTGAGGTGGCGCCCGCTAGACCGCGTCGTGACCATCGTGACGGCCGTGTGCTGGTGCCTCGTAGTCGCCAAATTCGTCCCCTTGGGTGAGCACTGCGATCGCACTCTGCGCACTCTCTCTCTCTCTTCTCTCTGTCTCTCCTCTCTCCGTCTCGTCGTCGTCGTGCGGAATGTAAACTAAACAAAGGGGGCGGGGAGCCAGGGCCGCCTTCACAGCGCATGCGCTGATCACATGCCATAGTTACTCCGTAATTTCTTCCGGGGTGCGGATTAGACAATTCCAAACCACCCGCCCCACCTGCTGGTTTGTAGCGGGGAAAGGGCCTCCAGCCCTTGGTTACCTAAATTGCTAAATTAGGGCTGCCGCGCTCTCTGCCTTGTAGGGGCTAGCTTTCGCCTGGGCAAGGGACGAATCCCATTAGAAGCCGCATCAACCTATCACGGGCAGTTTGTCGCTCTCCTCAGCAGGAAATCCCTATCTATCCCTTTAGACACCGTAGAAACACTCCAGTGTTTTTTATCCACTGGTCTTTCAGAGACAGGTATCTTCTACAGGGATTTCTTACCAGAGAGAGCAACAGTTACACGCGATGTGTTTCTACAGCATTTAAAGGGATAACATCCGTGGAAGAAAGGCATCGGAGTGTTGCTGCGGCTTTGAAGGGTCTATCAGCTACTAGTGGTTGACAGGCTGATCGCGGAACTTCAGGACCGCCGAGCCTTGAACCTAGTCGTGTGGTGACCAGGGCCGGTTACGCACAAGCCGAGCATCCAGTGAGCACTAGTCTGGGACAAAGTGAACAGCCCTGGTCGGGATACCAGGTTACCGGACGAGGATCTTGGGGCGCCGAAGCACTATTTGGAGGCTACTCAGCCGTTCAAGATGTTGACGATGAGGCTGAGGCCTCAGCAGCGGCATTGCTTATGGCATTGCAGAGTGGTTGATCTGATGTAGTTCTGGGTGGCCTGGAAGCCGAAAGGCAACCTTCACCCTTTGCTCTAACGTGCTCGACTCATTAATCTTGATTATCACTAGCCCGGAGAGCACCAACCCCACGCCGTCTGGCCTCCGTTCCTGACCATTAGGGTCGGTCAGTCGACAAGCTGCTCTGTGCGGAGCAGTGTCAAATTTTGACCTGGAGTTAACTCGGAAGTTGCTGGGGACGGGAGTCCTGCAAATCCAATGGTAAATCCAATCATTGTGCTCGGGCTGTCAAGGAGCACTCTGAGCGCCTCACATTCGCTCAACCGCGTATTGGTCGTCACTACAATGGCCGACGAAATCGAAAAACTACGGCGGGCTCTCGCAGACGCCGAGTCTCGTGTGCTGGAGGAACAGCGACGACGCGAAGAGGCCGAGCAAATCGCAGAAACATCAAAGGCACAAGATCTTAGCTCTTACCTTGAAGCTTGCCACGCTCTGTCTCTTGCCATCGACATGGTCACCGATCGATCACTGACCACACAAGGCGACACGACGAACCCGGTCGGCCGAATCTATCCCAAGCGCATTGTTCCGTGGGACGACTTTCCTGTGAGGCAAGAGGAGATCTGGAACAAGCTCGAAGACCCTACCTTCCTTTCCTAATACCAATTCCCGTCCCAGCATCAGTTAGACTACATACGGTCTCTAAACACACCGATCAGCAGCGAACTCAGGCTTCAGTCCTTTAAGTATGACACTATCGAGAATGTAGTGCAGAAGATCATTGATGTGCTGTACTGCAACCGGCTGTTACAGGACCGCCTTCACTTATAAGGCACCATAACATTCAAGAGCCACATAAACCTCGGTGTTGACGGTGGTAGTCTTTCACACTCGCTTAAGTGTATGTCGCTTGCTGATAGTGGTGGTAGAGGTAGGGAGTCGGCCTTGACGTTGTCTGCACCGCCTCGGAAGACCCGTCGCATGGTCAGAGGAAAAGGGAACAGAGCAGATCAGTTCTGCATATATAAGACCTCAGATGACGCGCGTATTCCCACAACAGCTATCGAGTACAAGGCTCCACACAAATTGAGCCAAGAAGAGGTGGTTACAGGGTTAGTGTCGGAGATACAGCCAGAGCGAGACGTGATCAACAAGAGCGACGGGAGCTTCTTATTCGCAGCAAAGACGCTTGTCGCCGCCGTCGTCACCCAGCTCTTCCCCTCACCTCTGCAGCACGACATTGCATTAGCACATTTCGTTTGCGGCTGGTCGCATTTCTGTGGCCGCCCTTGGCACCCAATCCCAGTTGTACACGATGACCTACTTGCTGCATGTAAGGAATGGCGAGCACTCTTGATGCGGTCAGTATCGTCTGGGTTGCGAGAGAGGTCTGTTGCCTTGGTAGGGTAACCGAGAAGCAGTCAAGGCTCACGTATCAGGGTAATAAAGGCTCATCATCTGCACTCGGAGCCCGAGCTCTAGAGCATCTCTCTTTGGCCTCTTATACGTCCAGTATTAAAGCCCGATTGGCTATTTATGATGATCGTTTTTACTCGTCGGAGTAAGAGAAATACACACTACACAAGTTAGAGATGAACGTAGTAACCACAGAAATGTCGACTTACCTGATTATGACGTAGATGCAAGTTGGCCAGCGCCCGTACAGCAGCCACCTGTCCGGTCGCGTCCGGCAATCCGTCCTTCAGGCCGTCGGCCATGTGAGGTGGGAGCTCTGCCCTCCATGTATCAAGTCTCCGGAGTATGGGACGCAGGATCGTGTCAATATCGTGGGCGTCGTCATGCCCAAAATGGCACGTGCTGGTCGCAGCATCGGCTTGGATGATGGTGATCTTGATGCGGGCTGTGAGTGAGGCCGCATCGCTAAACTCCTTGAGGTCTTTAGGTAGAAGCCCTGCTTATGAGGGGTAGTCTAGATCAACCTGGTTGATCTAGAGTGCTGATAGTAGTCTTGTCTGTGTACTAGTAATTCTATTGATATAAAAGGTTGATTACTAGACTTATTTATAATTCTCTTGCTTAATAGATAAGTAGTTAGCTGATATAGAGGTTTTATAAAGTTATAATATATTATATATCTATCTATCTATTTTATTTGTTTTTGATATATCTATTAGATATAAGCTAAGTTACACTATTGATATAACACAGTTAAAAGAGACACAATGAACACAATATCTATATTCCAGAGACACTGTGACAGTTCCTAATGATAAGGACATAATTATTATCATGGATTGATTAAGCACGGTCCCCCGGCCATAAAGGCCCTCAAGCCCGACAGCCGTCTCCGATATAGGTCTAAGGCCCGGAATCAGTCCCGGACTTTTTGACCTCTCGACCATGGTTCGGCCTGTGGCCGGCCAATAAGTCAACTCGTCTGGACGTCTGTATGCATAAGTTTGTGAGTATATATTATATATATATATATACTAAGCTCTCTATATATATATACTGTCTTTTATCTATTTAGAGAGAATAAGTAGAGGGTCTATAGCTTAAAGTTAGTAACCTATCTAAGATAGCTATAGAGGATATATTTATACTATTAAGTTTATTATCTTAATATACTCTACTAAAGCCTCTTTATAGGGCACTTTAAGCAGGTCTAATGCTTGCTTAAAGAACTCTATACTAGAAATGATATTAGAAGTAGATATAGATTTAATAAACTCTAGTATATAGCCTAATAACACCAGCTTAACTTAAGCTTTCTGCCTATTAATAGATATACTAAAGATAAATATAAGAAGTAGTTAGTAGAGATATATATAATCCTTAGACTGTACTATATTAGTATCTTAGTATATACTATCTAACTATTATTAAAATCACTTTAATTAAAACTAGTACTAGTCATACCTAATATATATAAGAAATTAATCTAGAAGGTAGATAACATAAGGATAAGGCAGTAACTTAAACATACATTTCACATCTAGATAGAAGATTAACTCTAGGATGTATATATTGACCTAAGAAAAGATACATACATAATATATTAGAGTTCAGCATAAAGTACTTATAAGTTAGAAGTTTATGTGAGGAGCCATAAGCCAGATCGCTCCCTAACAAGGAGTACTGGTCCGCCCTTATGTTATATATCTGTTTCAACTTGGATATAAAGAGCTTGACAGTAGAGTTCTCGACCAGAGGACTGAGTGGCCGCCTGGCGACTGCCGGGGCCGTCTCTTCCGGGCTATTGCGCGGTGCAGGCTTCGAGCTGGTCCTGCCGGGACCTGACGTCGACGCAGCAGCAGCGTCTTCAAGCCTTTTAATATAGCTCTCTATGACAGTCACTTTCTTATTATAGACTGCATAGGTGCATAGCCGCTAGGCCAGTGCGCAGTTCTGGCATGGTGTCTCTGTCATATATCGAGTCAGAGATATGATATAAGATACACTATGACAGGGCATGTGATACAAACCTCTCGAGCACTTTGTCTTCTGCTTATGATATCAAAGGCATGAGTTCCCCCGGTACTCACGCTTCCTGCGCTCCAAGGGCATCCTGCGTTGATGTCGTGTCGATAGGCTTTCCATGGTATCTGTTGGTCAGAGAGCATCGAGCATACGAGCCAAGGATTGCGGGGATGCGGAGGCCAATATCGACGGCGATTCTGGTCGAAACGCCTAGCGCGAAAATGATAAGAGCCACGCCATTGGACTCGAGAGACTAACATGGTGGATAAGCTATCCGCGTGTTCAACTCCGGCATGCTGTCCTGGATCACCGGCATCAGCGTTCCCCTCCGACACCGCTGTCCATGATCCATACGATATAATGGATGGGAAGATTAGGTGCTTCTTACAACCCCCGTGATGGTAGGCACCCATCCTTGACGTGATTCAACCCAACATGGCTGGCGTGACCACTACTCGTGTCCGAGACTTCATCGGCTACGGTGAAAGCCCACCAAATTTTTCGTGGCCGGGAGGCAAAAAGGTCGCCATCAACTTTGCCATCAACTATGAAGAAGGCACGGAGCGTAACCCCTTGCTGGGTGACAGCTCCCGCGACTCGCGCACCTGGGTGAGGAGCGCTCTCCCTGATAGCGAGCGCGACCTCAAGCAGGAGGGCGAGTACGAGTACGGCACGCGAGTCAGCATATGGCGTTTGCTGCGCCTCTTCAAGGAGTTCAACGCTCCTTTTAGCGTATTTCTCTCATCCGAAGCTCCCACCGTCAATCCGGCCCTGGCAGAGAGGCTCAAGACCGACGACTGCGACGTCATCTCCCACGGCACCCGTTCCATCAGCCGTATCGGCCTGACAGGGGAGATGGAGAGAGACGACTTGAGGCGTTCCATTGACCAGACCCTAGAGCTCACGGGCAAGCATATCCTCGGTGCTTTTCCTCGGCCGCCCATCACCGACAACAGCCGCCGCGTCATGGCCGAGGAAGGTCTCCTCTACGACTCGGCCACCACCAATGACGACCGCCCTTACTTTGCGGATGTTTCTGGCCGGCCGATGCTTGTTCTTCCCTACGCCGTCGACACCAACGATGCTCGCCTCTGGGGCGGCCAGTCCGGTCCCGGCTACACTGGCTCCACCGACTTCTTCGACTACCTCAAAGACGCCTTTGACATCTTGTATCGCGAGTCTGACGAGAGCGGGACGGTCATGTCGATTGGCCTGCACGCTCGTATCATGCGGCCTGGACGGGTGGCTTTCATATTGCGCTTCCTCGAATACGTGAGCAAGTTTGAGGGTGCGTGGATTGCGAAGCGTAACGACATAGCGGCTCATTTCGCAGGATTGTTTGCTCCGGACAACATGTGGAATCTTGACAAGGTGTCCCTTATCAAGTAGAATTGTCATTCAGAAATGATGCAAGGCCATCGTTATCAAGCACTTCTATTAAAGAAAGAGCACGAGAAAGCCACATCTTGAAGATCAAAGCCCATAGTCGGTGACCATGTTGCCAACTTCATGGATCACTCAGGACGGTACCATCGATGCCTCGTGAAAATAACTCGAGCCAAATTAAGCAGGTCTGTCATTTGTCGGGTCTCGTTTTTTTTTAAATGAGGTACTCAGTTCTCGGGGTCTCTTCTTCTCCTACGCCCTCTGCTCGGCCCATCTGGCCCTTGAGCGAGAACTGCAACAAGAGCTGGATCATCTTTATCTCTGTCATAATGATGAACTCTGACATGTCTATTCGAAGATTGGCGTCAGTTATTCACAGTCATATTATGTGAGATTCCACCAAAGATGAGGATGCACGTACCGTTGCAGGTTGTCTGGTCTGGGATATTTGTGTTCTCGATCCGGGCAAAATGGGCAGACATATCCTGGTGATTCATGGATAAGGCCGTGTCTGATCATCTCGTTCTTTCTTTTGAAGCCCTTCCCACCCTCTGAACGGGGACAGCCCTGCACAGGACAGTAATGCGGGCGATTTGTGGAGTGCAAGTTGGCATGGCTGTTCAATAGGTACTGAGTCTGAAAGGGTAGTGCGTTGCATCCCGGCACCTCGCAAACATATTGACCGGTGCTCGTTGGAGAGTGGCCTTCTTTAATAGCATTGCTTCGTTGTATAGCAAGTAGCCGTTCTTGCTCTTCTCTGACGGGCGGAGAGTTGGTATCCAGCTGAAGTCGCCTCGACGGAAGAAGTGCGTTCCTGACAGTATCGACGGTTGATTTGACAGCGCTCTCAAGCTTCCCAATATACCGTATGAAGTTGCAGTCGGAAAGACCGGGCTCAGGAATGCCGTTGACGAACAGATCGTCGTGCTTATGTAGCACTTCCAGCTCTTCTAAAGTATCTTGGCCAACGAGGATGTCGAATGAGAGAGTGTCAAGGACAAAGAACTCGACTTCTATCGGGTTCCCACGCGGAATGAAGCCGCGCACTGAATCAACCTCGCCAATCGCGAAAGAGGCTTTCACTGACCCGGAAGTATAAGCAGTACTCCCATCGGCAAATTCGAGGACCAGCTCCTCTTCAAATACTTGAAGGCCGCGCTGCTTCGCAAATGCAGGGCTGATGAGGTCTACATCTGAGCCTGTGTCTGCATTGGCACAGCCAACAAAAGTATCGATACGGCAAACCAATCCCTTCCGTGGGATGCCGAGACTATTTACCCTCAGCATCTGCACCGAAGGGACGGTCTGCTGCACCAATAAGTCCTTGTACTTCGTGAACACCTCCGCTTCCTCGAGGAACGTGGCTCCCATGATTACAGGCACGACCAAAGATTCGAATACGTAGACCAAGCACTCGAAAACCGCAACAGTCGCCTCGTCAAGCCCTACAAACGAGCACGAAAATGAAGAGCTGGCGACCGATCGGACGACTTTTCCGTTTGCGAGAGAGAACGGTTTACCTTGACCGGATGGCTCCAGGGGGAGTCCAAGGCTGGTAGCAAGTTCGAGCGAGATGATATTATCAACCGAACCTGTATCAGGGCAGCTCATAACGGGGCTTGATTCGGTGTCGGCCCGGATGATAAGTGGGAGAGCCACACGCGTACGGGGCCCCCGAGTAGATCTTCGTACTCGTGACGGTGCGAGCCTCTGTGTGTCCTGTTCCTCCGCCAGTCTCAACGTGTCCCGTTCCTCTTGCCAAGTTGGTACTCGTGTTTTCGTTGCCAACTCTGATTTGTCTGAAATAGTATCTGGCGAGTATAGTGAGGGTGAGGAGGATAGCGAAGAGGAAGACGAGGGTAGTTGGAGCGACAGGAATTCCTGGTAATCTGGTGAGTCTATCGATGTTAACGTTGGTGATGGTGGTGGTTCAAAGTCATAGGTAGAGGACGTAGATGAGCTATCAGTTTCGGCTGTAGCAGGTGATAAACTCGGGGTAGGCGGTGCATCATCATGGTCAACCTCAGGAGACGATAGTACATCGTCATCAAGGTCTTCTGGTAGAACTCGCAGCTGCACCTCGTCCGCAATAGTAGACCCAAGTTCTGGAGCCATCATCTGTATGAGGAGGCCATCTTTTCTGCTCGGCCTCCATCTAGCTAGCTTGGAACCAAATCGTCGTCGCTTTGAGTTGCCGGAAGTCGTCGATCGCAATGCCGGCGCCCAGGGCGAGTTCTAAGTCACACGCGAACAATTAGCAGCGTTCTAAGCACTACAGTACAGTCACTATTGACTCACGATATCCAGTTCCTCGTCTGTGTCGGATTCGTATAACCCATAAGCCTCCGGTCCAAGATCAGAGAGGTTCACGCGCTTCGCCACAAGCCCTGGTGATGACGGAGGGCCATAGTCTCCATCCGTGTAATACTCCATGGCAGAGTCCTACTTCTCAGCGGCTTCTTCGCGGATGTTCTTCGCAAAATTTTGACCCAGGCATGATTAACCGGACCGTTGTAGTATTGTTGCTTATGCTAGATCTGTTGCGAGTCACGAGGGAAAAGATTTCACAGATTGGGACCAAGAACAAAACAGGCGGGGGAGGGGAAGATGGGCACAGCCACCAGGGCGTGACTACGTATGCAGCTCGCTGTCGAATGACATGCTGGCAACAGCAGCATAAGGTCGCTTTTTTATGTAGGCATTTCGTGAGGCGCACCTCATATGGCCCAACCAGCTCCGGTTTGAACGCAACCTAGTGGGTAGGGCTTCACGTCACATTTGCGACGGTTTTGTGACTCCAAACTTATCAGGACTACTATCAGCCGACACAAGATATCATGTCGACTATTGATGTAGGACACGGCCCGAGGCTGGGTCCCAGTACAAGTCGACATAGTAACGACAATCAAGATGACAGGTCGTCTGCCCGATCTCGACGCTATGCAGACTCCAGCACCATGTCAATGTCTCTTCAGGACTTGTCAAGCACCCATGAGCCCAATAGCGATACACGGACCCATCTCCCCAAAATCTCAAAATCCAGGGTTGATGCACCGGGCTTGCCATCCTTGGCCAGTTTTATGGCAAGCGACCCAGATGGGACGGCTTCAATCTTCAAACGTTTCAATCGCCTCGCAGCCAGGAACTTGCTTGCTCTCCAAAGTGAACTTGCGGAGTTGCAGTCTCGCTTAGACAGGTATGACGAAGAAGACAAGCTTACCGCCGAGACAATGCAGTCCCTTCGCAACTGGCAAGACTACAAGGCGAGGGCGGCAGACCAGCCAGAACGGATGGAGTTGATGTCGGAAATAAAGAGTGTGATGAAGGAGTATCGTAAGACAGACAGTTCGCTGGGCGGAAGCCTTGATATAGCAAGCTAACGAGCACGAAAATAGGCGAGGCACTGCTTTGTGAGCACAGACTTGCATGCATCCAGCCTCCGGAGCGGAAGACCTTGAAGGCATTCAGGTCAACATTCTACACCGATGGCCCCGGCTTTAGAGAGCCTTTTCCACTCCTGGGTGGATCTAGTGCATCTCTTTACGATGATTCCAATGACTTAGTCGCTCTGCAGTCCGTTTCCAGTCCGGACAGACTCACTACCTTCGTCCAGAACCAGTTTGGATTCCTCTTCCAGGTAAGTTGAGGAGGTTCCCATTCAACTCCATGTAGATAAGGCTGCCCTTCCACTGACTTTACGACTGACATGAACTAGGAGAACGTCCATGACAATGGTTCCGGTGTGCCGACGGTGGCCTACGCATCTGCTAGAAAGCTTGCGACCTTCATTACATACTTGAGTACATTTCTCGCCACTTTACTCCTCTTCGGCGCCATCTTGATACTCTACAAAGCAAAGTCAGACAGCGTGAAGTTGGGACTCATCGCTCTATTCACCTTACTCTTTGCCGCTAGCATCGGTCTACTCACGAACGGGAAGAGATCAGAGGTGTTTGCATCAACGGCAGCGTACGTCACTGATCATCTTCTGGGCTTGACGTGTACATATTCTAACCATCACTGAAACCCTAGGTATGCTGCGGTGTTGGTAGTGTTTGTCAGTGGAGATTTAGGAAGTTCGAAAGGCTGAAGGAGAATGTGGTGGCCCAGTGTACCGGACGAAGTTGTTGAATCCTTACTATGATCTTTAAGCTAGCGAACATGCTACTAACAAATGGATATCAAATGACGTCGCTCCCTTAAACCTTCTCCTCGAGGCTTGTCTCTGTTGCGGGCTGGAATGAGTTGATAAGGTACGACCTAAGCTCAACCCTGCTTCGCCACCCAACTCGAGGCTTCCTAACTTCCATCGGATGCTCTCCACGCGCGCTAGAGACACTTGAAATGACAGCCCATTTGAATGGTCTGGTGTTTACGGAAGAATCTGAGGTTGGTACGCGAACACTCAAACCTTGAGCTAGTTTACCCTATACCGCAATACCAAAAACGAACATCAACCCAAGGTTCACCGTCTGGGATAGAGGATCAAAGCGGATCCATCGTAGTCCCCAGGAGAGTGTTTCACTGCTTGTGCAGGTAACCAGGGGGTAGTGGGAGGCTAATGGGGGCACACTTTTGGACGCCCGTCAGCCCCCAAGTCTAGTGTCGGAAAAGTTGACGGTTCGTGATCAATTTCTACTTAGGCTACTTTTAGACCAAACGGGTCATCCACTATTAGGTAGTGGGATAATCCTTGGAACTACTGTCGAAGAAATTGCGCGGATGGAAGTCCTGCTTTAGTGTTTGTGACCCCTAACTGTTCCACTGCCCATAGTACGTACGATACGTACTATCAAGCAACCAATGACTAAGAGACTTTGACGAGTGGCTCTGGAACCTGTCTAATGCTGTCATCCCGTCCTGGTCACGGATGTCCAGCCGGGCACCCATCTGTACCAACATTCGAACGGCTGCTCGCAGTGTCGGTTCGTGTCCATCTCTGTTCCCAAGTATGTGGTGAAGTGCTGTCCGGTGCTTTGCGTCAACTGCATTGACATCTCTGCTTGCACCTAAAAGCAGTTGAAAGGCCTGGAGCCGAGCGATAAATGGTTCGGGGTTGAATGAAGGTTGCTCAGTGCTCTACCAAAGGTGATCAAAGGGGTCTCTCCTGCCATGCTACGAGCCTCGGTGTCAACCTGCATTTCCAACACGATCTGGACTACTTTGGGTGATAAGCCGGCAGAACTATGTACTGTACAAGAAAATCGTCAGCGGTTGCCTGTACCAGAAGTTGCTATCCGTTCTTGTAACACTCATGGGGCTATGTGCTATGTGTTGCGGGCGACAGACACAGGTTATTGCCAGCCAAGAATTGTGGCTCTTCGACTTGTGCAACGGACCAAAGGCCTCGGCTGCACCCGGCCGGACTTCCCTGTTTTCGTCCAAGACCGCTGTGTGATTGACGTTGGCCACCTTGACGGGGTACAGCTCGTCACGCAGCACGCAGATCCCGGCTGCAAGCTTCGCCCTCGCCACCGCCTGCTTGATTTTCTGGTGTTCAGCCTCATCCTGACATACAATCAGGGTTGTGAAATTAGTTAATTAGTTTAGTTAGTTAAGTGAATTTAACTAACTACACTGTAGTTAGTTAATTAACTAACTAATGACTACAAACTACTAACTAACTACTAACTAACTAATTAAATAATATATAAATAAATATAAATAAAGATTTTTTTTAAAAAAAAATCTAATTAAATTTATAAAATATTTATTTAATAAAAGAAAACCTTAAAATCTATTAATATAAGAAGTCTATCTATTTTATTTATTTTTAATATACCTATTAGATATCCCTCTTAAAGGGTTTATAATAATAATATAAATCTATAATATTAGATTAATCAATTAATTAGAACCTTATATATAAGTTATTTAAATAGCTTCTATTAACTCTATTTAATTTACAACCCTATTAAAACAACTATTAATATAGTAAAACTATATATATTAAAACTCTAATACTAGATATAATCACACTCTAGTTATTATCTACTATAAATTAGAGTAGATAATATATAGTTATAAAGTAGCTATATAATAACTAGCTATATATAATATAAATTATTAATAATCTAAGGCTAAAGGCCTCTAATACTAATATTAAAGAATAATCTTAAATAGAAAGAGTTATCTATCTATCTATTTTATTTATTTTTAGTATATCTATTAAATATAAGCTAAGTTATACTATTAATATAATATAATTAAAAGAGATATAATAAATATAATATCTATTTCTCTCTTAAAGAGTTTATAACTATAGTATAAATCTATAGTATTAGATTAATTAATTAATTAAGATCTTATATATAAGTTATTTAAGTAGCTTCTATTAACTCTATTTAATTTATAACCCTACTAGAATAACTATTAATATAGTAAAACTATATATATATATAGTATAATATTAGTTCTATTCCTTCTTTCTTTCTTAAAGATACTTAACTATCTTTCTTAGATATTCTAGCTATAGCTAGTATTTCTTAATATTAAAGAGTTAATTAAGATTTAGATTATTAGATTCTATATCTATAAGAATAATTATACTCTTAAGTAGCTCTATAATATTAATAGTCTTTAGTAAACTATATTTAAATCTTAAAAGACTATAGTTATTAATATAATTAATTATCTTAATAATCTTATATAATTTATTTAGATTAGACTTAGAGAAGATAAACTTCTTAACTTTATTAAAGAGTTATCTATTCTTCTTATTAAATATTATAGAAATAAGAAAGAATAATATCTCTTTAATCTTAAATATATATATTAATATTATATAAGTATATATAAATATAAATTAGATTATTTAATAGAGAATATAATTAAGAGTCTTAATATAGATAAGTATAAGAGATAGACTTAAGAGAGCTAGTAATAAAAGGATAGACTATTTTATATATATTTAAGATAACCTCTTAGTAGTAGTCTTAAAGTATATTATTATTATATTAAAGCTTATAAGATAGATTACTTATTATTAAGAGACTATTTATTATAATAATTTAATTATATCTATTATTAAATAACTTATATATCTAGACTTATAAACTTATATATATAGATATCTAGATAAGTTAACTTATTAGCTAGTTATAGACTAAACTATAATTAAGAGGTTTAAAAGTTTAGAACTAATTTTAAGTCTTAACTATAATTAAGAGATTTAAAAGTCTAGGACTAATTCTAGGTCTTAGACCTATATTAAAGATAGTTAGTAGCTATTAGACTTAAAAGCCTTTATAGTTAGAGAACTATACTTAATTAATTTATAATAATAATTATATTCTTATTATTAGATATTATTATAATATCTTTAGAATATAGATATTATATTTATTATATCTCTTTTAACTATATTATATTAATAATATAACTTAACTTATATCTAATAAATATATTAAAAATAAATAAAATAGATAGATAGATATCTTTCTTTATTATATAATAAAATTAAGCTATATTTATTAAAAACTATATTACTTTTTAAGTTTTATTTAAATTAAGATCTTTCTTTATATTATTATTATCTTTCTTATATATCTATTTATTTTCTATCTATCTATCTATTTTATTTATTTTTAATATATCTATTAAATATAAGCTAAGTTATACTATTAATATAATATAATTAAAAGAGATATAATAAATATAATATCTATATTTTAGAGATACTATAATAATATCTAATAATAAGAATATAATTATTATTATAAATTAATTAAGTATAGTTCTCTAACTATAAAGGCTTTTAAGTCTAATAGCTACTAACTATCTTTAATATAGGTCTAAGACCTAGAATTAGTCCTAGACTTTTAAATCTCTTAATTATAGTTAAGACTTAGAATTAGTTCTAGACTTTTTAATCTCTTAATTATAGTTTAGCCTATAACTAGCTAATAAGTTAACTTATCTAGATATCTATATATATAAGTTTATAAGTCTAGATATATAAGTTATTTAATAATAGATATAATTAAATTATTATAATAAATAGTCTCTTAATAATAAGTAATCTATCTTATAAGCTTTAATATAATAATAATATACTTTAAGACTACTACTAAGAGGTTATCTTAAATATATATAAAATAGTCTATCCTTTTATTACTAGCTCTCTTAAGTCTATCTCTTATACTTATCTATATTAAGACTCTTAATTATATTCTCTATTAAATAATCTAATTTATATTTATATATACTTATATAATATTAATATATATATTTAAGATTAAAGAGATATTATTCTTTCTTATTTCTATAATATTTAATAAGAAGAATAGATAACTCTTTAATAAAGTTAAGAAGTTTATCTTCTCTAAGTCTAATCTAAATAAATTATATAAGATTATTAAGATAATTAATTATATTAATAACTATAGTCTTTTAAGATTTAAATATAGTTTACTAAAGACTATTAATATTATAGAGCTACTTAAGAGTATAATTATTCTTATAGATATAGAATCTAATAATCTAAATCTTAATTAACTCTTTAATATTAAGAAATACTAGCTATAGCTAGAATATCTAAGAAAGATAGTTTAATATCTTTAAGAAAGAAAGAAGAAATAAAACTAATATTATACTATATATATATATAGTTTTACTATATTAATAGTTATTCTAGTAGGGTTATAAATTAAATAGAGTTAATAGAAGCTACTTAAATAACTTATATATAAGATCTTAATTAATTAATTAATCTAATACTATAGATTTATACTATAGTTATAAACTCTTTAAGAGAGAAATAGATATTATATTTATTATATCTCTTTTAATTATATTATATTAATAGTATAACTTAGCTTATATTTAATAGATATACTAAAAATAAATAAAATAGATAGATAGATAACTCTTTCTATTTAAGATTATTCTTTAATATTAGTATTAGAGGCCTTTAGCCTTAGATTATTAATAATTTATATTATATATAGCTAGTTATTATATAGCTACTTTATAACTATATATTATCTACTCTAATTTATAGTAGATAATAACTAGAGTGTGATTATATCTAGTATTAGAGTTTTAATATATATAGTTTTACTATATTAATAGTTGTTTTAATAGGGTTGT